CGGGACTCTACGGGACTCTACGGGACTCTACGGGACTCTACGGGACTCTACGGGACTCTACGGGACTCTACGGGACTCTACGGGACTCTACGGGACGAGTGTTCTTCCCTTACCATCAAAAGCGAGCAGTATCGGTAAGCGTAGGTAAGCCACCACCGTCAACTGCCGCATGATATTACCATCACGAGTACGTGAGCCGCCAACGGCGACTGGTAGATGGTACCGCCTTCGCGAGTGCTCGAGCTCCTATCAGAAATTCGTTGCGCCGTCCGTGGGGGCAAAAAACGGTGAAAGCTAACGTACGGAACCAGAGGGCGGCACAGGATGCGATCGCACGATCCTGCCCGTGAGCAATCTCCCAACTCATCTCTGGTACATTCCTTCTTCACTAAAACGATACGCTTTCGCGCGTCTGGCGGAGATTTTTTTCGTAGATAGCAACTCTGCCGCTGGGTTCGCAAAGGTCGATTTTACCTAGAATCGCCCTCCCGGTATTTTCCCGCGCCGAGGTATACCTTCGCGAAATAATGCAACACCCCCATAAGTTCTGAAATCCTAACGTTTATTCTAGAAGCGGCAATCAATTTCTTGTTGACATTCGACATATACAGGCAAACGTACTCTCGAGTCGCAAAATCGTACAAATGGTCTTTCTCTCTCGCATTCTCTCTTCTATCAGAATCAGGTTTCAGATCCTTTTGGATAAAGTAAGTCTAGTTTATTTCATAATTTATTTACAAAAAGTCTTAGTAAATTACACTTACAGGCATCTCCACTCGAACAAAAGTAATAATTTAAAAGCTACATGTATTAAGATATCTAAGGTAGGTTTTTTGGAGGGTGAGAAGAGGGAGGAGGAATTACTAAGGAGCTTTCTCTCTTACTCTCTCACGCTCTCACTCTCTCGCTCTCTCGCTCTCTCGCTCTCTCGCTCTCTCACTCTCTCACTCTCTCTCTCTTTCTCTCTCCGTCTCTCGAAGTGTTTTCTCCGTGAATGTACCGCTCGTAATCGCCGTCCATGCTCTATTCGATTCGACCGTATTTCTTTTATTTTGACTCCTCCTTGCTTCGAAGTACCGCCAACCGCGAGCCTTCCCTTTCTCTTCCCTCGGCTCGAGGGACGCGGACTTTGCGCGCGCGACCCGAATTGAGTCGGTCAATTCGCGAACGCAAAGGTTGCGGCTGGCAGCACGACTCGAATTAACACGATGCGTTTTCATAGGAATTGCAAATACAGCGCCGTACTTGCAACGTCAATTGGAATATAAAGGCGCACGCGCGGGCAAGAAATCTACAGAGTGACTCGACTTCGGTTCCCTCTCCCTTTCGTCAACTTCGTCTCCCCGATGCCACTAGAAATTAATAGATCTTGGTTGTGAGACAATTAATCGTAAGTTTCAAGCAAAGTACAGGTACTCAATCGATCGCGATCGACTACGTGTCGAAGGTATCGCCGTGTACCGGCGACGCGAGGGCGAAGGTCGACCGGAAGCCGACCGGAAGCCGACCGGTCGCCTCCAAATTGCCCCCGACTTCTCATTGATAATACCGCTTGATAACGTTCACCCGGAACAGGGAGACGTTCCCTTAATCGTCTTACAAAAAGAAAAAAAACGTAACGTGCACGACCTGTACAAATTTGTCGACATCTCCTCGGATGCGAGCGTACCCTCTTCCCAACCTCTGCGGCGCTCGTCCCGTCCCGCCTTCTTTCTCCTTTCCTCCTTTCCTCCTTTTTGCCTTCGCGGCCCTTCCCGAAAATGTCTGGGTCATCCTTTTCGCTCACCTTTCGCGCAACGCCTTGGGAGCGATCGCCCCGGCGATGCTTTCCTCGGAGAAGCCTCGCTAGTCGGCGCGTCGGCTTCCAAGGCGTTGGAGAAACTCGATTCGAGTCGCCTCTAACGTACACTTTAAGCAACGACCTATCACACATCGGTTATCCGTTCTCTCCGTTACTCGGTGCGTCGCCCTCCCGTCCGTATTTGCCTCCCCCGCCGCGTCCGCGCGGCGCGTGCGTACCTCCTAAGATTCAATGGAAGTGTGTTATCTACAAAATATCTTAATTACTCGCTAATTACAGCACAAAAACATGCAAATATAAAAATTTGCATTATATTATCATTTCATTATATTTATATAATCGCTTCCTCCGCAGCGCGCACGTGTCCGTGCATTTCCTATCCCGCCGCCGCCGCCGCCGTTGTTGTCGTCATCATCGTCGTCGTCGTCGTCGTCGTCGTCGTCGTCGTCGCCGTCGTCGTCGTCGTCGTCGTCGTCATCGTCGTCGTCGTCGTTGTCGTCGTCTGAGGGAGGGACGAGTCGCGTCCTTCGAACCCCACCAGCGTTTGCGTAGAGTCACTGCGTCTCTTCTCGCGTCGCGTCGCGTATATATATATATATATATATATTATACCATACGGCAGCCGTCGAGCCCGGAGGGGAGGTCGGCGAGTTACGCGCCCCTCGAGCACTGGAACAACACTCGCGCGACGATCGCGGCGACTTGCTGGTCGAGGATCTGCGACATGACGAGGGCCAGGAGGCGCGACTCGTGCTGCAGCAGGAGCGTCCGGTTGTCGGGGTGGCGGGCGAGGTTGAGAAGGGTGCCGGCGGCCCTCCTCAGCATGTCGAGGCTGGTGCCCATGGACTCGGGGTTGTCCCTGAGGGCCGCCAGCCCGTGTTGGTTGGCGACGGTCAGGGCGGTGGTCTCGGCCTGCTCGATGAAGGCGACCAGGAGCGCGACGCAGGGCGTCTGTAAGGCAATGGTGCGCGCCACGCCGCTGTCCGCACCCGAGAGGAAGTGTAGGAGGTTCACGCCGAACTCCCGGAGCACCTGCTCCTCGCTGCGGCAGAGCAGCCTCGTCAGGACGGCGCAGAGCCGCTGCAGCCTCGAGTAGGGCGGGGTCGCCACCACGAGGTCGACGTTGCTCTCGGTGACGCACAGTTTGCAGAGGGCCTCCAGGGCGAGCCTCTGGGGCGACAGGCTGGAGTTGGGTCCGACCGTGGGGAAGGGGTCCTGGCCGTGGGCCGCGGGGCACACCGCCCAGTGCAGCAGGCCATCGAGCACCGGCCGCGAGATCTCCTCCGGGTACTGGCTCAGGTCCATGTACCCGGATACGTTGGCCGACATCACCAGAACGTTCTCCCGGATGTGGTGGAGGAAGTCCCACCACCACTCGATCTCGCCCTGCAGACTGCTGCACGAGTCGGCGAAGTCGGCAGCCTCCTCGCGGTCGTAGTTGCGCGTCTTCTGCGTCCGGATCGGGTGCTCGTGGTGCAGTAGCAGCAACTTCCCGAGGACGCTGAGGAAGGTCAGGTTGCGAGCGAACTCGGTCTCGTTGCCGGGGATGAAGGTAAGGTTGCGCAGGATCGTCGAGAGGCAGATGCACCGCCGAGCGATGCCGTCCTGGGTCTCGGTCACCAGGTAGAAGCTCGCCTCGTCCCTTGAGTAGCTCTCGTCCTCGTAGTCGCTGAGGCGCCGCCTCTTCAGCGTGCCCGCGGGGTCTCGAATCTTCAGTTTTGGTCCCTTCTTCTCCTTCTCCTTCTCCTGCTCCTGCTCCTTCTCCTTCTCCTCGTCCTCCTCCTCCTCCTCCTCCTCCTCCTCCTTGGGCCGTTCCTCCTCCTCCTCCTCCTTGGGTCCCTCCTCCTCCTCCTCCTCCTCGTCCTCCTCCTCCTCCTCCTCGAGTTCCTCCTCGGCCTTGGGCTCCTCCTCGACCTTGATCTCGGCGCTCGGCGTCTCCTTCCCGCTCGTCCGCTCCCCTTTCCGCTTGTCGGCCGCGGACTGGTCGTTCACCCCATTGTGGTTGAAGAAGAGCTCCTCCTCGTTCCTCGGAAACTCGAAGTGCTCGCCCGCGTTGTTGTTCGCCCTGGGGTCGCCGTTGCGCTCCCTCCGCGTCCCGTCGTTCTTCTTCTCAAAGAGCTCGCGCGTCAGCTCGTTCATCTCCTCCGGCGGCTCCTTCTTGATCCGGGAGAGCACGTCGCTCAGAGTCTTCGTCTTCTTCCGCTTATCGGCCTGCTTGCGCTCCCCGGCCTCCTTGTTGCACCTGCTCTCGGTCGACTCGCCGCCATAGGGTCTCCAGGTGTTGGCCTCGCCCGCCGTGGTCCCGACCTCGGACTTGACCTCGTCCTTGACGTGGACGGCGCTGGCGCCTGCGCTCTCCACCTCCTTCTGGAGGAGTGGCGGCTTCTCGTCCCGCAGGTGCCTCGCGAACGGCACCATGCACACCTCCGACTGAAAGCAGGTAACTATGTACTTGGTGGTGTGCCCGTCCACCTGCCAGAGCTCCGAGCTCTCGGCCTCGCACTCCTCGTGGTCCCACTGCCGCCGAGAGTCCAGGACGAAGAGGTCCGTGTCGCGGGGCACCACCTTCACCGGGCGGCCCCGTCTCGAGAGGAGGGTGTAGTTCGACGTGGTCAGCATCGTCGCGCGGTCCTCGACGTCTATGGGCCGCGTCACCGCTCCCAGGTCGACCTCGGGGCCCTCGGTCGGGTGGCACCAGTGGCGTTGCTGCTCCTCCGTCGTCGGCGAGTCGAACATGTCGGACAGGGAGCGCGAGAAGTGCTCCAGCAGGACGTCCAGCAGACCCGGAAGGTGCGCCAGCCCGAAGTAGCTCACCTGAAACGTTGACGGTTCCCCGTAAGCGATGCGACTCGGGAAGTGCGGCTGGAAGAATCGTCCAACTTACGGAAGAATCGTCGAACAGCAAAATGTTGAGGACGTCGAGCGCCCAACAGCTCTCCGCGAGGAGGCCCGACCTCAGGGCCATCATGATGCGCCAGGCCTCGACCGGGGCGACGTCGGAGCGGGTCAGCTTGCGCCGCTTGTGCAGGAGCGGAGTAACCGCCTCGACGCTGTCGGCGGGGAATGTCATTTCTCGTTTCGCGGTCGGCTGCGGCCCGATCATGGGATTTATTCCAAGGTGGCCCTGCGCATCGGAGGAACACGCGTTTTCATCATGCTACTCGAGCGGGACGTCTCGCCTCTCTCGTCCCTCGTTCGGATCCTAGTATGCCAAGGAAACAAACCTGATGCGTCCCGGGAGGTGGATACAGCGGCGAGGGCTGATTGGAGTAGCGATGATCCCAGGGCGACGTCGCGTGAGGAGCGGGATTTACGTTGGGCTGCGAGGAGGGCCTCGGCGGTTGCTGGTTGCCCCACTGCTGGTTACCTACGACGTTGGAAGAGGCGGACGTTACGGAAGGTACTTGAGACTGCTGGGGCTGTTGCGGCGGAGTCTGCGGCTGGGGGCTCGGGTACTGGGAGCGAATATTCCCGCTACTGCTGTTGTACTGGTTGGTGGTACTCGGCCACCCTGCTGGAAACGAGTAACGATCGAGTTGGCTTTCCTTCCCCGCGCCCTTTCGGCCCACCCGAGAAGGATCGAAAGACCGTATACTGGGATAACGACGATACCTGGATAGGTTGGCCTCTGCTGGTTATACTGAGAATATTGTTGATCTTTGGTAAAGTCGGGATGCCGCCTGGGTTGGGTAGGCCCCGATGGCGGTGGCGGCATGTTCTTATTGGCTGACGTGCTGCTGGAGAATATCTGGCTTCCTCCGGAAGTCCCGTATCCACCCTGAGCAATACGGAAGATTACATTTCAACTCCCGTTCTCGTAGAGGACTGCACCGCACCGCTCACCTGCTCCGGACGATAGTAGTCCTGCGGACAGGAGTAAGTAGACGTTGTTTGCGGTTGAGTCGGAGAGGATGGCTGACTCGTGCAGGGTTGCTGTCCACTGGGTGGGTGTGTCTGGGCCGTAGAGGTGTAACTACTGCTGCGAGCCGTAGGGGATGCTCCCGCCGAGTAGTTGGTCGGTTGCTGACCGCCGACGTACCTGCTGAAGATGTCCTGTCCCCCGGCACTACTCGATGGCATATTCCCACCCGGGTACACCCTAAAAAACGCAAAGAGAAAAGTGAACGCGTCGCGACCCTTGTTCGACGTATCGCCTCGGTTTGCGTACGACTGACGCAAGACGTGTTACCTCTCGGTATCCGGTACGTAAGACGGATAATGAGAGCGGGGTGAGTACGGCTGACTGAACTCTCCCTGTTGACTCATGGCGTTTCCTTGCGGTCGTACGTACTGATCTTGGGAGTAGTTTTGATAAGATCCTGCACCTTGATAGCTGCTCTGTTGCATTCCTGCAGGAGCGAAAGGGTAAACGAGCGTCGCTTCGCGTAAGCCACTTTTCCTTATCGATTTATGATTTATCGCTAACCCTGATGAGCCGAAAGTGCGCTACTTTGGCTAGGAGGTCTTGGCGGCGGTGGCGTGTAGTCCGAAGAGGGCCCACCTGGCGTGCCGCCTGTGTAGCTACTTTGATAGCTCCCATATCCGTCCATCGATGCTCCACTCGAGCCGGCGGGAGGAAACGAGTCTTGAGAATTCGACGAGCCTACGAATGCAACGTAGTTAGCTTTGCCAAGGTCTGGCCGGCTTAAATATAAGTCGTGCACGTCTCGCGTCAAATTTTACAACTGACCTGGAGACGGTACGGAAGCGGTTCCTTTGGAACCTTTTTTCTTCGAACCTGCCTCAACCTGATTTATAATAGGTTGTGGATCTACCCCGCCCCTGTCGAAGTGACACTCGTAAGGTAGTAGGTGCTTGGTATAATGCTTGCGTAAAGTGTACGCAGCGCTGCTACTAGCACCGATGCCGAGTAATCCAGCTATGTCCTTCCATGTCTTGTTTTTAGTTACCTGTGGAAAATCACCCATGCCATGTAACAAACCAAACGCGATTTCGTCTGGATATGAAAGATGAAAACTTACATTTCCCAACTAAACAATTTAAGCGTAAAATAACGTGTCAACTGGTTAAACGAATGTCAAACTAACTGCCCGTATGTACCACCGAAGTAGACCATAGCAGGGCAGTGTTTCAACATGCAGGTAAACGGTCGAATAAAACAATCTACACGACACAATACCATTTAAAGATGTTACCCTTAGATCGCAATGATATTAATGATTTATCTTCCTTCAATGATAGAATAATTCCATATAGCACCAGGTTTTGTAGGTCACATTTTCCAATTACGTCGATTACTTCAATGAGAAATGTGTTAGGTGTTCACAGTTCTCTCTCTCTCTCTCTCTCTCTCTCTCTGTCTCTCCCCCTCTCTCTCTCACTCTCTCTCTCTCTCTCTTTCTTTCTCTTCTTTTTTTAAGGAGAAATACAAAATATCACTTACTGCATACACAACAATGCACTAATGCAAGTAAATATGAAGACAGTACTCTTTTTAATCTTTATTTTAGTACTACGGGAATGCAAACTGAATCTCACAGGAAAAAACTTAAGAGCACCAACCTTTAAACGCAATTGATTTGCTTCGAAGATTAATTTTATAAATAAATAAGCATTTTGTGATGACAACAATATGGCGAAAGTATTAAATTTTCGAACAAGACTATGTTTTATATATTCACTTTTCAAATTGACATCCAAATCAACTGTCGCATCTTGTTTCTAGCGTGGATTCGAACTCAAAATCTTGTAACTCAATGCCGGCTAAATATTCGTTACGAAATTATTGTAATTGGGACATTTCTTTTTCGGTACTTAATGCACACCTTGTACCGATTCTGCAACACATCGTAATTATTTAAGTTTCATTTTCTTAAATCAAACTCCTGCGAGATCAGCTTGATTTTCCTTCTTCATGCCACAAAACCCTAGGCAATTGCGAAACACCTTGAGGTACGAAACTAAGTTGTTTACAAAAGAAAATTGTGAAATAAAACAAATAACAAATTAAAGAAAAAAAAAAAGATAAACAAAGCAGCAAGATACCAAGGGCTAGATGGAACTACACTGCACCTGGCATACCTCCATGAAGCCCCCTCTTTCCTTCACGTAGAGATACAGACGGAATAAGTCAAGGGGGTTCTTGGAGATGGTGGGACAACTAGTAATCGGTGTCCGTCTTTCGTCCATGAAAGCTACCAACTTGTCCAGCCAATTTCTTCGCTCCATTGAGTCGTCCATTTCGTATAATTTCGCCAAACTGTCGGGTTTCTGAAAAACATCATTTATTGAGAATACACACTGCAGTTATCGGAATCATCTAATTGCTTCGCAACCCTTTTAGCGATGAAGGAGATTACATTGGGTTAGCCACATGTATTTTTTATAATGCTTCTACTTACGGGACATGGGAAGTGAAACGTGAACTTCTAGAGTCAAAATTTGGTACGAAGCAACCATGAGGGTCACGTTCATTTCATCAGATGTGCGTTTAAGTATCGAAACGTCCGTAGGACTTCACTCCATTTATAAATAAGGAATTGAATATATCGCGTAGCATTTGTATAAGCCCAATGTGTATAGGTCTTTTTTTTTCTAATATGTGTTCGCTCACCACCTCAAAGTGAGGGCAGCATAAAACAGACACTTAAAACAAACGACTGTTAACTTTAATTGCACAGGTTGACTCGAATGAAAAGTAATATTTGTTTCCCTTGGAAAAATGATTTGTTTCAAATGGCTCATCCTATAAAAAAAAAATAAATAAATAAAAGATATGCCGGTCGTTCTAGTGTTAATGACTGTGACTGGAAAGCTCATTGAAGTTCTGCACATTTGCGATAAGCACGTTCCTGTGCATAAATGAAGCTAACAGTGGCAAAAAAAATGTTACACCTTTTGTACATATACTGGTAGATTTAAATTAGCCATGCTGTATATGTTGTTGCATTACGGGCACGTTAAAAGGAAGTTACCAAAGGGGCTGAGTAGTTAATCTGGCAAAGCAGTTAGAAATCTGACGATTGTTATACAAATTGTAAATGAGTAACACCGAAACGGGACTGCGCCAACCGGCCAATGCCAAGCCGAAGCCAAAATAGGACAAATAAATAAATGTAGGTTGTTCGTCGAATCCAAGTAACCGTTAACGCTCGAATAAAATTAGAAGACTACATCTCGGTACAGACGACGCACTTTTGCATTCGTGTGACTGTACATACACTTATACGTGCAGGTTAGCTACATGTATTAAAATCCTCTTCCTTATTAAACATTACACGGTGAGCCTTGTCATGCCATTAACGGTAGCCAAAATAATATGAAATTAGTCAGATGCACCCTGAGCGTCTACAGAAATAACATTCTCGCAGCAGCTGCAACAGATACTTATATTGGAAGACAATAACCTTAGATCTGTACGGGTCTTGAGGCACATGACTGTTAAACACCTGCAAAACATGAAAATATTGAAAAGTCCAAATAGATGTAGTGCAAGAGTCACCGACGTAGATTCGTATTTAAGGGGGTTCAGAAGGGTTACGGATTTCTCAAAAGTTCATTGGATAGTTTATTCGAGCGCCTGAAGGATGACCAGTCGGTCGGCACGATCCGCTTCCGTACGTAAACGATACATACGGCTCGCTCTCTCCCTTTCCGAACCCCCCTTAAACCTAATAACAAAAACAATCTGAACATGCCCGACAGTTATAATGCGCAAGAGATACACACAAAAGAAGTGTGATAATAAATCCGTCAAATGAAAGAAATTAAATGGCGAAATACGTACGGGACTAGCAGGCGTACGTGGCCATCCAGGACTGTTCATGTCGGGATACTCTTCGTGAGTGGAGTTGATGCTTGCTGCACCAGGCGAAGGTACCGTGCTCTGCGGGGTGGTCGGATGACTGTGATACCCACCGATTATTTCTTTACGGACTTTTGGCGTCATCACCGAATCGTCTCCGGACGCTGCAACATTAGTACATATCGTGATGTACCTTTATCGTCCAACCAATTAAATACTACACAGGTAGCAACTGAAAGACACCAACCTGCCGATGCGTTAGACAGGGTAGACTGTTGCGATCCTTCGTCCAAAGATGTACCATCTGGACCCGTTGTAATCACCGACGTAACTGTACCGCTCGACGTTGACGTTACGTTTATGGTCGACGAAGCTGAGGAGGAAAGAGAATCATAAGTTCATTCTACAAAACTGCACCACGCAACTGCACCACGCAACTGCACCACGCAACTGCACCATTAATCCAAGTACAATGACCTCGGGGAATCGAGATTTTGATTTGATACGGCAAGAGATCGATAAATTCCTCGAGACTTAAGTTAGGGGAAAGAAGTAATAAATACCAGATGCCGTGGTCGTTATGCCTCCATCGTTTGAGGTCTCAACGGCGAGATCGGCAGAACTGTGAGTGCTAGACGAGGAAACAGGTACAGGATGAGAGTTAGGAGTCGTGCTAGGTGGTGGCATGGGACTTCCTTCGTGATTGAGCGGTGGTGTTGCCGCGGGAGGATGCGGATGTGGTATCGTGGATCCCGGTAGGTTGCTAACGTGATTAGGTGACGGTGGCGGAGGCCCCATGGAACCCGTGGGCGGACCCATATTGCCGATCCCAGTTAACGCCGGAGTACCTGGTGGTACCATGCTCGAATTTCCACCAGTGTTGTACACTTGCGGAGGTCCTGGGCTCGGCGACATGCTAGGCGGCACACTGTTGAACCCCATTTTATGCTGAAATTTAATCGAAACGATTAGTCACAGCGCCGGGAGACACAACCATCGCCGAGCAAACGTCGTTTGCCCGTAAACGAACGTACGAATTCAACGTTCAATCTATTTTCTGGATCTAGGACGGCGAGGAAATCCCCGACTCCCAATAAATTCCTCGATGGCGCTTTAGCGATTGCAACAAATTTTGAAAACCTTCCACACGGCCAAAGAATCCCAAACCCTAGTGTACATTAAAATCGACAAAAACAGCCGAGTATTACCGGATAAGGAGGATACTGTGCCATGTTATTGGCTCTGCTTGGCTGATACTGATTGTTCGGCGGAGGTTGTGAATTGGTCGGCGGTGGATATCCCTGTGGGAACTGCATGTGTGGCCTCGGTGGTGGATAAGTTCCCTGGGGCGGGTAACCACTAGACTGTCCCGTGGTGACACCACCGGTTGCATATCCCATTCCACTAACCAGCGGGCCGATATTCCCGAGGGCGGTCGACCCAGGACCTGGTTGAACTACACCTGGTCCAGTGTTGTTTATTTTATATCCATGCATATGAGATGCAGGTCCCAATGGCTGTTGGTATCCTGTAAATAGACCATCTTGTTAATTTCTGCGGACGCAGGAACGATAAAACCGATCATCGGGAAACCAAATAGTTTTACCTTGCGTTGCCATTGGAGAATGGCTCATTCGTGCTGGTCCACTTCCGTCCGACTGACTACTCGATGGACGGGGTGGCATCTGAAGGTTTTGTTGACCTATAAACATACAATTTTGACATCAACTCACGTGTTCTACTGGTTATTAATTATATTCACCGTGTTACGAGTATGGATCACCGACGGAGTAATCTATTGGGTTCGTTGGTTTTATTTCCTTATAAAAGTGAAAAATCACGGCAAAGAGAAAACTACGAACCAACAGCAGGGGACATTGAGCGAGAACCCGTGGACCCTGTAGGTGAAGGGGTAGGCCTCATCCCCTGAGAGTTTGGTGTCCCTGGGCCAGCAGGTCCATTCGAACTGTCGTTGCTATTTTGACCAGACAGCTCCTGAAAATAATACATAGCGTGCAAATTAATACAATATTTTTCATGGCGTACTCACGCATTCATCATCTCGTAAACTTTAGACCGCCGCGTTGATTTAAATGCTACAGGGAAGAGTTTGAATTCAACAAGACATAAATAGACTAACGCACAATTGATTTCACCTTAAAACCGAGTCTTAAATATCTTAACGATCGTTAATGTCGAGTTGCTGATTTTGCCACCAGAACGGTTCCATCGTCCTTCCGTTATTTAACGACAAACTTAGCGGTCATCGAACGAATCGACATTCGTCGCACGGATCCGTCGTTGAATTTTAACCACCTATGTATTAGGCTCCGAATTCTTTCCTTCTAGATACTTAAGTTGCCAAAAAAAAAAAAAAAGATCAAAATACCTAATGCTCAACGATTCACCCAGCTAAAGTATAAAATTTAGCATCTATACTTTCGCGTCACGTGAAATTTGAACTTTTCGATCCTAGTCGAGGACATCTCGCCGTCCCGTCGCGATTACTCCAATTTGGTTACGAAACCTTACGATCCGAATACGTACTATTTTCCTAAGGACAAAATCCAATGGATCTCATCCGCACGTCCTGGTTCCCCCAAGTATTGGTTGCATTCCATCCAAAGACTTCGGCATCCAACGGGAAGTTCCTACCTCCGCTTCGAGGCATCTCAAAAAAACGGAGAATCTCCTCTGGGCACCCGGTCTCGAGAATCGCCACTCGAATAGCACTGATCGGAAACCCCTCGGAACTCGGTCTCGCTAGAAGCGACGCGGCGCCTCAAGGTTAGGTCGCGAGGAGTCGATAGTCGACGCACTCGCTCACTCTCGCGATCGGCCTCCGCGTAATCCGGGGGCCTCTAGGCCCTGGGGAGGTCCTCGGGGGCAGGGCGAGGGGCAGGGCGCGGGGATGGCCGCGGCCCGAGGGCAGCTCTGCCGTCGTTCGGCTCGGTGCACGCGGCCATGGCCGAGAGTCTCTCTCTCTCTCTCCCCTCGGCGGCGGCTGGCGCTCGGCCTCGCCACGCCTTCTCGCGCGTTCGCCTTCCCTCGACTCTCGACTCGCGGGCTCGCGGGCTCGCGGGCTCGCGGGCTCGCGGGCTCCAGGATCCTCGAGCTCGCGTCGGATCGGCGCTCGGGGCGAGTTGGCGCGGTCGAACCTCTGGCCGACGCGGGGAACGGGGCTGCGCTCGCGCGCGGGTCACCACACAACACCGAAATCAGCGGAACGGACGGATCACCGAGAGTGCACTCAAGCAGAAGGGAGAGCTGCCACGGCGGCCGCGACGGTCGTGGCGTTGCGCGGCTTCGATACGCGATCGCGAGACCGTCTTGCCGTTTCGGGCCGCTTCTCCGATGCGCGACACGGGGCCTCTCGCGGGCAGATCCGCTTCTCTTTGTCGTCGCGGCTAGCCGTACTCGAGAGCGCGGGCTGCGGGGCTCGCGTCCAACGGTGGTCGCGAGAGGGCGTTCTCGCTCTTTTTTTCCAACGCGCACGGAACGGAGCCCCGAGTCTCGGCCATCGACCAAGCGCGAGGTAGAGACGGCCGGGCGCAGCGAGTGGGGCGCGAGGACGCGCGACCGACTGTGGCGCCGCGCCGGCGCGCCCGGCCGGTAACTCGCGGCGAGGAGTCGAACCGATCCGATCCGATCCTTTCCTTTCCTTTCTTGCGGTTTTTCGCTTTTCTCGCTTTTCTCCGCGATAAGTTTGAAGCGTCGGGGACGAGGGCCCAATTCGACTCCTGAGACAATTTTTTATCCGAAAACGACTCCACCCGAAACCAATCTAGGTCGATTCTGACGCGTGCTATGTGACGATTCCATACCGAACTTTTTGGATAATGAGTTGGAATATCGACATTTATTTATTTATTTTTTTTTTTTCCCCAGTAAGTGTCGATGGGTTTGGAAATAATCGTATCAAGTACCACATTTCAATGATTTTGTGGAAAGTATGGAATATGTACAACCAATTTCGTTTTTGAAATAAACTAGTACCCTCCGAAATTTCTAAATGCTTCAAATGCTAGGTATGATAAAGTTGAACATAAATTCGACCATCTTCATTTGTGGTATACGAGGAAATGGTAAAAACAATCCCCGTTGGACCTAGATGAATGACTTTCCAGCGGAAGACTAAGGTGTCGCTTGTAGAATTTGATAACTGGGTTAAACGTTTCCTTTGTGTGATCGTTTCCCTTACCACTAATATTTATCATTTATTATTAGAAGAAAGATAGAACAATTATTACTTAACATAAACTCACGGATCAAATTTCGGATACGTTAATAGAGTAATCTTGAAGAAAAGATTTGAGTAGAAAAGAAATGGCAGTAACTCCCAATTACGTACATCTCGAATTTGATTGCAAATCGATTAAATTTATTCGCTATTAAAATAACATAAGTTATGAAAATATTTTGAACCGAATCTTTCGTGACCAACGTTTCAGTGAATACTTTGCAAATGTTTAAATGTTTTATGCAATACACTAAAGTAACACAGATATCAAAGAAATGTTAAATGAAATCATTTTATATAAACAAATGTAAGACAATTTTGATGTGTTCATTTCTGTTTCTATATTAGACATCTGTCATAATACGTCTAATGTAGTTCCCCAAAACACGTAAGTACTAAGTAAATGTTATCGCTTCTCTTATCTTTCATCTCAGAAAGAATAAATCCGGAATAAATGTTTGAAAAACAACTATCATAGCAATGTACATATCTCCTATTTTACCCTCATCGTATTTTTGTTAACAATATGTATTAAACGATCTCGCGGTAAATATATTTATCGCATCTGTTACAATAACTTAATTCGATTGTGCTTAACGTGAAGCCTGTATTATTAGTGACAGGAAAATTTAAGAAACACGGAAGACGATATTTTCTACAGACAAGAACTATCCAATGTTACACAACCTGTATACCACATACCCAGATTTGTTTTCATTACTTTTTATGTATTTATATGCTTGGAAATATCTCAAAAGAACACGCGATGCAAAAGTATCATTGGTATCACAATGAAATCAATATATGGCAATATCCCTTCCTTATTGTTTCTTAGAAATACATCTAAACTACATACGGTGCAATTTCATTACGTTTTAAGTGTGTATAATTTATTAATTCTACTTACCCCAGAATCAATTCCTTGGGCGTTTGGAGTTGTTGACCGCTGCTGCATATTGTGGTAAGTCTGAAAAGAAAAGGAAAACCATTCTTCAATTATTTTTTTCATGTAGTAAACGATATTAATACAATGCCGAGAGATTATATCCATCCATCATACGAAAAGAATTACATAAATGACCTATTGACTAGCCTGGATAGAAATACAGATAACACGAGACATTAATGAATTTTTTAATATAAATAAATTATGAAATTGTCATTTAATATAATACTTTAATAAGAAAACAATGTTTAAAGGAATTGCCTTACCTGTGATTGATTAGAAGGTTGCGGTTGAGGAGATGCAGACGGAGGTGGAGCAGGAGATTGGGAAAGAGCTCGCTGCGGTGATTGGCTTGCAGAATTTGCTTGATTCGTAGACGGTGGTTGTGGGTTTGCAGGGGATCCTTGGCTCCAACCTCGCTGCTCTGGGTATATACTCGATGGATGAGCAGTTTGTGGACCATAAGAGTTTAACTAAAAATTGAAAAGAATCGTGATATCGGCAAACTACATCCTAGAATTAATTTAACCCAAGGCAAAGAAAAACTATTAATTTACAAAGTCACAACCCATGTCATCAAACTCATAAATGCATATCGATAAAATCCGATAATTTCTGGATACTTACTTGATGCTGGGCATACGGCGAATGAGGTCTCGAAGGAGACGCGTAACGCTGACCGTATGGAGGATACGGGATAGGAGATGGTGAATTAGGACCCGCGGATCCAGGATGTATCCTAGGCGAACTCTGAAAGTAATAAGCGGGAAATGTCAAAAAGTAGGTAAAATACACGAACACGCGTATAAGTAGCAGGGCACGCGGTACCGCAAGGAAGGACAACTTAATCTTAACAGATCGTCCATTTATAAGCGAAAACCCTGTCGTCGAATAATCTCGCGGTATTAACGGTTTCCAATACGAGAACCCCCATCCTATTTCGTCGCATTTCAGGGCCCTGCATTACGAACCCCGAGAAAGAAGGAAAGAAACTCCCGCCGGCGCGGGTTCGGACTCACCGGCTGCGGAGGTCGCTGATTCGTCTGAGCATAAATGGGTGGCACGACGGGAGGTCGCTGCATGGGCCAAGGTTGCTGGTAAGAATCAGGCCCAATTCCTGGGTAACCGGGGTGAAACCGATGGACCGGACTCGAGGCTTGCAGCAGCTGGTTCAGCGTAGGAGTGGGACCCGTAGTCTGCGATATGCTCTGTCCCGAGAGGAACCTGGGCTGCCCCGAATAGGTCCCCAGGCTTGGACCGACGTGAGCCAAACGCGGCTCGGCCTTGCCGACGACGTAGCGGTCGTCGGCGTCGTTCTGGTGCATCTTTTCGCCGTCACCCATCGACTTGCAGTGGTAATCGGACTGCTTTCCTGTAAACTCGGCGGGCTCGATGACGCGCTCCCTACGAACCGGCTCGGACTCGCGCCCAGAGGGAAGGAATCTCGGAGGCTGGTTACCGTAGTCGTCGGCGTAGTCCCTGGCGGCGGGGCTAAAGGCGGCATGGGTCGAGTGCACCGCGTGCAGCTGGTGGGCCAGGTGGGGGCCGTGGGGGCCGTGGGGGCCGTGGGGGCCGTGGGGGCCGTGGGGGCCATGGGGGCCGTGGGCCGCGTGGGCGCCGTGGCCGGGGTGGGCCGGGTGGCCAGGGTGCGCCGGGTGGCCCGGCAGGCCAGGGTGCGCCGGATGCGCCGGGTGCGCCGGGTGCGCCGGGTGGGCCGGATGCGCCGAGTGGCCCGGGTGCCCCGGGTGTCCCGGGTGGCCCGGGTGGCCGGCGGGGGAGTCACCGGGGTCCGACGGGGCCTTGGGCTGGCCGGCGGCCGCCGGGTCCTGGGCCAGGAGAGCGTCGCGGCTCTTGTTGATCTCGCGGCCCTCGGCGTGCCCGTGTCCCGCGGCATGTCCCCCAGCATCCTCGCGGTATTGACTCATCTCAAACGCCGAATCTCCGGCGCAATTTACATACTTGGGCAGCTGGGCCGCGCCCCTGGGGGCCTTTTCCTCCAGCTCCGTATCCGGGTGGTCGTTGCTCGGGCCACTGGCACTACTAACACCGGACTGCGGCCGCTTCTGCGGGCATTTCGCGACCTCGTTCGGCTTCACATCGTTCCGCTGGCTCTCGGCTTCTGTCGCAGCCATATTCTCGAGCTCACGAGCCCATCGTCATCTCCGCGACTGCGACTGGCCAATCAAGGGCCAAAGCGCCGTCGCGGACCGCGCTCCGCGACCGCACGCACTACCACCGTACATGCACCTACCGACCGACCCAAGCGACGACTCGCCCAGACCCGGACCCTGCCACTCGCGGGCCGCTGGCCGCTACGAGCCGCTACCCGCTGCCCGCTACCCGCGAGAAGCCCCACCGACGGGCCCGCCGGACGAGAAGACGGAGGCAGAGAGAGCGCGCGCGAGAGAGAGAGCGAGAGAGCGAGAGAGCGCGAGAGAGAGAGAGAGAGCGAGAGAGGGAGAGAGAGCAAGAGAGAGAGAGATACAGAGAGAGACAGAGGGAAAGAGAGAGAGAGAAAGAGTGGGGGGAGGGGGAGAGAGAGAGACCCGCCACCGACCGACCGACCGACCGACCGACCGTGCGACCGACCGACCGACCGACCGACCGACCGACCGAGACCGGAGCGACCCGACGACGAGCGTGTCTCTCCTGCCCCTAGTCGACTCCGCTCCGAACGGTCGAGCCAGGACGAACCTACATCCTCGGGGTCACCGCGTTGCTCAGCGTTGCCTCCCGAACGCTATCACTCGCGATTCGGAGACGAACCGATTGATAAACGCACCGTGAATGTCAAAAATAGCGTCACCACTGAGGGCGCCACCTCGGCCCACGGAGGGACACCAGCGGCGCCAACGGCGCCAGAGGCGCCAGAGGCGCTGGCAGGCGCTGGAGCCGACCAGAGCTTGGGTCAGCGCGAGGGCACCCGCCCGAACGAAATCCCCGACTGCTCCGTTCCGGACGGCGCTGGACGACGCGACGCGACGCGGCGCGACGAACCGGCTGTCGACGGTTCGCGGTCCACTTCGGATCTAACCTCCTTCCGCCCGAATCTCGTGAAGACGCGACCTCACGTGCGCGGACCGTTCCGATTGGCGCGCGTTCGAGCGGAACGTGCAGTCATACGGCCGAAAGAGTACGCAGGCCTCCCTGAACTTCCTGCAGGTGGCGCCACGGAATCCGTCGCGCCGATTCTTCCCTCGGACGTCCTCTGTATGTACTATTCATGTCAACGGGTCATCGTTTTCGCTCGTTTTCACTCGTTTTCGTGTATCGTCAAGCGGTCAAGGTACCGCTATGAACAGTGATGAACAGCTATGGTTACCACGAGGTGCGAGGGAACGAAAACGTATGTAGATCCACTCGTTCGAGGTAACTCTCCGGAAAATTCATTCATGTTCAAGGTAATACAGGGGCGAACCTTCGTACTTCTGTTTAAATACATCTAATATCTATTGTTTCTGTAGGCATTGTCATTCGACAAAACAACAGAAGAATAACTCGATACTTTTACATTTTTTCTGTTTCAAGAATTAATTAAGTCTTTTGACCATGTCGTCCTGGAAGAAAGCCGCGAAGGCTGGGCAAAGGACTCATCGAGAAAGGCATCAGCCAAAGTCTCGCGAACATCTAGGCCTTCTAGAAAAGAAAAAAGACTATAGCATCCGAGCTAAAGACTGCCATGAAAAAGGAGCAGCGGTGAAATTATTGAGAAAACGAGCTCTCAATAAAAATCCAGATGAATTTTACTTTCATATGATTAATTCCAAAATTCAGAAAGGAATCCACAGAGAGAAACAAAAAAATGAAGAGCATACTCCTGAACAGATCAAGTTAATGGAAACGCAAGACTTAAAATATATTTTATTTAAGAGAAACATCGAATCTAAAAAGGTCGAGAAGATGCAAAGCGTGCTACATGCTCTCGATGCCGCAAACGAGACCAAAAATAAGCATACATTTTTCGTGGACGAAGATGGGAGCGCGAAAGACTTTAATGTAGCTAAAAAATTAGACACTCATCCTGCGCTCTTAAATAGACGGACGAACAGGCCTAAGCTTTCCAAATTAAAACATATGAAACTTTTGTCCGTCGATGAATCGATTTTGCCAAAAATTGAGCAACAAAAGCACATGGCTTATTCGGAACTGAATAAAAGAATTGTCCGAGAACGAGAGTTAACTATTATTCAACAGAAACTTGAAATGGACAAGGCATTAAAAGACACAAAAGTCCCCAAACCAAAAACAATTATTAGCGCTACAAAAGATGGACCTCCGATTTATAAGTGGAAGTATCAGAGGAAGAAGTAACATTTCTGCTATGTGTACATGTTCTTCTGTTTCCTTGAAAAATATAAATAATTTATCTACATTAAACAACAGGATTTTAACAATGTATTTCATTGGTTTCTTGACTATTGAGTATATAGCAATAACGCAAGGTTTGTTTTTATTACCAGTTTCGTGGATTTGGATTTATCGACGCTGCCAAATTCCTTCCAAAATATAATGATTAAGGCATAGCCATTGCCATGCTCGTTGTTTCGCTTTGGTTTGAATTCGATGCCTCCATTATATCTGTTTCCGTTGTATCTATTGTCGTTGCTGTCTCCGTTGGCATGGTCATCCCTTCCGTTGTAATGGCCTCCATTGAGCGATTATTGGAAACTTTCAATGATGGAAGTAACGTTGATACGATTAGACAGTTATAAATAATCTTCCAACTCTGTTTCTTAGAGAAAATATCCAACTGTACGCAAGCGGTAAGAGATCTAGAAAGTATCCAATATATTAGAGCATTGACCTTTGGTTCTATCAAACGTACCTACCTGGGGAAAGAGTTGAGTTCCAGCATGTTGACGCACAAAGAGGAGAATAAGCTACCAGGTATGGGGGAACACATTCTGAAGGGCTGATACTCTTAAAAAATTAATGAGTGTTAATTCGATGCTACATTCAACAACACTTTTAGGAAATTGATTAAAGCACGTGCTCGGACAAGTTTTGAAAATACTTATGTTGCTCAAAATGTGGGACTTACGCGTAACCGTCATCATCTTAATGATCTCGGAATCCAAGGAAACGTCCACGTTTAATCCATTATTTTGATACGCAAGATTTACGCATACTGAAATTAAAACATAAAAATTCGCAAATTGGATGTTAAGAAAGTGGAACTTGTTAAGTTATGACAAAACACTTACGATTTTTCCCAGATTTTGTCATCGACATGGTGACAAATTCGCAACAGGTGCAGAAGAAGGTTGTTGCACACGTGCAAGACCTATGGTCGTACGTGTTCGTTTTGTAGAATAATCTACGCGATGGCAAAAGGTTTGCTGGAAAAACTGGCATTTCTTTAATTAGTCTCTTTAAGGTGATATGAAAGTGTGATATATGCATAACGAAAGGTTAAAGTATTTATAGAACTTTTCTGCAAACTGGATGTACCGAATTATCTGAAACTTTAAGACGTGATTATGGAGGCTCTAGGAATAACGCGCTGCTCGTGAGATTTCTTTTTTCGAAAGAAATGTACTTATCTCGGATAAGAAGCAAAGGAAGGATATTTTTTTTACGAAAGATGAAATTTCACAGGAAGCGCGTGTTAACGTTTCAGATAATTCGGTGCACTCAGTTTAGAGGAAAGTTTTATAAATATTTAGACTTTTTGGTACGTATATCTCACCCTAACAAAACGAACCATGTAGCTTTACCTAGCGATAGTCATTTGCACATGCATCTTCTGATTCTTACCATTCGAAGATGGAACCTCCCGAGGCAACATCGTGACAGGCACGACGAGCAACAGGGCTGGGAAGACGTTCCACGTTCCTGTCATGTTCGCAAAGTCCGTTGCAACGATATCACAAAGCACTGGGTACTGATACCTGCAGCTGCATTATCGTTTCCCAAGGCACTGGTTTTAGCAGGTATTCGCGTCGCCCGAAAGCTAAAGTTTCACTGAATCGAACACCGCTCTCTCGTTGGTTGGCTGAATCCGCCGGAAGATGTAGTCGATAAAACAACAAAGGCCTTAGGAACGATTATTGCCGTTTGACCGCTCACGCCGTGCGCTCTACCTCGAGCAAAAACGAAGTTTCACCGAAAAATACGAACGTGCGTATTTAATAAAACGTGTAAGAATCTGCGTTTGTACATAGGAATGTGCATAAAACTGTGGCTTAAGGTAGAATATGTAGATATTGACACAAGGACTAACAATGGAAACGCGTCGTCGCAGCGATCGCGACTTCTCCGGGTCGCCCCTAGAGTTCGACCGAGTCCGCTCCGTCGATGTCCTTCAATAATCCAGAAGATCGTCCTCGTCGTCTTCGTCGTCGTCGTCTTCGTCGCTGTCCCCGTCGTAATCGTCGGCGTCGTCATCTCCTGGCAAAAGCTCGACCTGCCCCAATCCTCCGCCATCTTCCGGTTTGACGAGAGCAAATCCTTGAGATCCCATTCGCATGCAATCGAGCCCCACCTGGGGGCAACGAGACGTCCCGGATTATCGGGAAGGATAAGAGCTACGGCGACGCGACGGTTTACCTTGAACAGCGTGGTGCCGGAAAATTTCCCTTCCAAGTTCATGCAGAGGTGGACGTTTCTACCTTGGAAATAGACGTTATAGAATCGCACGCAGGCCCTCACCGCGGGTATCCTCGGCACGGGCACGCAGAAGGGTCTGGGGTTTTTCCCTGAAACGATCGTTCCTCCGGTATAACGCGACCGGACTCGCCTCTGCCGAGTCCCTCACCTGACACGGTCCTCGTGTAGAGGATCCTGTCGTTCATCAGCACCTTGGCCGTGAAGCTGAACTCGTCGGGGTCGTAGGTAACGTTGACGCAGGCCTTCTGATCGAACGAGGTCAGGAGTATCCTGGAGCAGCAGGAGCAGACTCCCAGAGCGCACCGGCAGGGGCTCCGCTGCGGTCCTCCGACGGCGGTCGTCGAGACGCTCGGCTGCTGCGGTGCGAGTTGGCCGGTTTCCGTCGTCCCGAGGACCGAGACGCAGAGCGCGGCGAGCACGAGGACGCCCGGCGGCTCCATCGGCTTCGCTTCGACGTCGCTCCTTTGCCGAGAGAGAGAGAGAGCTCGACTGGCCGAGTAACGGACCCGGCGACCCCCTTTCGGGCCTCCGAAGAGAAATTCAGCTCCAGCGCCGGAGACCTCGATGCGCGGAGGCGCCTAGGAAAGGACGCGCGAGTCGGGGAACGCAATAGGCATCTCGGAACTAGAGGATAGAGGAAACTAGAGGAAATCGATATTAACGCGCGAGTTACAGCTTGAGTTGGCCTATCGCGGCCTCTTCCTCCGGACTGGGAGGAGGCGTGGAGGATAAGATCGAGATCGATTCCTGATCCTGAGGCTCGAAATCGACGTCGTCGTAAACCTCGTTGCCGTCGGGTCCTGGCTTCTGAGAGCCGCCGTCTTCTCCGGGTTTGACCCAGGCGACTCCGTCCCTGCCGATCCTGAGGCAGTCGAAGTGCAGGATCAGCACCGGCGCGCGGATCACCTCGGTCTGCAGATCCAAGCAGGCGTGGACGCTGTCTTCGCTCACGTGGACGTCGTAGAACTTGAAGCACAGGCTGACGACCGGGAGATACGGCACGGGGATGCAGAGAGGCGGCGGGTTCCTGGCTGGAATCGACCGAGGCGTTAGCGGGGACCGACCTCCCGAAGGAGGGACCGAGGTCACTCACCGGAGAGAGAGGTCTCGACGACCCGTCGGTCGTCCACCGACAGCGACATTTCGATGGCAAGGTCGGAGGGGACGAACGTAAAATTCGAGCAGGCGCGTCTGTCGAAGTTGAAGGACGTCAGGTTGACGCCGGCGCAGCAGCCGCAGGACAACCCGTCGCAGTCGCACGGCAGCCCTCGGAAGGTGATTCTGCTCCCGGAGAGCTTCGTCGACTCCACTTTTCCCGTCAGCGTCTTTCCACTGTGCGGATCGTAGTAGACGGTTTTGTACGCGTCTGAAAGCAACGACGGCCATGGCATACTTTTCCCGGGAAGACTCGAGAAAACTCGAGAAAACTCGAGAAAACTCGAGAAAACTCGAGAACCGTCAAAAGCGGCAGACAGGGGAGAGACGAATTCTTACCGTTGACGTCGGCGCCGGTCGCCGTCCCCCATGGGCGAAGCGACGCGACGAGGAGGAAAGTCCCGATGAGGTCGGCGATCATGTCGAGGCAGATCCTTCTCCGGTCAGCGACCACTTGGGAATGAAATTAAGTGGGATCGAGCGGAGGCACGGACCTGGAAGACGCGGGTTCATTAATATGGATAAGCTTTCGATAGAAAGTCGAGATATCGACGGAAAGGACGATCTCGGCCTCGAGCCCCGGCCGGAAACCTACGAGCGTCGCCTCGGAGAATGATCCAACGAACGTATTTCACGCGTTAAGAGCAATAAATCTTTTAATACCCGATAAGCGTTGACAAACGGTCGCTTTTGCCTCTTGGAACAATCGTTATCGCTGCGCTTTTCATCTCCGAGGCAGGCTGCTCCTTTACGACTCCGGCTTCTTTCAAATATTTATCATCCATATGGTAGACGGGTGGACAACGACGAGTAATCAAAGTTAACGTTTATTGTACAGGTCGTATTCGCAAGTGTTTCGCTAGCGATCGTGGTAACGTGATTATGTATAAATACAATAAATTACATAAATACGCGTTGAATAAAATAAATAAATAACGTTACGCGACGATTACGGCTCGAGAATTCGTTGTTCCGATTTCACGGCCAAACCGAGGAGTCTCGTCGATTGTCTTTTAAGAAACTCTTCCTCGCCAAAATTTCCTCCAACCCGAGTCCGTAATCGGCGTCATCCACGGTCTGATTTTCGGTCGAGTCGTTCCCCTCCTTTTCACCTTTGGCTTCCTCCTTGTCGTCGTCGATAATCGCGCTCAAAACGGCGTCCTCGTCGTCGTCGTCGTCGTCGTCGTCGTCGTCGTCTCCGAGAACGTCCTCGTCCTTGGTACTTCCATCGTGATTCGCCTCTTGGTCGTTTTGGATCTTTTCGTCTTCGTCTTCGTCTTCCTCATCCTCGTCCTTGTCGTCGTCCTTGTCGTCGTCGTCGTCGTCGTCGTCGTCGTCGTCGTCTTGCAGAAGCTCGTCCTCCTCCTCGTCGTCGTCGTCCACGAGTTCCGCCTCGAGATCTACGTCGTCCTCGTCTTCGAGAACGTCGTCGTTCTGTTCAGGCTTGACGATCGGTCTCTTCGGGTCGGTCTCGACGGCGTTCGCGCTTCCGGATACCTTGTGTTTCGTTTTCTGGCCCTTCTTGACGGTAATCGCGGTTCCGTCGTCGGGCTGGACGACGTACTCCACCTTGTTGGACTCGAGCCCGCTCTGCGTGACAGGACCATCGGATTCCTCGAGAACGGTGACGGCGTCGGTGGGGGACACCCCCTCGTCCGCCTCGATCCCTTCGGAGGTGACGGATGCCGTTGCCGACTGGCCGTCGACGTCGTTCACCGGGGAGACCTCTCCGGCCGCCGGCGTCGACGGTTTCGCTATAATTGGGATGGTGACCAAGGGAATGGGGGTGGTGGTGGTGGTGGTGGCTTTTGGTTTCTTCGTCGAGGAGTCGTCCTCCCCGGTAAGAATGTCAAAGAGGGCGCCCAGTCCCAGGACGTCGTCGTCGTCGTCGTCGTCGTCGTCGTCCTCGGATTCCTCGGTCGCGGCCGAAGCACCCGGCACGGCGTTACCCTCCGGTGCGTCCTCGTCGTCGGCATCATCGGAGCCCAGGCCGAAAAGGTCGTCGTCGTCGTCGCCGTCGTCGTCGTCCTCGTCCGCCGGCGTATCGACTTCCACGACCGGCAGCGGCTCCGCGGGCCGAATCCTGACTCCGTCGGGGCCGAACCTGGAGCAAGGACGGAAGCGGTCGGCCGAAATCCAGGCGGAAAGAAAGGAGAGCGGCGGGCCTACCTGAAGCAGCCGACTCTGAGACTGGCCTCGACGTCGCTCGACGTCTGCAGTTCCAGGCCGAGACACGCCTTGAAATGGCGATCGGCCTCGCGCCGGATCGAGTAGACCCTTCCGCAAAACTTGGAGAATCCTCCGGGCAGGGGCACGCACACCGGCTTGGGACTCTTCCCTGAAAGCAGTCGACGTGTCCGCCGTTTCGAACGGTTCTCGGCCAGAAAGGAAAGAGAAAGAAGAGAGCTTACCGCTAACGACGGCACTCGTCAGCACGCTGTTGCCGAAACTCAATTGAACGGCCAAGTTGTCGCCCTGGAGATACTGCAGGGACGCGCATCCTGAAAGACCAGCGACCGTCAGTCTCCGGAGGCAGGCGGGGACGTCTCCTCCGGAGACCGACGCCCTTACCTGGTCCCTTGAGCTGCACGACGGGGATGTCAAAGTCCCGGCAGCAGTTGCAGACGTCCTCGGTGCAGGTGCAGTACCGGTTGACGCCGTCGGCCGCCTGCTTCAGAGAGAGCGTCGAGATGCCGGAGTCGGTCCGCCCTCCTCGGTCCTCCGGGCGGATTCCGGGCGGAATCGGAGCCTCGTCGATGACTCTCGCGTACGCCGCGAAGGCGATCAGCAGGAATATCAGCAGCAGCTCGAAGACCGTCGACAGCCGCATCTTGGCCACTCGTCGGCGATTTTCTGAAAACAGGCTCCGAGTCGACTCTCGAGAGGCGCTCCCGATCGACGTGCTCCCCCGGGAAGGGTCGGCGAGCGTTTGGCGTCCCCTCCCGCTCGAACGGGGCCCCGGGGCCCCGGGGCTCCTGACCGGGAATCTTATTACGAATTCGAAACGCCGCCGCCCGCGACCTCGAGGTGGATTCGCGATGGCTTCCCGTCCCGCGGGTACCGTAACCGACCGAGGAGCTCGGAATTTCGTCACCTCCGTCGGGTCGGGCGGACGGCGGAAGCGAACGGACCCTCGGGCGGCCGGTTGGCCTACTTGGTGGTCACGGTCGGTCTCCGTGGAAATGGTCACGCGCGCTTGGCACGTGGTCGGGCCGCGAACGCCACTCGCACGCTTCGGCATCCGGCGCGGCCGCGAGGTTGCCCCGACTAACCGTCCTCGGTCGCCTTTCCTCCCCTTCTGGACCGCTGATCTCGCCGTGGTCGACGCGCGACCGAAGACGTCGCCCGATTTCCCTATTTCCAGCCGAGAGAACCGGCGCTACTTTCGAGCCTTTCCTCCGTTCCGGTTGTCGAGAGGGACTCTCGGGTCCGACGAAAGAGATTCCATCGGAGACGTATTTTGGTGGTCAGGGCCGACCTTTCTCCCGCAAGTGGGCCAAAGAAAGTAGCGGCCGGGAGTGGTTTACCTTGGTTAATATTTATCCCGCGGAGGCGACTCTTCCCCCCTGAGGAAGCTCGGACGCCGGCCGAGAGGGAGAGGTCGAGTTTTTCTCCTTCCGACCGTCCACCTCGATTCGGGTACGGAGTCGGGCTCGGCTCGGCTCGGCGCGGCTCGGCTCGGCGCCGATCGGCTCGGCTCGGCTCGGCTCGGCTCGGCTCGGCTCGGCTCGGCTCGGCTCGGCTCGGCTCGGCTCGGCTCGGCTCGGCTCNCCTCTCGGAATGCCTTCCTTTTCGAGCCATCCGCTTGGACGCCTCAGAGCGCGGCGCGTCGCGGCGCGTCGCGGCTCGGCTCGGCGCCGAGCCGCGCCGAGCCGCGCCGAGCCGCGCCCGGAACTGGGTCACCCGGTCACCCAGATGAGGTTCCTTGCCCGCTGCCCCTCGATCCGACCGATCGGCGGGCGATCGGCGGGCGATCGCCGGAGCCGCGGCCCGGCCAGATTTAAGCCCGTTCTCTCCTCCGACGGACCTTCTTCCGACCGACCATGGCCGCGACCGCTCCTGGCGGTGCTTTCCTGGTGGTGCTCTCCGCGTGCGTCGTCGCCTCGTCCGGCGGAATCCTCGGTGAGCCCCGGTCGGAGGCGCCTGGCGTCCCCCCTCGCCGCCCTAATCCGCTCTTCCGTCCAGAGTCCCTCCTGGGGTGGGAGCTGCCGGAGGCCGAGGCCCGGGCCGGCGGGGCCGGCGGGGCCGGCGGGGCAGGGGCCAGCCCCGAGTGCTGGTGCCAGGCCTCCGGGTGTCTGTGCTGCGTCGACCTCAACCTCACTTCCACGATCGACCTGGGCGGCCCCGCCTGCGTCAACGTCAAGCAGAAGGAGGAGAACGTGTCCCTGAACCTGAGCTACGGCGACAACCCCATCCACAACGCCACCACGAGGCTAGGTAGGCCCTTCCGCGGCGCGACCGGACCGGAGGCGATACTAGGCCCTTTCTTTCCTCCGCAGCCGACGCCGCCGACAAGCCCACCTGCATGAACCTGCTGTCCGACCTGGCCCAGATCTGCGCCAAGTTCGTCTCCGTGAGGCGCGCCGAGGCCGGCCACGACGCCTGTCTGCGGATCGAGCCCGCCCTCCTGGGCGCGCCGCAGGCCTCCTACCCCGTGGGCTGCTTCAACTTCCACCAGGGCGTCCGCCGGATCGAGGGCCCCCCGTAAGTACCCCGAACCCCGCCGAACCCCGCCGAGGAACGCCGAGTAACGCCGAGCAACGCCCGTCCCCTCAGGCCCGCGGAGACCGCCGACGCCCCCGAGGACGAGGACGCGGCCATCGGCCCGGAGGAGCTCATCGCCGCCGTGTCGGCCAGCGCCGAGCAGGGCATCGCCCTCTTCTCCCGGTGGCTGGGTCTGGCCCTGAGCCCCGAGCCGAGCCCGCCGGCCGCCCGGGCGGCGCGCGCCATGCAGGACGCGGCCAACCGGGACGAGCGGTTCAAGCAGCTCCTCAGCGCCCAGGACAACATCCAGAAGGAGTCGGCGCGCATCGGCCACGCGGACGCCACGAGGACCACCTTCGTCTACGCGCAGCCCCCCAAGGAGGCCGCTCGTCGGCTGCCGGTCATCCCCAGGGAGTCTCGCCGGGGGGGCAGGGCCTACGACATCCACCGGCACGTCAACGAGGTCTGACCGGTCCCTTCGCTTTCCCGAGCACCGAGTAGCAGCTTCCGTTCCTTCTTTTCTATTTATTTCTATTTATTTCTATTTGTTTCTATATATTTCGCGATCCCACTTGGTCCTTTCGGTTAGTACTTTATACGCTTAGTGCTGCGCGGGACCGATTGCATGGGCTTTATAAATGTAAACCGTGTATGTCACGGGATAATAAAGAGTCCGACGTTCGCGTGCTCGCGCCGTAAATATCTACCGCTAATAGTGCACTTTTCGTCGGATAATACTAACTTCTGGCGGATTCGACGTTCGCGTATATTTGCTCGCTCGATTAGACTCTTATTTATGCTCATATCCCGGGTTCAAATATTCCTCAAACTCGTACACTTTTAGTAAACGAAGGTTGTAGTCAAATTATAAATTTGTTAAGACAGGACTGTCTACGAAGATCTCCTGGACATACGTCACATTTGTTTCTTTGTAGAAAATACGATTAAAATGAAGTACCGTTCCACGTAAATTTATAACGCACGTTATAAAATTATATTTTTCTTAACATTGTACCTTTAATCGTTTATCGGCTAGCGGAATATGGCTTCGCGCCGATGAAAATGAGCTTTTTCGAATTTTCTTTTCTCGAGTACATACCGCGCCATCGAAGGGTGACTTCGCGTAAGCCTTTAATCCTAATTGATTGCTTATACAATTCGTTATACGTCGCGAAAGAAAAATTAGGTGAAACGCATGGATACCCGTCGTAGGTACGTCATTCTCACCTCTTGTCGCGAGAAGCCAAATTACAGCCACCTCTTTGGCCCTTGGCAACGTTATTCGTATCGAATTCACGTGCACGTTTACGTGAACCGCGCCACGCAAAAAAATTCCCTTCGATCTACATCTACGAGCGAGACCCGCGGGCGCACGTAATCGTGTACACACGTGCATCGCGTGCACGCGCTTAATAATCCTATATATTTTCCTCTTTATTCATTTTTGTCTTTTTACAAAAGCTTTCGAAACGAAATATACATATGGACTAGATACTAATAACGTCTCTCTTAAAATAAACTTGTATATCGCATTCTGCTTGGTAAAATATGCGTCTCATGCGCGGTTAGTAAAAATATTTTTGGGCTTCATCTTTGGGCGATCTTTGTTAATCTACCGTTAAAAAATAACTCACTCTCGCGGTGTAATCTTTCGGTCTCAACTCGGGGTCTCTCGCGAATGTATACCCTTTGTAGATCTCGCGATGCGGCGAGTGGAGGATACGTGGCCATTTCGCCGTTATTCTATCTCGTACTTCTAACGGTGATTCGTATAAAAGTATAAATCTTGAGTTGGCTGGCTCGATCGGTTTGAAAAATACCCTCGAACGACCGACTTAAAACACCCACCCAAAATACGGTCTCGAGAAAAATATGTAGCGGCATTTGCATTCGAGATACATCCCGTACAGAGTATCGCGACATCCGAGTCGCGTCGACGTTCAACGTCGCGGAAACGATATTTATTTATTTATTTGCGCCGAGTATCGCAAAACGGCATAGCGGGTGCGTCGAGACGTAATCCCCCGGAAGGTCCTTTCACGGCATTTCGCGGCATTTCGCGTCTTGCCGACGGCGAATCGAACGGTATCATCGGACATGGAAAAATGCAAATACTCGGTTATTACCGATCTTACTACGATATCGATATTAATCGCCAATAGTTACCACGAATTTATACTTTAGGCCGTTATTTTATTACGATAAGGAAGCTTTCGTTTCGTGTATAGTCCGCTATACGTTAATAGGAAAATTCCGTATAAAACCGTCGTCCTCTGGCGTAAAGACTGCGCAAAAGGAACCGAGTGCGAAGAAAAGACTCGTCTCGGCCTTTCGACCTCCCGCATACGGTGGCTCAGCGAGCGGGGCTCGGGGCGAGCTTCCGGTAGATCGTGAGAAAGAGGCCGAATTCCCCGCAAGGTAATCCGCATCCTCGAGACCTACCGGAAGCGACCGCCTCACTCCCCGGACTGCCCGAGGGCCGAGGGGGCCGAGGGCAAGGCCAGTGATTCCCGTTTCCTCCTGGGCACTCGGCGGCCGATGTGAAGAATCACGTCCCCGGCCTTCACCGCCTTGAATTCCGCGATGGCCTCGGCGTGGGTCATGCCGTGCAGGGGCTTCGAGTTGACCGACAGAATCTCGTCCCCTGTGGAAACGCAAAAACGGGCGGATAGTTCGGACGGAACGGCGACCCGTCGGGGATTCCTCCTCACCTTCCTTGACGCTGCCCAGGTCGGCGGCCTGTCCGTTCGGGAAGACCGTCTTGACGTAGATCCCCATGTTCCCGCGCGGACTGTCGATGCCGCCGACGATGCTGAACCCGAGCCCCTTGTGGCCGGGTCCCTTGGAGAAGCGAGCGGTCAGGATCGAGAAGGAGGCTCCGCTCCTTCCCGGCCTGGGAAGCGTGCAGAAGCGGGACTCCTCCTCGGCGCCCTCGTCGATGTCCTCGAGCTCGGAGTCGGAGTCGAGGCCCTCGTCGGCGTCCTGCAAACCGGCCGAGGATAACGGCGAGATCGCGACCCGGAACGGGCGACGCGAGAGAAGAGGGACACTCACGTGCCAAGCCCTAGGTCCGGTCCTCGACCCGGCCCCCGACGAACTCGGGAGGTTGGCGACGCTTCGGCTGGCGACCCTTCTCGCCGCCCTCCTCTCGGCCCCCAGGCTGGCGGGCCCCTCCTCGAGGGCGCTCGGGACCGCGGCCGGCGTCACCCGACCGCCGACCTTGAACTCGGCGCTCCTCTTCCTGGGCGCGACCCTGGGAATGTGGATGCTCTCGAAGCCGGGATCGCCGTTCCTCCGGAAGCGACCGCCCCTCGTCTCGGGCACGCCGCTCTCGGCCAAGGTCTCCAGGTTCCCGTGGAAGGGGTACGGCGGCAGGGACGTCGGCTCGCCAAAGTCCTGGCTGGCCGACGTCGTCAGAGGACTCGGGACGTAGAAGCTGGAGGCGTTGTCCTTCGGCGGGAAGACCTCCGCCACGCTGAGGGCCTTGCGCTTGCGGATCCCGGCGTTGAACTTGCCGAACTTGCTCCGCAGGACGTTCTGGATCTCGGAGATGCCCTTGCCGGCGCCTGAAAAGGGTCCCCGCTCTTAAGGATCGACGCGGTCGGCGAGGCGCGACTCGTTTCTACCTACCCGGCAACCTCAAGGAACCGGTCTGCAGGAGCTTCCTCGAGGAGGGCTCCTCCTGCAGGGACTTAGCCGCCGGGGATGCCTCCCTGCTGGCCGGGGTGGACCGAGTCGAGCCGATCGCGCCCCGGGAGGTCCCTCCCTGAATCAGGGCCTCCCGCGGCTCCGTCGCCTCCTGGATGGAGCATCTTCGGCGCAGCTTCCTCCAGCGCTGGCTGATGCTCTTGTTCCACAGGTTGAGATCTGCAAGGAGAGGTCGTGTCGATCGTTTCACGGAAACGGAGGCGCTCGGGGAGCGAGCGGAGAACAAAGGGCGTCGGCGCCGGGAAGAACGCTCGCCCCTCTCCTCGGCCGGAGGCAACCTCCTTTCTCGCGCGGCCGCGGTCGAGCGCGTTTACGTAAGGCGGGTACGGGCTCGGCGGGAGCCCGGGGACTCCGCGGGAACGCGCTTCCCGTTACCGCCGCGCTTTCGGAAGCGAACGTCCCCACGCCGTACCGTTACGCACTCCGTTGGCCACGCACCGCCCGCGTAATCAAACGGCGCGACCGAATTCGGCAATTTTTCCAAATACTTCTTTAACCCGGGACGCGCGACGGATAAGGGATCCTCCGAGCCCGACTCGGCTTCGCGCTTATCCGCGGCCCCGTTCCCCTGGCTCGGGAAGGCCGCGCGGCCGCGCGGCCGGCGATAAGGCGAGGCTCCCCTTCGTCTTTGGGATCCGCGTATCGCCGCGTATCGCCGCGTATCGCCGCGTAGCGCCGCGTATCCTCGAGAAGAGAGAGAGAGAGAGGAACGGTTACGACGATATGACTCACGCGGACGTTTCGCTTAATTGGGGGCAACGGTCGAAGCGACGGTCGCCGAAGGACCTCTGCCGGGTGACGGCACTCTCTCACCTTTGGCCTCGCACACGTCGCACAGGACCATTTTCCTCCGGGCGTAGTCAACGGGTCGGCCGGGACGACCCGTCCGCCCCGAGCCCCGTCCGCGGAACGCTCGCGAGCATCGGCCCTCGGAACGCTGACGGGTCGACGGCTACGTTTGCACTGGTCGGGCTCGGGAGGGGACGCGTCTCGGACGCGTCTCGGACGCGTCTCTGGCGCGCGCGCGGGTCGGTGGGGGCAACCGGCGGCCCGGCGGCCCGGCGGCCCGGATCGATATCGGGGCGTAGACCCGAGGGCAAGGGCCGCGACCGCGGAAATCACCGGCAATTCGGACGAGCGGGACCACCGCACCGGAGCGGTATTACCGTGGGTCGCGCGACCCGCCCGATGACACGGAATCGCCGGGGAAAAGGACAGAGGCCTCGCCGACCTTTCCGTTGGTCCTCGTTGTCCGAGTGCAGCTCGACGTCGTGGAGTCTCATGGACTGGACGATGCCCCTCCAGGGACCGCGGCGCTTCTCGCGGCCGAGATCGGCGGCCAGGTTCTCCAGCTGCCGGTCGGACTCCCTGAGCAGGCCCTCCAGGATGTCCGGCCGGTCCAGGGGGGCCTCCCTAGGCCTGGACGGCCTCCTGGCGCGTGCCGGGGGTCGGGGAACTCGGCTCGAAGGGTCGTCCCTGGCGATTCCCTTCGGAGTTCCCTCCGGCTCCTTCGCCCTCCCCTCGTCGTCGGCCGGCCGGAGGACGCGCCGGATCCGAGCCGAGGACGGCGAGGACCTCCTCGGCCGCTCCGGGTCCTTGCCGGCGCTCGCCAGAATCGTCTCCGCGATCTGTCCGATGCTCCTCAGCCGGGGGGGTTCCACTCTGACGCCCGTGGTCCGCAGGATGACCTTTTCCATCGACTCGATGTCCCTCTCGCGGTTCAGGCGCCTCTCCTCGATCGAGCGGGCGCGGTCGGCGTCGATCGGTCCTCTCGTCGCGATCCTCGGATGAGCCGTCGGGGGAAAGGCGGGCCGGCTGCTCCGAAGGGCGGACATCCTGACCAGCTTCGGCGCGTCCACGGGATCGTCCGTCTGCAGGATTCCTCTGTACACCATCGCCGACTCGGGGCCCGACGGCGATCAGTCTCTCCGAACCTCCCTCTCGGGCCGCCGAGACCGGAACTCTCCCTCTCTCGCTCCTCGGCGACGGTCTCGAAGAGGCGGATGCCGAAGGCCACCCGGGCCCCGGTCGGGAGGTGGTGCGTCGCCTCGAGCCGCGTCCTGAGAAGCACTGAACGAGAAGGCCCGTCGGCTCTTCCTTTCCTTTCCATTCCGTCCGCGGAACCCCTCTCGCTCGGCCGCGCTCCCACGTCGGGGTCGCCCTGGCCGAATTTCCCTCCTCCCCACAGGGGACGGGGCACTTGGCGGCTGGCGCGCAAACGCAAATCGGCCGATTATCGGTGGGCTGGAACGATCGAAATCGATGGGGGCGATTCCGAAGCAGGGCGAGGCCGTCCACTCGACGGAGAGGGAGAGAACCTCGCGGAGCGTAACGACCGATGCTCTTTGGTATTCTCCGGGTATTGTCGTCGGCAGTGGCGCAACCGTGGCCGGGTGCCGACCATTGTCGTCCCTCCGGTCCGAAGAAGGAAAGGAAACCGTTTCGCCACGCCTCGAGTCGTCTCCCGTCGATAAGAGAAGAAGAGAAGAAGAGAGAATTTTCCGAAACGTTCGGGCCCGACGCTCGGATGTCCGCGTCGTCGCCGGCTACGCGGTCATTTTTTTAACGACACAAAGGTCGCTTCCGCTCGACGGAGGGCGGAAACAACGCGCGTGCTTCTCCGGCTTCTCCGTATCCGGCGACGTCGACGGTTACCCTACCCGAGGCACGTAGAAACGAAACGGTTCCGGCAAGGCGAGAACGGAAAATGTCTCGTTCCTCCTGCCCTCGAGGAGATGCCTTTCGTTTTGGTTCGCTGACGAGTGCCCCGCCGGGTATTTTTCGAAATGACGTTCGCCGTTTCCCACTCTCCGTGGAAGGACAGGAAGGTTGCGCACCGTGCATATTTAATGCAGGAGCGATTCCTAATCACGGAGTAGGTGGAACTTACCGCGAATACGTGGGAGTCCACGTGGGCGGATTCCTCTAAAGATCGTCGATCGGTCGTTGTGTCCTTATCGAAATCTTTCGCTCTTTCGCCGAACGTTTAAAGGCATTTATGCCTCGATGACGGCAAACCGTCGTAATGGCGATAACCTGCGCGGTGGCCTCGACGAGGAAATTCCTTGAGAATGTGCTTCGATTTGCGCGATCACTTGAAAATGGCCGTGTTGCGCGGTACCCCGGGTGCGCGTAAAAGTAAAAAATACAAAAGGCGCTCGTCCGCGAACGAGTGGGAGCAAAGTTACCAAGCATCGGCCGATGAATTTTTGATGAATCCTTCGGCCCTACGGCGGGCGGGTTTCTTTGCCTTTTGCATTATCGAGTAGCGTTCGGATACAAATCTAACACTCGATATTTGGCCGTAGTCATCGTATTCCCGTGACAGGCCTGATTCGACGGATATCCCGAAAAAGTAAGCACGAACGGTGAAACGATTTTCCTGTATTTACGATGACAATTTATAGTCATAATGCAGGTACAGAAAGGAAAACGCTTCGAATGAACCCAAAGGCGCGAAAAGTACCCATCCAAGGTAAACGTCTTGAAATGGCACTTGCGATAGGAAATGCGGAGCTATCGTCCCTTTCATTTATAGTAGAGCTTAATTGGCTGAACGCGGTTCAACTTTGGTGGCGTGAGGAGGCTCAACCGTTTTTGTCCGCTTTTAAGTTTGCCGTCGGGCTCCGTTTCTTTCCTTTGTTTCGGAGAGCGGTTCTTCGCAGCCTTTTGCTTAAAAATAAAATACAAGTTTTCGACGATCAATACGACAGCCGACAGGACCATGCCACCTACGACAATGGCCAAAATGGGCGCGATGCCCCATACGGTGACCGTTCCGTGTCTCACTTCGGGGACCGGAGTTAGAAGATATCTTCTCTTCAGCCGAATTATCACGCCGTTGTCGAAGTACCTAAGAAGACTGAAACGGGAAAACGCATACCTTGAAAAACTGACGCCCTCGCGGTTCCCGGGCTGGGAACTCGTTCCACGACGCTTTCCGAGGAAAGCAATTCGGACCGCGCTTACATGAAATTGAACAGTCTGGTGTACTGACTGTGCTTGGTCAATGCCATCGCCATCCTGTCGAGTCTCCCCGTTTCAACGGTCACTAGTTGACACGGCAATGGAGTCCGTAACGCGTTCCTCGTGTCCTCGTTTAAATAAAGCGCTACCCTTTGTTTACAGACCTGAAGAAGTGATTTTTAAAGAGCGCAAATCGTACGTATATACCCAAAAGGTTACCTGCAGGCAAGCATTCAGCGTCGTTTTCGGCAATTCCTCTTCCCTTTTCATCAAACCCATCATTTTCGAGTACACGGGATCCTTCGAATCCTGCGAAGCGGAAACGTTTGCAAGGAAAAGACGGACGTACTCGGCCTCGAACGACCTACCTTGAACATATCGTAGTAGGAGCTGCTTCGAAAGACTATGAGCTTGTAAGAGCCGTCGTTGACGTACCCGTCGAGAGTCGAAAACGGCAAACTGGGCGCAGACACCGCTAGAAAACTAATCAGAGAGGCGGAATACGCGGCCGACACTATCAGGGCCGAGACGAAGGTCGAAAAGTAAGCCAACCTCAGCGAGGTGTCCAGGGGATATTCTGCGCAAACGTTAATTCAGAGTTGGGGACGGACCGGTCCTACCGGACCGACCGGACCGACCGGACCGACCGACCGACACTCACCGGACAATCCTTGCTGACAAAAGATGCCCCACACGTTAAGGTAATTGTCGCTGACTCGACTCGACGAGGCGCAACACCGCTTGCATCGCTTTATCGAGGTGACGATTGCCGGCGTGGCGACGATCAAGCCCACTATGGTTGCCCATATCCCTCGGCTGAACGTCTGAGAAATGCTCGTCGTCAGGTAGGTCGATCCCCAGTCCTACGAGCGACATGGACAAACCTTAAAGTAGCCCGACCACTGGACCCCGGAGCCGTCGGGCTTCCGCAGATACAGCAGATTCCTCGACGTCATCAGGGGCAGGGTAAAGTCGACGACTTCCATCCTGTCGGCCGACATGGTCAATTCGGCGGCACCGAGGTCGGCGTTGCCCGAATGAATCTGCCCGATGGTGCCCGACCAGCTCCTGTTGCGGGCGATCGGACTGCCGTAGTCCAGCTCCCTTTTCACCACGTTTATCTTGAACTTCAAGGTCTCGCTGAGCTGCTCCAAGATGCTTCCGCCCAGCCCGAGAATCCTGCCGTCCCGTATCTGGACGAAGCCCGAGTCCTGGGCGAGGATCGAACGACGCGGTTAAGGGGGCCTCGAAGAATCCCGGGCTACGGTATTCTCGATATCTCGATAGCGGAACGACTACCATCGTGACGACTCGCAGGGTCTTCCCGTCGAGGTTGTTCCTCCTCAGGTAGAGAGTGAGGCTCGTGGTCGCGACGAGGCGACCGTTCTCCCAGTTGGCCAAATGAAATCTCGATATCCGGTTTCTGCGCACGACGTACCACTCGTGCACTTCCGGGTCGTCGGCGCATTTAACCAGAGAATGCGTGTCGAACCGGAAGCGAAACGAATTGTCCACGGGGTCGCGACAGTAGGCCAGAGAGGCGTTGCCGCTGTCCCTGGAGAAGAGCACCAGCCAGTGGGGGATGCGCATCGGAAAGGTCGCCGCGAAGTCGACGAAGCCGTCGAGGTCTCCGCTCGTCCGGAGCAGAACGGCGAACAGCGGCCGGGAGAGGTGCCGCTCGTAGAAGGCCTCGATGTCCACGGAGTGGGCGACGTTCAGCGGCCGCGCCGCCATTCCCCGCCGGTTCAGGTCGCGCAGCGCCGCGTGCAGCCCCGTCGACGGCCCCAGCTCTGAAGCCAACGGGACACGCGGGTCAACGCGAGGGCGAGGCCCGACGACGACCTACCCACCGTCGGGGCCGGACCCGTGGACCAGGAACACGCAGGGCGCGGCAAAGTGGCGAGCGGCGCTCGAGATGATCGGGACGTAGTCCTCCGAGCCCGAGGAGGACCCGAGCAGGAGCACCGCGAGCAGGAGTCGCGCCGCCATCGCCGATCGTCCTCGCTCGTCCTCGCTCGTCGGGGACACACCCGGCGATTCGGATTTATCCGACCCGTAGATCTGGGAGTACGCCGACAAGCGGGGGACGTTTGTCCGGTACATTATGCATTACGCGGGGACACGCTACGTCATCTACAAATTACCCGGACCGATGCGGACCGACGATACGAGCGTCCAACGGCTTTAACGATCAAGAGGCGTTTCTCCCCTGACGCCCCGAGGGTTACTCGTGCTCCGTTGGTGGAAATCGTTCCATAGAAAACGGTACAAAACTCCACAAGAGTAGCGAACCTTTCCAACTTCCGGTGCTTTCCCGCGCCCGAATTAAACAACCCCGGCAGGATATTATTGCCGATTTCCTCTGCCTATGCAAAATCTCGCTCGATCGCGTTCGCTACGTTACGAGTTTAACTGTCCATCGATCTACGTAACGGAACCAGAGATCGATGATTTCGGTCGACTACCTGGACGAAAACTTACTTTTATCGTAACATCGATACCGCGGTTATTTCAGCCTCCTTCGATTCCGCCTCGTTAAGCAGTCCGACCGTCATCATTTGTGCGGCAGTTGACGCTTAAAAATGCGAGTAAGCGAAAAACGTATCGACCGTTTCTCTGACTCATCGGACATCAACAGGATATCAACGTGCACGGTCAGGTGGACTCCTGTCAAAAGTGGCATCTCATTCAATATGGCTACGGCAAGATGGCGCGCACAAGATGGATTCTCCAGCGCGGGGCCTTGCCATGTTTGAATTCGGAAACTCGCTTACAGGCTGGAATACAAGTATTAATAGTAATTAATCCTCTGCCGATAAGGATATTCGTATTTGTTATAACGGTATATTCCTTTACGTTACCGGATGGAATAAAGTTTTGTTTATGAGCGAAAACGATGATCCTATAGTTTATACCTGTTTACCCTAAGGGAAAGTCACGTCAACCGACCGCGGGGAGGGAGAGAGAGTGCGCGCGCAATCGTTACCAATCGTTACTCCGCGTTACTCATCGACTGCGTGACAAGCCAAACGAGTGGAGAGGTTCGTTACGACGCTTCTGGTAGACTCTGGTAGTTTCTCTTGCATATAAATTGCGAGCTAGCCCGTATTCGACGTTATTTCCAATTGTTTAGTCGCGGCCGGGAGAGCTACGGGATTCGTTGTCGGTCGCTGAATAGTTACGTCAACCGAGCGTTTCGATTCATTCCTTCAAAGATAGAGTCGCAGGGCTCAACAATGGACTCCGTCGTCAAATTTAAAGCATACTTGATTCAATATGACGATGACGATGCTTCGAAATACGAAGTACGCAAATTTAACGTTGACGGAGCCGTCACGACGAGTTATGAATATATCTGTGGAAGACTACGGGTCGTTTTTCCTGTACTGCGTCAGAAAGATTTCACTGTAACTTGGCATGGTAAGTGGTTCTTTTTTTCACTCATTTCTTCGGCTGGATTTGGATGGATGCGATTGGAAGTTTAATTTGTATTTAAACGAGTTTCAACCGATATCTATGTAAATTGTGCATTGTAATCGTTTGATGGGTCGTTTTCAAAAATTTCCTGCAAATATCTTTGTTAAAAGAAATTTAAATGTAAGAGAAATCCAAAGAGGGTAGCAAAATACTTTGATATGTGAACGGTGTATCCGATCGACGTAATCGAGCATCTGTCAAATTCATTCGTCTCTTTTCTATATGACTTCGATGGGGTATGATATTTCAGATTCGGAAGATGATGAAATTGTGATTTCAAGCGATGAGGAACTACAAATTGCATTTTTTGAAATGACTTCGGCGGAATGTTATAAGTTCTATATACGTGTACAATCTGACTCTCCTAAGACGACGATACAGACAACGGACACAGGACCGGCGATTCTGCACGTTGGAATTGAATGCAACGGCTGTGATGGAAATGTAAAAGGCTTTCGTTACAAATGTCTTGAATGCAAGGACTTTGACTTGTGCCAGGACTGTGAAAGTAAAGGGCAACACGCGGAGCATTGTATGATTCGTTTAAACACTCCCTTAACATGGAAACCGCATTATCAAAAAAAGCTGTCTCGTCAGTTCCAAAAATTTGTTAGAAATGGCGAACGACCCAGCCATGAAGAAAATCAAAAGGATTGTCCATTTAAGGCCAACAAACGTTACCCTACAACTTGCCCTTACTTTGGTCCTCAAAACTCGTGGCTAGAAACCTTCACAACGTTCCTAAATGATTGGTCTAATTTGCCAACGGACGGTGAATGCCCTATGAAAGAGAAACCCGAAAAAACTGAACAACCCGCAGCCGGTGAACTTAATAAATCCCCAGAAAAAAGAAAGGACTTGGATATTGGAGCAGAATTCATACAAAATATTGAGACCCATATTGCACAATTATTGAGTCCATTAGGAATCAATGTGGATCTTCAAATCAAAAGCGATGACACCAAGCCTGGTCCTTCGACTTCTACCACTGCAACGCCTCAAAACTCTCAAACAAAACCAGATGCTTCGCAGATTTCTAGCAAAAATAAGCAGGCAGGGAATGATACAAAATTGGAAACGTCTATAAATGGCAATGTTCCTTCACCTGCACTTAAGATACCATCAACTAGTGGGACAGAAACGCTTGCTGAAAAGACAAACGTGGACGGGGATTGGACATTGTTAAATACTAGCGAAAGTTCTTCAAAGTCTGAAACTAACGTCAGACCTGATCAAAATTTGGTAAGAATTTCCTTCGATTCAATTGAACTTACTTTGAAGAATACAATTATAATACATTTTGATGAATTGTCACATACTTACATTCCCTTTTGTCAATTTATCAACCATAGGAGGGTGCTCCATCAGCCCCGATAGAAGAATCACAGGCATCCCAGATGAAGGAAAACCTCTACCCAGTCTTGAATAAGGATCATGTTGTTTTTCACTCGGATCCTAAAATACAACAAGGAATTGCAACATTGACTCAAATGGGATTTTCTGATGGTATTTTGCTTACACAACTTCTGGTTTCTAGAAAAGGAGATATTTCCAAAGTTCTGGATGATATTCTTCAAACAAAGCGTTAAACCTTAATGACAGTACCATGATAAATTATAGTTAATATAACGATTAGGCGGTAGGGTATCAAGACATGCAAATTCATGTTGCACTTTCAAATCCAAAGTTGGGTAACGTTCGCTTAAGTCTATTATTCACGGATATGATGTAATAGACGCTTTGTCACTATAACTTTATTTTAGATCATAACCAGTTTGTTTTCAATTTTTGGGTAGCGATTAGTAGGAAATGCTGACAGATAAATCTATAGTTTGATCAGCTTAATTGGAGATTGGACTTGATATACATATTCTCTGTTGCTGTATTTGACACTTGCTTCCTTGTCAGTGCCTATTATGTTAGCACGTCTATCATCTAATGTTTGTTTCGGAAATTGGTCGTATATTGTATCAATAAAGTACTTGCAAAAACTTTATTATGGATTGTTTAATCTGTATATAAGCCAATGTCACACCTTAGAGTTAAAGTAAAAGTAAGATGCGCAAATGATGGGCATGAACAAGCTGAAGTACAAAATGGATTGATCGATTCAACCGAGTTGACAATGTATGTTTGTTTCCTGTTATGATATACAAGAAATAGGGATTGTACTTCTATGAAAAGAACATTATATTTACACTAACCAAAAAAGGTGGGCGTTTCTGTAAGTTGCTACAAATATTGCCCTTTCATAATGGGATACAGTACTGCATAAGTGTGTAGGGATTTCCCACTGATTTTAATTGCAATTCCTTCTCTCCTGTGCTAGTTATGTCTCGAATCCATTTACGATTTTTATAATACTCGATGACTGCACTGAATTCATCATTTGTATAATTTTCTACACTCACTGGTAAAAATGGGTCCAGATGCTCAAAGCCATCTTTACCCAATAAAAATCGTGGAAGATGTGATTCAACACGCGGCTGTTACAAAGAAAAATTATATCAGCAAATACATTGATCTAATGTTCATTCCGATAAAATCAAGATATTTTTGCCAATCCAACATTCTAATTGAAAGTTTCTTAAAACGGACATAAAAATATTTAAAGGCTAGTAAAACTTTTTCTACACGTGTCAAAAAGCATTCTGTACTTGCAATAAATATGTAAAATATTTTGTATACATACATCACTGGCTAATTTATCAAGTGTCAATACCACTGCTCCGTTACACCAATCATACTTGACTGCATTCTTAAAAGCTTCCGTTAAAGATATTTTACTGGGTGGAATGGTTTTATGATTGACAATAATCTTGGTTTTGTCATAGTAAAAGGCATTAAAACCATCTATTGCAATCAGCGTGCTACACTTTCCTGCAGTGCTGGCTGCTTTGACCTCATCAATTAATGCAGTTACAACTTGGCATGCATATTTCACACGATTTATGCCAAAATTAACGAGTTCAAGGATCGATGTTCCAGCCATCATTGATTCTCTTTGATTCCAAACATATTCTTTTGAAATTTTTAACTGGATAACAAATGTATTAAAAAACAGTAACATAGCAGTGAATTGCAAAACATAACTTAGAATTTCTAGAAATACATAAAATTACTTACATCAAGTGTCGATAAAAGATGATCATTCTGATTTTTAAAGTGCAACAGCCAAGCAGCCGCATGCAGTGGTAAATCAAAAATTCCTTCTGTCGTGCTTGGCGCTATTTCCTTGGGATATCGAAACCAATATGATACTGATAAAAAAACGACAACACTTTACAATTTATAATTAAAATATAAATATTAACAAATTTTATAAATAATTTATATACATACCCCATGGTATATGAATAATAATTTGATTATTCATATATCCATAATGAATTATGTGTGCAAGAATTAACGATTTACCCACACCAGGTTTGCCATCTAACTAGTGGTTAAGAATTAAACCGGTACAAAATGGCTGTATACCATATAAAAATATAAACCCGAATCTACTAATACGTTTCAAATAAAAATATCTGCATATTCTTTATAGTCGTCAAAGGATACATAGCACATACCTATTTACAGATTTTGAATAATCGGCTTGTCGCAGATACGATAAGATCTCAACAGTTGGTTGCCTGATCAAAATGCAAGTTTCTGCGAAAGTCTTTACTTGATTTTGGAACTCTTTAGGAAAACCTCCATAATGAAACAACTTATTCTGTATCTGATCAGGTACGGTGTAAAATTTACTTAAGTGATCGGTTGAGTGATTAATAGGATTATTTTCGGTCGTTCGAAACGTTTGAATTGCCTCCTCCGGCAGTTGCACGGCTTCGGCTACTGTGCCAAATTTTTTAAAACTCGACGTTGACATCCATCGCAGAAACGACTCTGCAGTAGATAATATGAAGAAAGAAAACGGAAAATCGATTCAATAGAATATACTGTCTCGTCAATCATTGGCAGGTTAAGAGGCAGTGTTGAATACATACTTGAAAAACAGGACATTCTGTCCGGACGTGATCTTTCGCTTCCTATATTTAAATAGCTTTGAATATGACAATATGGACCGCAAATTATATTGTTAAAACTTTCTCATATTGATTGGACCGAATGTATACGATTATATACGCGCAAAGTTAACCTATTCACAATGGTTACGTAAATATGACACAGATGAGTTGGGAGATTGCTCACGGGCAGGGTTACGCGACCGCAGTCTGTGCTGCCCCCTGATGGTTGGTGCGGGCGGCTAACTAATGCTGTACATGAAGAGATGAGTTGGGAGATTGCTCACGGGCAGGGTCGCGCGATCGCATCCTGTACTGTCACTTCATCTCTGAATTGGACGTCGCGTCTCGGATTGCATAGGATTCGTATGTCCACGTCTGTCAGCCAGATGTAATCCGTAGTCGCTACGCTGCTTTTGAAAAGCTTAAAGTATAATTAATTATTTCTTTAAGTAAATAGTGCGTAATTATATTTTCCTAAATGACAGAATTCGATGAATTAGTAGCAGCTTTAAATCCGCTGCATAGAAATGTCACAGAATTTCCAATTGGTGCCGTTTCCCTCGAAGATTTCAAACCGATCGACGAGAAGATCGAAGATGAGCGAGAGTCGCTCAAAAGAATTAATAGCAGGTCACTTATGCTTCGCGTAAAAAAAGATACTTGTAAGTTTCTACATCTAATTCTTTAAGTGGTAATGACAAATTCTTTGAGTTTGACCGTGGTATAATAAATTATTATAGATTTTTTTCCGGATACTTCCAAGCTTCGAATAGGAGAGACTGTGGATATGTTACATGAAAATATAGTTGAAGCACTTATTAACAAATGTGCAATTAACTTATGTTTACATAGCGAAGCCATTCATAATATTTACCTGGACAAAGATAAGTACGGAGAATATAAAAGGTCTGAATTTAGATTTAGTTCCTGATTTTATGATGGTATAAAATACCACTGGTATATCGCTAAAAATTTTCTTTTTTCTCTTTAACTTTTTATATGAACTACGCTCTTTCCGTGTTACAGATGCATAGAACCCTTAATGAATAAATTATTCCTTCTTAATGACGCAAGTATTGCTCTACAGAATTCTATAAAAGAAGTTAGCGAGAGGCGAATATTGCTCAAGAAGGAATGTCAAGATGATATTTTTCAGTATCATAATTTCTTAAAGGAAGAACAGAACTCAAGAAATAATAAATTTAAAGAAACTAATCCTGAATTGGCGGAGTAAGATTTTTTGAGCTTTAGTTACGATGTTATAAATACAGTATTAACATGTGATATCGATATGATTTGAGTATAATGTAGAATTTACATTCTTATGTTTTAAAGTTCAGAAATACCTCATTGAAACAAGGCTTAATCACTTTACATGATTTACATGATTTACTGTGTTTCAGGAGAAAGAAGAAGATTGAAAACAAATTGATAAAAATAAATATTATGAAAAGACTGATTACAAATCTAATTTCTGGTTCAGGCAATATGATTACAAAGAAATCGTTATTAGAAATGTTACACAAGCACAGAAACTTAGTTACTGCTGATACTATTTTTGAAACTTTTTGATACACATCGGGAACTATCTATCAGCATATGCAATCATTAAAAAGTCATTGTAGTAGAAATATTAATTACCTATTATTTCTTTGTTCATCGCTTTTACGTGCCTGGTTTCTTAACACTAGAATTACCAAGCCTAGTCAAAATGACTGGTTTCAAATGGCCCACCGCAGCCAAAAAAATCCGCAGGTAGTTCTAGTGTTAATAAATCGACCAATCGTTCATATTTTAGTACATGTAAAGAATAAAGACATCTTCGAGTCTCCTTTATCCAAACTAAATTGACGTGCCAGCAAAAGAGGTAACAAGAAATTCTTGCTACTGTACGGGGAAAGTATGTGTACTTCGATACGTCGATACAAACTGGAAACACAATGACAAATGGCTGCAACGCGATCTGATGTATGTTCATAAATAAATTTCCTTCTTTTTTCAATAAATACGCCAAAATATCAAATACCATTTCATTTAATTAAATAATATGGAGTTTGGATCTTCATTGTCCAACTGTTTGACGTGTCTTAAAACATCTTTCTTTGTGATTACGCCCAGAAGACGCCTAAAACGAAAACGAAAACGATAACGCTTTGAAGATACTCGTTACTGAGAACTGAAAGTATCTTGGACCCGTTTAACTTACCCATTATGTGTTACAAGTGTCTGCCTTAAACCAAGCTTCCTAAACATGTCAACGACAGTCTCCATTGGAGTTTGGTCTGTAATTGTAATTGGAGCCATGTCAAGAATTTTTTTTAGTTTCAAAGGTGGATGGTCATGAATCGGAACGTTGTTCCCACTAGTAAAAATAACAAGTGAGCGCCCTGTAATCCCTTCGATCATCCGTTTTGCGCTTGCTATGGCCAGGGTAAGATCTCGTCGCAGAACGAATCCGACTAAATACTGGGAATCCTTAGAAACTATAACTGGAAAACCATTGTGTTCGGTTTCCTTTAACAACGTTTCAACATCCTCAACCGTCATGGAATCTTGAGTAAGGACGTGAAGAACCTCATTTCGCCTAGAATTAAAGAGAGAAACAACGTACCGAATACGAATGCAAGCCACGCGTTCTCGTGCACACCTTAGTCTATAGAAATCTATATAAATCTATAGAAATCTATAGAAATACAGGAAATACAAGAGATCTATTAAACTCGGGCTTACTTGGGCTGCATCACATCAGCGGCCAAGGTTGTATGTTGAAATTCGTCCTTACTGTCCAAGAAGGGGTATCCGTTCAAGCCAATGTGCGCGTCGTAAATGCCTTGCTTGCCAAGAGCATCTCCGACCCATTTGCTCGCCATGGCAGCTGCCATCAGTGGAACGATATATCTGACACCACCGGTCAATTCGAACATGATCACGACCAAGGATACGGTCATTCTGGTCACGCCACCGAGTACAGCTGCAGCTCCGACCATAGCGTACAATCCAGGCGTAATGCAATCCACCCCGGTAGAGCATTCTTCGCTAAACATCCAAATATGTGGATAATTATAGGCGAGTTGTTCCATTCCTATGCCAACTATTCGACCCATGATAGCCCCTAGGCAAAGAGACGGTATGAACAAACCACATGGGACTTTCATGCCAAAAGTAAATATCGTCATGACGAGCTTCATAATTAAAGCTAACACAAGAAGCCACACAGCTCGATAAACTCCGGGGCCAGCTGCAGCAATTTCGATCGCCGATTTCACGCCAGTAAAATTCCGGTTATAGTCACTGTAAAAACAGATGAATAAATTCGCTTGGAGAAAAATCTACAATTACCAGTATATAAAATACGTCGTCAAGGTTAATTCACCATAAAATATCAGCATTGGATACTCCACACTGGCTGAATAATAAATATATGAGTTGACTCGTACTCATTCTTGTATAAGGATTCGGATAAGCAATTACTGCAGTAATAATAGTTACGGCCAAAACTTCTGTAACGGGGTAGTGACCAAGTTTTGACGTCTTACGATACCGACACCAATAAAGGTTTGCTTTGATAAATATAGTTGCTATTATTCCCTGCAATTAATTAGGAATTATATCATATAGTTATAAGTATATATATAAGTAGATTTTTAAAGATTTTAACTTGACACAACTGACGACGAAAGCATTATTTAGAAAGGATTTTTTTTATGCCAAGATACTTACTCCGATAATTCCAAGCATGACAAATGGTATTAACTCGAAAAATATCCAAGGCTTATTGTATTGAACGTAGAAGAGCACCGAGTGTTCGTTCCCAAATGGATTTATCGACCTCAGAATGAAGGCAGCCACTAAAGCGCAAAAGAATGAGCGCCATAATGTCTTCAGAGGAAAATAATAGCTGACCTATACGTACCAGAAATGGCGTACAATTTACTGGTCAAACGATATCTCTTTTGAATTAAAAAAAAAATAGGAGGTATAATTTTACCTCTTCTAAACTAAATAAAACACCTCCAATTGGTGCTCCGAATGCCACAGATACTCCTGCCGCTGCTGCAGCCGATAAGATTTCTCTTTTTTTAGCTTCATTTCGTCCATACTTTGGAAATAAATATGAAAATATATTTCCTATGCAGCAGGCAATATGAACCATCGGCCCTTCCTTCCCTAAGCTCAAACCAGCAGATACGGAGAGAATTAAACCGACTGACTTGATTATCAAAGTCCATTTTCCCAGGTACCCCCGAATAATGAAACCGCTTAAAATAGTTTTAATCTAAAAACAATTATTCATAATTAATTAATTCAATTTCACATGAACGCAGCTTCTTTATAGTTGATTAAATTTATTCGTACGTACCTCAGGTATTCCAGATCCGCACGCATATGGTGCAAACATTCTAACTAAGGATGCAGACAATGATGCAAATAAGAGGGCCCAAGCAGTGTAAAAAATATATGAAATAATGTACGGCCCTGCACCTTCTTTCGATTGATTTAATACTTCGGGCCAGGACCACCACTGAAATGGTCATGTAATAATTCACTAATGGTCAATGTAATACCAAAATTACATTTGTACTTGTAACCACTTGCCATGAAAGCTGGACTGAATACAAATACATACTTGCGAGCAATTCCCACCATCAAATGTTGTTTCATTTGAACTCCAGCAGCACTGCTCCTTATTTAGCCAAAAAGCTTCTGGACAGATCCCAAATTTTAAATCGGTCATCCAAGAAGCACCAATATCGATGATACCTGCAGCTACTCCAGTAAACAAGCCAACAAACAGAACACACAACCATCCCGACCAAGCATCGTGGGCACCTTTTATTAAATCCCAAATTGAATCATGCTTCTTTTTCACGATATAACGATGACGCATGCGATCTCTAGCAATATCTCGTTGCCAGTCTATTGTATGGAAGTCGTCATATTGGCCAATACCTGGGATATCATCTGAATCAGCTGAAACTGAAAGAATAGCCATTGTCACGAAATGTTTAAATGTATTATGTAAATGGCTTAAAAAATTTATGATTATTAGATAGTTTACAATGCGACGAGCTGTCATCGTATCGAGTACTTCGATCCAGAAAAGTATTATTTGTTGTATGGTGAAGAGTTGCATCCTGATTAGCGTCCAACATTTCTTAGTTAATTTCCCCTCTGATGGTTTTTCACACGGAATGCCTTTCTATTTATCGATATACATCTATCTTATGAATCCCTGTATTATCTCAAATCTGTAAAATAAATAGTTATTGCAGTAGAGCCATTTTTGGTAAATGTGCAATTCTACTAAGCCACTTAAATCCCACCGTGTCACATGACATGGATAGTCATGTCCTTTTTTGCAATATTTCGACCGTCGCTATAATTAAAAATAGGAACGTATCGCAACATTTTACACATAATCAATAAAAAAAATACATACACAGTATACTTATAAATGTAAGGAAACACGTATCCTACTTCTTAGGTTATAATATGTGTACACACCTGCGATTAAAATTCGTTTAGAAAATGCGATAATGTCTTAAATGTCACGTTGTAGATGGTTAGCAAAATTAATGTAAATTCGTCTTTCCAAAATGCAACGAATAAACTGACAACATGTAATCCCGGCAGTTTCGTAATGCCATTCAATGCCATTTAAAAACGTCAAATTTGAACAAATTATTACAACTTACAGTGATCCACGCGGAATCCCGAGAAACGCAAGCATCGACCAGACGTAGATATGATGGTAATGTCACGTGAATCAATCTATAAGTCAGCGTATAACTCAAATCAGTTTTTCCAGATTCATATGATAATACATGTATAAGAATTAATGATAAAAACAAATTCACTTAATCTACGCAAAGCAGCGATGGAGGGAGAACGGGATGTATCTGAGAGCAGCAGAGTGTATGATGCATGCATAAGTACGCATGCATCTACGCTGTGCGCATGTCGCGCATGCGTGCACCCATGTCTCGGCTTCGGGTACAATTCTCAACTCGGTAGGCTATGTCAGGAAGAATCAGGAACGACGAGAGGAGCCAGGGCTCAAGGGGCACAGCCAGAGATGAGTTGGGAGATTGCTCACGGGCAGGGTCGCGCGATCGCATTCTGTGCTGCCCTCTGGTTTCGTATGTTTGCTTTCATCCACGGCAACTGGTAGATGGCACAGCCATCGTGAGTGCGCGAGCCCCTACCAGAAATTCGTTGTGCCGCCCTTGGGCGCAAATAACGGTGAAGGCTAACGTACGAAACTAGAGGGCAGCACACGATGCGATCGCGTGACCCTGCCCGTGAGCAATCTCCCAACTCATCTCTGCTATGGAACTGTTGCGACGCGAACGCCTACGTTACTGCTCGTTGAGTTTAGCAATGGGTCGCACCTCTAAATGCTTTGGCTACCCTGAAGGTGGCAGCACCTTCAGTTCTTCTTCTTCTACTTCTCTGTCTCTGTCTCTCTCTTTCTCTCTCTTACTCTCTGTCTCTCTGCCAATAGCGAGAAAATCCGAGGCATGGGCACTCTCCGTTACTCTTATAATTCATTCTACATTTTCATACATTTTCATACATTTTGTTGCATTTTGTGTAAAGCAGTGAAGAGAAGTGGGGAGTGTCTGTGGTTATACGCAAAGTGGACGTTAATCGTAACTTTTTTTATCACTTTTATCGACAGTTATGGATCCTGCAATCTTTCCCGAAGAAATTTGGATAAAAATTTTATTATACTGCGATGTACCTGACATTATTGCTTTTGGAAGTACATGTAAATACCTCAGAAAAACGTCGGACATCGACTACCTGTGGTGAGTTTAGGTTATGTTACTGTCAGACTTGCTCAAAAAGTTAAAGTATTTTTGTATCTAATTAACGTTCACTGTTGTACACCGTAAGGTATGTTAATGAACACTATACGGCACCGGTTCTTTCTCATACCTTCCCATTTCGCAAAGTTTTATGCGATTATTTTGCCTTTGCTTGTCGGCTGCGAGTTCTAAGTTGAATCGAAAGTAATGGTATTTGGTACTTTTTTCTTGTAGGAAAATGAAGTGGTTACAGTTAATCTCCAAAGTGCAATTTAGATTCCCAGATGTAAAATGTCTTCAATTATTGAGCGTGAGTTTTAAAGCCATGTGTTATCGATTACATATGGTAATTGCATTGGGAGAAAGTGCACCCTTTCCAAAATGTTACCACTGCAGCGAATATACCTGTCAAAGAAATTGCGTAGAAGGTTCGAGTGCAAAGGTCGGTATCGAGATCGGTAACAGGTGCACTTGGGTCAGTACTCCGCAACATGGAGTGAGAAGACACTTTTCTTTGTTTGGTATCCCAAAATACAACAATAAAAGGCATACCGAACAAGTGCAAATGCAGAATATTCCGACTAGCAGTGCACACTCAAAGATCGACGGTAAATCCATTGCAAGGAAATTGAATTTATTGAAAGTGCGTGAATTGTCAGCTGTCAAAGTTCCGAAACCGAGTGGACCATTTTGCATTTTTTGCAACTCAGTTAAGTTGTACCGGGAAAAAAGGCGATTGATTATGCATCGAAACGATCCTTCTTTCTACACCCTTTCCAATACAACCTATCAGAAGTTAGTTAATGGGTATTGCACGGACATAGTCGAAATATTTGGAATTCCAAATGTGGATGTCGTCAATCCTGCAGAAGCATTATCGAGCGATGGAACCTTCTATGTATTAAAAACATTTGTAGACCACTTATTTCATCAAATGGGATTAACGGCAACGTTAAGGAAGCCTAACGCCGTTCTCATGTTCTGTGAACCACTGACCATGCATCCCATACTTAGAAAACAATTGTTACATTATTTATTTCAGGAAGTTAAAGTAGCCAGGTACGTGTCCGAGTAGCTCGCGCATTTATATCTAGAGCAGGTCCGGAACAAATATGTCCGCCTTTTGAGGGCAATGGGTTAACAAATTCATGCATGTATTCAAACTTGGCAAAATATTTTCAGGGTGTGTTTGGTACCGAAACCTTTAGCAGCATGTGCGATGCTAGACATAGAAACCTGCGTGATCGTAGACAGTGGAGCACTCAGTACTACGGTAGCTGTTGTCATTGGAGGGAGAGTCGTACCTCATCGATGGAAAGTGCTTCCCGTCGGAGGGTGGCACGTAGCTTATCATTTGAAGCAAGCGATGCATTGGCACCCAAAAGAGTATCATCGAATTCCAATAACCTATTTGGATACGATAGGTGTTAAAGAACGATGCAGACTTAGTTATAATATACAGAATGAAGAATTGAAACGAGGACCAACCAAAAGAGAACATATAGATTTATGGGTTGACAGTTATGCTGACTATAAGCGTATATTGAATGTACGTACATCGGGCATTTCTAAAGATTACGTAAATTGTACACAAAATCCATCAAAGAACGAAATATTGAGTCGAGTAAATCGATAAATACTTCTTTACAGACAATATCCTTGGGTTCGGAATTGTATATGGCTCCTGAGATGATGTACATTAGTCTGGGTCTTCCTCAAGTAATACAAGAAGTGACGTTAGGACTCTCGGAAGAGCTGATCCACGATTGCCTTTCGCATGTATTGGTTACGGGTGGTAATACCGATCTATCGGGTTTCGAATTAAGACTGACAAAGGATTTGAAAGAGCTGTTACCTGAGCACAGTGGAATTCTCGAAGTTAAGAGTTGTCCCGGTCCTCATAGCTGGCATGTCGCGGTGGGATCTACGTATGTGCCTTTAGCTGTGCATCCTGGTGAGTTAATAACATAACCAAGTGGAAATTTGTAAATTCCATACATACTACCGCTTATTTGCCATTTAGATAAAACGCCACCCGAGTACGTCGAAGGTAACCCATTCTGGCTATCACGAGAAGAATATGTCCTCTTTGGCTGCGAGTCCCTTGAACAGTAACGGTATAACCGATTAACTAACTATTTAGGTAACCAGTAGATAGTCATTCGCAGTGGCAGTATCTAGCTTAATACGTAAACTGTGAACCGGTACATATGTAAAGCATAATATCAGAAGTGACGATGTTACCGCCGTTAAGTATATTTTATTCTATATTGTCTATAAACTTCTCCGAGTAACACGCACATATTAAAAAGTTGATACACGCCATTCATGTGGAATCGGAACCTTGGTAACATGTTTTCTTATTTATTTTTCATATGTATGCAAATGTACGAGTGTTTTTCCGTTTCTAAATATCTTTCATTTCATCATTTTCGAAGAGGTAGTAAATTAATCTCTGAATCCAGCCCATTGACAGAATAATTTATACATTTAAACGGTGTAACCGAACGATCGTCGTTTAGTTGCTTACACTCGTTATACTCGAGCTTCATTTTATCGCGATTGGTGGATTACGTGGGCAGAAGTCTAAATACTGTAAAAAGACAATTTCTAGAATTAGGAGGACTTTCGTACTCGAACTCAAACGCGAAAGATCGAAATGTGTTAGAGGAGGATGCCTAGCATCTCCGATGTTAAGTCGTTCGATGTTAACGGTAGCTCCTGCAATACACTGTGAATGGATAAGAAACGTCTACTGTATCACAGGGAACGTCCAGTCTGTCAGTTTCGTCGTTTATCGATATGGGTCTATTATAAGTTGCAACTTCTGAACATTTTTTTCGCTTAATCACGGATGATCCGTAAAGTGAGCACAGAGCCTTGTAAATAAATCATCGCAGCAACCTTCTAAGTGCTTAAATTAGCAACGTAATACATTTACACAAGGATTCTATAAGATGTTTTCAGTTCAGTTCGTTGAAAAAAAAAAAAAAGAAAAAAAGGTACTCACTAAGAGTACAGACTTTAGGATTTCCAAGCATTGTTCGCTGTTTCGTAAATTTATATCCCACAAATTTACCACAAATATGTATTTATGAACGTATTTATAAGAAAATCCTTCTAGTCACGTATCAATTGTCGACAAATTGGTAAGGCAGTATTCTTCCAAATTACTAATAATTGTAAATCGGTAGATTAATAGCTCGACGAAGTAAAAGCATAGTCGTTGTAACTTCGATTAACTGTTAAGCTTAACGGTAAGAGCAATCCAGGATGTTTAATGTTTATTTGTTATCAATATAGTGAAGGATATTTTGCTACTCGGCAGATTTTCATCGGATAATTAGAATCCATCGGTATTAGCTCAATTAGCTTAAAACGTGTGATATATACGGTTATAATTCGTAATTGGAAAGTAATTAAGTAATTAAATTACATCATAACGTTAATTTGCAATGTACGTGCACTGTATCAATATTGTATTTTTTTTCTTCAGGTACTCTAAAAAACAACCCCTCAAAGGTTGACATGTGACCAGTTAAAATCATCTTTGCATTGTAAATTTCGTATCAAATCAGTGTTGGAAAATGCGGTTACAGTTACTATTATTCGAAATCGCAGAGGATATAATTGTCATCCCCTTTCTAAGCTTCGACGACTGCATGACTATTATTTGAATAGCGCATCGCGCATTATTTCAATCTCATGATATCTTACAGAATTGCATTCTCGTGTACTGCACCGAATAACATCTTGGGTTACCCCCTTTTGTAAATAAGAATCGTCATTTAGTTGTTAAGTAATTTATTTCCAAGATACATCAAACTACAATTACAGATATATTTGCATATGCATACACAAACACTGCATACATATGTATGAATTGTTTTCTATTTATGAGGTTGTATATTTTGTGAATAAATCTTTTTCAAACATTACACTCCTCGTATCGTTAGCATTTATTATATACATACACATAAGTGTTCCTTCTAGTCTTTATACAAAAGCAGATAACGATAGACTCGCTCTTGTCATCTGTATTTTATAAGTGTTTGCAAGGGAGAAAGAAAAAAAAAAAAAAGATGAATTCGAATGATTGGGAATTCAATGAATACACGTAGTGCAGTAACGTTAACAGAATCCGTGTCAAATGTTTACTACAATTTAGACCGTAGCTCGAGCAACGTGTCGATTAACTTCGGTCATTATGGTATGTACTCGCGATACGGTTTAGATGAAATGATATTGCACTCTACGATTCGTTAAATTCTACCGAAAAAGGTTTTTCACGAAATTGTCATTGTATAAAAGTTGTTGCCGACCACCACATTATTCTAATACGGGTTTATGCGGTATTATAAAGAAATTACATAAATATATACGAGCAAATAATTGACACAATATCAAGAGCTGCTTTTGGCATTGCGCGGTCTGCGCTTAGAAATGTTAATCTTTTAGTCACGCCTAAGTAAAGGATATGGCCTTAAAACCCTCTTACTTCATTTTATTAACAGTCATTTAATTAACGGTGAGCTGATCATACCTTACTAGAGAAAGTTAACGAGTATAGATATTTTCACGTTATTTTTAAATCTTCCTTTTTAAGAAATATAGAAAACATTTCTAACCTAATCTATGTTCCTTTAATAATAATTTTATTTAACACGTCATTTGTACAAACTATATACAAAAAAAATCCTCATCTAGGTCTATACACGATTTTCGATGATGACGATTAGTATCTCACTATTGCATTAAGAATGTGGTAAAAACTGGTGTAATGCAACCTACGTGGATGCTTGGAGCTGATATTGCAAATTTCACATTTTCCAGTGATACTTGCATCCTGCAACGTTATAAGTAAATGTAGTAAAAATCATTTCATGAACGATTCGTAATGAATTAATGCAAGAACCATGCTTTTTCTGGAGCAGTGAACATGTTTTACCACACTCATAATGCATTTTGTTATTTTCGGCAAGTAAGAGTAATTTTAAATTGACTTAGCAACAAGAAGCTTTTGCGGGCTCTGCTTCGACTAGATTGAAATCTAAATCTCCAGCTCGTCCAAATCCAGTTTTTATGCCATCCCAACCATCCTCGATCTTATATTCTCCAGTCTGTATTCTATTATATACTTCCTGTGTAACCGCTTTAAATGCCTCCTCGACATTTACACCAATTTTCGCGCTAGTTTCGACATGATGCACGCCATTTTGGTTAGCGAATGCTCTCGCTTCTTCCTTGGAGACTTCTCTTTTGCCACCATTTGTTGCCAAGTCTAATTTGCAGCCAACCAGGGCAAATACAGGCCGGTGTGGTTCAATGTGTCTCCGCGCTTCCATCATCCATTGAGGGATGTGCTCGAAACTTGCTCTATTACATACGTCATACACGAGCAGGGCTCCGACCGAGTTTCTGTAGTAAGATTTTGTAATCGATCTGCAATTAATTAGAAAGGAAATCTCTAAATCGTTTTTATACGAACGATGCGTTGCATTTAAACATGGCATTGAAAATTATAACCGAAAATCTGTTAGCATATGCGTATTAAATCCGAGCTATTAAATTTTACATACCTAAACCTTTCCTGCCCTGCCGTGTCCCACAGCTGTAATTTAATTCTAGTACCATCTTTAACTTCGATGAGCCGAGCAAAAAAATCCACTCCAACCGTTGGATCCGACAGCTACAATAAAATGGAGAATATTTAGACGCGGTAAGTGCTATGTTTTCAAGGGAGATAATTGAAACCAACGTCGAACGACGATAAACATTCGAATCCTCGTTAATCCGTCTAATATCGACGATTACTTTGCACGAATGCTACGTAAGGCACGCGCTAAGTGCATAGTTTATGTTTAGAAATAAAGAGCTATATTTTTTATGTAAGCGTCTCCTCGATATCGTGCTTCGAAAGATTACAACGGAGGATAAAATTAGCATTTAAAATAACACGTAATCTCTCCTAACGTGGGCGTTAGGGGAACTGGCGGTTGTTGGTTACATTTTCCTCACAAAATATATAAATAAGCAAGACTCGAAGACCTCGAGGACGTTAGCTTGGCAACGTAAGGAGGTACGTACCTCCGCGAATTTGCCGTCGGTAAAGTATTTGAGGAGTGAGCTCTTTCCCACGGTGCTGTCGCCGATTAAGATCAGACGGAATTGATAATCAAAAATAGGCTCGACCATTTTGTCAGGCTTCTTTGGAGGGCGTTCGAGCGAAGGCCACGCGAGGCTTCAAAGTGTCAGCATCATTCGGCCCGTGTTTCCCGAGGGCAGAGGACTCTCAGCTGACCATGACATGTCAATCGTTGCTCCGCGTCGACCACCGACGAGCTTCCCGTGTCGTTTCCTCCCAGAGCTAGTTTTTCGTTTTCACTGGTTCCCAACTTCCCACGATCGGTGTTGATCGGTATTTCCAGATGTCTCCGGACACGGCGAACAACGGCGAGCGGGTTTAGAGAGCGGAGTTGCGCGCGTCACGCTACGCAGTTACGGTCAGTTTTACGGTCAGTTACGATCAGTTACGATCGGCCGGCCCCGTCACTTGCCGTCACTTGCCGTCACTTTCCTCCACTTTCCCCTTTTATTTCGGTTACCGCTGCTCCGTATCTCCTTTGCGTTTCGAGCCTGCAAACCCCCGAAAAGTCTAGCGATTGTCGAAAACTGCTGTGTTTATTTTAAGAAGTTCAAGCGAGGGACGCCGCCAGTATTTCGTTTCAAATATGGCGCCGATGTCACCTAGGTCGAAACGGTCGAAACGCATTTGAACAGACGTGGGAAATTTCGATGTGGCCGAACGCGTTACCTCGGGGCACCGTATGGGGGCAGCATAGGACACTGACCGCCGGCTAACCACCGTTTCAGTTATCTTTCGATTATGAATCGCTCCGCGTGTCGACCGGTCCGTACTCTTCGGTACCGCTTTCCCCGCTTTCCTCCTGTTTCTTGCGTGTTCTTGCGTTCACGTGCGTTCACGTGCGTTTTGTGTCGGGAAGCCGGGAACGTGCGGTATTTTCTACAGCCTTATACTTTTGGAAGTGACGTTGGGAGGAATGAGGATGAAAAGTTTAGCAAGGTGTTGCTTTGCTCCATCGTTCCCCCGTTTATGCAGGGACCAAAGGTATGAAGCACTACTTAATAAATATTACACGACAAGGGCCAAAGAAGCAACAGAGCGGAAAATTCACCCATATAAAAATGTTCATCCTTGGAAATCAGTGGATCAATTTTCCAATGAACTTGTGTGCGATGTAATTTATAATAAAGGTGAAATATCTTCGATCATAAACTTTTACTGGAATTGCATTATTACTTATTATATACTAAATGTTAGAGAAATGATTGTAAGTTTATATCTACAATAAATTAGCCTCGTGTAGCCAAGTTTTATTTTCTTTAAAAAATACTACGGAATGATACATATCGTGATCTTGCAGATGGACTGATCGCGATAAATAAACCATATGGGATTTCTGGTAAAAACAACACGAATATAAATGGAAATGGGGCAGACAAAAAAATTATTCCACATATTCCAAATGCCGTTGATTACACGTTATCCGATGCTATCCCCTATATTGCGAAAACATTAGGCTACCAGTCGCTCAAGTTAATTAAGTCATTGGAAAGGTAATTTGAGCGTGGATGTCATTGTTTAATATTGCGTCGAATCGATTCGTGTCATTATCGTAAAATATAATGACAAATATTTACAATTCTGCAATTATTGAATGCATATTCTATTTTGTAAAATAGGTATACTGCTGGGATAATTCTTTTAGCAGAGAGCGAAAAGGTAGAAAATGCTGTAATTAAATCCTTTAATCGTGCTCAAGGGTTTGGTATAATACCAAAGACCTACTGGGTTGTTACGACGAAATTGCCAAGAGAAGTCAAGGGAATATATCGTTTAGGATTGACGTTACAACAGAGTCCATGTAGAACGTTCAAACAGGTTTGGACATTACTTATAGAATATCGTTCGAATTAGTTTGGATCCATGTATTCGGTTTGCTTGGTTTCTTAGGAAATCTAGTTGATAATTAATATGGTGTAATTGAAATAAGAAGCTAAGCAAACAATTATTTCTCCTTTGGATTTATTTGTGTTTGATTTTATCAGGGATATACTTAATATTCAAAGTGTCTTATAATTTCACAGGCTGTATTTGAACCTGTCATAGGAAAAAACAGAGAAAAAAGAGGAGAAGTGAACATTTTCAAGGCCGACTTTAAATTGATTTCCAATTCAACTTTAAACTTGTGTTCTTTAATTGAAATTAAAGCTTCTCCTGCGAAATGGCACAGTGTAAGACTGTTTTCCTCGACTATTTTGTACAGTCCAATATTGGGTGATCAAATCTATGGATCACGAGTTCAAAATGTCATGGGAACTTGGGTAAACATTGGTCCATTTAATGAAGTTGCACAGAGACCCCCAGTTTTATCACGAGATTTATTACATCTTTTAGAATTGACACCTAAAATGACACCCATTGTTCCCGCTCACGTACATTTAAGACGCATAGAATTACCTTGGTTTTATGGCAAAGGAAAGGATTTAATACTTGAAGCCCGTTTAAGGCCAGAATTTTTATGGACATGTAAAAAATTACAATTTAAACATGTAGAAGAAATTGAGAAAGAATTTCCAGAAGAATCTATAATAACATGTTAAATACGTTATATAAATTATTGCTAATAAATGGAATAAAAAAATCGGCGACCTGTTTATATTTCAAGCATTTTCTATATATTTACACTAAATTTTTTGGCTGTTTAGTGACTAAGCACGTGTCTGCCTTTCAAAATTCTTCTCATGAGAATCTTTCTTCCATTAGGTGTTGACATCCTTTTAAGCCATCCATGTACTTTGATTCTTTTGGTTTCCGATGGTCGTGGGAAATGACGTCTCACAATCGTTCTCACAAATGTTAAGTTCCCACATGCACTTGGAGCAAGTATCGGAGAAGCTCCCGATTTGCTACAAATTTGTTTCAGTGGTGCCAGCACTGTTGGGCCCCTGTAAAAGAATTAACTCTTAAGGAAACGACACGATTTAAAAGTATTACGGTTCGATACATGCATCTCGTGCGGCAGAAATGTATAGTCAACAATTGAAATAAGGTGCAAATATAATATGCCCGAGAAAAGAGTACAAAGCACGATATTTAAAACTACATACGAAATTGCTCGAAACGTTTTCAAAAGAATACCGGTAATCATCTTGTTACTTAGTCGTAGCGATGAGTCTTTGGAAAAGGTTAGAATATAGATAACCCACAGTGCCTCGAAACTTGGGCAGTGCAGGTCTGGGGTGATGGGGACAGAGATGAGTTGACAGATTGATTGCTCATGGTTAGGGTCGCGCGATCGCATCCTGTGCTGCCCTCTGATTTTGTACGTCAGCTTTCACCGTTTTTTGCCCCCAAGGGCGACGCAACGAATTTCTGGTAAACTCGCGTACTGACGACGGCGGTGCCATCTACCTGTCGTCGTTGGCGGCTTACGTACTCGTGATGGTAATACCATGCAGCTGTTGACGGTGGTGGCTTACCTACACTTACCGACACTGCTTGATTTTTTTTCGCGAACTAGCTGTGAAGTTGAATTTAATTAAGATAAAATTTTTCACCTTCCCGTAATTTAAATAAGGTAAGTGAAGGGTAAAGTCAAAGAGGGCGTCACGAGTGTTCTTCCCTTACCATCAAAAGTGATCAAAAGCGAACAGTGTCTCTGGATAGAGAGGTATCCTCTCTCCAACTGATCGTTCCGTTTCGTAAAACAGCAGCGCCATTCCACCAGGTGAATGGTATTCACTTACTTCGAAACGTCGTCTCGTGTTTTCTTATCCAGCTTGACTACTTCTCGGAAGTATAGTCGCGAGTATTTGATCGAGCCTAATTAATCGATAGGAAACAACAGGAAACTAGGAATCACTTGGGAATTACGAGGTTCGATAGAACCTTGGGGAAGAGTTTCCTTTAATTCAAAGAAGTGCTGAAGTCAATTTATTCGTTGAAGTAATTTCAAAATAAAAATTGTAATGGTTGCTGGACGTGCATTACATTTTGTATTCAAAATCGGTGACCGAAAATTGACGGCCAAGTTTTATCGCGAAGTTCTTGGAATGAAGGTACGCATTCATGTTCGATCACTTCCTGTAGCGATTTGTACACGTATCAATGATTCTTTTATGCCCCGTAGGTATTAAGGCACGAGGAGTTCGCAGATGGTTGTGAAGCAGCTTGCAATGGGTTAGTTAAATAATTCTCTTGTAAGGAATATCATTATAAATTATTTTTGCATATAGAATTTTAGAATGAAAAATTACCTGACAAAGCAGTGACAGCTGTCAAATTATACTAAAGAATGCTACAATTATTTCTTATTACGATACGTATATTTGGTTTGTTAAAGTGAACGATATATGTATAAGTAGTTGACTATAAATAAGAATTTAAAAAGTTTATTCTGATTAATGTCATATGATTCATAAATAGTCCATATCGGAACCGTTGGAGCAAGACTATGATTGGTTATGGCCCAGAAGATACACATTTTGTTATCGAGTTAACGTACAATTATGGCATCAGCTCGTATGTACCTGGAAATGATTTTCGTGGTATTACTATCCGTTCGAAAGAGGTACTCGAGAGAGCTCGCTCTGGTGGCTGTTCCGTTAACAAAGAAAATGGAAAGTATGCCTTAGAAGCACCGGGTGGTTATAAATATTACATTATCGATGAACCTCAGCCAAAGGATAAAGGTATGCAAGGCATGAACTTTTTATGTATTTTACATTTTACAAAACATTGCTTTCGTATTATTAAACAATTACGTTATTCTTTGGGCAGATCCCGTGGAAAAGATAACACTCTCTAGCTCTAATTTACAACGTAGTATCGCATATTGGAAAGACACATTAGGAATGAAGGTATACAGTGAACAAAATAAATCGGTGCTTCTTGGTTATGGTGATAATCAAGTAAAACTCGAATTGGAAGACATAGGTACATTCCTTTTATTCTAATTGTAATGTAATATATCGGCATAACTTCAATAACAGATTGGATAAATTTCAATTAATCGTTGTATTTCTATGAAACTTTTTTTACATCAAAGAGACACGCAGTCAGACTTATATTTAAAGTTAATGTTTATTATCTTTATGATTTACGTTCTACAGGCACTGAAGTGAAACACGAAACAGCTTATGGGCGAATAGCCTTTGCAGTTCCATTTTCAGAACAACCTCTGATTCAAAAACAAATCAAAGAAAGTGGAAATGAAATTTTGACAGATTTAATATCTCTTGACACTCCTGGAAAAGCAACCGTGCGAGTTATCATTCTTACCGATCCTGTAAGTTTAATATTTTCAGATCGATCGAAGAAAATCAGTGACCAAACGGATCGGTTAGATAATGTAGAAGACTTACGTTTTACAATCAATGGTATGATTTTGTTTCCGTGTATTTCAGGATGGGCATGAAATCTGTTTCGTCGACGAAGAAGGGTTTAGACAACTATCCGTTCCAGATTATCCTAGCGAGGCAATATTAGATAGATTTATTAAAAAACAAGAGAACAAAGAAAATTCTACCGCGTGAAAATGAAAGAATGGAAAAAAATGAAAAGATTCATCGTTGATCGTTGAATCTTCTTAATTTGGTATTAAAAAAATGATATTCATGAAATTATATTTGGTGAAGTCCAAATCACATCGTGATACTGATTGTTTTTTACATCGATATCTACAATTATTAGTTATTATTTAAGAGAGTATTTTGAGGAGATAACGTAAATATCGGCCAAGTGGTTAACATGGTGTAAAGAAGAAATAGGACTGGTAATACGGGATTGGTAATAGAGGGTAGTATTAAATGGATTTTATTGGCAGCTTATTTTGTTAGAAATGTTGAAAATAAATAGGAGAAAAAAAAAGGTGTACGCGCGTACATGTGAATAATAAGAAATCTTGAACTTTTAACCCAGCTCTATCCATCTAATCGAGTCGTGAAACACATTTGCGAATGAAAGCGACCTTTACCGGAGAGCAATCGACGAGTGACTGTCGATAAAAAAAATTGCAGATTGACTTCAAAACGAACGGATAGTCTTCTGTTTATACTTGAGCTTTTTCGGACCAACATCTAAATTTTAAATGTTTCGTAATAAAATGAACAAGTGGTAATTTTGTGAGAAAAACGTAGATAGAAAACATGACTGGAACGCAAACTCTAGACCCCAGCGACATAATCCGCGACCTAAAAGCTGCCGTGACTGCGCTAGAGCGGTGAGTTGATTTTAACCCCTCGTACTTGATCTTTTTAACCATTTCTTCCGATCGAATGCCAACCCATTTCCACCCATTTCTGCAGCCACCACGCGAGCACGATCAAGCAACGAGACCAACAGCGACGACCGATCTACACGATGATTCCCATTGAGCAAAAAACTCCATGTCGGAAAAACGGACAATCGCGCGAACCCGTGAGACGCGAAGCGGAATGCAATTTGAACGTAAAACCATCTACTGTATCGTGTGACGATCTCCCGAAGAAGGAAGGGAAGGAAGATGCGAGTCGTAGATTGGTTCGTTCCAGTAATCTTATACAGAAAACTGCTCCTACCAAACCGTTACATTCGAAGCTATCTTTTGCACTCCTCTTTAGTCCGTAATTGTCCGATCCGATCCGATTTTAGAAGGCAAAGCAAGGGAAGCTCCCAGAAATGAGAGGGGGAGTTTTATACACGAGGTGTGGGTGCGTGCACAGGGACGGACTTCAAGACTCTTGTCCGCTGTCCGATTGCCAAGCCCGGCCGGAATGTTTGGCCGAGCCATGGCCGATATGTCCACCCGGGAAGCTTTATCGCACGAAACATCCGGAAATGTGCCCGATGCCGAGCAAATCCAACGCTTAAACGTTCCTTCTCCTGCTTACGCAACGAAGCAACTCGATCTCAGTACACGTACACACGTATCATCGAATAAATTATTTTCCATTTCGATCGAGGGCCAAAGAACCACCGAGGAATTTTCGCGATTTGGGGCTCGGGCGTCTCGGTTCCCGGTTGCCCAGGAAACCGCATCCGTTTCGATTGAAACAATTGGAAACAATTTCCGAACCATCCGAATTCCGATCGGACGCGATGTCGGCGTTGAGCCCAAATTTCTAGTAATCGACCGGTTTTTAAGCAAGTTTGATGTCATTCTATCGTTAAATCGAGGGTCTCCGACATGGCAGGAATAACGTACACGAAATGAGAAAAAAAACGCGAACCTAACGTACAAACGTAAGACCGGATGCGTAATTTCAAGATCGACCGAAATGCCGTGCGATGGGAAAAACCCTAATTGCCAGAGAAGGCGGGAGCTTCTGGCGCAGCTGAAATGCTTGGTCAGCTCCATGGATAGAAAGTAAGACCGACGGTAAAGTGGAAGTAACGCAAATAACGTCTTCTCCGTTGTCGCCTCAACGAAGAAAACCATGCGAGTGGGACGAGTCAACGAGTTCGGCGCCCGTTTGCTTTCCAGCTTGCCCTCCCGCGGACGATCCCTGTTGCGTGAGTACCGCTTGCTCTCGGTCGCCGTATCGATGATTCCTTCTTCCTTCCTCGTTCCTCGTCTTCGTAGATCCCTCCGAGAGCGTGCAAAAGTTTCGAGCTCCGTGGCGGCGCGATGTACAGGTGCGAGTGCATCAAAAGAAACGGCTTGCAAGATCGTTGCACGATGTTCGACTGCATGGGTCGACCGGAGTGCACGACGAAGCTGTACCCCGTGTGCGGGCCCGGTCGCGCGGCTCTCTTGGGACTCACCGACCTCGGCGATGCCGAAGTCGCGCTGAGGAAGTACCGTTGCGCCGACGAGGCGAGGGAGGCGGCTTTGGCGGCTTATTGCAGGTTACCTGCCAATTCTTTGGTGGATTTCAAATTACCGTCGATTCTCCTCTCCGACGAGAAATTCGATTCATTCCCGTTTCCAGGTTAAAGTGTCGCAATTCGTGTGGACCACCGCCTCCTCGTTGTCCGAAGTTCCCGGAACCATCCTGGCCGCCTTGTCCGCCACCGGAACTGGTTATCGGCCCTCCACCTTGCTGTCCTTTGCCTCGGGCGCGATGCACGCCGTGCCTTGTTTACGCCCGTTGCCCTACGCCGTGGTGCTCGGTACCCAACCCACCACCTTGTTGTCCAGTACCTTGTTAAATCATCCAACGAAAGATTAGAAATTAATCTTGTAATCGTTTGAAAGATCCATTGAATTTAATATCATACGTGAAAAACGTGCGTTTACGACCGTTTGTCGTTACTTAAAATAGAATATTTTCTAAATATTCTATTAGGTGAATACGTACCTTTATTACTTTAACCGTTTAAGTTTTGTCCCGATTTTGTTTTGCCAACGATTCTTCGACGAGTCTCGGGACATTTAGATCGGCCGAAGAAACATGTGCGCGGGCATCGGTTGGCGCGACGCGATTCGAATTGATTCGAATCGAAATAGTTGGAGGGGACGGCGCGCGAGGGCGACGCAAGACCGGCTCTCGAGAGCAGTCTCCGGACTCTCGTCTCTCCGTGCTTCTTCGCGTTTCGTTGAATTCAGTTGAATTGGCGTTACTATCGATAGTTAATGGTACATGTCAGTTCGCGTCAAAGGTGGGGCATGGTGCTGGCGTTGAATCAGCTGAGAAAAATTAACTATTAATTTTCTGACCAATATTCGGTATAATGGGCGATAACGAACAGAAAGCCGTTCAGCTGATGGCTGATGCGGAAAAAAAGTTGACGTCTTCTAAAGGTTTCTTTGGTTCATTGTTTGGGTAAGCCAAGTTATTGATTTCGTTACACCGTAATCAAACTACTCTCGTTATTGTTTCTGCTATTCTTTGTCGAGGGTAATGGAAAATAAATCAAAGTTTGGAACGTTCGTATCCGCGTAACGAGACTATCGAGTAATATTTCGATAACTAGATCGGAGTGTCTTTTCTATCTGGCGTTGATTTATCTTCGGACATGTCGACGCAGTCGTGGATCCTTATCCTCATCTTGGAACGACTTTGTCCTACTCCTTCCAGATAATACTCCCTTCCGAACCTTTCTCGAAAACGCTAGAAGACACGCTACGTGCAAAACTCTCCCGACGTTAAAATGGCTGCGGAGTAATAAGAGTACGTTCCATTTACTTTAATCGTAGGGGATCGTCGAAAGTGGAAGAGGCCGTGGAATGCTATCAGCGAGCCGCGAACATGTTCAAAATGGCAAAAAAGTGGAGCGCGGCGGGGAATGCATTTTGCGAAGCTGCAAACTTGCATGCAAAAGCAGGCAGCCGGCACGACGCGGCAACCAATTATGTGGATGCGGCGAACTGTTATAAGAAGTCCGATCTCAATGGTACAGTATGCCTCCGTTCTTATGACGTTTGGATACCTGAAATTGTCGTCGTGATTTAACGGGATAGCGTGCAATAGTTTGTACACGCAAAACGAAAGGGAAGTATTTTATCCGTGGCAATGAGGTCGACGAGTCCACTTTTTCATTTTCAATATTTTTATTAGTTTCGTGTTATGTGGCATTCTATCGATGCCGTGTACGTATCAAATGTAATTGACGCGATGTTTGCACGCTTACGCAGATGACTCCCTGCGATAAAGTCAAAAGAAAATGTTTTCAGATGCCGTCGGTTGTCTTTTGAAGGCAATTGAAATTTACACAGACATGGGACGATTTACAATGGCTGCAAAATATCATCAGAGTATAGCAGAAATTTATGAAAGCGAAGCGGTCGATCTAGAACGTGCCGTTCATCATTTTGAACAGGCAGCAGATTATTTCCGAGGCGAGGAAAGTAACTCTTCTGCAAATAAATGTCTTCTAAAAGTTGCACAATACGCGGCCCAACTTGAAAATTATGATAAAGCCATTCAGATATATGAGCAGGTAAAAATTAGAATATTAAATCTACATGTTCTAACATATTCTTGGTTTAAATGACTCTTATTATTGTAGTTAATTGATTTTAAGGAGCCATTATCATTTTCTGTTTGACCCTCGCAAAAAAAAACTTCTCAAAGAAACATGACATGATTTAACACTTTCAGGTTGCTTCTTCGTCTTTAGATAATTCACTATTAAAATATAGTGCGAAAGAATACTTCTTCAGAGCTGCGCTGTGTCATCTTTGTATCGATGTCCTGAATGCCCAGCATGCCGTGGAGCGTTATCAAGAACAATATCCTCCATTTCAAGATTCTAGAGAATACAAACTTATAATGGTATGCCATCGACACCTTTTCATTAGAATGCATTTATCAAAACATGATCATCTTTCCAAGTACCACTCCGAAGTAATGTTAATTCTCCGCCTCGTATCGCTTTCAGACTTTGATAGATCATTTGGAGGAACAAAATTTGGAAGGTTTCACGGATGCCGTTAAGGAATATGATTCAATTTCACGACTGGATCAATGGTATACGGCGGTGTTACTCCGTATAAAGAAACAAATTAACGACAATCCAGATTTACGCTGATGGGAATATCGATACTCCGGGGGAACACTTTGGTGGTGTAGCTCTTACACACTTGCACTGCTTCTTATCATGCAATACGCTCTTGATAAACGTAAATAGACATATTCACATCTTGTAATGATACGTTGAATAATGCACTTTTTAGATCTTAAGTTTCATTGGTTGGAACGTATTGCCTTATCTAGTGCAAGCGAGTGCAGGTCAGTAACAAGAGTATCTTTATTCGCAAAAATTATATTACCTGTAAGCAGAAACTAGCCGGTAGTTAAAAATAAATTGCTGCTCATCATCGGTAGTAACCGTATTTATGACTTATCGTTACAAATAAATCAACTATAGCGTTTGTAAGTTATACGATACTAAAATACTTATCGTTAACGTATGACTTATTTCTGAACATATGTAAATGAGCGCTACTTTCGCTACTAGCAGGAAATCATTGTATTTATGTGTCGCGCTATTTATCCGGATAATACACCTGTATATCTGTTTAAAGTTTAAAAGATGGAAATAATTAATCGAAGGTTTCAGTTAAGTTAAAATAAAGTAAGTTTTTCTGTAACAAGTTATTAACGGGCATTGTCTTGTATCATGCTGTTCCAGCCAATGGGAAAAACGTTAATTGCTTCGAAGATGATTCACTTGAAATATCGGAGGTGATACCGGTTCATTGAAATTCCGAGTGGTTCCGAGTGTTCCCGAGCCGTCCCGAGCTCCGAAAGTACCCCGTACAGATGGCGCCGCGAGCATCCGATTGTCTTTACGGAGAGCTACGTGACCAATGTGAGATAACCTCGGAATGCCGTCTTTTTCGATGCTAAGCGTGTTTTCGTGTTACCTGTAGAAGATCATGGAATTTCAATCTTTGGGTGCCAAATCGCTCGTGTCGATGCATTTTACTGAATAACAGACTTCAAGGTAATTGGATATTAATCATTTTGAATTTCATATTCAACCAGTTCTCATGCAGTAATAACGACTTTCCAGAATTTTGTAGAACGTTTTTCATTAACGAATTTATTACCCGCGAATTGCTGAATAACCCTTCGCGGCTCCCGCTAACTCCTGTACCGTTGGTACGGCAGAACTCTAAACGAGTTGTACACTTCTAGCTCTGGTTTATCCTCTTGGAATCGTAGCAGCACCTCCGATACATGGATAGTTTCAGGATCCTTGTTACAGTTCGTTATTCTCAGTTATTCCCTTAGACGATATGTTCTAAGGTTATTCTTTTCGTGCTGCCGATCCTTAACTTTAATAGTTTCGTGCGATCTCACGCAATCTCACGTGATCTCACGTGGTAGTGGGTAGCAGTGGGCACAGTATACCCTGTGGTCGCTAGTTTGAAAAGATACATTGCTACGTTCCATTATTATACTTACTTAATTTTTTTCCTGTGAACTATTTATACAGCCCTTTTCCGCGTAGCTCGATGAAAACATATTTTTCTGGATATCAGGGCACAATTTCAAAGTTTTCAAATAGCTATATGAAATGACGTCACGATCTTAACGAGCACAATTATGCTGACGAAACGTAATTACGGAGCGTATCGTCGATAAAATCATTACCAACACAATTTTGTTCCACGATATGGCTCTTCCTGTTGTTTACCTCACCCGAAAGGAATCGATATCGGCATGTCATCGGTTACACAGGTAGTTGCATTAATATATCGCGTTATGTTCGGTGGAAAAACATTTATCTACACAATGAGTCGTACGCATTAGTGGTAAGACCGTAATTGCGAAATTATTTCCATTTTATAGCGATGCTTTAAGCGACACCGAGAATTTGAATCTCTATGGGAAATGTAACAATTTGTGGGGTCACGGACACAACTATACAGGTAATTTATTACGATACGTTAAAAACAGACGGTAGCATAAATTATGCGTATCGTCGCTTGGTAGCAAATCGGGTTACGACTCGACGTACAATTATTAATTTTATACATCTTAAATTTCAGTGGAAGTGACCGTTCGAGGTCCAGTGAATCCTGTTACAGGCATGGTTATGAACATTTCGGATTTAAAAATTTACATGAAGAATGTGCTGGGTGATCGATTGGATCATAAAAATTTAGATAAAGATGTTTTACATTTTAAAAGTATCGTATCCACTACTGAAAATCTAGCAATTTATGTTTTCAACGAGCTCAAACTTCAAATGCCAAACCCTGATTTATTATATGAAGTTAAAATCTATGAAACCGAAAAGAACGTAGTTATATACCGGGGTGAATGAAGGACAGAAAGTAACTTTATGAATCGATGATCCGATGATATAATACATTGTTTTACTACATGATTTCCTGGAAATTCCTCAAACCGCCCAGTTTTTGGAGATACCGTTCTTAAACGTTTTTCATTCACGGCATCGAGGTGGTCTTATACGATTACTTATCTAAGCTTTGCCGATCTGACTGGAGTAATAGTATGGTTATTAGAAAGCTAAGCGTATCGATTACTGATCTGTCCATTTAACAGGAGAACGCGATACTTAACGGAAATGCGTGAATATATAAATATAAAAAATACTCGAGAACGTTCCAAAGTGGAACTGTATTCGCTAGGATCGGGTGTAACCACTTTGGCGTATATCGTCCTGGAATTGGTAAGTTCCGGAACATTTCTGCCGTCGATTAACATTAGATAATTGACTCTAAAAAATTGTCACGTATCCACCACAAAAGTTACTCCGCTAAGTTATGTTCGCTACGATGTCTCGCAGGTACAAAATTCGTTAAATGACCGAGCTACTTCGATCGCGGTGCGCATTAATTTAGGAACGCGTAAAATCGAAGTCGTGGATAATGGATTAGGTATGCCCAGAGATGCGTTAAAGTCTGCCATAGAAAAGCCCATTAATAACCGGCGAGGATGTCAATTGGCTAAAAATGACTCAACGCATACGGTGTTTCATATCATTCGCAAGTTATCCACCTGTTTCATCATTAGTTCGCGAAGTTGCTCTTCAAGGGATACTTTCAGCAAGGTACTTGGTTGCCTCCTTTAAAATCGAGTACCTTACATACAAACCGCGAAATGCACGGTCGTTCGTATTATAAGAAATCTTCTTCTTAGATTTTCCTGGCTGGACAACCGTGTAAGTTCGTGAAGGAAAATACTCGACCCACCGTTGGTACAACCGTAATTTCCCGTGGTTTCTTGAGATCGAACCGTAACGACGAGGAAGAACTGCGCTCGATCAAATTTGTGATAGCTAGGTTGGCCTTGACAAACACCGAGGTAAAAAAAAAAAAAGAGATCAATCAAAGTCTGCTATAAATAATTGCGTATGACGATTTGGAAATATGTTTTACCATTTTTATCCTAGGTTTCATTTTCTGTGCGGGACGACACGAAAGGGAGAATCGTATTTGGTATTTCGAAATCGCACAGTGTAGCCGATGTACTCTCGTTAATATTTAACGAACGGTACCCTTTGAACAACAGGCCGATACGTTGTATAAGTAACAACGATCCGTTAAAGTTGAAAGTTTCTGGTTCGTTCATTGAGCACCTACAACTACGAGAAACATGTAAATTAAGAATACCATCCCACATTATAAATATTACGGCATTAAGAGCATATCTTCGAAGTTGGAAAAAATATTCTAGCCTCGATGAGAGATGCACAAAGAAATTCTCACACGCATTTTATAACCATTATGGGAAAGACATGGAGAAAATACACCGGAAGATTTTCAAGAAGGATAAGAGGGATCGACGTTCAACGTTGAATTTACGAATTCGTAAAACCGTTGATGTAAGCGCAGATTTTAAGTTAAAAGATCGCGCCCTACGTGCCAATTCGCTTACCGCCGACAACGTTACGAGGAAGAAGAAGAGGCTTTTGGTGGCAACGCCCATAGAAACGTTTAAAGAAGTTCCCAGAAATGGAGCAGAAAGTACACCTCTGCCGGATGAAACGGAATGCGTCGATATTTCCAGCTGGTCGAATTGGACGTATCGCAGTAAAGAGGAAACGCATTCGCGCTTCTTTCAGGAAGAAACAATAAATATATCAAATCGAACTCCTAAGATAACAAGAACCCCAGAAAACAAACCAGATACTCGTGATTTTAAATGTTTAAGATTATACGATTTTCTCCCAGCATACCTGGATAAGCTTTTGCCCAACAGGAAGAGAAAATTATTAAATCGACAATCTTTGCAATGCACAGCAAGAATGGGAAGCGTTACTCGTAAGGTACCACAGGAAAGTAAGTATTTAAGGAGCATCGTCGATAAATAATGTCTCTCGATCATCTTTCTTTGATGAAAAAATAGGTTTCAAGGAAGCTCGTCACCGTCAGGATTTCATCGTCAGAGGATGCAGAATCGAGCCGATCGTTCGTGAATTCCATTTTAATGAGAATTTACTACAATCTATCGAGGTAAATCGGAGATTCTTGTGGGTTAAAATACAAGTATACTTATCACCGCGAATTTTGAAATCATTAGGTCATAAATCAAATGAATAGAGAATTCATAGTGGCACACGTGACACGGGAGAAAGAAAGAATTTTGGTGTTACTCGATCAACATGCCGTTCACGAGAGAATTCGTTACGAAGAGCTCCTTCGATGTAACTAGAATGAATGCCCTCGTTAACCCTTTGACGGAGGTTACGAACCGTAATCACGTAACTCGTATCGTTCGCATTTCAGCGTATAAAGTAAATAATGAATTTACTTCGATTAAGCTGGACGTTCCGATGAAAATTTCTAACGTTACCGAGGAAGTGCGGAAGAACCTGTTGTGCAATGATTCGTTATTAAGTAAATTTGGTTTGAGCGTGCAATATGGAAATCGAGATACACTTTTGGTAACGAGGATACCTGTGTGCTTTCGTGGCAAGCGGCACTACCACGAGGAATCAAAATTAATGGCGACAACGAGACAACTTTTACTTGAAATAGCGGACAGCTGCCTAACCATTAAGAACGGGTCCGGGGTCGTTCCCCATACCTTGTATCGGGTCATTTCCACGGAAGCGTGTCACGGTATCGACTCATCTTTGGTTTCGTTTAAGCGAAATTTCATTCATTTCATTCATTTCAACGTTTCACGTCGTTTAGGTTCTATCAAATTCGGTTATCCGTTAACCAAAACGGAATGTGCCGCGCTCGTGGAGTCCCTGAAACGCACGAGAGCACCGAATCAATGTGCACACGGAAGACCGTCATTGGTACCGTTAATGGTGATTCCGACGTCGAACGATCGAAGCGGTGAAATGATTCGGGTGAGTTATCTACGATCGCAATCTACATTACGGCAAAATCAAATCAAGCCCGAAAGCAAAATAGTGGTATATTGGTTATATATCGTATGTTTCGTCATTCTTAACTTATCCTCTTCTCTAGATTATTTACTTTAGAGTATTTTCTGACAGCAACGGTATTAAATGTACAAAATGTAGGAAAATTAGTCGACGCATCCTTTCGATAACTGGATTAAAATACATACAAAGAAAGGGTGCAAGTTAACGTCAGATTTCAGGATACGCCGATATCAGAATATCTTTGCCAAAGTAGTTGACGCGATGCGCGATTATCAGAAATTCGGTTCCTCCGAGAGAGACGGGACACGGGCCGTTGGGTCGCGTGAAGAAGCAGATCGTGTACAGAGCCATTTCCAGCTCCGGCGACGTCCCGACGAATATCGTCGTTACTGGCTGCAATATTTCGTTGAGCGTCCCGCGCAGTTTAATTACAGCACCGTCCTACAAAAAAAAAAAGAACCACGCACGCATAGACGCGTATCCATAAATGCCGACCGTAAACACGGATTGGAGTAAGATTTAACTTACGTTTCCGAGCTTGACCTCTTTGATGTAGCCAAGATAATTTTCGTTCTTCCTCGATTCTTGTTCGGCAAAGTAGATCCAGTCGTGTAAACCAAGAATCTCGTTATCCAATTTTTCCGCCAGGAAGACGGTCTCGAAACCGGAACTGGAGGCGTCTCCGTCGATTCGTTTAAACTGCGAAAACCAAATGCGTTTAAGGGCATCTTTGAACTCGTACTCGTCGTTCGGAACGTATCCCTTCTCCGCTAAAAATTTCATCGCGGTTAAGACGACGTCGGTCTTTAACATGGCGTCGAGGAGTTCCTCTTCTTCTTTACGTTCTTCCGCGGTTACGATCTCCTTCGTTTTGACATCCATTTCGTAATTGTCGTACAGGGCTCGAACCGCCTTAATCGTTGGGATCTCGAGAGCCTCGGGTTTGACGGTCAACAGGCTGCAACGAATAGGTAGAGGTAATCGTAACGCGTTCTTATCGAGGGACAAGACGATTCGTACTTACGATTCGGGAGCGTCGTCCGTCGTACTGTCATCTTTTTTCTGGCCTTGCAAATTCACCGTTATATACTTGTTCGCGTTGTTCGCGTCCTTCTTGAACAATTCTTCCGTCAGTTTGTAAATGTCGTCCTTGCTTATAACGTATCCCATGGGACTCGGGTTGGCCTTGTCCCGAGGGTCCGGCGAGTTGGCATTGGCGAGCGACCCCTGGGACGCGGGCGCTGCGTTCTGGCTGGGCGAAACGTTGGCGTTGGCGTTGGCGTTGGCGTTGGCGACGGGGACGGGATCGGGAGCGCTTTTCTCCCCGTTGCCTGCGGGTGCCTCGCTCTCGGTCCGATTGTTGTAATAGTTGTTGTAGGTGATCTGGGTGTTGGAGTCCCCTCCCCGGTGAGTTTGGCCCGGGAGGAGCCTGTTAACGGCTGCGTGCACTCCCGCGCTGACGCCGGCAAAGACCAGAGCTTCCTTGGCCAGCTGACCGATGCCCGGTCGGCTGGACTGACCGGACTGACCGGACATCAGTAGGACGGTCTGCGGGGGCTGGCCAACGGAGGGATTGTACCCACCTCCGAGGGAGGGATTGAACGACTGTCCGTAGCTCGGGTGATACTGTTGGCCGTAGGCCGGCGGCGGCGCGTTGTACGCGGGATTGTACCCCTGATTGTACCCCGGATTGTACCCCGGATTGTACCCCGGATTGTACCCCGGATTGTTCCCCTGGTTGACCGATGGGTTGTAAGGCTGCGCTCCTCCCGGGTGCCCGTAACCACCTGCGAAACCAAGAGAGAATCGGAACCTCCTTTATCCATCGGCGAGTTTACCGAACTACCGTTCGATATCCCGTACCCGAGGGACTGTAACCCGATTGAACGTTCGTTGCGCTCGTCTTGGAGGCGTGAGACTCCGGAAGAGGAGCCGACGGTTTGGCGTTAACGTTGGAACCGGGTTGATTCGCCGGAGGGACGTTCCATCCGATCTTTCCCGGACTCGATCCTGAAAACGATCGGTTCGGTCAACGCGATACCGCGACGAGCGGAAGTAACCTTGGCTACTTCCGCTCCGGGTGGGGTTTCCCCCCGCCTACCGTGAGTCTCCTGTGGTTTTCGAGATGACGGCGTCGGTCTCTGAGAAGAGCGATATCCACCCGATCCCGATTTTCGAGAGCTCTTCCTGGCGTCGTTGCCTGAAAAAAGAAATCTTAAGCAACGCGTGGGCGGACGACGAAAATCATATTTGATCGGGAATCTTTAGGGGCTTCGCTCCGATGTTACGCGGCCGGTTGAGAATTTGCCGATCGATGCAACTTACGAGGACTTTAGAAAACTCTGGGAGTCGACGATTAAGGACGGGAACGCGCGCTACGTGCATAGATTCGTAGTGACGCATCGCACGAATCGTAGATGCCAGTAAGTGAATGATGCGACGTTTCGCGTATCGTTCGTGCCTGGCTTCTCTTTATTCACTTAAGAGATGGGTATTGGAAGCCACCAATTTGTCCGAGGGGCGTATTTCCTTATCGACCGTTTACCCCTCGATTCTCTCCGGGCAGCTGGCCGCTCGTATTTTTACAAAACACCCCCGAATCTTCGCATCGAGTAGAATTTCCGTTTCCTTTCCGAACGGAAGTGAAAAAGTCACCTCTGCCGAGGAGTCGCGCCAATTTCGTCGTTCGCTCAGTCACGGGCCAGGAACGGAAACGGCGAATAGCGATCCAAAATCTATGTAATCGACGATATCTCGTTTACGGATCCGACGTACATCCGGTTGCCGAGTAAAGCGATCGTTAACATTTTTCAACGCGGACATCCCGGAGAACGATCGTCGTTCTCTATAGCTGAAGTACGTTGACGAGAACTGGGTCGGTTTGGGCGATTTCTTCGATACGTCGTTTCGATTTCCACGTTTAATCCAAGGATGGACTTACCCGAAAGAAGGAGCACGATTAAAAGACCAAGCAACGCGAGTCTCGGTCCCATAATGGTTTTGACGAGGGAACGACCAGCAGCGACCAGCAGCGACCAGCAGCGACCAGCAGCGACCAGCAGCGACCAGCAGCGACCAGCAGCGACCAGCAGCGACTAGCACGGCGCGGCACGAGGAGGCTTTCTCTCGAGATTCCACGGAGTGGGGAGCTCACCTTGCGATCGCCCCGCTCGAATCCGCGGGAACGATTTCAAGAGATATTTTCCCCTAATCGAGGCACGATGAATATGTTTCAGACGAAACCGAACTTTGCATCCTTGAAGAAGACGCCTTCGAACGTTCCCCGAGGATAATTAGCGGCCACCGACACAAAGATGAAATTATTTTGCATTTTTATCGGATTTTCGGAAGAAACGGGAACGATTTGCCCTATAATCTCATCGATTGAACTATTTCTTACGCCTTGCGAAGACTTTCTGGTCGTCCGTTCGCGGAAACTTTTTACGATTACCTACGTTTTATTTGCGCGATATACCCCATATACTCCGAAACGCGCTTCCTGCGAGTTCATGGACTTTCCTTTGTTCGACGTAACCACGTTTTCGGTTGTCCCCTTAATAAAACGTTTCTTTGGCTAAATTCGCGGTAGAAATATACGATAACCGTTTCGAGCGGAATTTTCAGAAAGTAAAAAAAAAGCGAAAATGCAGGGGATGCAGGACACTTGCGAGTTTTCGAGAGGGAACGGCACGGGAGTTGCCGAGGCCTTGGGCAATTGGGGATTTTCTAACGGAGTCGCCAGCAGTGGCCGAGAACTCGACCGTCTGAAATGCCTCTTCGGGAAAATGGACAGCTTGTAAGATATGACTCTCTACGTTCGCTCGGAGTGGTCCGTTTTTTTTTTCTTAGGCGAAGAAGCGAAACGCCGACCTGCGTGCGGTACGACCGCGGAAACGATCCCGAAGCTTGGGTCGCGAAGCCAAGTCCCGAAGAGTGCAAACCGGCATGGACGTTCCCTGCCAAGAGGCCTCTTATCACTTACAGCTCGACCGCGACCGTCATCGTTACGTCGAGTTTGCTCGACGCGGGCTCCGATTTGGCTTTCCCGATGCCGGAACGGAGTTACCACGTGCAGCGAGTAAGTAAGAGTAACCTTGGCAAAGACGAGGCAACTTGTATCAGCAACATGGAGATGCGTTTCCTTAGCGATCGAAGAACTGGTACAAGAGAGAATTGGCACCGGATCGTTGCCCGCGGCCGAGATGCCCGAGATGCCCGAGATGCTGAGGACGCGACGGGGTGGATGTTCCTCGGAATTCGATGGGTTCAATATTTTTAATGAAATATCGTTTTGGTACGGTACAGCTTGGTACGGTTATAACGCGGGCAGGACGGGAGTCGGGGAACGATCGATTCTTACAACGAGTTTCCTTATGGCGTAAGGGCAAGACTTTGTAAGTTACATAAAGCTTGTCTATTTGGCAATGGGAGCTTGACGCGAGCTACACGAATATTCGCGTTTCGTGCATTCTCCCTAGGAGCAATTTGCAGAAACGGAGTGGTAACTTTGAACCGCTGATTACCTATACGCTTACTACCTATTTCACTTTGCGTGAAACGCTGCCGCGCGTCTTAATAAAACGTTTACATCGCTTAGATACTCTAGAGATATTCGTTGCCGACGCTTCGGTACTTTCGGCAGATTCTCGCGCCGTGCGCGCCCAAACTAGGCCGTTGAGTACGCGAAACGCTCTTGGAACGCTCTTGGAACAAAGGGGGAACATCGGAAATGATCTCAACGACGCTCGTACGAGGTACGCGAAACGATTTTTACAACAGCTATAGATGTAAGATGAACTTTTCTGGCAGTTTCAGTTAACGTCCCGTTGTGGAACGTTCACGGAATATAGGTCTTTGGGAAGACCGTCCTCGCGGACGGAGCTCCGCGGTGGCGGGACATTTGTTGGGAACGTTCCGAGTCCATCCGTTAGTCGAGCGACAGACGACATTCCGGAGAATTCTTCCCACCAGAGTCAACGCCTGCCTTGCGTCACGGGAAGGCGTACACTTATCTAGAGTACCGCGGTACCATCGACTGCGTGGCCGTGTCGTCGACGATTCAACGTTCTTCTCATTTACTAAACAAGCATGTAGTCGAGCGTCACCTTTCGTCAGGAAATTCAGCCAATGGTAAAGTTACGATGCGAAATGAGGAAATAGCTCCACTCTTAACGTACGGACACGTATACCTAGGGGGGTTTTATTATACAATTGTACAATTAAGACCTAATATCCTACCTTAGCCAACGTTAACGGTAAACTATATTGTCAAATGAATGCATCGTTATTCCAGCGAGTCGCCATCCCGTTTACCATCTGTCGGTCTTAAACAACGATAAAATATTCTATCTGTATTAAAGCGCCCAAAAATTGTATCTCGAGGTGTCGGAACTCCCTTTACTTGACCTCCCTACATCGGAGGAATTTCCGGAGATTCCGAGAGCGATATCGAGAGGTTCTATGTCACAACATATATGCGTACGCAGGCACCTACGTTATTACGGTACGCACTTCATTCTGTAAGTAAAACCCTGTTCTTTGGATCTGGAGAGAGTCCGTTAGTCGAAGGAACGATAATACTGATAATGCTCTTTCCGATTAAAGTAATTGTTTTTCGTAAAACGTACGTACAAGCGACGCACGAGACGCACGTACAAATGTTTTATATAAAGGTAATAACGTTATAAAAAATGAGGCGGATAGATTCCCTAGTAGGTAGACGAATTGAAATACTTTAAGGCAAAAATGGATAAATACAAATGTTAAACCAACGTCACATTAGCACGAGACCGAGTATCTTCGTACCGGAGCGCGGATGCGCGGATGCACGGATGCACGGATGCGCGAAAGGTAATGTAGGACATTAATTGGATCGACGTACCTGCAATCCGTGGGTTTACTTTCCTCGATAGATCTCGATGATGCGATCCTGATCAACGTATTCAAAAATGTGAGGCGCGTCCATTAGAATGCCGATGGTTCCAGTGGTCGTTACGAAGAAGAAGATGTATAACTGTAGACGATCTATCACCATTGCGACGTACTTCCAGTCTTCTCGAGTCTGGCAACGGAATGACGCGAGTAATCCATCTTTAAGGTTAAGTCGTCGTGCTAACTAACGATGAACTAACCTACGATTACTTAGAACTCACCTGTATATAGAGATCTTCGTTTCTGAGATGTTCGGCTATAAATTCTACGGCTTCGGTGGCCTTGCTGGCTTCGGGGCTAAGAAGCACCGAATCGGAGCTCTCCGATCCTCTGCGATCTCCTAAAGCATCGGTGCCAGCCGTGGCACTGGAACTGCTGGTGGTGTGATGCATTTTACGATTTATCTTGCAGTTAGGATGGTGCAGATCCGAAAGCTCCATTACTTCCATTTTAGTTTTGGCCAGTGACGTCGTTACGTGCTTGGGTAACTCCGTGGGACTTCCAGAATACGTCGACGAAGGTAAAGCGACGTTAGGTATTTCCATCATCCATCTCAATCTGGTCTTTTTTGGTCTTTGCATACACAGTATCGTTGGCAGATATTTCAGGAAGAGTTTTCTGATGGTTTGTGGCATTCTGTGCGTTCTGGGTCCTCGGAAGTTCCAATTTATGATCACTACCGTCACCAAGATGCTGACCGTGTTCATAATGAATGTGAACAACAGATATTTAGCGATCAAAGGTAATACCAAAGAAGTAGGAGGTAATATTTTACTGACTAGCAGCAGAAACACGACCAACGACAGAAGAATGCTTATGCCCAGGGTAACCTTTTCTCCGGCTTCGGCAGGCAAGTAGAAGACCAATACGCACAGGAAGGATATCAATACCGTCGGCAAGATCAGATTCACCGTATAGAACAACGTTTTCCTGCGAATTATGATGTAGAACGTAATATCTGTTTCGGTGGGAAAATCGCCTTGATAAATGTTCAAGTACGCGGGTACGCTGATAATATCCCATGTGCCGCTCTTCCAGTAATCCGATAGATCGACGAAATTTTTGTCGTTATACAAGGCCAAGGAAACTTGATCTCCGTTAAATGTCCACGATCCAAATTTCATGATACACGTTTGTTGGTCAAAGGGAAAATACGTGACGTCGATGGTACACGAACTCTGATAAATTGCCGGTGGTACCCATAAGACTTCACCGTTTGGATATATCAAAACGTTACTCTTGTATCTTACTTCGTAGTTACCGTCGGCACTGTAATTATTAATTATTTTTAATTATTAACGATACAAGAAACTCGTTCGCAACGAACATAATTAAAGTATTTATTATTTTTATATTTACTTATTGAACAACACTATGTCAGGTTTCCAGACTTTGTCGGGTGGTAATCGAAGAACTCCGATACCACCGTAGTCCGATTCGTCCCACTGTAATTGGTAATCCGTCCAAACGAATCTCAACCAGACATTCGACTTCATAATCTGATTCTTCTCGTTCTGAGAAATGATTTTATGATTAACTTTGCGATTAAAGTATAAACGTCCTCGGGTAGGTTGTCGATAAATAAACGTCTATTACGATTTTGTCAAAATAAGTGAAAAATACGAACGGGTATTCATCAAATGGAAGACATACCACGTTAATAAGTTGCACGAATGCAAGGCCAAACCTGACATCGACCTTTTCCGTCATGTTCTGGACGGGTCTAATCAGTTTATTGTATCCTCTGAAAAGATCTCGCACCAATCTTTCCTCATCTTCCGAGCAGCGACCTATCACGGATTCAAAACGTCAAATTAGCCGGATCTTTGAGGTCGAGTACACGTAGGATTGCGCAAAATACCGATTGGTATACTCACCGATATAAAATATTGCCGATATTAGTAAGAACCGTATCAATTTGAAGGAAAACTGCATTTTGGGTGGGTTCGGTACAGCTCGCTGGCCTCGCTGGAACGTTGCTGCGCCTTTAAATCAATATCCGAGCGGATTCTACCACCGGGGCGAATAAGTAGACTTTCTTCCTTGCCGGCCGGAGCAATTCACCGGGGTGAATTTTATCTACAGATCCGAAATTTAAACGGTCGCGTCGCGTCACGGCCAGATCGAACTACTTTCCTAAATCTCATCCGATCCGTCGCCGTTCCGTCGTTTCCAGCGGAACGGATTCACCGAGGGGACGTTACAAGCCGGCAAAGGTTTTCTAACTTTATTTCGCTATCCTTAATTTACAAGACTACGCATAAATACTCTTGTCTCGAAAATTCGAGGCTACTTTAAGGAGCTTAATTTGAACGTATAAATAATACTATAACGCACTCAAGAGAAATATAACGAATGCGGGCGAGACGTCCACTCTGCTCGACTCCGGTGCCAACGAAAGGATCGCGATTTTCCCGGGAGCCATCGCGAATCGAAGGGAGGGCGCAAACGAACCTCCTTCCGTTATTCGGAATCCTGATCGACTCATTCGCGTTTCTCGCTTCAGAGGTCGGCACCGGAACTGGTGCGGCGAACGTAACGGCTGAAGTAATCGGGTCGCCAACACTTGCAGCTGCCAGGGACGAGGAACCAGTCGTAGTAGAGGCGAACCTGAAAGGAACCGTCGTTTTGGTCCGATCGTCGCGCGCCGTCGTCGGAGTCGGTTACCTGGAAGCAGCCCATTTCGTCGACCCCGTCGCAATGTTGCTGGGACCCTCCGCTGCTGCGGCCCTCGCTCTCGCCGGCGCGTTTCTGCAGATACTGCTGGTAGTTCTGGAAATCGTGAACGGGAGGCGGCGAGACGGTGACGGGATCTCGCGGCCTCGGGTTCCGGGGATCTTGGCTCTCCTCCAGAAACGTGTCGGGGTAGAATATTTCGGCCACGAGCAGACTCGTCCACCTTGGCGAGGAGAGGCAACCCCCGTCCAGGTAGTGGCACCTCGATTGCCTGGAAAATCGAAAGGAACCGCTGGAACCGCTCTTCTCGCTCTTCCCGTCCGACCGAACGAAACGCGATTGCCCTCTCTCACGTGCATCTCGTGACTTCGATGGTCTGCGTGAAGTACCCCTCGTAGGGGATCTGCACGACGTATCGCCAAACGCCTTGGTAGTTCTTCGCGAACACCGGCGTCGCGTACTCGACCTTGGCCGGACACGGCGTCGGCGGCCCGGTGTACTCCGGCTTCTCCTGGGGCGGCGTCCTCTGGCGATACTCCAACGTCGCGGACTCGTCACGGCGCTCCGCCGCCGAGGTGGCCAGGGGTTCGCCCTGGATGGCCTTGTACAACATGCAGACCCTGAAACCCGCGTGCCCGTAAAGTACCCGCCCCGACTGGAGCCTCTACTCCGGAAGGAGGACCGCGACTCACACTCCGCCGCCGTTCTCGCAGAATCTGCGTCCGCTTCGGCTCGAGTCGGAGTCGGAGTCGGACTCGGTGCCGGACTCGGTGCCGGACTCGGTCGCCGCCGTCCTCCGGCTTCTGCTCCTCTTCTCGGCGCTGTCCACTCTAAGGGCGCGCGGAGGAGTCTCGTTAGCCAAAGTAATCGAATCGCGACGCAAAGACGAGCGGACACTCACGAGTTCTGGGAGAACGGCTGGATCTTGGCAACCTTCGGCAACGAGTCGTCGGACTTCAGGATGGGCAACGCCTTGCTCAAGAACTTCAACGTGTGGTTGCGTATCAGCTCGCTGAAAGTAACGTCGTCCGCGAATTTATCTCGCGTTAAAGGGTAAGTTGGGGCGAAGGCGACGCCGCGCCGGAGAGGAGGGAAAAAATAGGTTTTTCCCGCCGACGTCTCTCCGGCGCGCGCCGGGCCTTCCCGACGACTTACAACGGATACGAGGATCCATCGACGTTCCGTTTCATCGGGTTTCGGGGGACGTACCCCTTGTTCAAGTCTCCGCAAACGTTGTACACGGAGACGAAGCCTTTCCCCTGTTTGCCGGTATCTGAAAGATAAGAATAGAAAGCCCTTGGACGCGGGGAGGTGCGGGGGGACCCCCGTGGGTACCCACCGTGACACTCCTTGTCGGAGTCGACGTACGGAGGCGGCCTGACCCTCGGCGGCTCCGCGTTGGGCGACTCGACGAAGGCGTAGTAGCCCTCCGGAGGTTCGTCCTCCTGCCCGGGCGGCCTCTTCCTCGAGGTTTCCTCGGCGAAGGCCGCGGCGCACAGAACCGCCACCTGGGAAGAGGAAGAGGTCCGTTGCTCGGCGTTTCCCGTTAGCGCGCGTCCCCGATCCCGTGGAGCGGCCCTAACGGTATCCCGCGATATCTCTTCCTTTCGGCGCGGCCGGGCCGTCCGACCGTCCGACCGTTTGACCGTTTGACCGGCAACGGTATACTCGACCGGAGGCGCTCGGGACGCAAATCGGGGAAATAGGAGAAGAAAAGAGACCGGGGTCGTACTTACGAGGAGCGTTCTTCGAAAGTCCATCCCGGTGGCGCGAAAGATTCCGGAAGCAGGGAGCGAGTCGCGTTCGTTACCTGGTGACGGTCATAGCAAAACTGAAGTCGTCGGGCCTCGGGCTTACCGTAAGTAGTTCCTACCTTCACCCGCTTCTTCGCCGGGTACTCCTCGGGCTGCCTCGGGCCGAGGCGAGGCGACGCGAGGCGACGGGTCAACGTTCCACATTCTTCCTAAGGGGGGAACCGAGGTGCCCGACCTTGACCGACTCCGGAAAAGAGGAAAGGATCTCCGAGTTGGTCCAACCGAAACGGTGAATGCCATCTTTATTGGAGGGGGCGGACAAGACGGGGGTCGGCCCGAAAGGGCTTAAAACGTGGCGTTGACGTCGTAGTCGTCCTTGTGGTAGATCAGGACGTCCTTGAAGTAGGAGTTGGGCCCCGCGAAATCGTAGCGGAACGGCCGGTCCAGGGGGAACCCGAAGGGTCGGCGGTCCAGGAGGATGTTGCCCCAAACGCGGGACTCGTACCGGACGGGCTCGCCGGTCACCTCGCTAGCGTAGACGAAGAACTGGAACGGCATGCCTTCCTTCTTGCCCTTCGGCAACAGCAGCCGCTGGGGGAAGCCGTAGACCCTCTCCTTGTAGGTGAACGTCTCCGCGCCCTCCAGGGCCTTCAGGATCTTCTTGTAGTAGATGTCGCTGGACTCCTGGTCGGGGATCGTGAAGTAGGCATCCCGGCTGTTGCGCTCGATCTTGTTGACTCCGGCGTTCACTGGAAAGGGGGAAAGGGGGAAAGAGTGGAGGTCGAGGGGTCGAGGGACGACGCTCTCTACTCACGATCGGCGATCCAAAAGTCCAACTCGTAGAAGTACGGGTAGGCGTCCGCGAAGTCGTAGAACTTGTTCCTGTACCCGAAGCTGGGTCCGAGGAAGACGCGGAAAGCGACCTTGGCGGGCTTGTCGGAGACGATCGCGAGGTGGAAGTTGAAGGGCTTGTGATTCAGGCGATACTGGCGAGCCTTGATCGCGTAGGAGGCGGCCTCCGCCTGGCTCTCCACCGCGATGGCGTTGTCGATGGCCGCGTCGAACTGGTCAAAGTACGTCGTCAGCTTGTCCACGACGAAGGACTCGATCTTTAGGCCGGGGTAGAGCAGCTCCTTCTCGGTGTACGGCTCGAACCGCTTCTTGTACCTGAAAGGGACGAGCGTGAAACGTGCCCTGGGCCGCCCGGGAGAGGGAAGGGACCGACGGGGAGACCTGAAATAGTAGCCGTTGATTCTCTCGTAGATGCGGTAGAACGCCGGATCCCTCGGGCTGCTGGCAAAGGACTCCAGGGCGCTGGGATTGAGCCGGTACGGCTGGGACGGCTCGAAGTTGTACCCGAAGACCTTCCTCGCCAAGTAATCGAAGCTGCCGTAGAACCGGCGATTGCACGAGTCCTGGTTCCCCTCGATGAGGTTCCCGAGGACGTTGGCGCCCTCGGGGGTGTCGATGCCCACGAGCTTGCCGTTCCCGTCGAAGGCGTAGCCGGAGTCGATGGCCGCGACGATGCGGGATTCCGCCTCTTGCGCCTCCTGGAACGAGTCGAGTCGAGTCGAGTCGAGTCGAGTCGAGTCGAGTCGAGTCGAATCTAATCGAGACGAGGCGAGGCGCTCCTACCTTGAGGTACTTGAACTTGTACCGCGGGACGAGGCTCCAGGAAGTCCGCTGCGGGAACGGCAGCCCGTTGTGGTAGGTCATGGTCGGATAGTAGCCCGGATAGAACTCCCGGTTCCAGTCAAAGTCCTCGATTCCGCCGAGGTCGTTGGAGAGACGCTCCAGGAAGTAGCGGGCAAGGAACAGCTTGTGCCCGAAGAGGTACTGCTCCCCGCGATACGCGGTGGACCCGGGCAGATCCTCGGAGCTCAGGAAGAAGGGGCTGCTCAGTCGGTAGTAGAAGTAGTAGGCGTTCCAGCCGACGTCCTCGGTCAGGTAGTTGAGCCGCTGCTCGTGGTCTCCCTCCTTGTAGAGGTACCAGCCGGAGTAGTTGGCCGGGATGACGTACGTCTCCAGGCCGCTGTAGGCGTTCTTGCCCTCTGCGGAGGAGAGGAAAGTGACGGGGGTGGCGACTCGGGAGCGGTGCCTCGAATCGCGCCCCGCTTACCTCGTTTGCCCTCGAGTTTGGCGTGGTGGGCCTTCTCCAGGACCTCCGAGTTGTAGAACGCGTACGGGTAGATCTCGTACGGCGGGGGGAGCTGGACGTAGTGGGTGTCGGGTCGGCCGATGACCGCCAGGTAGAAGGCGACGACGAACTGGCCCTCGTTGACGTTGGCGCGAGCCCAGCAGGCGGTCTTGTAGAAGGTCTCGTAGTCCTTGGCGTAGTAGAAGAGGTAGTAGAGCGCCTTGAACTCCTCGAGGACCTTCGGGTAGTAGATGGAGAAGATCTCGCCTCGAGGGAGGAATCCCTTGGCGTAGAGGCTCAGGAAGTCCCGAACGGCGGCCTGAAGTCAGAGACGTTCGCGATTCGATCTCGAGGTCGACCCTCCCCGCGTACCTTGGGGAAGTAGGCGTCGACGTTGCTCTCGATGCTGTAGGCCTTCGCCTCCGCGTAGAGCTCGGGGTGGGCGATCGGGGCCTGGTCCACGTGGCAGAGCAAATCGTAGATCTGCTTCTGCTTGGTCAGGAAGGTCTTGTCCGCGGTGAGCTCGTCCGTGTAGAGGCCCACCGAGGCCGCGACCGCTGCCACCGCCGCCACCGCCGCCACCGCCGCTGCCACCACCGTCAGGCACTTGAGCATCTTCGAATCCTGCAGAGGGAAGCTCCGAGGACGGAGACGGACTGTGGATCACGGCGCGGCGTCGTCGACACTTTTATACGCGCAATTGCGGCTTAATCTGCCCCAAGGGTCACGGCGCCGACCATCGGTCACCCGCGCTCTCGACTCTCTTCGACTATCGTCCCGACGCGGCCACGACGCGAGTCGACGTCTTCCGACCTTCCGGATCCAAATTTGCCATCGGCGGATCTCCCTTTGACGACGGAAACCGCTCCGAGCCCTTCTCTTGCCGGAAGTCGTCCCGATAACCGACCGAACAGCTGCGCCAAACCGATTAACAAACCGCTGTTGTCAATCACGGAGACAGATATCCCGTTGCCCTGGGTTCGCGACGATATTTATGGCGGATGTTTACCCGTCCGGGCGACGCGGTAAAACTCCGTTACTGGGTTCAATAACCCTCGAGTCGCCGAGAACGAAAGCAAAATCGTATCGAGGCGATCCGCGGGTAACGTCGCCGTCCGGAAAGAGATCTCCACCTTTGGGCACTTTGAGTTGGGCGGACATCTTTTAAATCTCTCGAAATCCGGGACGATATTCGTATCGTTCCCGGGGGGTGAAACGCTATTGTGGGATTCCACTACTTTCCACGCCACATGACTGGGCGAAAACAAGATAATTAAACTCTCCTAATTATTGCTTCGTTGTAATAATATACGTCGACTTATCGGTTTGTTATTTAAAGACGCAACGATGCCCCGGTACAAAGAAACGGAGAAAAAAAAAAACACCTCCGAAGGAGGTACCGAGTGAATTCCGTTATCTTCGGTGGACTCGCCGATAGTACCCAAATACTCGGAATCTTTTGCTTCTCCCGCTCTAAAACGGGGACTATCGACCGAAGATTCCGAATATCTCTGGAAAATGAGCCGCCATAGCTCCAAAATCGTCAATTGGATTAAATTATCTTAATCGGAATAAAAAATGGATTGGCCGCCTTCTCTGTACTAACGGTACCGATATGCATTTAAATCAATAGTCTCGGGCATTTCATTGGTTTTTCTTCCTTTTTAATAAAATATTCCTAAAGCGTAGCAAATATTATAAAACACGGGAGATCTCCGTGAAATGTGACAGCGCGGTTATTGCGAAATATCTTTTACACGTTCATGCCTTCCTAACGTTATCGACACAACCGGGTCTGGGGAAAAACGTATCAATTTGTATGATCGGTCATTAATATTACAACATCGAATGTATACAATTTTTACAAACTCGTATTGTATTTATATCGTATCTACTGATTTATATTATTCAGGATATGACGAAGACGTTCGACACGCTTGAAAAACTTCGTTCCTTAACAATTCATGGCAGCGGACTCGATTAACGACTCCTTTTCGTTACCTTTTGAATCTGAATAAAAAAAAAATTGCATTCGTTAGCCCAAATGAGTACGCGAAGGACATAAATACTATCACTTTGAAAATGAAATGCGTACAATATGAATGCTCAACTGCACATAGAAACGTCGTCGTCGGATCTTCCATTTTCGGGATCATCTTGTTCGATACTATTCTGATCGGACATTTCTTCCCAGTTCTCGTCTGACTCCGTGCCTAAGTCTGCTTCTCCTACGTCTGTACCGTCCTCCGAGGAATCTGTGGATGTTGACTCGTTACGTACTCACCAGAAATATGCTCAACGCGTTAAATTTGGATTTCGGAAACAACGTTGAATGCCCACCTGGATCCTGATACACTAGCAAACTTTCTTCGGTTATATCCCTGTCTCGTTGTTCACTTGTCTGTGAAATTTGGCCCGTGACGAGGGAAACTCGTCCTCTAAGCCTTGAAAGCTCCGATAGAAGCGTTAATTTCGTGTCAATTATGCCCATTATAGGACCTAAAGACTCACCAACATCTGGATGAGAGAGAAGGTGAGCTGCATGTGTAGCTAACAATGCTTTTAACCATGTCACCGCTATTTTGCTCCTGTCAAAAAAGTCCGTAATTATATTTCACGTATATTCTTACAAATGTCGACATCTCTTTAACGTTCCTTTAGTGAATTACTGCACAAATAAAAAAATTAGTAGGATTCACGCGCAAACTTACGGATATGTCTTTCCTTGTAATAGCGTAGTCAACTCTTTGAGAAGAGGTGTTATCGCTTGTACAGGTAATTTATTTATCGTATTCTGAATCAAACTTTCTTTTTTTGTTAATAAAACATTGTTCAGAATAGTTTTATCCTTACTGAGCAGTCCTTGAATGAGCAGTTGAGCCATATTGCCAGCACCTTTTGCAGGTAATTTTTCAGTATTTACTTCGGCATTTAAACTAAGGTTATCCAATCTATCCTTCAAAGGTATCTGAGAACTAGCTCCCGTCTTGTTCCTCTTAACCGCTGCCGTAGGAACTCCTGAAACAAAGTGTCGGTTATTAAACATTGAGTACAATTAAAGCATCGATTAATTCGAATGGCCGGAGAGATGCGTACCTGGGGTTAAATACTCAACGGTGCCGTCTGTATCGGCTGGCTTCATCTTTGACAAAGCCTCTTCTTTCCTATCTTTCACTTTTTTTAAATCAGACCTAATTAAACATTGAACTTCATTTGTGAAGTCAGGAATCACTTTTTCAAACATAATTTGGACAAAAGAACCGTATGCCAATAGCAATTTGGTATCATCGGTAAGGTGTCCTAATAAAATTGGAATCTGTTGAATCGATTCTTTTTGACTCGATTCCGAAGCTATTAAAACGGTAAGAGAGGGTTTCAGTGGTTTAGAACACCGGCCATTTGGTTGATACTTGTACACGTGTGCTTGGCCAGATTTAGTTGTTGCCAAGATCATTACTTGAGAATTTTCTTTAACTTGCACGGAAACAGACGAAACGTCATCTTGCATCGTTAATGTTGCTACTGAATTTCTTTCTTTAGTTGTCTACAAAAATTAGATTAACTTCGATTAAAAAATGGCACTAGAATAACAACTTAACTTTGCGATACATCGTTGGTTCATTTTGGTTAACGTATCCTTGGGCAAACTTACTTCATTTAACGACCATATATTCAGGTACTCCTCACCACTGGCTCCACTGATGACGTAGTGGCTATTATGATCTATTACAATAGGGTTCAATGAAAAAACTTGGTTAGCGTGTCCTGTAAATCTATGAATCAACTGTTTTGTGGATAAATCCCACCACTTAATTACTCTGTCTGCCGAAATCAGGGACTTTCCCTCCGATACAACCGCGATAGCGGTAACTTTTCCTTTCCCGGACTTCCATTTGCATTTGATTCCATTTTCCTGAATATTCCACTCGACGATGTGGTGATCTTCTCCTGCTGTAAATAATCCACTGCTTTCTGACCATGTCAGTGCAGTGACAGCACCGGAATGACCACCTTTTAGTTCCATAGAGACCGATGCCGACGCTATACTGTACAGGGTTACCCCGCCGTTTGTGGAACCCATTGCCACAACCTTCTTCCGCTCCGGGTCTTCGGATAATGATTTTTTCCTTCTTTTCCATAACGAAGGCTGTAACATAAATGTATCATAAATATTAATGCGTTCATTTCTGTTACTTGTATTAGCCTCAAATTCTTTAGGTTACAGAAAAATGTAGAGATAGCATAAAGTTTCTGCTCTAAACCATTTTTGGAGACTATTAAAGGAAAGCAAATAAGAAATCCATGACAACCAAACTTGATCTAAAACGACCACTATGCATTCTTAAACTTAACTTAATTCGCACATACAACAAAGGACAATTAACGGATCATCAATATTTGAATGGTACATTAAATGAACTAAATCGTGATATCACAACCTAAGAGCGTTCCATTGAATAGTAGTAAATATTAAGATTAAAACATAACGTGGAACCCAAGACCGCATGGCATACCGCATTGGGTGCTTGGCCGTCAACGTTGATCCAGCCTAGAACGCTACAGGTCGACGACGCGTGCAAAATCAGCACGTACTCTAGCTTCAATCTTCCACTCGCTACTTCCCATATTCTTAATTTTCCATCGTTTCCACAATGTGCTAAATATTGACTGTCATGGGAAAATGCAGAACACGTTACATTCGCCATCTTCCTACCATTTGACCATCATAACCTACGAATTCAAATGTGTCTCTTTACGACATTATTCCATAGATGAGTTGGGAGATTGCTCACGGGTAGGATCGCGCGATCGCGTCCTGTGCTGCCCCTGGGTGGAGGATGTGGACGGCGAATGCACTTGCCACCTGATAGCCCCCAGTGGCGGCGCGACACTTCTGTAGTGTTTCTCGCTTAAGTTTGTCCAAACTAAATGCGAATTTACGAGATCAAATGATTTGGATCTTCAATGAAAGATCAATAATTCATAAAAATTCTCCACACTGATATATATTGGAGTATTTGGAGCATTTTTACAGCCAACGTGACAGTCTGATGTCGTTACTTAAACGATTCACAAACGTATCCATATACTTGAATATACATGCGTTCATATTTTGACAGTAATACCGAAGCAACATTAAAAGTCTATCTAATCGCGTAAACATGGTAACGTTCAGCCAGCAATGAAATGTATCAAATCTTTATCAGCGGATATCGTTTGGCTAACGTATCGCATGGAAAGCCATATTATGTTTATAGTATCGAAGTCATTCTACCCAATAGCGGAATGAGACATTTGATTGAAAAGAGATACAGTGAATTTAATGCATTGCATAGAATGGTAAGTTGTGTTAAATTATATATGTTTAACTTATCCAGGAGCAACATAAGGTCACACATTATCAGCTTTTCTACATAGATTGGTTTTATGGTATAAAGATGGAATTGGGCTAAATATTTGGATGCATACATTGTCTAACTTTGTGCCTACTTTTTAATAAAATATTGCACGAGATAATTGTTGTTACAGTTAAAGAAGGAATGCGATACGGTTCCGTTTCCACCTAAAAGAGTCAGAAATTCTCAACCAAAGGTATTGGAACAGCGAAGAGCAGCTTTGGAGTTATATATGCAAAAAATGTTGCGATTATCTAATACCAAACAGCAGGTTCTTAACTTCTTAGGAATTGAAGGTCGTGTATCGGCAGGGTCTTATAAAAGGTAACGTCTTATTATAATAATTAAAACGGAACTGGTCACACTTGATGGTTCAAAGGAATAAAGGAATGTAAACGTTTCAGGATGGGTAGCGAAATTAGCAACGGCGACATCGCTCAAAGCTGTCCTACTACTATTGGTCATCATCCTGTTATAACGTTCCAGAGCGATCCCTATGTTCACGTTGACAAGACCACGAGTCTTCCAGACATAGTAACTAATGGAGTTCTTCTCGGTGTGTACAAATCTTAATAATTTTTTGTGACCAAAAGAATTGTCAGGCTATAACACTTTCGGACACTCTAATTAGAATGCCTATCTGACTTTGGTTTACAAAGCTCCATCAATTTTCAAAGTGCATTAAATATCTAGTTGTAAATATTATTAGAAAATATTCCATGACTTATAAATTATTAGTATTTACAATAGGCGTCATTAGGTCCTAGTTAATCACTGTACTAACAAATTGTCCCAACTGATGGATTAATTGTCTGTTAATTTTGGGTGTATGAGGTATGTGTTTCGATGCAGTTTAGTTCAAATTTTTCAATCACAACAGTCAGTGTTTGCATAAACTTAAGGTATAAGTTATATAAAATATTTATAATTGCTAATAAAAATTTGGGAAATGTATGATAAAAACTTTGTTAATTATATTTGATACAATAAAGCGTAAATAAAAGGTGATATACTGATTAAAATTTGTGGTGATTGTAGCGATACCAATGTATTAACTGAACAAGTCAAAGGTAAGTTTGAGTTTTATACATAAATCGTATTCTTGATTTTCTCTTAGTCTGTTAGGCCAATGGTGATGTATAGAAAGATAACGTACTCCTCAATTTTTCATTCTACAATTACATTATTCTCTTTACAACCAACTGTCTCCAGAAATGAATAACTATCATTAACTTTTGTTCTTACATTCCTTTTGGCACATTCGTTGACTTTAACTGACCTATCCTCTGACGAGCAGCAATCTAAGTGAGCTCTGGATCTGTAAGAATTTGCTTGTTTTGCAGTCCTGCCTGTCCAGTAGATCCTCATCCTACATCGTCACTTTACTGGGGTTTTCCATCTTCTAAAGCAAATATAATCATGCAATGATTGGGGAATAAGACAGCTACACATGTTCCAAATTATTTTTAATAGTTATGACTCCCCGCTATCGCTTTAATACCAATTCGGTGCAATTATGATCCGACGTCCTTCTATATGTCCAGTTGATAAAAACACCATAACCAAAAATACAACTGGTGGAAAAAGGAAACAAAAAGAAAGCAAGCCAACTAAAGGACAGAAAGGGAAAAACATTGGAAAAAGATGTAATCTCTTTTCTTGTGTGTAAATATCTTACAGAAACGATGTCTCTATGAATTGAATGAAAATAACTATGTATCTCATCCATCAGGCGGAACTAACGTACCAATCACTCCACAAATGATACGCGATGCTGTAAAAGCTCTTCAAACCAGGAGGGCTTTTATAAGTTCTTCGCTTATTGGTCATCACTTAAGAAAATCTTACCCTGTACAAAATGATCCCAAAGCACTGAAATCAGAATTGCATGAAAAATTACATTGTGCTGTAATTGTTGGCTTAATAGTCAGATGTGGCGAAGATAAATATTGTTTACCGACTCTACGTCAACAGGCCAATACAAATAAGACCGCTATTAGTGCCTTTTGGGAAAGATATTACAATGTGTGTAATCCGTTTAATACATCTTTTTTTACGATTAATCCAAAATATGAAGATATCGAATACAAACGATTAGCCTGGTTGCCTGAAATTAATTTTTTATTAACGTTACATGTATTGTGATTATTTTTCTTTTATAATTAGCGATTAATTTAAATTTCCAGATTATGGGAACTTATGACGGAGGCAGGTACATAACGTATACATTGCCAAATGTAAGGATACATACCAAACAAGATACGATGGATTCTTCTAGTGAAAGTGAAAGCAATGATCACGAAAGTGGTGCTATCGGTTCATGACCATCAAGTCTTTACGGTAGTGGAATTTTTGAAATTTCAAACTTAACTACTATTTGGAAACGATGCAATATTTAAAAAAGTTTGTCATAAATAAACAAGTATTTATATCCTGAAAAACAGTTTCCATACGTAATGTTTGTTGCTTATCTCTTTTAGAACAAACAAATATAAAATATGCGTGTTCGTGGTGTATTATATCATTTTTGTAATATATATGTGGATACATATTCTTATCTTGTAAGTTCAAGCGCATACAGCTGCATAATTTATACATATTTCATCGCAAAATGCATTGCTAACGTAATACCGATATATTGAAGATTTCATGGTATTAATTAGTTTAAAAAAGTTGGACATTTCTTCTTTTCTATTAATTCTTTCACATTAAATTCCTATGCTTCATCAGCTGGTTTAGATGCTTTTAAATGTACTGCAATTTTCAAGAGTGTGCATCTCCATAAGCAGATTTGCCACGGTATGCCGAAGACGGTGAAATTGCGCAAGGGACAATTCAAACGTACAACATTCTTCGGTACTGAGAAACCATTCCATTAAAACGACAGATTGAAGCACTCGCGATAATGTACTAAAATGATCACATCAAACGATGATTATAATTTTATAAACATGCTGGAATATTACGATTAACAAAAGATCTTAAACAATGTAAACTGAAAAGTACTATTAAAAATGAACGTTAATGTTTTACTAAGGTGCATGTCATACCTGGACGAAATGGTAATATCAATTCTCCATTTGCACAACTTAAAATGAGGATAAAATTTCAATTTTTCTGACAAACTCTGAATTAACAAAGGTCTCCTTTGGCCATAAGCAACGGTTGATAAGTCTTCGATACATTCAGGTAATAACCTACGAATTAGCAGGCAAGAAAAAGGTGCAAATTAAAATGTAATATAATTAATCATTAAATTATGTACTTGTCGATAAATTACTTATCTATCTGAATATCAGGTTTACTTTAATTCCTGCAAGCATTGCTTGAATTCGGTCGGTTTAATGGACCCTGTGGGAGCTCGTAAATGTAGTCTCAGAATGGTCAGAATAGTCGCGTACCACTCGTCTATCTTTTCTTGTGGAATATTATATTTCTCGCTGATTCTGTTTAATACACCAGGTTCTACATGATTCTGCTCTATCGTTTTGACAGCCACTGTTGAACGGACATAAACATTTAGCTACCGTGGCATCACAGCCTCCCATTATTTATAATAATTCAATTAATCTTGCTTACGTTGCGCTAATGGTCGTACCATAGTTTTCTTTAATTCTGGTAAAAATCCAGTCTTATTTCCTAAAGAGGATGCTAATTGGATTTGAAAGTCCATTGACATTTTGCTGTTTTACGACAAATCCTACGAATCTGGCCGATATTTCATTAGCCCTACAGTGACAAACGACCACAAGTGACCACAAGCGACGGAGCGACGTGGAGCGACGAAAAGCAACGAAAAGCGAATAAGAGGTTTTCATTGGTTGTAGAGAATATACGGCGTGAGTTACCCTATTTCGCTGTTTTTCTGTAGCCAATCAGACCCTTTTATTCGTATGTACATACTTTGTCGCCGTGTTGCGCTGCCACTGAGGGGTAACAGATGACAAGTGCGTTAGCCGTCCACATCCTCCACCAGAACGCAGCACGGGACCGATCGCGACCCTACCCAATTCATCTCTGGACATCTCTGGAGGAAGTAAAACACGGTTCGATAATCCTAGAGACAGGCCATATAGTTAGTCCTCAGAAAAATATTAGTAAACATTAATTCAAATTAAGCATTGATGTAATTCCTTACAATATTTAATATAATGTCCGAGTATGATAAAGTACGTGCAGGGAAACTGGTACTGAAAGGTGAACGAACAAAGTATGTTTAAACATTTGCTTGTGTATTCCTCAGGAATGTGGATTAATATTTTGAAATCGTTTTGGATATTGCATTATGTCTCTTTTTTAGGTCAAAGAAACGAAAGCATAAAAAGCAAGGGAATAGAGAAAAATGTGATAATCCAAAAGATGAAGATACTACATCACATGGTATCGTAAATGTTTTGCCATAAAGAAAAGTTAAGGTAGAGCACTTTACGAGTAATGTGGCTTAATATATTATTTTTTTTAGGAGGATGGTGGAAGGTAACGAGTGTACCTGAAATTACGGGTACTGTAGCTATTGAATTTGTAAATCGTGCATATATGAAAGCATTGGATAATGGTTTATTTACTTTGGGTGCTCCTCACGACGAGGGGGAAGGACCTTCACCCGAGGAAATTTTAACTGCATTTCCCATCAGTGAAACTAAAGTTGCATTAAAGTCTGGTTATGGTAAATATCTTGGGGTTAATAAGAATGGTGTAGTTATTGGACGAAGCGATGCAGTGGGTGCCATGGAACAATGGGAACCAATTTTTCAAGTATGTGAAGAAAATGAGCAATTTCATCGTAAACCTTCCATAGTGATTTAAAACCTGATGAAATTATCAAATTGTTCTTATTTTTGTATTCACATTTCTCATATGCTTGTAGGATGGTAAGCTCGCTATCCTAAGTAACACGGGTTGCTTTGTGTCAGTTACCGAAGAAGATGACATCGTTTGTCAAAGTACAACTGCTGGTCCTTCTGAATTCTTAGTTTTAAGGAGCATGACTCAACGCATACAAGATCCCAATAAAGACATCCCTGTGGAAGAACAAGGTTCTCTCGCAGATGTTGAAGTCAACTATGTGTAAGTTTATGACAGAGATTGTCATTTTCCTATTTCAGCTATTATTACTATAATAGGTATTGTACAATTATTATCTACCATACAAAAATTGCATAGGTATTAATCAAAATGTCTTTTTTTGTTTTACCAGGCGAAAATTCCAGAAATTTCAGGACAAGAAGCTGAGAATCAATAAGGGGGACCATGGTCAATTGGTGAAAGCAAAACAAGAAGGTAACCTTCACGAAGCACTTCTCGATAGAAGAAGTAAAATGAAGGCTGACCGTTACTGTAAATAATTCATTCTTTTGCAAGTGTAGCGTAATAAAGGTATGTACAGCATATAATTCAGACATCAATTAAAAACATTACTTTTACTTTGAAACAGTGTCATGCACTTTAATAGAGTATAATTGGGTTCATACGGAATATAAAATGTATAAAATACTATCGAGAAACAGAGTAAGGATTGACATAAACGTTCTTATTGACTATTTTTGGGACTGACAAAATACAACGGGTAAGTAAAAGGTAATAAAACCGGGTGTTAATCCTATAGCTTATATCGTTTAGCCTCTTGCAGTTTCATAGGTATAGACTTGTGCAGTCTTTTAACTATTAAACTTTACGTACATTCGGCACTTAATGACTGACTTGTTTAAAAACATTACAGAATTTACGGCTAAGTACAATCATAACGATACAATTATGTCTTAATCTGGGACTGGTCATAAAAAATGCGTATCAACCCTGGCAAGTTAACGGACTACCAGGCAGGTGTGAATACCATTAAAGTATACGTCATTTCTAATAAGTCAGAAAGATCATATTTTTACTTTTGAAGCTACATTCATAAATCAATTTTTAACACCGACATCATTACCTCGTATTCGATTAAAATCCTGACAATATACAACTGTTAACTTTAGAATACAGTCTTAATAGAAAATATTTATCTACAAATTCATTCGTGACATTGCTTTGACTTTGAGATGGAACTTTTTATTCTTTTTTTTTTTTTTTTCTTGCACATGTTGGTACTTACAATAACATCATTTGGTTTTCTTTTAAGACCTAAAAATTATTGGCGAGGATCACTTGAAAGTAAAATTAAGAACGCTCATGTCAGATTTAAATGGATTCGAGAATCGGTAAAGAAACCAAATTTTGAGATTGCCACGAAAAGAAATGAAAACTAGTACCGTACGGTTCAGTTTTGATGTACTCTAAATTCATTATGCTGGACATTGTAAAAAAAGAACACGGTCATACATAAATAAAAAGAAACGAGAAAAGAAATGTAAAAACGTTAGCAAGTCTATATAGTGAAATTCTAAAAATACACGTTTATTAAATTCGACCATCGAGCTGAAAGTCGAATTCGTAAAATCTAGTCGACGCGTCGCTGCGTTCCTTTTACCTTCTCTAAAAACCGACCATTTAATGTCAAGAATGTCTTTAACAAAAGTTACGCAAAAAATGTCTAACGATACTTCGTTTTCCAAGGATTAAAAGCGCCAATAAATGTAAAATTGTATTTCTAGAATGACTCGAAAGGAAATGAATCGATGAAATTTAATTTAACTAGACCGATTCCACGTCGTTACTCGCGGTCCCTCCCTCCTACCTATGTATGTATTTATGTGCGTACACGGTGCAATCCATGGGACAAGATTAAGCGCTTCTTCCTTGCCCACCGATCGCGATACGTCAATTACATACTTTATTCAATTGAGTTTATCGAATTGTCCCGAGGATTTCAGTCTACGCCACTTATGACCGTGCATACAAATTTCATGCGAATCGCATCGAAACTAATCGGCAGTTTAATTAGTTATTAAACCCAAGGGGCGCTCCATCGCGTATATGTGTACATGTATGTATATATAACATTACAATTAATGAATAGCCAGTAATATTAATCTGGCCGTGGAAAACCGTCCGAACTCTCCGATTAAGTTTCCTTGCAGCATAGAAAATAAAACTCTCGCTCTCTCACTCGGAGCCTTGCCTACGTGATGGAGATGATTTTCACCTCTTCCTAAAGGTTGAATCCTTTACAAAACTATGCGATAAAATCGGCTAATGCCCGAACAGTGGGGGACGATTTTTCCTCGGAAAAAGAGACGTAAAGCCGAATGACAGAATGAAAGGGAATTCGGTTAATTCCGCGCCCCCTCTGGGACTCCTAAGGTACTCTAGGGACGTTCCTTAGAAAATACGTCGTCGTCGAAACAACCAGCTATCCACGTCTTAACTTAGAACCGAGCAGTCGTTAATTGATCGATCAATCGGGCGACAGGGCAAAGAGCAAACGGAAATATATTATCGCCGGCCTCTGCGATCACTCGGCGGACCAATTATTAATTGTACAAACTCGAACGAAACCACGAGGTCGTTGACAACGAGTCACTAGAAGAACTAGAATCGGTATGTCGACTAATAACGGAGCATAAATATCCTTATCGCGTCATCGTGGTCTATCGTTGCGCTATCTAAACTAAGCTAAAGGAATCCGGTACAACCGAATGACAACTGAAAAAGCCGCGAGTTCAAGGTTCAATAAAGGAAGATTTAATCGTTAACAAACAAATGAGTCGATAAAGAATTCTTTTCGTTATGTTAGGTGGGAGTCTTTAATGGAGCGAAGTTGGGTGTCTCGGCGTGATATTTCAGCTGCCTCGCGTCTCCGCCGAAGGTGCTCCTTCGCCCCGTTGTGCTTTGAGCCACTCTACGAATTCATCGAGCATAACTGGCCCTGAAATCATGACTCGTTATTAGATGACTCGTCGGATCACCGGATCACCGGATCACCGGATTACCGAAGGGACCACCCCCGAGACCGGAGGGCGCGAGTGAGTCGAAGCGAAGCCTGACCGAGGACGCGCGGCGGCACGACTTACATGCTCCGTCGAGATCGTAATTGGACAGATCGTGACTGATCGTGCGAGAGAACTCCAAAATGTTGCACCATTGATCTTTATTGATCACTTTGTACTTGGACTGGTCTAGGAACTGTGCAAACTGCGCAAATAACGGCCAATGTTTTCCTAATAGTAACTGCAGCATTACTCGCGCCGTTTCCATGTCCATACTGCGTTGGTCTTTATCCTAAAAGTATCATCGAATCGTTCAAATGGCGGCGGCACCGCGACGCTCGTTTTCTCGAGAAGCTGTTCGAGTCCACGTATCATTACAGCTCGAGAGGCGGGCGCATTCGCTCAAAGTATTTAACGTTGCCTACTCACCCTAGCAAAATCGTAAGCGTATCTGTAAATTCCCTTGAACGTGCGAGGGTCGTTTAACAAATTTCTTAGGTATTCGAGCTTTTGTTGTACTTTAGTAATGGAATCGCACTGAAGCTCCGACAGGCCCTTCAGCCACTCGTTCAATGTAAAGAAACCCATTTGACGGGCGTTCATTTTGTACGCGAGGACGAGCATCACCACGTTCTCCGGTTCTACGCCGATGTCCTCGCAAAATTTCTCCATTCCTTCCGGGCCAAGAGTGTCCGGGTCGTCGGGGGTCGTGTACTCTCGAAACCACGTGACGCATCTTTTCTGTGAGAAGGACGACGCACTCGACACCTCCTCTGTTTTGGAGTACCGCCTTGCGCTGGAAACCAAATTGCCGATTACCGGGGCTCGATCCTTCGATCGTGGAAAATCGTGGAAAATCTCTCTCTCGCAGCTCTCCATTTTCGAGATCGACCAAACAATACCGGACTCTCGTCGAACCAGAAAGTACATTCGAGATTTACACACCTCTCGACATCCATACACTGGACAAAATCCACCCGTGGACTACAAATTTATATTCTCTCTCGTTAGTCTTGGCTCTTATTACTTAAACGCAAACGTGTCTAGACCAACCCGGACAAAGTAAGACTATGCTCCTCGTGTGATATTTCGCGGACGATTTTTATTCCTTTTAAATGACCGGGCCAGTTATACCGAAAAAGTTCGATCAACGGACCGTTTGCATGATTCTCAACTTTTCACGGATTAAATGGAAATTTGCGACTCGAGTGTTAACGTTTCGGTATTATTTTATGGCTTTACTTAACGGGTGACAGTATTTCAAGAAACTGCAATTACGATCGAACCGACTAGACTAAAGACGCAAAATTTTAAGTAAATACATGTCACACGGATCTGAAATTTAGACCAACCCAAACCACAGGGAAGGGCAGACTAAAACTGTGGACAGTCATTCTATTTTCGAGTTGGCTTGTACACATAAGTTATCGCGTGTGGGTGCATCCAAGGAGGAACGGTCCAATTTCTGTACTTGGTTATTGTCAAGGCTACCGCGTTATTCCATTTTCAATTATACTTTAACATTCCCAATCGTTACAAAAATCTCATTATTTTTAAGTAACCAACCGACGATAATTATCTAATTCTATTATTTTAATACTTTCAATGGTCTAAAGAAGTAACAAGATGAAACAACCTTAAATTCAAACTTCAAATTTAAGTTTCAACTTCGTCTACTGCGAAAAATGTTAGATGTATAAAAATATAAATTCATAACTCATTGAATTTGTTTTGATTAAAAAATATCCATGTACCATAAAATGAATAGCAAAACCGACTTGTTTCTCACGGTTTCGTGCATTCGGCTACGTTGAAAAGTTTTTCAAAAATAAGATAAATAAGAGAACTGAAAGCAACTCGATAAACGAAACCTTCCTGCAAGAATAGATCCAAAGATAATCCCAGACACCGTGTACCAATAAAATTGAACACACCTGGAAGTATGCCTGAGTCTTTTCGACGGATGCCTCGGAACACCTTCCTCGTGGGCACTAGGTGCCATATCCGTCGAGGAGTGATGGTGATGATGATTAGTGCTGGAGGGCGCTCTCCGCTTACTGCGAGGCATCCCTCCACCTCCTACAACCGCTACCTGTTCTTGTCTTTGTTCCAATTTGCTCTCTCTTATTCTACCGCTCTTACAAACCAATTCTTCCGAAGGTGCTCGCGCCGGCAAAGGTTTGTCCTCCCACGGTGACTGAAGCAAAATGTAAAAGAAATTACCCGATACATCCAATGTATGTGACGACGTGCAGGTACGTACAATGTACGCAACATAAGTACAACGGATATTATAAACAAAATTAGATTCGACGAGAGATTTCCACATCGATACAAGAATTTATTTTTATAACGGCCTATAGGTAACATAACAAAGCGTCGTACAAATTATCCAATAAGACAACTATGCGAGATCTTTCTCACCCAATGTAAGACAACACAAACAGTAAATATCCCACTCTCGATAAGTAATGACTTAACGAAACTTCGACTGTAAAAAACACTGCTTTAAATTAACCACCAAATTGTTTACAACCTTGTAATGCAAACTTCGAAACCGATCTTCCCAATAATCGATTAAAAACTTGCTTCCGTCGCTTTGCCATTCCATACTAGCCGAAGCAGAAGATGTAACAAAATAATAAAGTAGAAGGTTTTGTAAAATTTAGAGGTGACAAATCGTTGATCGGATAGAAAACAAAAAAGCGTACAACCTCGAAGGTAGTCAACTATAAAGGAGCTTATGGAGCATTAGGGTTGGACCGATTCCATCAAAGAGAGATACGGCGAATGAATCTCACCAAATAATCAAGAGCTGGCCCACTAGATAAGTTAAACGAGTTGAGCCGATCCGTAATGTAGTTGGTCTCTAAACGGCTAGCCTGGTCCCTCTCCTCCGTTGAGACGTTGGACAAAAGCGAGGTTAGGTTCATCAAAGCATCCCAGTGCCTTGCCACTCGGACGTTAATCGGTTCGCCTGTATCGAAATAACGTTCCTGATTACCGGAAGTGCCTAGGGAGAGTGTGACATTTTTATCGCGAGCAAAACAGCTGACCGGGAGTCATGTCCGCAAGATCGGAGGGGGGCAAGGACAAAAGGTAATGGAACGCGAAAAAAGAATCGCGTGCCAGAGGAGCAATGATCGATAGCCACCGAGCGATGACAATTTCGCCGGTATCTCGCCTTTGGCCAACGGAAGGCCCCGAACGGAGGCCCCGGCCCGGATGGAAGCGAGACGACGAAACCGCGAGGACCCTCCCTGTCCCTACCTTCTGCAAGGAATCGCTGGAGCTTCGATGCTCCGAAAATATTTCCCAAGAGAAACGAATCAAGCCTACGATTCTACGAGTCGTCGATTCGAGAGGCATCCGCTCTTTAACGAGTCCTCGACTATCTACCCTCCCCTTTTATTTAAACCTTCCTCACTGCCTAAGAGACTCGCTGGAAAATCGGTTCTCTCGCCGCTCTTTTATTTCATTTTGTCGCCACTGCGAGGCACGCGTGCCTTTTTCCTCAATTTCACAGGTCCTGGACTCGAGTGGCGCCACCTCTTGGTTGCTTCCGGAGGCAATTACTATTTTTCTTTTTCTTAGACCAGAATCCCACTGAATACATTAGGTGTCACACGTAACGCGTCGCGGCAAGTGGCATGCATGAGTTATATGCACATGCATACATACTGCATCTCGTTGGACATAAAGCTGCGGATAAATTGGACAAATCAGATATGACTCCATGGCTACGTCTCCATCGTACGCCTAAATCCGAATTTATGTGTCGATCGAGACGCTCAGAATCGAACTACGTAATTATTAATACGATGAGACATGCGATTTACTGGATTCGGACTCGATAAATCTCGGATTAAGGAATACGACGGAGACGTCGCATGTCGAAGACCGGCCCAGTGGTTGTACATACCGCCTGGCGGAAACGTTCTTTTACCGGTAGGCAATCTTGAGATGACACATTTGAAATAGAAGTTTCTATGTGTTTGTTGAGTAACTGGATCGAACAAAAGCGTTCACACGATAGGAAAGCATGCTTCAATAAAATTAACCTCATTTTTTTAAAGCAGTATAAAACATTATTCACAAAAATTCAGCTGTCCTAGTTTCATAAAATTATTAGACGCAGTATATGCATAAATACATTAAGTTAGGCCCTAATCAATTTCACTGAATTAGTTACTTAAAGAAACTTATTTTTGCTCGCAGTAGTTCTCAGCGAACATATTAATCTTCTTTGTTCCACTAATATCTTCCTTTACGATGTACAATTGTGCCAGGTAATGTTGTTCTATCAATTTTTTCCCACAGTTCTCTAATTTTTTTGAAAATACTAAATCCTCAGAAACCATTAAATGTATGCACCTTAAAATTAATGCCGTAACAACTTTGTACAAGTACCTTAGGACGTGAAAATCAGTTTCTTTCATGTACAAAAGTAATTCCTTGTATACACCACTGTAATGTTGAAGGGTCAAAAAAATAACGGGGGAAAAACTGAATTAAGCTCAAGCAGAAATTAAACCTATTTCGTCGTTTCTTGGATACCAGTCAACTTGACACTAATTTTCCATAATTGACTAGCAACTTCAGGCTCTAGCTGTCTCTTTGAAACGTACACTTTACAATCTCGATAGGTGCGACCCGATTCATTGGAAAGCGAAGGATCGATGGCACAGTGAAGTATGGTTTGAGCTCCCTGAGGAAAAAAAAACTTACTTGAACGCATATTATTTTACCAACGAATGAAGAAAGTTTTATATATATTATTTACCTGATTGGCAGTGCGAAGGAAAAGTAATGCTACCGGTGAAAAAAGTACATAATGGAACCAACTTCTTTTGACATGTCTGAATAAACCAGAATAAGTAAATCCTGGAAAAACTGAGTAAACATTGACACCAGTGTTTTCGGTTCTTCTGGCAAGTTCGGTACCAAAGTACGCATTTGCTAATTTAGAATTACAGTAGGCAGGATTCATTCGACCTTTAGTTATGAATCCTTTTTCTGCATTCAAATTAGAAAAGTCAATGGTACCAGATTCCATCAATTTCGACGTTACAACGACGACTCTGAAATGTATAATTTTCTTTTTGTAGATTAGGAACAGTTATTAGTTATAAATTTTGCATAATCTTACATCTGAAACTTGAAAACTTTACCGATATCGTTAAGCAGTTTTGAACGAAAGATTTCGAAGAAAAATAAATAATTGAATACAAAAGTTCTATCACCTGCTGGGAGCACTTTCTTTTATCCTGTCTAACAACAGATTCGTTAACAGAAAATGTCCCAAGTGATTAACTCCAAAATGGATTTCAAAGCCATCCTTTGTAAAGGCATGTTCTTTGAGAGGCACGTAAACTCCAGCATTATTAATTAGGACATGAATTTTAGGAAAATTTGTTAAAACCTCCTGGGAAAATTTTCTTATCGATGCCAACGATGCAAGATCTAGCTCCATGGGCACCTTAGGAAAGAAATAGCGTTAAAAATAATTAAACGATAATATCGTTTTATCGCTATACATACCAATTCTCCGGTTGATATTCTATTGCGAATTTCGGATACGACATTTTTAGCATTCTGCACGTTCCTGCAAGCCATGATTATGGTAGCCTTTCGCTTGGCTAACTCCTTGACGGTTTCCTTACCGATGCCGGAATTAGCACCGGTTACCAAGAATACTTGTCCCTGTAAACTGACCTCGCTTTTGCATCTGCCCCACGTGCGTTCGCGACATTTGCGAAGTAAGCCGATTAAAAAGGCTACGGGAAATATGAAATAGCACCAAGAAGATACCATTGCTCTCTTATGAGAAAATATCTTTAATTATATACCACAACGTTAATCGCGGATTCGAAACCGACTTGACGCGTTTAAAATATCGAATACGAGTGTAGCCAACATTTTCCCATGTAAGCGTGACAATTCGAATCGATATTAAACGGAAATATCATTGGCGACTGGCCACTCGATGTAACTAAACGTTAATGTTGATCCACTTTGTCCGATTGTGTCCGATATTGTTTGATTATCAGACCTCATGTACCGAGTACGTCGAAAAATAAGATATCACCGGCACTTGGCGAGCGCCGTTATTGGCTCGTTCTTGTCATAGAGAAGACGCCATTGGTCAGTTATCGACAATTTGGTTATTTGAGAACGCGCGTGTATGTACGTACCTTGGAAACAATCGTGCAGTCGACAAACGGCAACCAATGAGGGAAGCGAATTTTCGTAGTGACTGCAAAATCTAGCAGTACCCGGCAGTGCCCAGCAGTGCCCGGCAGTATCGTCCAGTATCGTCAAGTATTGTCAGATATCGTTGACACGAGTTATAAATTGAAATATGCTGTCCGGTGAAACAGAAGTTCCTTGATCAATATTTTTCTTTCCAGGTGAATCCAATATAAAAGATCATGATGAGTTAATGAAATAAAATGTACGATGTCATTCGACATTCCAAAATGATTGTTTGAAAACAACTTTCATTTATAGGGAAGAATAATATTCAGCTAAATAAATCATTTTTCGTAGAAATATTTTTAAACAATGAAAAGGGTAAAAGAACGACTAAATTGCCCCAATCCGTTATTTGAACGCTGGCTACTGGAATGGAGAGACGAAGCGATAGCAAAAGGCTCCGATATGCAGTACTGTTTCTCAAAAGCGCTTGCAACGTTAAGAAAATACCCTTTGCCTCTGGAAACAGGAAAGGATTGCATAATTCTGCAAAACTTTGGATCAAATCTTTGCACGCTGTTGGATAAAAAGTTGGCCGAACATCAGAGAGGGACACCGCAGCTACAGGTTACTTTAACCAAGCAAAAAGAGGCTGGTGGTACCATTGAATATATCTTAGGTGATCAGGATATAAATGTTAAAAATACGGAAGGGAAAAAAGTTACGAAGAGTATATATGAAAAAACCGGAGTAAGTTTTTTTTGTATTATATCTTACAGGGATCTTTAATACACTATAAATGTAAAATCATATCTGATGTTTTCATTTTAAGCATTTTGTTTCTGTGCCGACAACGGAACTATACGTTCCTTCGTGGAGATCAGGGGGCTATGCTATTTTAATTGCATTATTTAATAAATCAAGAGATCCCAATTATTCAGGTAACATTATTATTTTTATACGGTTACTTTTGTTATAAACAGTTTATAATGCATTTTACATTGTCAATTTGTTAACAGGTTATTTAACTAAGGCAGAGTTGCAAATAGAAGCTCAAGCGTATTGTGATCATTCCTTTACAGTTTGCAAACCCTCTACACGCTGTAGTGCCTGGTCCTCGATGTCATTATTAATCTCTAAGGGATTAGTTTTAAAGCGAAATCGTCCCCCAAAGTATGTATTTTATTTTGGAAATTAATTTAAAACTTGTTTATTGTTAGAAATAACATTGATCGATGTAGGTATAGCTTAACAAATGAAGGAGTAACTCTTGCTACAAAGTTGTCACAGATGAATAAAAATGATTTAAATTTGAAGCATCATTTTCCACATAGGGGAGACATTGAATTGTCATCGGAAGTTACTCAAAGGGGCAACAGCGATGCACAAAAAGTACTGCATGGAACCAAGTCAGTAAGAAAACGTAAGAATAACATAGTATACATTATTATACATTTCCGTGCAAGGACTTATTGATTTGAAACATTTCAGGCGAGGAAAATGAGGTCATAGACTTTGAAGTGCACCAAGAGCATACGCAAATTGGGAACGTTATCAAGAGTAATTATGACAAAATGAAACAAAGTCATGCCATGGGAACTATAAGTAAAAAAACTCCAATCAACGTAGACACACAATTGAAGAGTTTAGTAAATGTAACGGAACCTGGAGTTAGTTTTGCACCGCACACATTTAATGTCGTATTATTAGTAGACACACGCGAAACGGATGGGTAAAGCCCAAAAGATATTACCTGGATGTATTATGTGATAACTATGCTTTCATTTCTTTTTGCTTTTCAATTCCACTGATAATAATTATTATTGCAATACAGTGGTAAAACCAGACCCACTCACGATGTCACGCTCATAGAGCTAACGCAGACCAAAGTGCTTTTCGAAGTTCGTAGTTTAAAGATTGGAGATTTTGCATGGATAGCCAAAAGTAAAGACACCGGAGAAGAGTTAGTATTGCCATACATTGTCGAGAGGAAACGCATAGATGATTTAGGTGCAAGCATTAAAGATGGTAGATTTCATGAGCAAAAGGTATCGATTAATATCCTATATTTGTCTAGAAAATATAAAACTATTCTATGATACAATAATTTTTTCAGTTTCGACTAAAGCAATCTGGCATAAAAAATATCATATACATGATCGAGAGTTATGGCAACAATCAATATACTGGCTTACCGATATCATCGATACTTCAAGCCTCAATCAACTCCTCGGTTCAAGATGGCTTCACCGTTAAGTACACCGATAGTCATCGAGAGTCCATGCAATATTTAGCTATGGTTACCAAATTATTAACCGAGAAGTTCCAAGTATGTTTTACGTTGTTAATTTGTAACGGTTGCAATGTATTTTATTAAAAAAAAAAAATTAATATGGTCGTGTTAAAAAGTTAGCAAATTTCTACAATTACAGAAAATACATCTAGAAGAGTGCAAAAAAAATTATCCAGTTACCACAAATGTTGATAACTACAAAATTTATCTCGTGGCATTTAAAGACTTTAACAAATCCTCATCTAAACTAAAGGTATTAATTATTTTAATGTAATATTTAATATGGAGAATACTAATTTGGTTTCTTTTAGAATTTTAAAGTGAAGCAGATGTTTATCCGGCAATTGTTGCAATTGAAGGGGGTTTCCGTTGAAAAGGCGCTAGCAATAGTAGACAAGTATACAACCCCAAAACTTCTTGTAACTGCTTTGACAAATGCTGGCCCCGAAGGAGAGAAGTTGTTAGCGAATATAAAAGCTGGATCGTTGAAGCGTCAATTAGGTCATGCATTGAGTAAAACTATTTATCAATTTTACACAAGAAGGTTATTGGAATAAATCAATTATATAAATATTTTTACTACTTTTACATCTAATTGTTATAAATCTAATAAATATAGATTTTATTCAAACAGCTCTTTTCTGAATCTGCCTTTCATTGACTTTTTCATCCTGGAAAAAAAAGGAACTAATTGAATATTTAAAAGTTTACTAATATAAAATCTAGACATAGGACATGTGTGTTAACAGAAACGCATTTAAGTATTTTGTTTTTTTCATTAAACAATCTATTCCTCCACATCGATCATCAATCTGTACATCTTGGTTTGAATTATGTAAAAATACTATATTTGTAGTCACCTGGAGTATCGAGCTTGAAAATCGTATTACAAAATGCGTGTCCTAAGGTATACGATGTCTACATATTTACATAGAACTCGGAAAGGAGACAACATTTTTTTTTCACAAAGTTTCCAAAGAGTATAAGGAAACTTGACGTTCCGATACGTTGCACTGAGTTTAACATTAACATACTTCTACTATTTATATCCGATTACACCTTACCTCTCACAGAAATATTAACGTAACGGTTTCTTATGTATGTGTTCGCCACGTATGCAATAAAGAATTTTTGACTACTGTTCATCCGGAGTATCTTTGGAGAAAGTTTCTAGCGATCCTATCATGTCCATTCTTTTCTCCAAATTTTGAGTTTCACCCTGATTTGCGTAACTAGATAGAGAATTATCAACAGGATGCCGACTTTCCACCGGTATATCTTTTTCCACATTATGCGTTCCCTTCTCTTGCACCAGACTGCTCGAACTAAGCATGACGGAAACTTGCTCAGGCAGTGGGCATGCAATGACTGATAATTCTTCTTCGTTATAATGACTGTTTATCAACTGTGCCAGCTGAGTAAAAGTAGCTACGATATTGTTCTTTATTGGCCTAAACAAGATACACTCGGTCTCTCTATTGGCAAGGTACAACTGCAATGACTGCTGAATGCTCGGTAGTTTAAACTTGATTAGACGCAACGTTTCGCGTACCAGTTCCGCCACCTTTTCGACACCACTACACGGATGTTGCCGCAAACGACTCGTGCCATTCGGATCGATACACAACTTTGATTCATCCAAGAATACCGTAATTGGGTTCACAATTAAGTTCGTCACATACGCGATCAATCGCTGACAGCTAGATTTAAGTCTTGTGTCCACGTGCTTCCTCGAATCAATCAACTGTTCTTTCATTTGCGGTGCACTCTCTAATAAGAACTCCAGAAGTGCGTTATTAGATAAACTAAACAATCTCGAGCGTTTCTCCAATAAGCTGAAAGCGGCAGTTTTTACTTTGGAAAAATCCAAGCTATACTCCTTAACGGTAAAATCTACTTGAAAGGGAGCAATTTGTTCTCGAAGTATCAATAGGTGTTTTATTTGAAAAAGTTCTGCATCCAATAACGTAGCTCTTCCTTGAATTTTCTGTGCTGCACTTTCTACGCTTTGTACGCACAAAGTAATAGCCTCCTGGCTCAATGATTGGAAAACCGGTCTGTCGACGCATCGATAAAGCCTCGATAAGCAAACCAGCGTCCGCCGAACGGTAGGATACCACATGCCGTGCAAATCGGCTGGTGAATTACCAACGTGAGGTTTTTGATACAGAGGATCCATCACGAGATGATTTCGCGATGTCAAGTCCGAAGAAGTAGTGTCCAATGACGACAATGAAATCCTCTTTAATCTTGTTTGTCGAGTTTCTTCGCGTATCGATTCCGCTATATCCTCCATTAATTTCAATTTATCCGGGTATGCCAAGTCTCCAGGTGATGGATTGTAATTTAAGATGTCCGAACGCAGATACAAATGGGCACGATAGATCAGTCTTTCTCTTGTATCGTGCAACAGTTGTAAACACACATTACCAAAACCTTGCAGAGGTTCCAGATTGGTTTGCACGTGTTCATCTAACATTTCAATTCTAAATATACAGCAAATCTCAGCCAATGTTTCCAAATGATTGATATTTACCACAAAGGGTTTGAGCATATCGTACAACGAGATGCACAGATTCTCAAGGTAATCTTCGAGTCCAGAAGCAGGCTTGGAGAAAAACTGATAGAACAATCTGTGTTCGTCGATCGACGCGTGCAACAGCAAGGCACAAGAGTTTCTCACCAAGCTGCAATGATCGCCATTGTAAGTTTCTTTGACGGACTGCAAAGCATTTTGAACGCTTGGTCCTAATACCATTCCGCGTTGATGTAGATAATGCTGCTGACACTCGACTAACAGATTATCATACTCAGGCCTCTTATATGACTTTGCTTCGACCTGTTCGACGATTGCTTTTACCTTAGGTAAAATGGTCTGGAACCTTCCATAGAATAAAGCCAACGTGGCATCCGAATTCTTAGGGGCAGAATGATCCTCCTTAGGATGAAGAATACTTTCCGTTGCATTAGTAAATAAATTAAATAAATAATGTCGTATAAGAGTTATTGCTTTTGACTGACAATGTTTGTACTTGACCAAATAAGAATTGCTCTCCCTGAAGGATGTATTATTTTCTATAAAGTCCATATTAGTGTCGATATCATTCAGTATAGTAAAAAACACATCACTATTTACAGATAACATTGGTGCATTTAATTTCTCCATGATATAATCGACGGCTTTAAAGTACTTTACGCGTTCCGTAATGCCATCGACTAAGCACTTCAATACCTTTTGATCGGAGATGAGTTGTTCACTGGCCACATAAAGAGGTGTTGTTTTATCAGAAACCGTCGTATACCGTTGAATGAATGTCGATAGCTCTTCCAGAACTCCATCTACACGAATACATAATTCGTCCAACTCTGCTTTCCTACATGTAAGTTGCTCCAGAACCAAAGCATATTTTGTATCTTCTCCATACATATACCTTCTTTCTAGCTCCCCATAACATCGCAGTAACTCGTCGCTAGTTTCAATCCGACCGCTATGGGAGTACGACTCGCAAACTGGTGCGGCCCGCTGTACAGCGTTTTTTGTATTCTCAACATCCCAGGAACTAACTTCATTTTCAAGAGCTATCAACAGTTCTTTTTGACGCTCCACTAAAGGAGCCACCGTGTTTTCCAAAATATTACATTTCATTAAACTTTTCTGAACGATTCCTTGCTTAGCCATTCTCGTACATCTGAATTGCAGTGCCGGTAATGCGGAGACGATAATTTAAAGGCACTTAGTCTCTAAAATTGTTGGCATCGATCGAGCACAATACCTTTGGTTATTCATGAAATTGGCTAATAGAATAATCGCCTTTTTTAAACATTTCCGCTCGGTGGAACTTAGCTACATTTGGCCATACTTGTCAATTGGTTACCGTTTGCCATAGTTTGCCACGAAGACGGCTGAAGATGGCGCTTCTACCTTTGATCATAAGTTTATTTATACTGGCCTACCTTGCACCGGTTTTATAACTACTATTGTTCAGGCCTGATTCCACAACTTGAGTTAACCGAAGTTTAACTGGTTTATACGTGATTTAAACCTGCTGTAAACCACTTAAACTCTGCTTAACTCGAATCGTGGAATCGGGCTTTACCGGCCGAAACTCGGTGTATACGCGCGAAATCAGTTTTGCCATTTTTTCCATTTATGTCATATATGTATTTTACGTGCATACATCACAAGTGACAGTGAATCCTGGGTGATTTCAGCCTCGTTTTGATGCCGCATGTGAATACTCTGGCACAATTAACGATCGTGAAATGCAACGAGCGAATTACCACGAATTTTCTTCCGCCTAAATTAGATGGAATTGCATGATCTTGATGTCACATTTATTTTTTCATCGAACGTACGTAATATATAATATAATATTTCAGTTCAACCGATCGTAGTTGTCACTTGAATGTCCACTCATTTGTGATAGCAGAGCTGACAAAAAACGATATTAATTATCACGCGTATTTTTCAGGACTAGTTTATGTATATACACGGTCTGCCCATGTAGTGTATCTTGGTTGCCTTCAAGAGTAACTCTTTTTTTTTTTATACATATATGTTAACTATATCCTTCACAAAAAATAAGTAACGGTCACATGGATTGCTACCCAATGGATATATGTACTTAACTATTGTTCCATCATAATGATAACAAATTTCTTGAATTAGTAAAACATTCTATGCTAAATGGAATTAATTTGGAATGTCATTGATCAAGCTTTTCGTTTGCAGTACAAATGGTGGCAGTAAATTACAGATTTAGGCTGCTATTGGCTGCCCTATCGATATTTTTACTTTGGCAATCTACAAAAATGTGGGCAAAGTTCTCATGGGACAATTCCATCGAGCTGCAAGAGATAAAGGTTTTGTTTTATTTGTATCTACTTGCCGAGATTTAAACTAATTAAACATGTTAAGGGTACAATGAACGTATACGGATAATTCACTCGTTTGCTAATAGTAGTATTAAATCTTATGTAGCATAGTTACAGGATGAAAAAGAAAAGGCTGATACCGAGTCAAAAGTTAGGCCACAGAAAGTATCGGTTACCGTATACTACGAAGCATTGTGTCCCGACTCAAAAAGTTTTGTTGTCAAGCAGTTGATTCCAACATATAATGCCATACCAGACAATATACAGATAGAACTGATACCCTATGGCAAGGCAAAGGTGTCGTCACTAAATTATTTCACACTCGTGTTTTCCTTCGTGTTTGTACGTGTGGATCGTCCATATTACATGATGTATGCATTTGCAGACTTTCAAGAAAGGGGACAATTACCAATTTATGTGTCAGCATGGTCGGATCGAATGCGACGCAAATATAGTTCATGCTTGTGCGATCGACGTCATTAAAGTACCATTTGTGCAATTAAGTTATGTCTCTTGTATGCTCAAACACAATATTCAACCACTAAGCACGATGAAGGCTTGTGCCAAAACGATGCAGGTGGACTACGAGCCAATACTGAATTGCTACAGAAGCTCCAGAGGAACGGAGCTCCTAGCCATGTACGGGGAAATGACGGAAGCACTCGATCCAAAAATGTCCTTTGTACCAACGATTACTCTCGATAAGGTAAACTTTGTTTTTAACACGATTCAGTGCTTTCTCGATTAATAACTGTTGTTTAATACTCACGTTTACGCAGAAAGTGGATAATCAGCCAGCTATTTTAAAAAATTTATTGCAACAAGTGTGCCAACGAATCCAAGTGCAGCCCCTTGCCTGCATGTGAAAAATATTCAAATGTACAGGATCACGATTTGTACTCCGGTGTACTTTTACTTTATACGAACAATAATGACATATCGTTTTGCTAGACAACGTTGTTGTTTCTTAATGTTAATTATAATGTACATGAAAAAGGTATGTTATCGCTTGAAAGAATTAAAAAGTATAAATATTCCGTTTCGTACTACAACACTGTTTTTATTATCGCATCTCAAAAGCTGTTCATTAACGTATGACAAAGATCAAAGTTAAACGCAAGAGTATCAGCGGAAGCTCGGCGATGACTTTAGGAACACTCCTAAGTTTGATGATACTGGAATAGCGTTCAACTTTTACGTAGAGGGACGGATATGCCATGACCGACGTTTCATCGATTGTCATCGATGTTCGTCCCATTCGTCAAGGCTTCGTCCCGAGATGCTCGAAATAGTAACATCTTATGCGAAAGCTTAGACTTGAATACAGTAATTAACAAAGTGACGATTTTTTTTAGACCGTATATGCAAATAACCGTTAAAGAGTCCGAAGATCGAGATAAAAATGGCATCCTCGAGCATAAATCGCGCTTCAAAGGACCTATACCAGGTGTGCGTGACGATCATCGAAGCGAGATATTTAGCTCAAAATGCGAATCCCACGGTGGTGGTGAAAATTGGCAATCAAAAGAAACGCACCATAGTTCGAGAGAAAACGGACAATCCTTATTACAACGAGGTAACGTCTCGTTTAAACGAAAAACTACGCAAGTTCCGATTCTTTTGCGGTCAATCTACATAAACGCAATACTTGCAGTACTTCGTCTTCAGTTTTACCTGCGGTTTCGACGAGTTTCTAAGCAAAAGTGTCACGATAGCTGTGTACCTTCAGACTTTCCTAAGAAGACTGAAACTTTACAGCAGCACCGACTTTGAAGTGGCAACCGTGTGGGATCAGCCGAGTAATAAATTAGTCATCTTTCCGATTAATTAGCCGGGACGAGTGGCTGACCGTTTCCTTAATTCGTGTCCTTGACGGCAGATCATCAGTTCCTGCACAAGTGGGCAATGTTAACGAATCCCAAAGACATTTCCGGGAGATGCAAAGGTTTCGTAAAGTGCGACATAACGGCCATTACGAGGGGACTGAAGCCAAATGTCTACCCGGACACGGACGGGGAGGAAGACATCGAGGGGTACGATCCGATCTATTAATTCGTTCAAACTAGCCGGCCGAAGGGATATTTTTCCCTCAACCCTTAACCTTGCACCTTAGGAATCTGTTGCTACCCGTTCGAGGTATTAAAGTGAGGCATAAAGCCCGATTTCTATTCGCGATTTACTGGGCGGAGGATTTACCAAAGTTAGATTTGAAACGTTGCTGCCACGCCGAGACGCGAAAGGTATACGTGCAGATATCTTTCTCGGGGATGAAAGTGAGTAGTCGTTATTTGCGGTATTCCGCGAGTACCGGGATACCCGGGGATGTTGTAACATAAATATTTGTGCAGGGTATCACGAATAAGCAACGAGTGGCTTCCAAGATGAAATTCCTCGAGAGAATTATTTTCAAGGAAATGTTTCCTCCGTTATGCTGCCGAGTTAGAATCGCCATAAAGGCTGCGACGAGTGGCTGCAAGGGACGCATCGTTTCTAATCATATTTTAAATTTGAGCAAAACGTTTAGTTCCGAGAACGAGCGAGGTAACGTGAAATGAACCTAATCGGTTTGATATCGTAAGTCCTGTCTCTCTCCCTCTCTCCATCCTCCCCCGCTTTCTGACTTTCGCTTCCATTTCTAGAATTCCTTCCTACATTCGGGCCGTCGTTTATCATTTTTTACGGTAGGGAGGAATTTAACGGAGCCTATTATCCTTGTAGAAGACCGATCGGCCAACCGGCTTATCGCGGCAAACTTCTACTTTCGATGAAAACGGAAATGGACGATCCCGAAGCTTCGTTCGAAAGAGGCGTACAAGTAGAGGAGATATCCCCGATAACTGAGGTGAATTAGATCACGATTCTTAAACCCGATAAGACGTTAGACCCGCTCGATTTTCAAACGTTTCGATCGATCGAACCCGTTGTCGCAGTCGAGTTTTTGGAGTACGGACGAGTACCTCCTGGTCGGCGTACTTTTTGACTTGTGCATCACCGACGGATCTCGATGCAAAACACGTACCGTTGCATTCGAGATCGGATTGGCCAACGCGAGTCGGCGATTTTCCAATCCACGGAATGGTCAGGGGAACTGGGACAAATCCGTAGGTAAGAACCAGCTAGGCGAGGACCCCTTCTTGTCATTAAAGCGACCCTTCTCGATAGGAGACGTCAAATCGGAGGAGAAGACCGAGCCTCTGGGCGAAAGCGCGCCATCGAGCAAAAGTAAACGCGCATCCTTAGGGGCGACCAAACCTTGCGTAAATATCAGATTTTTCTGGCCGAACGTAGAGTGGAGAATACTAAATAGCAACAGTCTTCTGAAGCTCGCCGATTTCCTCGTAAGAGTCGTCGTCGTCGTCGTCGTCGTCGTCGTCGTCGTCTCGGCTCGCTTCGATTTTAACGTCGCCGAGTATCCGCTTATTTTCGAGAGTCGAGCAAAGCGGAAGCGCTGTATCCGAAAACTTTCGTTACAGGAAACCGAGCTTGAGAAATTGGACGATTTAATCGCGGTGGAGCACCGACAAGCTTACGAGAGGTACAACGAGATGGTCGGGACGTTGTCGAGACACCTGTCGGATTATTTAGAGAAGATGGACACGAAAATCATGGAGGAAAACGGTGGCACGACGAAACTCGATAGATACCGAATGACCCTGTGTCGGGAAGAAATCGAAAGTATCATCAAAATCGTGGAAATCAACGGACCACTCCCGAATAACAATTACATCAGAATCGCGACGATACACGCCTACAAATACCTGCACAAGATCCGGCAGCTATGCCAAGATGTAAATTATTCTTATTACGCGGGACTCTACCGGTAAAGAGAGATCATCCTTTTTCATCCTTCGGGGGCGAATCAAAGTTACGATCGTTTCAGCCGCAACACGGTTTCCCGGATGTGTACGTTTGGATGGTCACCGGATCGAAACGCGTAGCTTACGCGAGCATTACCGCTGCCGACATTTTCTACGGAGAGGAAGCCTGCGGTCGAGGCATAAAATGTGGCCAACGAGTCAATATATCCTTGACGGATCCCAAAGATGGGAGGACGGTTTACGGATACGATTCTTACGATATCGACTTGCTTTTGTGGCTTGGGAACGCGAAATACCTGAATGCCTGTTGGAGCATGATTCCCGCAGGATTCGACAACGCCGTTCAAACCGATCAATTCCCGCAGGCTTTCACTTATACGGAATCGCACGTAATTACCCCTTACCTTTATCTTAAGATACTTCTCTTTATTCTCTGTCTTCGCGGTTCCATCCTTCGATTACAGAAGTTTCAACTCCGTGCACACGTGTTTCAAGGACGGTTCGATCCCGGCATGGACAGTTCGGGACTCATGGATCCGTTAACGAGAGTTAAATTTCACGGGCATTCGATGTCCACGCAAGTGAGTCAACCGACGATTCTCCGAACCGACTCCGGGGCGTTACATGGATTTCTTTTCCGATTCATCCCGATCAATTTGCGAACAGGTCATCGGACAAAGTCTCGATCCGTTTTGGGACCAAACCCTCATATTCCCAGTGGTCGATATCTTCGGTACGCGATCCGGCATCAAGCGACTTCCCCCGAAAGTCATCATCGAAATATTCGACCAAGATTTCTGCGTGAGTTTCCCCCCCGCACATTTTCGCACATTTTCGATGAGATTTCTGTGGAATGACTCGTGTCAAGAGCGACGAACACCTTCAACAGGGGACGATGGAACCGTTTGGAACGAGTTTCGCGGAACCGATAGTCAACGTTTCATCCGAACCTTATTCGGTACCGAAGTTACAGTGGTACAAATTCGCCTCGGGAGATGATCGGCTTGGAGATGCCAACGGTGCCATTCTGGCGGCATTCGAGCTCATCGAGGTGCGGGAAAATCCGGGGAAGAGTCAGACATTAACGTAACGTCACCGACTAATTTCCTTTACCTCAGATGGGAGAGGAGGACGCCAGGGTCGAATCCGTGCGCGTTAAACCAGCGAAAAAATTATACAGCATTCCAAAAGACATTAAGCCCAAAATGACGACTCATCGTTTGGAGATCATCTTTTGGGGCGTTCGGGATATGAAACGGGTACACCTTCTTCCCGTTTTGAAGCCTAAAATCATTATCGAGACTGGTGGGGTGCACGTTAATTCGGAGATCATGGAAAGTGCCAAGAAATTTTGCAATTTCCAAAAGACGCACGTTGTCATCGACCTGGTAAAGAGGAACAACGCGTTGCAAAGTCAAAGAGGATCTCGCCAACGGCTGATCGGACTCATTTTACTCTTTTAGGAAATGCCAGATAACGACATTTATTATCCACCCGTATCGATCAAGGCATACGATTCCCGGGGATTCGGTTGTTCGAAATACCTTGGAGTCTGTTTTATTCCTACGGTGCACGTTTTTCTTCATCGTTTAATAACGGAGGAGGAGTATAATTCACAATTATTTAATTCTACGGGAAATCGTGCCGCAGAGCTCTGGTATTCGTCCAACGTAATACGTACGCAAACGTTTAACAAATGTTACCACACGGGTCGGAATTAAGGTTCAATTATATTTTCTCCATCTTCCACAGTACCTCTGCCTCGCGATTATAACCCCGACGTGGAGGAATCAAAGGGTTTGATCTCCTACAAGCTGCGCAACCCTGCGAAACCGCATTTAATCAAGAAAACCTTATCGTTCGTTACGAACTCAAAGGTATTCGAGATGCTAACCCGATGCTGCAGGAAGAAGGAGGAAATCATTTACGGAGACGACGACGACGGAACGCACGACTGGTGGAGTAAATATTTTGCATCTTTACAGGTAATTCGACAGATAACGAGTAATACTCCAGTCGACCGAGAAACCACGATATACTTGGCGTTTTTCTCAGGAGGAGAAAGATATCATGGCCGGGATAAGGAGTCCACGATATCGGCGTAAATCCGTAGCCACGTTTAAGGTAAAGTTAACGTTTCAAAGAAGGTGGGTTACGCCATACGACCGATTGAAAATGATCACCTGAAATTTGCCAGATATATACCTCGGAACTGGAGACACAGCCAGAGTTTGCAGGATTCCAAGACAGGATTAGAACGTTCGAGTTGGTCAAGGGAAAATTGGACAACGAGTCCCGCGTATATAAAAAAAATGTCGTGGGAATATTTAAGGTACGCGTTGCACGTAGATACGATATCTTCGAATATAGATATAACATCTCGGAATACAGGGGTACATTGCCCTCTATCGCTGGCCCCATCCCGGAAACGTGCCATGTAAAACAAAAAGGGGTAGAGACGCGACGTACGGCATCTGCGACGACTATCCTTCTCAAGAGTCCATCAAAGTCCTCGTACGGGTCTACGTCATCAAAGGTACATCTCCCGATTCGTTCGGCTCGTTCCGATCGACGAATATTTCATTAGATCATTTTCAAAACATTTTCAAAATCAATTTCAGGAGTAAATCTGCATCCCAGTGATCCTTTGACAGGAAAGTCGGATCCATACCTGCGCGTCGTGTTAGGAAAAACATGCGTTAACGACAAGAAAAATTACATCCCAAACGAATTGAATCCAACATTCGGCAAGTAAGTCATCACTCGTCGAATTCAATTTTTCCAAAAGTCAGTCACTTCGACCGATCTTTCTTTAGATTGTTCGAAATTAAAGCGACCTTTCCGAGAGACCATACCTTAACGATACAAATATGGGATTACGATGCTACCAGTCCGGACGATTTAATCGGGGAAACGAAAATAGACATTGAGAATCGGTTCTACAGCAGGCACCGAGCAAACTGCGGCTTGGCCAAAACTTACGCCAGTACGGGGTACAATGTATGGAGAGACAAGGAGAGTCCATCGCAAATCTTGCAATTTCTATGCATGAAAAACAATCTCCCCGTGCCGGAGTACCACGAAGACGTGGTCAAAATCGGGAAAAAGAGTTTTCCCTTTAACGCGGTCTTGGAACACCCTACCGAAGCCGGTAGTATTTTCCCAATTATCCATTACGTTACTTCGTTAGGAGATATACAAACTTGGATATTAATTTCATAAACGATACGTGGTTTCCAGACATAGAAAATTGCATGGCACTCAATGTTCTTCACCAGTGGGACAAATTTCCGATTTGTGGGCATGCCCTCGTGCCGGAGCACGTCGAAAGGCGTTCACTTTTTAATCCAGAGAGGCCAGGACTGGAACAGGTATTTCTAACGAGTCTCTCTCTTAAATCACCCCATCACGGTGGGCCATTTCCAGCCAGCAATCCGTTAAAACAAACGGTGACAATTACTCTAGGGCAAACTGGAACTTTGGGTCGAAATATTCCAAGAGAACGAATTGCCTATGAAACCACCGATCGATATAACACCCCACACCCCCGAGGATTACGAACTTCGAATAATCATTTGGAACACGGAGGACATACCTCTCGTGGATAGTCAGTTTCTAACAGGGGAGAAGTGTTCAGATATTTACGTTAAAGGGTAGGTGCCACGCTATCTACTACTTCTTCAGACACAAGAGTAATACTAGTTTCAAACTATCGCACATTTACCCCGTTTATTATTTTCAAATATTCATTATCGATTATTCTCATTGAAATCAGGTGGATCGTTCACGATGACATTCAGAAGACAGATGTTCATTACAATTCATTGACTGGAGAGGGTAATTTCAACTGGAGATTCATCTTTCGTTTCTCGTATTTAAGTAGCGAGAGAATGATGGTAATTAAAAAAAAATTGTCGACTTTTGCAAAAAATGAGACAGAACAAAAGGTCCCGTGCAAATTGAACTTGCAAGTGTGGGACAGTGATCATTTGTCACCCGACGATTTCTTAGGTAAATTTAATCTCGACAAAAAAAAAAAGAGCCGATTAAATCATTTAAATATATGTCAAATTGTATATTCTTAATTAGGCGCACTTTCCATCGATTTATCGAGGATGCCGAAAGGGAGTGCAAACCCAAAAAACTGTACTCTCAAAGTTATGGATCCAGAGTCTACTACCATAAATCTGTTTAAAACCATGCGAATGAAAACCTGGTTACCATTTACTTACAGGACCGAAGCAGGAGAATACGTCCAAGCAGTAAAAATTATTTTAATTACCTACCGATGTGGAATTATAAAACCGAGTTAAAGTATTTTTTTTGTCATAGGGCAAGATCGAACTAGAACTGATATTAATGCTCATAGACGAAGCGGATAAAGATCCTGTGGGACTGGGGAGACAACCCCCCGAACCTCTCCCTCCACCAAAGTATACCAATTTGTATTTTCAATCGTTATCTTTCAGAAAGTGAAAGCAAACCAGGCAACAAATCGTTTTCTATCTTACAGTCGTCCCGATACATCCTATTCCTGGTTACGTAACCCTTGGAAGGCATTTCGTTTCGTGGTGTGCAGATATTATAAATGGAAAATTATATGCTGTATTACAGGAGTTCTGGGAGCCTTACTCGTCGCATGTGCGGTGTATGCCTTCCCCGGTTATTTCGTTAAAAGACTGTTGGGTGCCTAGCAAGTATTCGTTTTTTTATTAAGTAGCTAATCATACCCAACCATACTAATTTCGCTTGCAGTATTTCCTCCCTTTCTTAGGTAACAGATACACTATTTCATGTAAAGTTGGGAAATGGAATGTTTTCACTCGTCCAATTAATTTCTTTTCAAAAGCGTCCAAGTTAAGTAGGTATAATACGTCCCTAAATTTCTATGCGATTAAAGTATATATTACGCCCTTCTATTTCTAAATAAAATATAATAAATTCAACTAAAAATTTGATAATGAACAGTGTTGAGTCGAAAGAATTTTAAACATAAGCGTCAAATTACTCCTCTTCCGCCGGCCGGGCCGCAATCCCCGGCCGTGACCGACTCCGTGATTGGACGACGTCACCGGCCCAATCACGGTTCATTATCGGGCCGGTGTATCCGTGGCGTCACCATGCTTCCGGTGGAAAGATGGCGGAGCTCAAGTCGAAAGGCAATACAGCTTAGGTCCTACTGGCACAAGGATGAAGAGCCAATCAGTGCTGCTTTTGGTTTCGTGTAACACTTCCGCCGGAGTTTTGATTGGTTTGTCATCCACGACGCTTTAACGCGCCGGGATTTCGGAAATAGTTTCACACGTGGCGAAGTCCAGCGAAGTTGGAGCAACCCAAGAAGTAATTACCTATAAATATATTTGAGTAAAAAGTGAGATACAGAAATAACAAAAAAGTAAATAAAAGTAATGAAAATTGAATAAAGAAAGCAACACTAGTACCGGATTCGTACATGGAGTGAAAATCCCATGAAGAAGTGAAACGATTCTAGGTTCTTGATGTAAATGTATGTTTTTACAAAAATAAAGACACAGTAATAATGGCATTATCAAAAGGTGAGTTTTTCAACTTATATGGAAAAGTTGTAATCGACAGGCAGTTGTAACTTATTTATTTGTGTCACTTGGTATCAGCTTGTGGAAATTTAACCTCTTGAAAGCTCTGTCGATTATGTCAAGACTTTTATCTGTTAAAAAAAAAAAGAAAAGAAATGATAATCTTACTGCATATTTTCTAGAATTGTTGCAATGTCTAAATTGTGACGAAGAGCCTATAGCAAAGCGTTTGAAATTTGCTCATAACGTCTTGCATGATACTAATTTACCATTCATTCATAAGAATGATGTTATTTTGCAATGGTTATGTATGACTTCGCAAAAGGACTCAAGAGTATGGCAAACGCTGAATCTATGCTTGTGCTCTGACAATGTTGACGGTGGAATTACATTAAGGCCAGAAATAAAAGAAAAACTGATCGATTCATTAATTGACTCGTTCAATATTGGAGTAAAGACAGGCTACTATGACATATTAATATGTTGTTGCTGGATATTTTCGAATGTAGGAATGCAGCAGTATTTCAGAACCAAATTGTCGAAGTTTGGACAGTTTTCTGAATGTTTATTGAGATATATGTACAAATTTTTAAAATCCAACGATAAAGAATCCAAGTATGATTACGTCAACGATGTTGCATTAAAGACTGACCCTTTGACAGAACTGTCCTTAAAGGCTGCAGTTAATTGCATAGAATGCAACGTGCAAATATATAAACAATCTGCTAATAAGGACGAGTTTACAGAAATGTTTTTAAACAATATTTTATATGCTTTGTGTGCTCAAATAAACACAAACGATACAAATAGATTGGGAGCAGAAACTCATAAATGTCTTCAACATATAGTATTTGGGAAGTTCAGATATACTCGGTACAAAGAATATGTACTAACGGATGTAGAAAGTATCCCAGCAAAGTTGTTCTCAACATTGAAAAGTAATATACTAACGACAAACATTGAAACTAATTCAGTAGTTTTTCTGTACATTTACCGAGCTGCAATAAGTTCTTATAAATACGATCCTGTGACGCTTGACAAGATATTCAGATATATGATTAATTCGGCAGGGGCACATAAAATTAAAATTCTAAGCTCTGTTCTTGGATGTCTAAATGACATTGCTTTTGACTTCAACAATAAAGTTGAAGGCACAACATTGACATCTTACATCGAAGATATTATTGAAGAATTACTTTCCAAAGAAACGTTAAATACTATTGATCACACTGTTATTAGTAGAGTTTGTAGTTTGAATCCTCTTATTATCGAAAATAAGTTACCAGCCATATTGAAGAAAATATTACCAATGGAAGGGAATTCAGAAACTGAAGAAAATTCTTTGGAGAGTCTCACAATCGATATCGTGGAAGCTAGCATTCGCTTAAGAAGGGAACAGAAGCTTGTATCGTGGTTCTTAATGGCATTAAAACAATCTCTGATGGAAAACAAAATGTTCAGTGGAAAGAAGCATGTTATATTTCCATTGAAATTCAAGTTGAGATTCACAAGGTGTGTCGAAGGTTTAACAAGTTCCCAGGTCATAGATGTTCTAAAATCTATAATGTTTCACTTAAATATCGATTGCACGGAAGCTATCAAACTTATGCCTTCGAGTAAGTGTAACAAAACATATATTAGTCCAATGTTTATTATAATTACATCTATGTAATTGATTTAGTATTTAATAGGTTCAAGTTCTGTGATGATAAGAGGGACCATTGAATTATTGGTTGCTTTCTTCAATGGTGTGCGTATTGCCGAACATACCGTCCCACATACCCTTCAAGCAAAGTTTTTCACAGTTCTTACAGAACTAGGAAATACATTGTCATTATTAACTGAGAAAATGCTTTCGTTAAAACATAATAACAAAATTAGCGTTGCATTACTCTGCGCTATATTATCATGGAAGGAAATGTTCAACTTAACAAAACATTATGCTTCAAAGATAACTTTAAACAAAACGAATTCTTTGCCATCGTCTGACCTTTGGCAGAAATTAGTTCAAAGGGTCATCGAACATGGGAACGAGAACTGCAAAATGGCCGTGGTATGATTTAATAAGAAATGTATAAAATGCTCATTAGTTACTGTTGTTTTTATAGAATTTTACCGTTTCAGAATAAGATCGTGCTACATGATTTGAAAACATGTGAAGAAGGTGAAAACGAACCACTAGAAATATTAAATGATTTAGTAGGAAATCCAACTTGTTCCTGGTATCTCATATTGAAACATTACCCCGAAATACTACTATATTTAAATAACGTACAACAATCAGAGATAGCATTGCAATTATTTGCCAACGAAACGTTGCAAGGAAATAATGGTGAAGAATGGTTTATGATCTTGAGCAAAGAAAGTTTACTGGAAAATAAAAGTTTTATAGTCGTTTTGCTGTGTCAAGTGCTCGTTCATCTTGGAAGAGAGATCGCCCCAAGTTTTACGAGTTCATTGACAGAATGCATCGATACTGTAAGAATAGATTACATTATTTTTTTTTTTATCTAAAGTTAATTCACAATAAACCCGAAACTGTGACTAATAGGTAAAAGTGGCAGAAAGCGAGGAAGCTGATGACTCGGAGATTCTCCACCTCCTGAAAAGTATAAAGGCAAAAATGGAAGAACCGAAATGGACGTGTGTAGAACTTGAAAGTTCCTGCAACATTCGGAGATATATAGATATCTTGCGACACTTACCCTTGTTACATTTGTCTACAAATCTCAAGACTTTAGTGTTTATAATTATATATTCCGTTAGCAGAGAGTGTTGTCAATCTGAAAATGTGACGACGGCATGTAACAAAATATTATTGGGTAATTACACGTTATTAAAATTATTTTCTAATATTTTCTACATTATCCTTATATAATTTATTGGTATTACATCGTACGCCATTTACTGAAAAAGATGCTAGATTCAATGCCAGTACAAATGCTAATACACGATGTTTACTGTTTTCAGACGCCCTGGAGAAAAGAGGTCTTGATATATTTCAATATATCAACCCAAGACCACCGATGAGCGAGTTAGCGAGTAATAAAGTTTACTCAAAAGCTTTTAAATATTTCTTGAGCAACGTCACCTCATACGCTACCCTTAAACCTCTAATCACGTCGGAAGAATGTGATGCGACATCCGCATGTGCTCTATTAGAGTGTATAGAAAATATAAAGTCAAAGTTGACCTCTGAACAAAAAATAATTTTTAAGAAGGTAGAAAGAAAGTTATGTCGGAAAATTGTCAATGCCTTTCCATCGCAAATTGATGGAGTTGCCGATATAAGAAATATAACGGCGGTATTGAAAGCTGCTGCTGTATACAACGAGATCCGGGACGATCTTGACGAGAAGATTAAAGCGGCTCTGAATTATATTTTTCTGGTAGGTTGTATACCGTGTGGATTTTTTCAAACGGTGTTGTTTAATATATTTAATAAATGTTACTTATTGTTTCAAGAACGAAACGGTGAATGTAACCTGTCAAGAGAAAGATCTCGTTCAAGAAGGCTTGGTACTAACGGAAGTACTTTTGAAACATTATAAGACCTTAAAGATCGAAACAGAAGTTGCGGATCGGATATGGGTTGCAACTCTCGCAAATCCTTACAAAAATGTATTAGTTCCTTTACTGATGGCAACACCGTCCTCGCTAAACAAACTGCTGCATTTACTACACGAGCAAGTGGTAAGTTTCGTGTGCCGAACAAGTTTTTTTATTAACGTATACGCGGAATATTTTGCCTGTACGTGGTCTACAAGTAATACACATCCATTTACAGGCAGTTGGACTACAAGAGACAAACCTGACACTCGTCGACAATGCTTTTTTCATCTGGGATTGCATCTTGAATGTTGATATGTCTGTCGCACGTAAGAAGCTTCGATCCACTGCAGTACACAATCTCTTTTACGTAATAGGAACTACTCCCATCTCGAAAGAATGTTGGTTAAAAGTATTAACATTTTTCCGAGGCATCCTTGTATCAAAACATATGTTTGTTACGCCACCAACAATAGACCTAATCATGCAGAACGCTATGAAATCGTTACGAGAAATTGGTATACTAGCATGTACAAATGTGATGTCATTGTGCTTATCGATACTAAGAATTTATACGAATTCCATTATGGACCGACTTCCCATGTTGTTGCTGGTGTATCGAAAGGTAGTGAAAATTACCATAATAGAATCCCGAAAGGATCAGAAATGCTTTGACAACAAACATCTGAAGAGTATTGCTCTTGACATAGAAAGGTATGTACTCTTTCTTCAAAATTACCTTCTATTAGCAGTATTTACAGTTTTTTTTTTTTTGTAAAATTATTGCAGAATGGCAATTAGTTTAGTAAAACTGAAAAGAGACATGACAAGAATCAGCCCTTACGTTATAGCTGATTTTGTGGAGTTCTTCTCCGAGGGAGTCGTACCAACCGACATAAAGGTAAGATATTAATTTTTCAGTTTCACATTTGCCAATTCTCAGACTTTTCAAATAAAAATCAACATCAAGGCTGATCAGATTTCTTAAACATTATTTTACAAATAATTTGGTATTTCTATATACTCCACTTTTTATTATAATTGATACATTATGATACGCTATCGTCATCATTACAGAATCCTCTAGAGAATGCTGTGAGTCATCTTTTTAGTACCTGTGACCCTCATGCGATATCTTGTCTATCGCGAGCTTTGCCACCGGCCAAGCAAGAAATATTTAAAACTTTATATAATACTTACGCAAAGTTTTACAAATTCACTGGGAAAATCTAAGGGTGGTATATGCAAACGCCGCTTTTTTATTTTTTTCCCCCTTTGTATACGAGATATTTTGTACGGCACATAAATGATAATGAATAATAAAGCACGTTGCATATAACCGTGTAATAATTCGACAAAGTACAATCTACAATACGATCAAATTAAGCGCGTGTTCTATCGTAGATGAATCTATGTCAACGCCTGACGCTCTTAGTAGCAGAGTAGTCAACGGGTTAATTGTCAGGTGAGTCGTTGGGCACGTGGCATGTACATATGTATGTACATATGTACATTCGTTACCCCTTCCGCTGCAAGGCGGTCTAAAATCCGATTGGGTCGAGTGCCGTCGGCACACGTGGTCCATGTGGTATTCGAGTTACCCCTTCCACTGCTATGCGAGGTCTAGATATTTATGGTCTAAGGGGCGTTACTGGCAGTACTCGTGTACGAGATGGTGGTCATTTGGTGACACGCAAGTACTAAACTCGATCTTCTTTCCGACCGCTCCGAACGAGGATCGATGCACAATCGGAGTAGAAAACGGGATAGTCGGAATACTTGGAGATAAATTCGACTTCCCAGTAGGTTTCCGATGTATACGTCGGCTGGGGAGAATGGCTCTTTCATCGAGACGATCAATAAGTTCACTTATGAAGTGTTTTGTGTAGTTGTCACAGCGCTCGGGATCTCGCAAAGGCCAACCGCGGCCCCTACGAATGAATCACAGCAGGATCTTCTCGAACGCTTTAAAACCGTTCTAACGTGGCTGGCATTCGACGACTTTCAGTCTCTCTTGGTGCGAGTTTTCCTCGCGTTGCTTGCCACCAACGTAGCCCTGATCTGCGTTTCCTGGCACGTCTATGGAACTAGGATTTGCGATCGGTTCATGAAGCCAGGTGAGACTCGACATTCGATGAGTCATCGACACTAGGTGGTTGACGATCGGATGGGTTAAATGCCGCGTAATCGCTCGACCACTGGCGTCAGCTGGTCCGTGTTAGCCAGTGTTAGCTGGCGACTTATTTTGCCATTTTTTATTTCTCTTACTTAGCATGCTTTTGTGACCGTGTGCAGTTGAATTAACTAAGTGAAATACTTATATCCAAGTTAATCGTTGGTTATATTTCAATCAAATGAGATAACGCAGGATTCGATTTAAAACGATACTACCTTTTTGTAGCAAAAGCCTAACCTCACTTCTTTGACGTTCGCCTGCGAGTCGAGCTGCTAACAAAGAACTTTCACGTGGAGATAGGTAATTTACGGCATATTAAGGGTATTTTTGCTCGTTGTTGGGTAGATTATTTTTTATAGAATAATAATTATAGTCTGAGAGGGGTAGAACCATGTCGGATCTTTAATCGTAATTAAATGTTAGAAATTAAACGGTATCGGCTAGGAATCTTGTCTGCTAGGAATTTGTCTGCTAGGAATTTTCTTTGCTATGATTTCGATTAATAACTATTTTAATTATTTTGGCTTAATATTTAATTTCAACATGTGGTTAATCGCATTGTTTCAGCACCACCCGAGGCCGTTAAAAAGTTACAAGAAACTATTTTGCAATTGAGGTTACCAAGGGAACACTCTCAAAGAATTTAATTTTCAAGAATTATTGCTTCTACCTGTGAAGTCCTAGTGATGGAAATGGCTGACAAAATTACATCTTTCTTTAAGAAAAGAGCCAATTCAAAATTCAAAAATGCAGGACAAGGACACAAGTATTTAAGCATGGTCTATTTTATTTTATCACTTTAGATATTTACCGGTTGTCTTAACCATTGGTTCTTTGTTGTTAGATTAACCGAATCACGCGTTCCTACATCTGCCCCAAGTCATAGCATAGAAAACGTTCAAAGAATTGAACCAACCCCTGAAGCAAAAATAGCTGGCCAAGCTGCATTAGCTCGATTAGAAACTAAGAAAAAGGTTGCACCTTTTGTTAAATCGTATGTATCGGTTTCTGATCTATTTTGCCATATATACAAATGTACACGAACAAAAGTAAAGATAGCAACCATTCTACATATTTTAGATCGTACTCGTCGATACAAGCACAGGTGAAGAAAGAGCTGTTGGCTGAAATGAGTGCAAAATCAATGTTACCCACAGAAAATTGCAATACCGATGAAAGGGACAATGTCAAAAACACGAGTCACGATACCAAGAGTGCTACATCGATTGTATCCGATATCTATTTTCGTTGTCCATTAGTATCGGAGGAAATCTTACCGGAGGAAGAATGGCATTCAAAGATTCGAGAATTTCTGTTTGAGCAGCTCGAAAATGAGCCAGGTTTAACAGCCTGCTTGATCATTCGGAACTGCAACTTTGATGACGAGAGAATCAGGAATTGTATAGAAATACTATGTAAATATCTTGAAAATATCATTAAAAATTTGACCGATGAAAAATATTGGAAGATTCGATTATCTAATAAAATATTCCAGGTAAGGAGATGTACAGTTACTGCATGCGTTTTTTAATATTACTCGTAACATCGATGGCAGCGGTACGTGTTACTTCATTTAACTGATTTTTTTAAATTTTATTTCTTTTTCCATCGAAATTAGGAGAAAGTAAAACCACTGGAGGGATCCTTAGAGTTATTGAAAGCAGCTGGCTTCGAAGAAAGGAAAATAATTCATGAAGGTAAAGAAGAAGACTTTTTGATCTGGAATCCTGAAAATTCCAGCACAGAAAATATATCAATATTATTAGATGCTCTTAAATCGGTGGAGCCGATACCCTTGGAATTAGATAGGAATTTACAGGTATTACTTCCGAGTCAAACCCTGGAATACACAGAACTACCTCCAAATTTCTACAAAATTTCAGCGCAAGAAATTAAAAAAGAATATCAGCACAGGTAATAACCTAATGACTGTGCTTATTAACATATTAATATAACCAGAAATTTTGCATACTTCCTAACGGGGAAATGTTAATCATTATGAATCGTATGCTAATTGTAAATAAATTCTTATCAACTTTCACTTGTGCAGAACCGAAACGGTGAAGTTAAACGAAACACTTCGTACAACAGAAATGAGAAATGCATCAAAGGACATGAAATGTTATCGGTTTACAATAATTCGTGTAAAATTTCCTGATGGCATCACGCTTCAAGGAACGTTTGCTACCACAGAAACGATTGACAACCTTATAACGTTTGTGAAAGAAAGCTTAATAAGTGAAGAAATTCCATTCGTTCTGACGACGTTCAGTGGAAAGAAATTAAGTAGTCACGATCTCGGGAGCGATAAAGAGAGCACTCTTTTGGATTTGGGATTGGTACCAACGAGCATCGTACGGTTTTCATGGAATGTTACCGATAATAAGCCTTCAACGTACTTGAAAGATGAAGTCATCATTCTCATGCAGCAATTGGAAACGTAATCGTCGTTCGTTTGCATCAATTACTGCAAAAGCAACTATAGCCCAAGCGTAACTATAGCGTCTTCTGTGTGTCTATAATTTACATCCATTTGTAAAAGTGATTATCGATAAATGTAAAGTATGCTTTCTCGCTGTATAATCAGAAATGAGAAAAGTGCTCTTTTCAGCTGCAATTTAATCACGTTGAGTAAACTAAAAGGAACCCGTCGCCTCGTACTGTACGATATTCAAAGACTCAACGTTTGTAAATACCCAATCGAATTTTATCAAATTAAAAGATTAGATACGCTCAGTTGTTCCTACGGTTACTAAAGATGATACGTACAAAGTATTACATTTATTGAATCCGTACGAAATTTACAAAGATTGCACATCAGAAGTACATTCGCAATATAGAAGCAATTGATTCTTCATTAAAAGAAGTAAAGGTCTAGGTTGCGATTACCAGTCTCAAGGTTATTCACTTCGACTTGGTTTTTCTTAATCGTACATAGGGTCTTGTAAATGCAAAAGCGAGGAGACCGTAAATGACTTACCGTCTCCTCCCTCCGTAGATTATTCTACCCCGTAGATATCGGTAATTAGGACTTCTATCACGTCGTGTCGTTCGGTCAACGATCATTGCCCCCCCCCCCCCCCCNTTATTATAATTACAATATACGTTCCTATAATAAAGTGTTTTCTTTGATAAATAGGTACAAATGGTACTACGTGTTTATCGAAGCAAGTAAGATACTTTCAAATCAGTTATTGCTCGAGTCGATTACTCGTTATCGGTAAATCAAAGTCTCTCTCTTGGATTTAAAATTATAAATCGAGGATTCCACATTCGAAGAACCTACGCATCGATGACTTTCTCAACAATATGGTGATTTAATCGAAAGGTCAAACCATGCTGTAAAACATACAAAATCTTGTCGTAGGATAATGCGTTAATGTACTCGTAAGACATTTGAAGCAGCACCGAGCTATTAACTTTTGTGGTGGCATCTCGTAATCGTAACTTCCGCCAATCCCCCGTGTCATCTTCTGTGAACGGGGCCGATGGTCTTATTGAAAAGCGTATTCGCAATCACGATAACTGGAGAAAATAACTTGAGTGGGCAGTCACTGTAACATGTCGAAGAAGCAACGGATAACGAAAGTAACGCGGTACAAACGAAATTGTTCCGAAGGTTCAACATGCATTGCGAGAAATTGACTTAAGCGGACGTTCGCTTTGCAGTCAAAGGAACGAAGGTAGGGGTAAGGGTAAGAGTACGTACCACACTCCGGTGATTGGTTCCGCCTCGTTGCCACTGACAATGAACAGTGGAAACAATATCGAAAAGACACATCCACTGAAATAACAATGCCGCGGTCAAAATATATCACCATTCCGCGCAACCGCGCAAAAGGACGTATCTTGAAAATAAGTTACCTTATAACATAGGAATCGGGCAGTTGCGTGAGTACAGCAAGTGGCATGCCGAATCCAATAAAATAAGGCCAATTGCCCTCAATGAAAGTCAATCGCCTGTGCAGTTCCCATCCCATGTTGAACCATTTATATTCAAACGCATAGAGAGCATAAAGAAGACACATGTGCAACAGAGCAAGGATATCTCCGACAGGGGGTAACGGCACCTTCGATATTAGCATTCCCTGACCGAGAAACAATGCCTGAACCAATACATTAAAAAATGTATCGGCTACCAGCTTGCTCATACTTGACAAGAGAAACGGTCTACCCTGTCTGTATCTGTATGCGCTATCCGCTATATCCTGTATAGTTAATACAAAATCAAGACGGGAAAAGTATTTATATTGGCTTCCGTATTAATCGTAGAGGATTGCAGGATATTAGGGTCTAATGCTAATTATTGTTATCGTGTATTACAAAGGAGATACACACCTGAAACCATAAACTGTTGACTATCCTACTCAGTAAGAAAAGAGGCAACACCCACATGGTTCCAAATGTGAATGATAAAACGGGTCGCATCCATGACCATACGACCGTGCCGACACCGGAAGAATGACCAAATATGATGGTGAGGATGTATTTCAGAAATGGCAGCAGACCATATTCAAAGACCAAGATACTGAGCCAAAAGATTCCACCATTTAATGCACAACACTGTACCATTCGCTTTAATATTTTTGATTCCCTGAAATTTGTATGTTGTAAAGGAGGAAAATGAGTTATAAATGCCATTAGTTGGTGCATTACCTCTGTTGTTTCGATTGCTTGCTGGGACTGTGGTGAGCAACCGATTCTCTCCTACGAAGTTCGGCACTCGTTGAAATTCTTTTTGATTCTCTTTGATTGATGTGCTTGTCCATATAAAAAAGAACCATTCCACCCCTTAAACTGTCCATAAATCCTTGATACATTGCATTCAATATCCCCTAAACGCAAAAATATAGTTTATACGGTAATCAATTATAGAAAAATAAATACATTAATCAGATACGATGCAGCATCTTTGATGCAAGGTTGATATTTAAGTATTTAAATCACAGAATATTATGCCGTCTAAGACATGAGCAAAGTACATACCATTCTCATAGTTTTACCTTGGATATTACATAATACTTGATATTGGTAGAGTTTAGGAAACTATTTCATAAAATATCAATGACCTATATCGTGTGTATAATAATAAATGCTCGAGCAAGAAAACTGAATTATTGTTATTCAGGTAAATATCACGTTTTATTATCTTAAGACTTTTTAATCTACAATGGAAATTATTGCAATGTTGATTCGGGCATGCGTTTGGAACAAATATGTGTACAAACCCGAATCCATGTGGCCATGAGGTGACTTTAATACCACGCTCTACTTGTAACTTTACTTTTGCGTCTAATTGCATGTACCAATGGACAAGGTTCTGTAAACTTGGTTGTGGCTGAGCAATGGTTAAAAATAAATGTAAATGTACATGCTATCCAAAGCATTGTCATGTGTCTCAAAGAAATATTGTGAAATATAAACTAGGAGTGAAACTCACGAAAAAAAAATCACTAATGTAAAAGCTAACATTTACATAAAGAACACACAGATATAAGTGTTTTATGGTTAGGGACGTTTTCACTCTAATGTACTGATTCAATTTAATTAGTACTTACCGCGATGTTACGCATACTTTAATATTCTAAAACATAACGACCAAATTGAACGTGTGAAAGTTATAGGAAAGGTATTTAATTATCTCTGTTTCAGTTATCCCGCGAAACAGATAAGGGACGTTTATTGACTCGAGCATAAACTATGAAAACGGTCGAGAATCTCCTTCCTTCTCGCATGGTTCTACAGGTCTGTATGCACATACAGGAACTGCAGAAACATACAGTTCCGTTTTCAAGTAATTTACGGCTCGTACAAAATTCGTCACATAAAATACCTAGTAATTTACTGTAAAAAGCTACGTAAATTATGTAAATGCATGCTGATGCACACGGATTCACACGCGGAACAATCACATGTGAAGGTTAAGTGTTATGTTTCATGCTATTTCACGTGCGAATCGCTGCGATTGGTTATTTTGAAAGCTCGAAAGAATATTTAGAGATATTTCAATCAAGTAAGGGCTTTGGAAATGTATTTCTTATGAGGTGGAATATAATGGAAGCAATCGTTTATCGCGATAATTTGCCTGCGGAACGTACAAAATACTTTTATAGCAATTAATAATGCGCTGAGCGGCAAGAATCTAACCTCAACTAATAACCCGAGCTTCTGTTTACCTGCTTTGTTGACAACTTGAAAATGTATTCAATCTGTAAAAGTACGCATCCCGCCACGGGGGTGGAACATGCAATAACGTGCTATTTCTTCAACCGATCGGAAAAGTGCCTGGTTGTAGCTGGAGCAAACATTATAAGAGTATTTCGCTTAATACCAGACATCGATACTACAAGAAGGGAAAAATATGCAGGTACGATTGCATTTCTGTAAGAACAATACCATATAGATTTGTATATTTCAATAAATTGTGTTAAATTTTCAGAAAGTCGGCCACCAAAAATGAAACTAGAATGTTTAACCCAATTCACGTTGCATGGAATTATAATGTCAATGCAAGCGGTTCACTTGATTGGTTCGTCCCGTGATTCTCTCTTATTGAGTTTTCGAGATGCAAAGCTTTCCGTAGTTGAATATGATTTAGAAACTCATGATCTTCGCACGGTTTCCTTGCATTACTTTGAAGAAGAAGAAATGAAAGTGAGTAATTTAAGTTGAAATCATTATGAAGGATATATTACAATGATACTAAAGTATATTATTTGAAACTCGATCTTAAAGTAATCGCTAATTTACTATATCTCAATATATAGGATGGCTGGACACATCATCATCATATTCCAATTGTCAGAGTAGATCCGGAAGGCAGATGTGCCATTATGTTAATTTATGGAAGAAAACTAGTCGTGCTACCATTTCGTAGAGATCCAACCATAGATGATGGAGACTTACTTGAAAACACAAAGACGAATTCGTCAAATAAAGCTCCTATTTTATCGTCGTACATGATTGTTTTAAAAAACTTAGAGGAAAAAATGGATAACATAATAGATTTGCAGTTTTTGTATGGATATTATGAACCAACATTATTAATTTTATATGAGCCTGTGCGTACATTTTCTGGGTACGTGTTCAAATACATATGCATAGACTATATCAATGACAATTTCTTTATGTAGACGATTAATTTGGCTGCTTGTTAATAATTTAGACGGATTGCAGTCCGACAAGACACCTGTGCAATGGTTGCAATATCACTGAACATTCAGCAAAAGGTTCATCCCATTATTTGGTCAGTATCTAATTTGCCATTTGATTGCTACCAAGCAGTGCCAGTTAAGAAGCCATTAGGTGGGACACTCATCATGGCTGTAAATTCTTTGGTGTATCTTAATCAAAGTATACCACCATATGGAGTATCGCTCAACAGTCTGGCGGACTCGAGCACGAATTTTCCACTTAGTCAGTATAAGTAATGATATGATGGACTATCATTGATGTCCAGGAAGGAGTGGGAAGATTTTTTCTTTATACTGCCATTTTCATTTTCATTTTAGAACCTCAAGAAGGAGTGAAAATGAGCTTGGAGGGTGCTCAAGTTGCATTTATTTCCTCGGATCGTTTAGTAATATCCTTGAAAAGTGGAGAACTATATGTTCTTTCCTTATTTGCTGATAGCATGCGGTCAGTAAGAGGATTTCATTTTGATAAAGCCGCTGCTAGCGTTTTAACATCATGTGTAAGTAATATTTGTAATATAGATTTTTTTGTTGTAATATTTTTTCAGTTGAATTTTATGCTGTAATTTGTAATATAAGTATATTATATGTATTTCTAATATTAATGTCCTGACAGGTTTGTGTATGTGAAGATAATTACCTGTTTCTCGGTTCTCGGCTTGGCAATTCTTTGCTGTTGAGATTTACGGAAAAGGAACCAGAAAATATACAGAATTTAAATTCTGGAGAAATTATCATCGATGATAATGACAGTGACGAGACTCCTGCCAAAAAAGTCAAGCAAGATTTTCTTGGAGATTGGATGGCTTCAGATGTCTTAGACATCAAAGATCCAGAAGAGCTTGAAGTTTATGGAAGTGAAACGCAAACCTCGATACAAATAACTTCTTACATATTTGAGGTACTAGAAAGTATTTAAAAATTTGCTGCTAGAATAGAGCGTACAGCAATTTGTTTCGTCTTAGGTTTGCGACAGCCTGCTGAATATAGGACCATGTGGTAACGTGTCGATGGGAGAACCAGCATTTTTATCAGAAGAATTCTCGCACAATCAGGATCCAGATGTCGAGTTGGTGACAACTTCTGGATACGGTAAAAATGGTGCACTGTGTGTCCTACAACGTTCGATACGTCCACAGGTAAAACTTTTGGAGGGTTAAAAAAAATTCCCCATTACTGACCAAACTAAAGAAGAAAACTGAGTATTATCCTTGTAGGTTGTTACCACTTTTGAATTACCTGGTTGCGAAGACATGTGGACCGTCATTGGTTCCGTAGACAATGATGACCAAGCAAAGACCGAAGCCGAAGGGTCTCATGCATTCTTAATTTTAAGTCATGAGGATTCTACAATGGTAATCATTTTTCATAAACTTTGTCAGAATACGTTAGATCGTTTAAAAAAAATTAGTATCTTTGCGATTCGAACTCTTGTGTCTCTCAATTCCCCTTCTTTAATATTTACATAGATCTTAGAAACTGGACAAGAAATTAACGAAGTGGATCAGAGTGGATTTAGCACTCAAGGTACCACTGTTTTTGCTGGAAATCTGGGTGCAAATCGGTACATAATACAAGTTACACAAATGGGTGTGCGTCTTATGCAAGGCATTGATCAGGCAAGTACTTCTTTTATTTTTCTTTTTTACATTCGATCTTGATGCGCTTTTTCTCAAGATATTCAGATAATCTCATTGCATTCCATACCTTCTCGGATGTTGCACACTATTGTTTAAGTTTGAATCTGTTTATAGATTCAACATATACCCATGGATTTAGGTTGTCCGATAGTTCATGCAAGTTGTGCGGATCCGTATGTTGCAATACTTACCGAAGACGGACAAGTGATGTTACTGACACTGAGAGAAGGAAGGGGCACCGCACGATTACACGTGCACCCTGCTAATTTATTATTCGTACGACATTTTTATATCTTGTATAGCCCTTCGGTTATTTAACAGGTAACCGTTGCCACGTACACTGCATTAATATTTCCCAACTTTCCATTATTTTACAGCGTCCCCAAATAGAAGCACTTTGTGCTTACAGAGACGTAAGTGGTATTTTCACAACGTACTTGCCAGAAGATACTGACGACGATGCTGTCGAAGAAGAGAAAACTGTAGAGGAACTTACTACGATCGAAAACGTGGATAATGAGGATGATTTGCTCTACGGAGATGCGCCCGCGTTTCAAATGCCTGTCCCTCCTCAGACTAAAACTACCGATGGTATTACGAAAAAATCTCCCTGGTAAGATAGTGTTTGCTTTGATAAAATATATCGAGACATGCATCGTAATGGCATTAAATTGTTCAATGCAGGTGGCAAAAACATTTGCAAGAAATGAAACCCACGTACTGGCTTCTTGTCTATCGAGACAGCGGCACTTTAGAGATTTATTCGCTACCAGACCTGCGACTATCATATCTGATACGCAATTTTGGTTACGGACAGAATGTATTACACGATAGCATGGAATCTACTACCATTCAATCGGTTCAAGTTAATGAAATTCCGAATCCAGAGGTACAGGTATGTATGATAAATATATATGTAAACATGAAAAGTTATTAAAATTCTACAACAGAGTAATAATAATTATGTTTCTAAGGTTCGTGAAATATTAATGGTTGCCCTAGGACATCACGGTAACAGGCCGATGCTATTGATGCGGTTAGATTCTGAATTGCAGATTTATCAGGCATACAAATATCCAAAGGGTCATCTAAAATTGCGATTCAAAAAATTAGATCACGATATTATACCTGGACAATTGAGGTTTGGCACTAAAACTACTCCGTATTTTGGAATTTTATCGAGATTTCTCTGTTAACACTCGTATATAAAAAATATTTGTTAACATAGAGTTAAACCAAAGGAAGAAGACGAACCACGTTTGAGTGATACCCGAATATGTATGATGCGATATTTCAGTAATATTGCGGGTTACAACGGAGTATTCATTTGTGGCGACTATCCGCATTGGATATTTCTTACGGGTCGTGGTGAGCTACGTGCTCATCCTATGGGAATTGACGGACCTATTACGTCATTTGCTCCATTTAACAATATCAATTGTCCACAAGGTTTTCTATATTTCAACAGGAAGGTGATAACTTGTGTTTCGTTTGAGAGCGCTTTGCATTTGTTTGTATTTATAGAATAATAATTATTTTTCGTTCCTTTCCGTTTCTAGGAGGAATTAAGAATTTGTGTTTTGCCCACACATTTGTCGTATGACGCGCCCTGGCCGGTTAGGAAAGTCCCCCTTCGTTGTACTCCACACTTTGTTACTTACCACCTCGAAAGCAAAACTTATTGTGTTATAACTAGTATAGCAGAGCCGCTGAAAAGTTACTATAGGTTCAATGGCGAGGATAAGGTATCGTTGATTCAATAACGTAATAGCTTTTCAGCGTGTCTTCCAGTTAACGTGAAAAAAATATTACGCGTATTTTCAGGAATACACCGAAGAAGAACGAACAGACAGGTTCCTTTTCCCATCTCAGGAACAATTCAGTATCGTTTTATTTTCTCCCGTTTCATGGGAAACTATTCCAAATACGAAAATCGACTTGGATCAATGGGAACATGTAACTTGTTTAAAAAATGTTTCCTTGGCTTATGAAGGAACAAGATCTGGTCTTAAGGGTTATATCGTCCTGGGTACCAATTACAACTATGGAGAAGACATTACCAGCAGAGGAAGGGTACGATTTCAATTGCTTCCTAGTATTACGGATATTGCCAACTGACACTATTTCCCATATTCTTCCAGATACTTATATTTGATATCATTGAGGTTGTACCCGAACCTGGTCAACCATTAACAAAGAATAGATTTAAACAAATTTATGCTAAAGAACAGAAGGGTCCTATAACGGCTATTACGCAAGTTTCAGGATTTCTAGTTTCAGCAGTTGGCCAAAAGGTACATGAAAATGGGCTGCAAGTACTACCGACGCAGTGGTAGTAGAATATATATCAGGGATTTGTAATCGGAAGCATATTTATTTTTCAGATCTATATTTGGCAACTTAAGGATAATGACCTTGTAGGAGTTGCCTTTATCGATACTCAAATTTACATACATCAAATGCTTAGTATTAAAAGCTTGATTCTGATAGCTGATGTATACAAATCTATAAGTTTGTTACGATTTCAAGAAGAGTATCGAACACTTTCGCTCGTTAGCAGGGTATGGTGAAATAAAATTGAATGTAGTATTAATTAAGCTGAGTTTATACAAAAATTAATTATGCAAGTAAATCAACCTTTTTTTTTTTTTGCAGGATTTCAGGCCAACCGAAGTCTATACTATTGAATATTTAATTGACAATACTTCTCTGGGTTTTCTTGTAGCTGATAGCGAGAGTAATATTGCCCTGTTCATGTATCAACCCGAATCCAGAGAAAGTCTGGGAGGCCAAAAATTAATTAGGAAAGCTGATTTCCACCTAGGACAAAAAGTAAATACCTTCTTCCGCATTAAGTGCAAAGTGACTGATCCGGCCAATGCAAAAAAACATTTTCCTGGGGCCGACAGAAGGCACGTAACAATGTATGGTAAGTATCGTGCGCACACATGAATGTGTAATAAGTAATTATCTGTTTTAAGCTTTGCATTAAAATTGACCACCTCTCATTCAATGTGCACCTTCCCAAATAAAATAATGCGTCGAATAATTCCAGCCACCCTGGACGGAAGTTTGGGGTATATTCTTCCAGTTCCAGAAAAAACCTACAGGAGACTGCTCATGCTGCAAAATGTTTTAGTTAGCCACTGTTCTCAATTTGCCGGTCTCAATCCGAAAGCTTACAGGTAAGAGTGGTCGATTGCGTTGTGCTCGGAAAAGGTGAATTAAAAGCACGGAATAGTATGGAAATTCTAGAGTATCTAGGTCTTGGGATCGGTTATCAATAATTGATAACAAATTAATGTCATTTTAGGACATACAAGAGCCACATACGAATGCAAGGCAATCCAGCAAGAGGTATCATCGATGGCGATTTAGTTTGGCGCTATATCAAATTGCCGTACAATGAAAAGACAGAGGTGGCCAAAAAAATTGGTACTCGAGTCCAAGAGATAATAGAGGATCTGACAGATATAGATCGACAGACTGCACATTTTTGAGAGCAGTATAATCTAAATGGGTTTTACTATTTAGAGGAATCTTATAGATTAAAGCCACTTTTTGTGTCGTTTAAAGTTTGTACAGACTTCCAGGATCATTACAATTAGCGTAATCGGAATGACGTTATAAAAGAGAAAAACGAGCCTATAGATTATACGAGTAAGAAGTAAGAATCTTGTAATATACGTTAGAGTACTATTTTACATAATAAATATTACGACGAAACTGTAGAATATTGATCAAACTGAGTGTACCAGGCTTGCATCACAGAGCAAGTCCAACAGATTGTTCGATTGTTTTAAGTCAATTTATTTTTCTAATAATTCTTTACCTTACACGTACAATGTCTTTGGAGTCCACGTTACTAGAAAAAAGAGTAACGGAGGCATTTGATGTCTTTGACAATGCCAGAAGTCACGAAGTTGACGTTCGCGAATTGGGTACGATTATAAGATCATTAGGCAAGTAACAATTTTAACGTCCGAATGTGTGTTTCGGATTTTGCAACTTTATACAAATGATCTCAACCTATATTTCGAAATAATTGTAGTTCCGATACAACAAACTGTTTCAGGGTGTGTCATTACTGAGGCGGAGTTGCAGGAAATACAAGTTGAAGTCGAAGATGTTGAAAATAATTGTGTGCCACAGGCTAGATTTGTGGAGTACATGTGCAAAGCAATCAGAGAACGCAAGTCATTATTCATTGTTTATTCCATTTAGACACATTGTTCGTTAGTCACCGATAAACGACCGTGTGTATCCGTTCTTTAAGGTTTAGGCCATCGGAACCGGAAGATTTGCTAAAAGCTTTTCAATTGCTGGATCCTGAAAATCGTGGGTTCGTAACGAGAGAATTTATGGAGAAGGCAATGATGGAAATTGGAGAGCCATTTTCCAGAAAAGAAATTGATGAAATGATGGCTATAGCTTGCGACGCAGCCACAAATAGAATCTATTATGAGCATTACATTCATTTGCTTATCGTAAGTGTACTAAACCATTTACTGTTCTATTAAATCCTTAGTTTTATAGAAAAAAGTGAATAGTACAAATTTATCGTCCTTTTATCACAATTCTGGTTAAAAACTATTAAAAAATTATCAAAATATTTATCAAGGATTTTAAGCTTTTACAGTTTCGCAAAAGTTGGTGGTTTATCTTTAGATGCTTGTGCCATTGCCGCATTTATAAAATCTTCGCTCTGCAGCATTACTTGGTTCCGCATACCCTGTTGAAAGAAATATAAATATAATTTCAATCATTTTCAGGTTGATTGATAACCCAACATACACATTGGCATATACTTACAATGTGTTCCAGACCTTCTTCAACAGAGTGATCACGTGAGTATACGAGGCTAATTTTTGTTCCCTGGACAGCAACTGGACTTTTACTGGCAATATCTTCAGCAAGAGCAAACGATTCATTTAGTAAACTGCAATTTCAAATTGAACGATATTTAATTTAAAATAATCAGGTATATACCGTGCCTTAGAGCTGTACATACGAGTCACCTGTACAGGAAAAAATTCTAATTTTCTTTATCATCGCGCCCATTAAACGCATATATACTTAAGATACATACCTTTCTGCATCGTCACATATTCGACTCACAAAGCCACATTGTAATGCCTCGGCAGCAGGAAACTTGCGGCCTGTAAACGAAAGTTCTCTCGCTAGACTATCGGAACCTATAATTTTTGGAAATCTCTGCAAGGTTCCGACATCGGCAGCCATTCCTATTACAACTTCTTTTATTTGAAACCATGAATCCGAGGAACAATATCGAATATCGGCAGCAGAGATCATATCCATTCCTGCCCCTATGCAGGCTCCGTGCACTGCCGCGATCACAGGTTTTTGGCACTGGTAAAAAGTAATTAAAAATAAATAAAGTATAATTACACGAGGCAGTCAATAAACTTAGGAACATTGACAAAATGACAAATTACCTTCTCCATAGATGTAAACGAATCCTGATATAATTTTATTTCTTTTTCTAAAACTTTACATTTCCGAGCAACGTCTTCTTGTTCCACTAGTTTCTGTCCGAGTCCCAAGATGTCATGCAGATCAATTCCTAAAAGGTGAAACTGTACTACTGTTTCTAGATTATGATAATATATTTTTAATTTCACATAAAACTCAATTACATCGTACCGGCACAAAATGTGTTTCCTGCAGCTGACAAAACGATGACTCTACAATCTGGATTGTTTCCCAATTCTTTGAAGCACAATCCAAATTCTCTATAACCCATCTCGAATTAGTTAAAACACAAGTGAAACGATTATCGTGTACCAAATTTTTGATCATGGGAAATTCAGTTATAAATATTTAGTAAAAGTAGTAGCATACGTACTCCCACATCTCCCTATTCATTGCATTCAGCTTTTTTGGTCTATTTAACTCCACTTGGTATACAAAAGGCTTGGGTATGCAAACATTTAGCGTAGAATACATTTTATCTTGTCTCCTCCTAACGTGTCCTATCGAAGTTATTCTTGCCTCTGCAATGTACGCTCTTAAGTAACGAAATAAAAGTACTTGTGATAATTAAATATACATATGTGACCAAAAAGCACATCATAGCGATCAAGAAAAATATTAATCCAAACGATCGTTCATTTTAAAAACCTTACAGCGTTAGCGTGCCGAATTATCACAAATATTTGTATACTTTGAGTTCGTATCAACGTCTGTTATTTGACAATTAATAAAATAAAGAAAATGTCTTACGCCACGTAGGTTTGAGTACTGGACCTAGCCTCAAAATACTTAAATTCATATTAAAGAGAATACAGAATCGTTTCAAAGAAAACTTGGTAATATCGTTCGGTTGTCCAACTGTAACTAATTTGTCGATTGGGTTATCGATTAATACTTTGGTCCGTGTAGTATAGCGTTTGTTTTGGTTATCACTCCTCCGTGACTGAATCGCAGAATTTTAAATAAAGTGAATAAAGTCAAAGAATTCAGAAGTCTCTGGGACTTCTGAACTCTTTGATAAAGTATAAAAATATTTATGCAAAGTAATGCGAAGATGAGTTGCAATACCGTGGACGGAAAAAAATGAACATTAACGTGACGTACCGCTACATGCGAACGCACGCGAAAACGAAGGAAAGTATGTACAGAGCGAAGCGTGAGTTGCGCCCAGTCACAGCGGCGTGTCCATGGGCGTGTCGGCCAGTGTCGGCCAGTGTCGGCCAGTGTCGGTCACATTGTCGGGCTCGGAGATTGGCAACGAGAGACGCCGCACTGCACCTCACCAAAGTCGACAGCAGTCAGGTAGCTACATGCGGATGAAGCCAAGCGCGCTCACAGCGCTCACAGCGGTGTCGCAGGCGGTCGCCAACGGTTGCGGGCAGTTGCGGGCAGTTGCGGGCGGGGGCAAAGAATCCAGAGAATAGTAGGGATGATCGTACCAGAAGGGGTTCGTTGCGGTCTCGGAGTGCGATAACCCATTTTAATTGATCTATGAAATTCTACTGACAGTGGGTGTGGATTTGACGGGCACGCGAATCGATAGCATAGCTTTATTTATTAAGGTAGGACAGAGCCTCTTTATCGACAATTTTACCGAACTACGTAGTCACATAAAACGCTGTCGCGTTGCGTCAAGAGACAGCAGAAGAGATGGACGATGCACCAAAACCTGAAACCCCCACGGAATCTGTGATATTCCTTGCTTATTCGTCTTCTTTTTGGCTGTGCCGCGTCTCGTGGTCGCGGCATCGGGCGATGAATCCTTTTATACTTCTCTTGTCAATTTACTCGCGCTTAACCATATTTAGGAAATATGTCTGACTCCGATATACCGCATGTCATGCTATAGATACGAAATGCATCCTAGAGTCAATCTTTGAATCACTTTTAATAACCGAGCTGGTTCGCTTGCCCTAACTCGTGCTTCGCTGTTTTAGACTTCCGCCCATTGTCATTGCTTTTGCTCGTGTTTAAAAATATTGAAAACTCGATCTTCGACGACGTATGTCAGAGTATTATTTAACGTTACCGTTACCTATATGCTTTCACGATGTTCCCTTTGAATTATTAACGGATTAACTTAAACATAGATTTCAATGGTTTAGATTCGATCATGAGTTCGCAACCGATCATGGTGCCAGGAACGGATGCCAACCGACAAACTCAGTCGGAATCCCAATCTGTGTCCAGTGGTAATCCTATGGAAACCTTTAAAACTATGACACCTCCAAACGTCAGTCGTTCGCTCAGCAGTCGTAAGTGATCCTGTCGTCATTTTTTATCTTTTTGTTTAGATTTTAATAATATTAAACGATTCGGATTTTACGGCGGTACCCCGTGTACCGCCGGAGAATGCTACGATTTAACACGAACATACGTTCATGGTAAATTATATACCTAGAAACCGCACATCTTCCCTTTTGACGTACATTTGTATAACGTGACTTATAGCGTCGTCGGCTCTTCCTTGACCTGTACTCGATTCGAATATCAATAAATGTTGTATGACGAAAACACGTTTTGCTTTGGCATATCTTCCAGAAAGGCATCCGATAAAAATACTTACACGAAATAAGTGAAATATCGCTGCATTATGGTAAATAAGGTTGATTATTTACTGTAATCGACGGAAGCCTGGGGAACGTGTTTTTTCTATCATTCAAGTTTCACGTTAGTTTGGTATCCGTTGTGTGTAAAAATTGCGCGTGCATAGAATAGAATCGTGTTCGCATTGCATTCTTAGTTATTTCCCTGTCGAACGTCTTAGCTAAGCTTCGTGGCCACGTGGGAAAATGGTATAAGTGCGCATTGTTTGAAACGCATATCGTTGTACCCGTTGAACCCGATGCACTCCTTACCTCAAAGTGATTCCACGTTGTTTATTTCGTAATTGCGGTATGTACGTCCGTTTAGAGTTATCCGTCTTAAATTAATTTACCTTATAGCTTTGGGCGATAAATAACTTTGGCCGATGCCAACGACGATTCGACCAAGAAGCCCGAATACTTGGTACATGAAACATATGCTTAAATTCATTGCTACAGCATAGAATTTTGTGGAAGCTTTTCCCAATCCGAGGCAACGACGGCGTCGAGTGTCCGTTCGCCGGTTGCATAAGACCGTATCGGTGTAATTTATCTTCGCATCGTCACGTAGAAGCGTTGTGTTCGAACCAGGTCCGGTCCGGGTGATCTTCGTCTCTTTTTGTCTTTGACTCGTTCCCATCCTAGCATAACGTACATTTACCACTCTACCCGCGTATCAACCTGCTCGGAAGGCGTAGCTCTCCGCATCCCGTAGTGACGTGGACCCTATCGCGATACCACGCGTCCAGCAACCGTACCGTACAGTAGACGCTTTATTCCTTCATCGACTCGATACGCGTAGCAGCACGGATTGCCGTATTTTCAAAATGTTTACGTAGTCACCGCGATGTCCGATCCGATGCATTCTTCCTCGCTTATGCGCCTTTAGTCCAATAAATGCGTTCAACTCGATCGACAGGTAAGAACGCGGAAGCATTCGAAGCAACCTGCACGAGTAAATTATTAATCCATCAACCTCGAGCAGCTTTTTAGAACAGAGATCGATAATACCCGCGCTTCATTTGGTACGTCATCGGGATTCCACGTTGCATCGATTGCATATTCAGCGTGAAGTGGTGCTTGAGTTTAAAGACACGTAGCATTACTCTTGGACGCTCCAAACAGCGTACGCGTCATTCAAAGGAATCGCCGATTGATCTTACCTTCTGCCTGCTTAACTCGACTGCTTAACCCGGGTTCTATCGATCTCGACGGGCGAGAACTTTGGAATCTTGCGCTAATGCGGGTCGCTTCCCGAGCTCACGAAAATGAGCAGTTGCTAAACGAACGCTTTAAATGGGCAAAAGAATACAGTCGACGGCCGAAACCTCCGGCCGATCCCGAAAGGTAAGCGTCGAGGGCAAACGTTTAGAAACGAATTATTACGTTGAGCTTACGGGAGCTCACGTTGTTCTTTCCGAGGTGGAGCGAACTCGATATAAATAATAAATTGGTGAAATTTGTCAGAGAAAGGAGGGAAAGAGTAACGATTATCGCGCAGCAGTCGAAACGAGGTTTCGAGAAAAGGGGGCCCGGGGTACGATCTCTCCCTGGAGAAAGAGGTCGTAGTTAACGTTGTAATGTAACGTGTAGCGGCAGCCGACGACCGACGATCTCGCCGGGGCAGTGGCCAAACTCAGCCCCCGGGGTTGCCGAAATTGCCGTCTTCCGAATCTCTCGTGACGAGCGCGAACGCCATGACCGGCGCGCCGCCGCCATCCCCAGGTATCAACTTGCTTATCCCCCGCCCCGATCCTCCTCGCGCTTCTCGGTCGAATAATGGTTCGAACACAAAAACCCGTCGATTCGAGTCCGTCTCTCGCCTTCGAGACTCGTCACGGAATCGTCCCAATGGACGTTTCTCTCGGTCTCCCCTGACTTACTTTTATTCGACGGAGGGGTGGGACTCGTCGCGCGCCAGCTTCGGACCTCGATAAAGCGATTTATCGTTCGCGAAATCGAGTATCGGAAAGCCCGTGTCGGGGACTCGCCGGGACTCGCCGGGACTCGCGGACGATCGCGAGGTTTTTGTTCGCGGGATAATTAATACGCGAGCGGTCGCGATTACGTCACCGCGGCTATATCCTGCTATACCCCGGAGCACTTTTGCTCGCGCAACGAGTCGCGACCGCGACGACGTTTCGCGTCGTCTTCCTTTAGAGAATATAGTTTTCCGAAAACGAGACACCTAGTCGAGTAGGACCCGGCTGCTAACGATCGTTTAATATTTTCTTCGCAGGTCTATCCATGACGAGCGAGAGCAATTTGAAAGTCCTGGACAATTCTTCGGACAAGGTAATCTCTTCGAGGCGCACCTCGTTCGCACGATACGATTCTCCCGCAAACCTTGACGTTTCAGTCGTTGGACACCTGCAAGTTAACGCGCAAGGAATCCTACAAGGCGCAGAGGAAGAATTACCGCATGGAGAAGAAACGAGTGGCGAACGAGCTTCTGAGTTCCCTGAAGGATCCAACGGTAGTAGTTATGAGCGATTGGTTAAAGGTTCGAGGTACCCTCAAAAGCTGGACCAAGTTGTGGTGCATTCTGAAGCCCGGCTTGCTGTTGCTGTACAAGAGTCCGAAGATAAAGGTAAGCCATTCCGACGTCCTTAACGAAATGACGGCCCTGCGAGGCATCGAAAGCAATTCCACGTTTCGCAGAGCAATCATTGGGTCGGCACGGTGCTGCTCAACACGTGTCAAGTGATCGAGCGGCCGAGCAAGAAGGACGGCTTCTGCTTCAAATTGTTTCATCCGTTGGAGCAATCGATTTGGGCTCCGCGCGGCCCCGAAAAGGAAGCGATCGGTACGACTCATAAATTAATACAATCGTATCCGTCGGTCCAAACCTTTTCTACCTCCGGTGGGTGTTCGGGAAGATCGAAGCCGATATCGATTCGGTGGGTTCAATTCGTCGACGTTACGTTCCAGGAGCCGTGGTGCAACCACTGCCGACTTCGTACCTGATCTTTAGAGCTCCGTCTCAGGCAGCCGGGAAATGTTGGCTGGACGCTCTCGAATTGTCGTTACGTTGTTCCTCGCTCATCGTAAGATCGACGAGCGCTCTACCGCGTTCCCCGCAACACGATGCGACGACCACGCACGAAACGCAATGGAGCGAAGCCGACTACGAGAAGCACTTCGATCACGGTGAGTACGCGTGAGTACTCGAAGACGTACGAACCCGATCGCTCTTTTGACCCTCGCGCGCATTCAAATTCTGCAAGTTTTGCCCGTCCGCGTTGTTTCCTCGTTTCGAGTTCTGGCGCCCCTTCGAAACGATCATTCCTCCCTCGGCTAACCCCGTAAGAGCCGATGCCTTAACGCCCACGCCCCCGCCTAACGGGCGTCAGGAGAGGATTACTAACGTTTAGGTGCATTCTCGTTCCCGCTGCCGCCGTCAGAGCACCTGAGCCGGTACGCTCCCCGGTCGCCGACGACGCCCCAGCGGCGCTTGCTCTCGTGCCCTCCGCCCCTCTCGCCCTCGGCCCGAAAGAGCGTCTGTCCCTCCCCGACCCCGATGTTCCAGCAGCTGTACCACGCGGTGGCCTACTGGGAGAGGCAGCTCCTCGCGGAATCCTCGTCGCTGGCCATCGACCCCGTCGAGGATCCCGTCGAGGATCCCGTCGAGGATTCCGTCGAGTCGGCGCCTTCTCCCCCGAGGTCCTCGTCCCGCCGCATGACCGTCCCCTCGATCCATGTCCTGGAGTACGAGACCCGTCACGTAGTAACGCTAGACCCTGTATACACCTCGCACACAGACCTGGACGATATCAGCCAGCCGGAGAACGGGGTGGCGGTCGACGCCGAGATCAGCCCCTCGGACACCGAGTCGGAGCCCTCGGCCAAGGAGGAGGAGGACGAGGAGGAGAGGATCAACGAGACGCCCTACGTCGCCAACGAGAACGAGGTCCTGGGAACGGTGAGGGTCGCGCGGTCTCTCCTCGTCCCGGAGCTTCTCGATGCACGCCGTCTCTGCTTTTCTAGGCGGGAGAAGTGGTGGCCGAGCTGCAGGAAGAACAAAAGTCCTTAATTTGGTTCCTACTGAAGCAAGTCCGACCTGGCATGGATCTCTCCAAAGTCGTCCTTCCGACGTTCATCCTCGAGCCTAGGTCGTTTTTGGAAAAGCTTGCCGACTCTTACTACCACGCGGATCTCCTCTCCCAGTGAGTCTAATTCCTATTCTCGGGACTCGGGACTTGTCTTACGTGTTGCACGATATCGAGTATAACTAAAATTCATTGTCTGCGCGCGTAGAGCAGTATCGGAAGACGATGCGTTGACGCGCATGAAGGGTGTCGTTAAATGGTATTTATCGGGGTTTTACAAAAAACCTCAAGGCCTCAAGAAACCCTATAATCCACTTTTGGGGGAAACGTTTCGCTGTTACTGGCAGCATCCTAATGGATCGCGCACGTTTTACCTAGCCGAACAGGTAACGGTATTTCTTGGAATACAAGCGGCCCTGTTAAAATAGTACGCGTATTTTCGTCGGGAAATGGTACGAAATGTTCCTTGTTTCTTTTTCAGTTATCCCACCATCCTCCAATTTCAGGATTCTACGTTACCAATCGACAAGATGGATTCACCATTAGCGCTACGATCGTTGCCAAGTCAAAGTTTTACGGTACTTGTTCATTTTACGGATACTGTGCTTGGCACTCCGAACTCGAATGATATTACGCTCGTTTTTAATATTCCGTTTCAAGGCAATTCAACGTCGGCGATGTTGGATGGTGTGGCCGTATTGACGATGCTACCAAGGGGCGAGGACTATACCATGACGATACCCTACGCTCATTGCAAAGGGATCCTCATGGGTACCTTGACTATGGAACTAGGGGGCAAAATCAATGTAAACTGTGAAAAAACTGGTTATCAAACCGAGCTAGAATTTAAGCTTAAGGTAAGCGTCGACGATCGAACGCAAATGATTTTGTAACATCCTAATCTGCAAAAATACCGTGACATTAGACTTTGTTTAACGTTGTTTATATTTTTGTTCCAGCCGTTTTTAGGTGGGTCGGAGCAAATGAATCAAGTTGTAGGTAAAATACGGCTTGGAAAGGAGACTCTTGCCACGATATCCGGGTATTGGGATGGACAAATCATGATTACCGATAAAAGAACTGGAGTAAGTAGTGGTACCACAAAAATCGTAATTTAACATTATATGGAAAAGAATAGTGCCAATGCGTAAACGAAATGTTTACTATTCGGTTGGATATGCGCACGGTATAAAACGGTGAGTACCTTACCTTTGTTCGTACAATTCTTCTTGCAGCAAGAAAGCGTGTTCTTCAATCCAACGGCCGAGGTGCGTAAAAAGAGGTTAAAAAAATTCACGGTTCCTTTGGACCATCAAGGACCATGGGAGAGCGAAAAGTTGTGGTTATCGGTTACGCAAGCCATTAATAGAGACGATCAGATAGCCGCTACCGAAGCTAAAACACGCCTCGAAGAGGCTCAACGGGATCGAGCCAGAGACCGAAAACTCGGTGGCCAGGAATGGACCCCCAAGCATTTTGTGCAGGTTATTTTCCATCATTTGATAACGATCAAACCGATTTATTAGAATTTCTTAAGTTTTTTAAATAATGGACGTCGATTAGCCCCCAGGGCATGCTTACGTTTCCGCTCTTGCTCCTGGCATGAATATGTATGGTTTGATTAAAAATTAACTATCTCCGTTTATTCGTGTGCAGCGAATAATCATACATTGATACGGAAGAAGTGGTAGAAAAGTAAACGAACGGAACAAACGGTAGAGGGATAATTAGGTCCAGCTACGTATCACGCGCTTGCCCTACTATAAACTAAACTGATCTTACCATTCGTTTAAGTAATATCACCGAGAGTTAATATAATTTGTTTTTCTTGACTATAGGATATCATCACTGGAAACTGGGTATATCGCCACGCTGACATTCGACCCTGGGATCCCAGAAATGATGTTGTGCAGTACGAGCAGGACTACGTAGTTCGAACGAAGACCAGGCACAAGACGCCAATAATGCGTACTGGTAGCATTGTCGCAACAGAACCGCAAACACAGGTACAAGATGATCGAAAGAGCAATCCCGTAGATACCTTTCGTTCACAGATCACGAATCGAGAAAGAGTATTCTCGGTGTCGACGTTATCGATCGTCCGATTGTGTTCGGTTTTCGTTCAATTGTCGTACGGGGGACATGCAATTGTACCTGTATCAATGGCATCGATGTGAAACTGCCTGGATACATTGTGCAGGGTAACGACGCGTTCACTAAAACTTATATCGTTCTTTTATAATTGGGAGCGTTAAATTGGTAATTAAACTGGACGCGAAAATGTCCCTATCGTAAGATATGGCGAGATAAAATTTATGACAATCTGTACAATAGCTTACACTTTGTTTCTATAATTTATATCGTTTCGAACATGTATTCGATTCTGCATATCACTCTGATGTAAATAAAATGAATTGACTATTAAATTTGTTTCAGATACCTTTGCTTCAAGCTGAATCACGTTCCTCGCTTTCGGTGTTGAAGTCGTCGAAACAGCAGCTGACTTCGAATTTGCCGCTGACGGAAACAGCTCACGACTCTGGAAGTTCGTCGGCAGAGTTGCACTCCGACTCGAGTCAGTCGATAGGCAAACGAAGACGTCCATCTGCCCGGTAAAATTCTATGCATATTTAAACGTCTTTTGTCTTGAAATGCAACGCTTTTTTTTTTCCTCAATCGATTGGCCGGTATCACTGGTGTATCAATTCGTAATCGACGTAAAGCAGATTTACATCGTTTTTAGTCGTTACTAAATTACATAACGTGTTTACTTTAGAATCATTAATTACATCAAGGAAATGGAAAATCGAATGATAGATCACGGCGAGAAGCTCAATCGAATGCAGCGATTATTGGAACAGCTTGCGATAAGACAACGAGATTTGAAAGAACAAAGCGGGGTAGGCTTGACCCGAAATATCTTCGATACCATTATCGTTATTATTGCCGTATTCTTCGTCCAATTTATATCGAAATTTTGGGGCAGCGAAACCGGCGTTACAAAAGGTTTATGGTAAGTAACCTGCATTATATAATCATGGTAAAATATTTGCATAATCTCTGCAAGGTATCGTTTTAAATAGACCGATTCATGGGCATACATGCAATATTACGTTACTTTTCAACAGATCCGTGTAATCCCATCCCGATAGGTTAAATGCAATTAACCAAGCAACGCATCTCTACGAGCACCAAATAAACGAATAGATCGCTACTTATCGCGTAAGTGATAAAAGTATTGGTCGTATACTTTGGGCTGAATCTTAACGTTGAATGTACATAGGCAACAGAAATGCGCACTATGGCATATTGTTATTCTTATTATCATTATTTATCGCGCCTACAATGATACCATTGCACGTTCCGGGCATTCGAGCTACATTCAGTGATAATTGTAAATAGTATTTATCGAATGCACCCAATGTTACGTAAGTCCTAAAATAATTTAATACAACTTAAATAGTTGATCGGAAAGAAGCAACGGTACTGGCTCGTAGTCATTTATATCTAATATAAAATATATACCAACTTCGTACGTTTAAAGAAACGTGGCGCACTGGCTTATTCTCGTAAGGTCTTCTGCTATGTTTTTATAACAACGGAGAATCTCATCGTCATCGCGTGTCTGGGGTATTATATGGGAAAGAATTTTTAGAAGGTTTATTGTGAAATATCAGATTTAACTAATGCATACCTGCAGCTTATCGATACCTTGTACATTTCGATTCAGTTTTATCTTCAGTACTTTTGTTCATTAAATCACTCTCAGTGTTAGTTTTAAAAGTTGATGGAATGTTTGCAACGGAAACATTTAATCTTTACAAGACAATATTACGAATTAATAGAATCTGATGCAAATGTTGTCCAAACAATTTGTTTAGTCATTAGGTTTTGTGCATCATAAATCGCGAGTACTTTACACAAACAACCAGTCTGTAACTTAAAACGAAGCAAAATATTGATATAATCCATTAATTGATACGAGGAATACGTCTATATAAATATCAATAATATAGGCACTTATTTGTATCAATTTCTTTAATAATATGGTGGATATTTATCTCGCCAAACATCAACATTAGTTGCTTTGCGGAAATGATGTATTATAAACTGTTGTTTGGTTATCATTTTGATATTAATTTGGATCTTGAATTTTCTCGTACCATGTCACGGGTGATGTGACGTTAAAAACATCATCACCTTAAAATGCCGTGGATATCTTGATACGTATGAGCTTGGATTTCGTCAATGTCTTGTTATCTGACTTTGGTTTACGAATAAATGGCATACTGGTATCCATTCATATGTAAAACATCTCAACGTGTTTATTTTGCGACGAATTTCGATCCGCGGGGAATTTCCTTAATAAGTGAGGGTGTTAGTTTGATTTTGCACGAAAATCTGGATAAAAGATGTGGCTACGATACTTCGTCACTTTCCACCTCTTACCCCAATACCTCTAACTTGTACATTAAATTACTTAAATTATCGTTTCTATATTAGAACCATTTACTACTGTTACTTTTTTTAATATAGTTTCTGCGGATGACGGCTACGACGATTAGAAGAGGTGTTCGTTAAGATTATTACGTATAGTTGTAGATATACGATTGTATTTTAGTACAGGCAGCTACTGCCTATAGATGTAACGAACACGGCAGTTATAGCAGAATATTAACGAGTAAAAAATATATTTATATAAGCGGAACAATTCTCATGACCGTGGGCTTCGGCAGTAGTTGTATTTTAAATTAAATGCCTTTGGGTAGTTGATATCGAAACATAAAATTAAAATACATTCCGCTGTTTTTCACCAGATCCACGAAGTTTCTTTAACTCAAATATTACATCAGTGCAATTCCGTGCAATTTACGGTGCAAGATCTGCTGCACCATCGGTAGCTAGTATCTAACAAACTGGTCAGCCGTACTGTATACACTCATGTGTATCTTATGGACAGGTATCCTGTATAAACGTGCCATGTTACCTTGTTAACTTTATGTCGATGTACATATCTAATTTCAGCAAGTACATAAGCTTTTTCCTTAATTTCCATATTGTGTAAACAATTTTGAACCTGTAATAAAGTTACGCTTCTTTTAAATATGTGGATTCTTTTGAACTGGGTTTCTCTCTATGGAATACCTAAAATTTAATTATCGCTTTCATCGATGCACGTTTGTATTTCAACGCGAAGGATTCCACTCATGAAATGCAAGAAGGTTGAATTTAAGAGTTGAGTATGTTTCATTAATCTTATAACTGACTTTTCTATATGGAAAGCCTGCAGTACTACATTACCGTATCTTTGTAACACTAGAAAGAAATGTACAACTTACATAATATTAAAAACAATTTCAGGATAGGGCAGTCTTGTACGCGATTGGGTTGATTTATCACTATCGCCTTAAAACAATGTTACATACTACTGATAACAAGGGTCGAGTGAAGTGTGCGTTTAATTTATGATGTGTGTACTACCGAGTATATTCGTTTGAAATGCAATTTTTCTTCCATCGAAAGTACTAGACGTATATGTCCGTTTTTGTTTTTATCATTTTTTTGTTCTTAAAATAGTCCTGTATATATGAGTTTACATCTTCCTGCTCTGAAATGTAAAAACAATTTTATGAAACAAAGATGGCCCCTTATTATAATATACAAGCATAATAGCGGTATCAAACTAACCAGGAAACGTGTTTTCAAAAATAAGCATGTCAGTAATATGCTTTGCTACCACCTTGAACAGTGGTCGATCGGCAATTCTCTTTTTATGGTAAAATGGCATGAGATACTTTACCACCCATGGCGCTATTCTTTCTTTACAAGAAGTCAAGTGCTCCTCTATGCATATCGGAGAATCGGGCATCATATCTTCTTCGTCGGATTCTCCGAACAGTTCGGCAAACCTTGCCTTTATTCGACCATGCTTCCGGTAATTTGTTAAAGAAATTTCCATCATTTTAGCTTTTAATTTTGAAACTTGATGGACCCGCTCTACAAACCAAATTCCACTTGCTTTTCGTTTCTTCTTCTCATTACCCGTCCCTTCCTCCGATGAAGACACAAGCTCTCCAACTGCCTGCTTCTTCATTTTTTTATAATTGGTATAACTGAGCTTCCTTTTATTGGCATGCAAGTTAGAAGGCTCTCCTGTATTATCCTTGCAGCTAATATTATTGTTTGTGGTCGATGTCGAAGCAGCTTCTGGGCACATTTTGACAATTTCCATATCAATGTTTGCTTTTGTAACACCGGAATGCTTTTCAATTAATGTCATGAGATCACTGCTATCGTCACTTTCACAAAACATATCTTCCATGTGTTGTAAAAGTGAATCCTGAGAATCTTCATTTTCATTCTGAACAGAGCTAGTATTACAATCAATATTTTCAAAAGCAACTTCGGAATTTTTGCTAGTATTGGCGACATCCTGCACTTTAATGTCAATAGGAATATTCTTTTGCATTATCTTCGCCCTTTTCCTTGTATTATCGTACTTAATTTTTCGAGGTTTAATGGATACTATTCTAGTTGTGGATGTTTTTGTTTTGGAATCCTTTACAGACTGCGTAAGCAATGCCAATCTTTCATCGAGAGTCTCGCATTTAGTTTCGATTTGAGCTTTGCCGGAAATTTTCGGATTATACGGTTCAGTTAAAATATCTTGTATTCGATCATCCCGCGTTCTATCGAGCGTGCTGTCAGGAGTTTGGTTGCTGTCGCACATCGTGACATTCGTCTGCACCGCGGCGTCAACTTTAACGGAAGGTTTCTCGAGGAACATTGCTAAGTTTTTATGTATTTTCTGTCGCGAGGTGTGCGATTTAATGTCCGCTATCTACAAAAAAAAAAGTGCATTTTATAAAAGCGTATATTACTCGAATGTAAATACGTCGACTAAATTTATCCGCATTTCCGATAAAAAATTAAAAAACTTCTTACATACGCTACCTAGCGGCACTTAATAATTTTTCTATAAAATCGTTGAAATACAAGACGATATGCCTACCATTTTCAACATATATTGCCTGTACAGAGTGGCTTCCAAAGAAGCTTGCACGGCGATCAATTCCATTTGTCCGGCGCATGTCTTTATCTTTGACTTTGACAGCTCCTCGTTTTTTGATCGATTGCAGATGAAATAATTACTAATTAATGATTTATGAAGGTAAGAAAAGTAAACTCGACGTACCTTTGGTTCGAGAATATTAAGAATTAGAAGTTAATTAAGGGCATGACATTTTAGACTTAATAATAACAATTCATCAAAGTACGTACCATAGTGGTAAGCCGCAGAAATTCATAATCAGGATTTTCTTGCGTTACGAAGTTACTGTCCGAGATCGGAGGAAATTCCATGGGCAAAGCGTCAAGAGGATCATCGTCGATGACGCCAGCCACGCTATTTTCATTGATCTTTACGTCTCGTTCTTGCACGCCAACGTCTTCGCGCTCTTGTTTCAACGCAAACGATATCGGTGCGTCAAGTGATTTTGCGGTAGTCATGTCGACGCAAATAACTCGCACATCGCTCGAAGGATCCCAACGAAGTTGCGCTTAGAACTTGCCAGGAATACTTTATTTTACAAAGGACAAATTATATCGTTTACAACGCCGCAAAGGTTATGTCACGCTAGGATGTCAAATTATAGAAATATTTGTTTGGATTCGCAAACGGCAACGGTGACGATGGAGGAGTCGGGAGGGTCGTGCGATCGCGTCCCGTGCTGCCCTCGCGGGGACGTTTCCCAAGGTACATCCAAGTATCTGCCAAAGTTATTAATTGCGTTACCGTTGGCTGGTATTTTAGAGGACGACGGCGATCCGATCTCGACGCTTTGCCGGCAAACGTGATCGCTGCATGCCTCCGATAGCTACACCGACTACAAAGTAGCCGCTCCCGAATCCCGCCTAAAACCCCTAAAACGGCCAGAGAAGGAATCCAGTTCCTTCGGACATAATAGGAATTATTTAAGATGCAAATTGTACCGCCGTTAAAGGAAGGGAAACGCGACAAAGTTCGTTCAAGTCGAAAGGCGATCCCCGAATTTCCTTTGCGTGGGCGATGGATCTCTCGAATAACAAATGTCCAGGTGTTTCCATGCGCGTAACGCGATGAAATCGTTTTGGAAACCGCGGTAACGTCGTTAGGGCATCCCTTCCCGTCGACCTTTAATTGCGGACTACAAACGCGATTTTCCCTCGAAACGTCCTCGTTGGTTCAGCGGATTGTCCAGAATTCAGGGCACGCGTAAGGTGGAATTCGCTCTCGAGGTACGTAGATCGTCGGTCCCGGTCGGGACGAGGGAAGGCGAAATAGGAAAAGGAACGGCCGGACTTCATTCAGGGGCATTCAGGGGCATTCCCGGTCGCGGCCCACCGCCAGCCACGTCGTCGCGTCGATCGGCTAATCGAGTAAGGAGAAGCACCCGAACTGTCCGCATACTCGCGAAGCCGTATTACCCCGAGTTCCCTTTGGACGTCCCTATATACCAGTTTCCGTCATTCGGTCTACGTTAGGTACGCTAAACGTCCATCGAGCGGTACTTGGATCGAAATCATGGTAAATCACGGTAAATCCCGATTTCGGAGAGCCCCCGGTGTCTCTCCGCCCCCTCTCGCAAAGAACGCATCTTGGTACTTTCAGAATCTCTCGACGTTCGTTAAATTGGGCTACGCGATGTTGATCCTGACCCTGATCTTGATGTTCTGGACGTCCATGGTGCGCATGAACGAGCTGCCGGTCCTCTATCCCCCGTGCTTCTTCAATCCGCTGTGCACCTGCTCGAAAGAGGTGCCGGACCTGGGAATCGTGAGCTGCCACGACGTGCCGATGATCCGCATCCCGCAGCCCATCAACGCCACCAAGGTGTTCATGCTGCACCTCGAGAACAACGGGCTTCGCGGCCTGGAGCCGCAGTTCTTCGTCAACACGGGTAAGAGTCCCCGGTCCCGGTCCCGGCGAGATTTCCTACGATTCCCCTGGACCTCGCAGGTCTCTACAAGCTGCGGATCAGGTACAACCCCTTGTCGGACATCCCGGACGAGGCCTTCACGGGGCTGGAGCGGTCGCTGTGGGAGCTCGAGCTGCCGTTCAACGATCTGGTCCAGGTGCCAAGCAGGTCGTTCCGGCACTTGCAGAAGCTCCGGCTGCTCGATCTCACAGGTACTCGATCTCACGGAGCCGGGCCGGCCAAGCTAAATCGATCCTTCCGCAGGCAATCGGATCTACGACGTCTCGCCGGACAGCTGGCGGGGCATCGAGAGCTCCCTGCAGATCCTCCGCCTCGCGGACAATTACATCGGCAAGCTTCCGCCGGACGTTTTTTCCGGCCTGACGTACCTCGAGGTCCTCGACCTGGGTGGCAACGACTTGAAGGAGATCGACGTCCCCATCTTCAGGGAGGGCATGGCTCATCTGACCCACCTCTACTTCAACGACAATCAGCTCGTGCACGTCCCGTACGCTCAGCTGTCCTCCCTGAAGCGCGTCAAGCTGCTGGACCTGAGCTACAATCGGATCGAGAAGATGCTCCATCCGATGCGCGACGCGGAGCTGCGAGGCATTCAGCTTTCCCTCGACGAGCTGCGGTTGGACTACAACCAGGTGGACTCCTTGCCGCCGGAGTCCTTCCAGCACTTTTTCAGAGTCAACAAGACCTACCTAAGCGGGAACCCTCTGACGACGATCAAGGTACGTATCTCGTGCCCACGTCGCGCCCGTCCCTCCGCCAAGGACGCTAAGGAGAACCCGATTGCAGAAGGGGGCCTTCAGGGACTCGAGGATCCGGGAGCTCTATTTCCACGATTGCGACCTGACGGACATCTCTTCCGAGGAGCTCTCCGGCCTGGAGCCCTCGCTCGAGTTGCTGGACATCTCCGGAAACAACGTCACCGTTCTGCCGCCAAAGTTCCTCCACGAGTTCGACTTTCTGCGCACCCTCGTCTTCCGGGAGAATCGGATCGAATCGTTTTCACCCGGTAACGACGCGACGCGTCGCGACGTCGCGTCGCGTCGAGCGCGAAAACTTACGCAAGTCCTTTTCAGCGGAGATATTTACGGGATTCCATTATTCCCTCTACGATCTGGACCTGAGCGGGAAGAAGAACGGGATCGTCGCTCTTCGCGACCTGCGCGAAATGAGAAATCTCCGCTTTCTGTCGGTGTCTCGGCTGTCCCAAGCGACCCTCTCGCCGGACGACTTTTTGGACTTCGGGACGGACGTTAAGGAGCTTCGCATCGTCAAGAGCAATTTGAATACGATAAAGAGTCACGCCTTCGGGCGCATCCGAGAAATAAGGTATCTCGACTTCTCCGAAAATTCCATCTCGACCATCGAGAACGACGCCTTCTCCGAAGTACGTATTCGCGCGGCAACTGGCAACGCCTAGTTTCCCGAGAAAACGATCGAGACGATTCTTCCCCAGGTTGGACACTCGTTGCTGACGTTAAAGGTCTCTCACGGATTGTCGTCGTCGGTTACCGAGTTGCCCAGCGGGCCTCTCAAGTCGCTGACGAATCTGCAGTACTTGGATTTCAGCAATAACAGAATTAAAACCGTGTCCGACACCTCCTTCCACTTTTTGAAAAGAATACGACGTCTCAGACTGCAGGACAACGAGATAGACGGGATCAAGAAGGGTACCTTCCAGGTAAGTCTCCGACTCGAAACTTTGCCGATTGGTTGACTCTCGCCCCGACGCACCTTAGGGCGACATACACTCCGCCCTGGAAGAGATAAACTTGGCGTACAACGGCATAAAGGGCATAGGAACCGACACGTTCGTGGACCTGTCTTCGACGGTGATCATATACCTGGAAGACAACGCGATCTCCTCGATCGAGAGACGGGCGTTCACCAACATGAATCGCTTGAGGTACATCAATTTGCGAGGCAACAAGATACGTGACATCGACGACGACGCGTTCCAGGTAAGGTTCCTACCTAGAGTGCCCACGTATTCACGAATTCCCGAGTCGCCCCTGCAAGTGACGTTTCAGAATCTCCCGGATCTCGAGTTTCTCGACTTGGCCTACAACGATCTGGAGGAATTTAATTTTGCCTGGTTCGATCAAGTTGGGACTTTGTCGTCCTTTAAGGTGAACGCCAGTCACAATGAAATAAGAAAGTTGTGGATCAATGGCACGACGTTCGTCTCACCTACGACCAGTAAGTTGACGCGTGCCCGTCCGAGAAATCGATCGACGAATCCGTACGCGTATAATATTTTCCTTGCAGTTGGTGGAAACGTGCAGTCGAACATCAAAGTCTTGGACATAAGCTATAACAACATATCCGACATAATGCATCAGTTCTTCCGACCCGTCGAGTACTCTTTAACGCATTTGTACTTGAAACGGAATCAGCTGACCAACGTGACTCGCGGAGTTTTCGGAAATATGCCGCATTTACAGTGGTTAGACTTGAGCCACAATGATCTGCTGGAGATCGATTTCGATTGCCTGAGAAACACGAAGGACCTGCAAGTTGGTGCAACTCAAAGTCAAAGCTTCGAAGGGTATGCTCGTTCTTTGAATTTTTTCGTTCGACTATTTGCAGGTCCTCTATTTCGCTTGGAACGACATCTCGGAGATCCCGGCGGACGTCTTTAGGTCCCTGCGGAGGCTGAGGATTCTCGACTTGTCCCACAATAAATTGCGAACGTTGCCGGACAATATTTTCATCGACACGAACCTGGAATTCCTCGACCTGTCTCACAATCAATTCGTGCGACTCCCGATCAAGTCGATGTCCATTTCCTCGGCAGCCACCTTAATGGTTCTCGACATGTCCTGGAACTCGCTGACAGGGATACACAGTACGGACGCTGTCTTCCGACTTCGAGTGAGTATCGCGAGAAAATTCTCGATAAAAGAGAAAAACCGTTCCATGATCGCGCTCCTTTTCCTGCCCAGGATCTTACGTGGCTGGACTTGTCGTACAATCGACTGGTAAGGCTCGACGACGGAGTCTTCTCGGACGTCCCCGAATTGACGTACCTAGACCTCAGTCACAACAAGCAACTGATTCTGGAATCCCGCGGTAAAATGTTTTACGGCATCGAGAACAGTCTCCTTCATTTGGGCCTGAGCAACATTTCCCTTCTCAACGTAAGCATACGATCGAGCGAGTTTCATCTTGACGCGAAGTCAACGGGTGGCGGATTTTAGGTACCCGAGTTGCCGCTTCGCCGACTGCGATCGCTGTACCTTGCACACAACGAACTGACGGCCGTGCCACCGGAAAGAGAGTCGAACCTGACGTCCCTGCACCTTCTCGACCTCGGTCACAATCACCTGTCGTTCGTCCCTCTGATCACCCACATGCTGCCGGAACTGAGGATACTATACATAGGGTACAATCCGATTACGACGATTACCAACACGACGTTATTGGGGTTGACGGATACCCTCGAGGAGCTGGATTTACGGAGGCTTCCGTTAGCGACGTTCGAAGTAGGAAATAAACGGCTGCTTTCCCCGATAACGACAAATAAAGGCTGGGGACGTCGTTCTTTACCTTGACGATATCCTTTTTAGACGGGAGCGCTGTGCAAAGCCGTCAAACTTCGCACTCTCCGGATGACGGCGTATACCGGCATTAAAAACTTTAATTTCCCAAAGATCCTGGAATATAACAACGGCCTGAGGCACTTGCACATCGACGTGAGTACGTCACCGTGTCGGTAGAGGTACCCTACGAATCGTCTCGGGGAATATTCTTACGCTTCCAGGTGGAGAACGAAACCAACTTGGAGACCGAAATGAGAGGACGACTACCCGCGAAGCTGTACAACTTTACGTTCACCGGGACGAGCTTGAAATCGTTACATGCCGACATTCTCAAGGTACCGATTCGAGGGGACGTTTCTCCCTCGAACGAAAGAATACGAAACGTTGAATATGGTTTCCAGGGAATGCGAAGCCCTCACCTGCGAATCAGGTTCTACAATACCAGCGTTTCCACGATACCGCGAAATATGTTCCAAAATGCCGAAACCGTGAGAAACGTAACCGTGGACATCAGTGAAAGTAACGTCAGGACTCTCGAGAACCCCTCGACGGGATACAGGCCAGGATTGCCGGCGGCAGCTTTTCTTCTCAGATTAAAAATGGCTGGCAGTCGTCTGACCTGCAACTGCGACATCGGGTAAATTCGGTGACCCTCGATTACCCAATTTTCTGCCGACGCGTCAACCCTCGCGCTGGTTTTCAGGTGGATAGAGATGTGGGAGAGGAAACGCAGGCAATACCACGAGGAGAGCCAGTGCAATTCCGACAAAGAGTACTTTGGCTACACGCGAGAGGATTTCAACGACTTCACTTGTTGGGACAACGGATGGGACGACGATCTGCGGGAGACCCTGTGCGAGAACAAGAACAACATGTCGGTGTCCGAGGCTCTGAGAACGGACATCGAATGCGGATGGAGCTCTGCCGACTCCCACAATTCGCGCAACCTATACGTATTCGTTTTGATTAACGTTTTATTGACAACTGCCAAATACGTTTTACCGTCAACCGTGAACTTCCACTGACCGATTTTCCCTAGCGATGCCGAAAGGGGGAAAGGGAGCGCGTGCGAGAGTGAGAGAGGAGAGGAACGGACACGAGTACGCTGATTCGATACTTTTTATAAAATATTTCCTTACCGAACGAGCAGGTCGCAGGCGCGGATCCAAAGCGGGACTCGTTTGTCCGGATAATAGAGAAACGACGACGATCGAAGGGTGACGGAGGCGGACGCCGATTCTTCAAATTCATGTAACCTTCCTTTTATTTGTACAACAACGAACCAATAAACACGGTGGAAATGATAAAGTACCTTACAAGGGTTTACACAGAAATTCCTAGCATTAAGGTTTAAGTTACGTCGCGTCTTTGGAAGCGTTTCCCTGCCTTCGGGCGGAAGTACATCGACGAACCGTCGCAAAAAGGATAACGCGGCTCCTTAGTCGGTCGAAATGATAACGTAGCGCGGTATAGAAAATTCAACGTCGGGATATCGTTGACCGTCGTTGACTCTCGCGAGTCCCCTCGTCGGCCGGTTCGGCGACGATCCCGCCAAAACCGGCCGCCACGGAGTTACGTTGGCTCGTTGATAAAAAATTTGAACTTGTTTCGTACAGGCTAATGCCTAATATCATCAAGAATATATATACACACACCGTCGGATGAATATTCTTCGATAGTAAAAAAAAACATCATATAAACTCACACCACGTAGTATATAAACTTATGTCCGTATAGAAGTCGCACGGTGAATTTCGTCGACGATTTCGGTGATGTCCGCGATCGATCGGTCGCCTGTCCGACTTTCGATGGCACGCGTTTGTGCGACCCTCCCGAGGAGCCGGTCGAGGAGCCGGTCGAGGACCCGGTCGAGGACCCGGTCGTGGACCCGGTCGAGTCCTCCCGAAATCCTCGAGGGAGTTTACTCTCGGAAGGCAACTGTATCGCGTTATCGGCTACCCTTGACGTCGAATCGTCCGTTACGTTCGCTATTGGTCAATGATGCTTTAAAGCTGTAAATTCCTTTGGACAATGGCGATCCAAAAGTTCCGAAGGACTTAATACGTAAGGTCATACCTAGAAAACGGAGTCGGCCACGATCGCGGCTAAATCCGCCGAGTTCGGTCCGGTCGGGCCGTAAACGCTGGAAAACGACCGCGTATCGGATATATCCCTTTTTAAGGCGACAAGATTATGTATAACTCGGTACGGAACGATCCTACCCGTTATTCCGTCGCGACGTACCTCGTTCCGGTGCGCTACGCTAAAATGGTGTACACAGTCTTGTAACAAGGACAGACACATGGTGCAGTCTGGCAGAGGCGAGGCTGAATTTCCGAATTTTTGGGATCTTGCCGAAATTCCGCGGAGGTCGAGCGTCGAGGATCCCTTTCTTCTCCCGATCGACGCCGAAGTCGTCCGTTCCCTCTCGAGGCGACGCGAACCCGTTAACCCTTAGTCGATCGATACATGTATACGTATATGTAGCGTAATCTACGTACTTAATACAATACGGGTAGAAAACGTGAGATGTGTAGGAGGTGTTTCGTTTCCCGCCACGAGCGACCGCGGAAGTCCTCGAGATCGGGGGTTAAAATCGTCTCGCCGCGTCCGCGGGGGTACAACGTCAACGGAAGGCACACGTACGAGTCGAGCGACCGACCGCTTCCGGTCGCTTAAATCTTAGAGCGCGCGAGATATCGAGGAGCGAAGCCGAGTCCCTCGCGACGCCGGCGAGTCGAGAAGAGGGGTTCCGAGGGTAAACGGCGCGATCCCGCCGCGACCCCGTCGCGATCCCGTCGCGAACCCGCCGCGACTCGGACGGCCTAGGGGCAGTAGCCCCGGTTGGCTCCGGTCCTGTTCCGACTGTGCCACTTACATTTGAGAATCCGCACGTAGGTTCGTCGGAAGGTGGCGTTACATAGGGCATAACATACGGGGTTTACGGTGCTGTTGATGTAGCAGAGGTAATAGAAGAAGTCCCAGAGCTCCTGCGGGATGCAGCCGACGCAGGAGGTGACGGGCTTCAGGAGCACCAGGATGTTGTACGGCGTCCACGTGATTATGAAGGCGAGCAGGATGGCGGAGAGCGTCTTGGCGGCCTTCTTGTCGGCCTTCTTCTCCTGCGTCTTCTTCTTCTTCTTGACGGGCGCCTGCTGCTTGTTGAGCATGCCCTTGCCGCCCGAGAGCGGCTTGGGCATGTTCTTGGCGTTGAGCGGGATCCGGACGTCGGGCACGTGCGACGGCCGGGGAAGGACGTTGGAGGGGCTCGCTAGCTTGCCGTCGATCTTGAGGGCCCCCTCGACGTCGGGGCCCAGGTCGCCGTGCACGAGGAAGGCCATCGCGTCCTCGGGATACATCTTGATGCTGGGCCCCTCGCTCTCGTACTTGCCGACGCCGTCGATGGGCAGCCGGATGAGGATCGTGTAGACCTGCAACCGCGAGGCGTCGATCGGTCGGCTCTCGGCGGGGGGCGGGGGGCACGGGTCGTTCGCTCACCGAGTCGTTGGAGACGCTCTTCGAGATGGCGTCCCCGCGGTCGTCGGGTCGGTCCAGGGCGTTGGAGGCGGTCTTCTCCAGGGAGAGACCGTGGGTCTGGATGACGCCCAGGGAGTCGCAGCGCGAGATCGCGCTCGGTAGCGGCGTCTCCGCCGAGAGGGGCGTCAGGGTCTCCTCGTAGCCGGCGCCCGCCTTGCCGTTCTCCGTCCCGCCGAGCTCGTCGTCCTCGTCCTCGTCCTCTCGGCCGCTGTGCCACCAGGCCTCGCACCACAGCTTCATCCACGTCCAGGAGAAGGGCCGGGGCCTCTGCGAGCAAAGGATCGCGCCCGAGTTAAGCCCCCGTGTCCGGCCCCTCGTCGCCGCTTCCGCGCCGAACTCACGATTTCGCCGTCCGGGTAGCGCCCGTCGACGTAGGAGACCGTGTGCACCGAGTGGACGTCGTCGGCCCCCGTGCTGGAGTCGCTTCGCGTCCTCCTGCAGTCGTCCGCGTCCAGGGCCTCGTCGCTGCGCGAGAGGGACCGTCTTTAGTCGACGCGGGAGGAAAGATCTTATCGGCCGGCGTGTCGGCGCGTCTCGGCGCGTCTCGGCGCGTCTCGGCGCCTCTCGGCGCGTCACGCGAGGGCAATCGAGACCGCCCCGGCCGGATCCGAGTGCCCTCGCGCGATGCTCGCGGTCGAGCGCGGCGGATTCACCTGGAGTTGCTGCGTTTGCTCGCGTCCTGCTTGCCGGCCTGTAGATTCGGCAGGTCCTTCTGTCGCTTCTCGGTTTCCCGCCATATGCGCCAGTACAGGAAGCACATTACCGAGACGGGGACGTAAAACGCGGCGATCGCCGTTCCGAAGGTGATGTAGTGATTGGTCTCGATGAACTGAATGTAGCAGGCGTTAACCGGGACCGTCCTTTGGCCCTCGATGTAGGGCCAGGCGTAGATCCACGGAGGCCAGAGGAGGATGGAGATGCCCCAGGCGCAAGCTTAAAGAGAAAGAAGACCCGGGGTACGACGGGTTCGGCCGGGAGAGAAGAGCGGAAGCTCACCGATCATGATGCCGGCCTTGTAGGTGGTCCTCTTGGCTCGGTAGGTGAGCGGCCTCGTCACGGAGAAGTACCGGTCGAAGCTGATGATGAGGAGGTTGAGGACGGACGCGTTGCTGGCGAGGTAGTCGAGGGCCAGCCACGTGTCGCAGACGTGCGGCCCCAGGGGCCAGTACCCGAGGACGGTGTAGACCGTGAAGAGCGGCATGGAGATGAGGCCGATCGCGAAGTCCGCGACCGCCAGGCTGAAGAGGAAGTAGTTGGAGATGGTCTGCAGCTGCTTGTCGATCTTGAAGGAGATCATGACCATGCTGTTGCCCACGACCGTCGCCAGACTGAGGACGGTGGCCACCACGGCTATCATCACGATCTCCCAGATCGAGTAGCGGTGGATCGGCGCGGCGTCGTCCGCCCCGTCCGTCGGGAGGACGGTGCCGTTCTCCGGGAGGCCCGTCGTCCACCGGGTCGCGTTCATCGCTCCGAGCGGCCCCTCCTCCCGGCCTCCCTCCGGATCCATCCGGACTCGGGCGGGATCCCCGACTACATGTCCCGACACCCCGGTGGCGGGACCCGTCGGAGGTCGCGCCTACCTCGTCACGACTCCTCGTCGCCCCGACCGGACATTTAGGACCTCCGATGCCCCCCTCGCGCGCCCTATCGACCCGAGGGAATTATTTTTAAAACCGGGGGCGATCGCTCGCTCCGGACGCGGGCCGAGCTCGGCGGCTCTCGCGGCGAGGGTCGCCGGAAAATTCTCCTTGAAATCGATGCGCGAGCGGACGGGCGCTTCCCCCCCGAGAGGATGGATATTTTAATCGTTGCGAAACGGGGGAGGGAGGGAAGAAGGTAAACACCACGCGGATCGCTCCGGTCGCCCGATCGAAGGGAACGCGAGAAGCGAGTCCGCGCCCGGACGATCGATCGCTCGACTGCCGAGAGGAGAGACCCCGCCCTCCGATATCGATATCCCGCGGTTTCTCGTCTCGACGGGACGCCGAGCTCGGGGCCGAGCTCGGGGCCCAGCTCGGGGCCGAGCCCGGTCGGCGTCCGCGAAGATGGCGACACTCCGGTCTCGAGCACTCTCGACGGCCCCGGGGAGGAGAGCCGCGAGGCGCGACGCGCGTCTCGGCCGCGGAAACGGAACTCGGTCGGGCGGGTCGAAGCGCCGGCGGAATAGGTCTGTCTCGGCCGCAAGGCACTCGGGGGATGACGGGATCGAGGGATGCTGCGCGCGCGCTCCACCCCCGGGGAGGGGCCGCCGCCGACGCGCCAAAGGACCGGACTAATTCGACTCCCGTTTCGACGCCTTTTTCTCGGAGATTATCGCGACCCGGACCGCGCCCCGAGCTAATTCCATTTCGCTTTTCCCTCCCTTTCCCTCCCTTTCCCTCCTCTGTCCCCGGTCGGGCGAACGGAAATTTCACCCAGCCCGACCGCCGCCTCAATTGGGGCGGAAGAAGATGCGATCGGTAATTCGATTTAAACCCGGTCACCCCGTACCCGGGGTCGACGCGCCCTCGTTTCCTCCCGGAAAAGCGAGAAACCTCGGCCGGACGAGTCCGCGCGCGGTGCCTTCCTTTCGACTGGCGAGCGCGCTTTCGGGGATATTCGCGTCGATTATCGGCACCGCCCCGATAATCGATCGCGTAACGATGCACCGAAAATACGAATCGCTGGGAGCGACGGACGTGCCCACGTTTTAGGATCAAACGTCCCGGCGGAGAGACGAGTTCACTCTAGAACTCGTCGATGGGCGCGACTAATGATATACTTCCTCGTATCGTCCTCCGCATCGCCGTAAATTAGACAAATTGCAGAGAGCACCGGTCTCGCGACGCGTTTCCTGTATTTTCCGTGCAACGTCGCCGTCGATCTCCGCCGAGACGCGTCCCTTTTTCGCTCCAACGCGATTCAACGCGATTTACTCCTGGTCGGACTGGAGCGTCAAAGTGGCCCCGTACCGTCGATCGAAACCAAGAAAACGTTTCGTTTCTCCCGGCGAATCGGAAAAACTCGACTATATTGCGGGCAATCCGCAATGGTATAAACGCAATTCCGACGAGTCAGCCGAGTGACCGGAGAAAAACGGCTCCGCGAAATTTCCAATTTCGACCGGACTCGCCGGTTTATCCCGGCGATATTTTTTCCTCGACTGCCAAATCGAGTAATTTCGATTGCCGCGAGGATGGGACGCTTCGACAAATATTTCCGAAATACCTCCCGACGCGAACTCCACGGAAAATAAAACTACTCCACGCGAGAGCCGAAAAAATCGTCCGACCAGTTGCCAACAAAATATCTATAGGGCGATTCTCAATGTATGGTCGAAAACCTCGTCGTGTTTGCGTTAGAATTTCTTTTTGCATAATTCCGATTGTTTTCTCCGAGAGCGTCGGATTAAATGGTTTTGACCTATTGGGCGTGGATAATGCGAGCGAACCGAGCAAGTCGGCCGTCAACGGGTACATTGATTTCGATTTTCGAAGGCGCGCGCATTCGACCCGACTTCTTTTGGTTTTTCGCTGGCCCCGTGCGTTTATCCTTCACATCCGGTCGTATTTCGCGGTCAGAGGGCAACTTTAAATTCCACCTTAGATTCGATAGCAAAAATTTTACGGGGGATCGCATTTGTTTATAAAGGGAAAATTAATTGAACCGATGTCTCGTGTTACATACGCATGTAATCATCAAGATTGGAGCTCATTAAATCTAATAGAAGGTTTGAAAATAACGTCAACTATATTAATACCTTTGACCTCGCGCCTTAATATTTCTCATTGTCGGTCCGCGGAACATCCACGACAAGATGAATTTGCGGGAATCAGAAGGTTCACCCGTGCACTCCGGCCTCCACGTAAGTCCCGAGGAGTCGAATCGCCAGGAACCCGCGGGAGTAAGTTTTTCGTGTACAGTTGAATTTAGATTTAGGGCCACTGTCGTGCGGCTGGCGCCCAACGGATTTATTGTTTGGGTAGAAATAAATTGAGCGCCTAATATAGGGGCGAAAACCACGTCGCAGAGTAAATATTAAGTACAGATATACTGGATTATTAATTTGACATTTAAGAAATAATTATTCATGCACTTCTGATACCGATGAAAGTAAAATTCAGAAAACTATTTCGGTAAGAAAGTGAATGGAAAGTCATAGCTTTTAATCGTGCCTGACACGTTTACAAAATTTTGTTTCGTAAACGTGCCAGCAAAGAACCGAAAAATAGAATATGTGCAAAAGAATGACGCACGCGTAACATCGAGTTATTCGGCATGTGCAATAGAAAAAAGTCTCGAGACATACTTAATCAAAGAACATTAATTATAATAAATGCAATATCTATGATATAGTACTTAAAGAAATATTACAACGGTAAAGAAGTTCAAGCTCACATTCTTTACAATAGAAATACCTATCTCGTTTGCTTCATTTATAAATAATAGGAGTTACCCGTGGTAAGCCTATACGTTTCAAATAGGCATAGCCACGGAAGGTTATTTAACGTTCCATGATTATGGTACATCAAAAGAGCAATTGATGGAATGACATTAATTTAGATAAAAGAATTCTTTATACTTAGAAATAGCCGGTGTATTTAATCCCGGCCCTATCCATTCAGGCAGTGCGCATAATTATGTGAATTCCGCTATCCGTATGAACTGGAGAAGACATTTCGCCCACTTTCAGGGCAAAAGCTGCCTGTTCGAATGGTCGCTGCATCGTTCCCCGTTTAAATGGTCCTAAGTCTCCCTCTCGTTTGGCAGAACTGCAATCGCTGAACTCTGAGGCAAGCTGCGCAAATGTTGCTTTCCCTGATACAATGTGTTGACGATAGGCTATAGAAACAAATGATGAATTTAGTTAGATCATTTCTTCGATAGTACAAAAATTCTTAATTACACATGTCCCTGCTATATTAATCACCTATACAACTAGGAACATTATACAAAATATAATGACATCAAATTATTAGGGTAAACTACTACTTACTATTTATTAAATCTAGGGCTTCTTCTTTCGATCTCGTAATTTTGTCTTCTCTCCACGAAGAAGGGCGTCTAGATTGGGCGTGTTTTACTAAAATGTGGGAACATCTTACTTCCTCCATTTCATCAGATTTATTATTGCTTAATGGGTCTGCAGGTTTAGTCGGCTTGTCCCACTGACTTTCTTTGGTATGAAGGTTCAAATAATAATGCTGACCTATTTAAGAAAATCGTACTTACTTTGATTGTATGATACGAAAATATTTGCAATTAAACGAAGATATTAAATACATTAAAGTATGATCTCTTTACGACCATAACCTTAAATCGAAATAAATTAAAATCCCGTGACCAGACGAGACTAAACAAAATTGTATTAGGAAGGAAAAAGTATGAGAACGAATTACTTATCACGACCAAACACGGGGAAATATCACCCTACTTTGCATAATTCAAAGCAACTAAATACGAGCATAGACATTGGGGCGGACGTAGGAACGCCAATTCCCTTGCAAGGAATTTATAAATTTATTCTCACATAATATCAGGAAATAAATATTGAACAGAGGAAATCGCTTGTAATACGCGTCTCGAATGATTGATTTTAATCGAAAACACACCTGTGGACCTGCTAAGGCGTTTCTCCCAACCGAATGGCAACTCCTCATCAGCCATTATATTCCTCAAACCTCGTTCAACATGTCGCGGTTACTATCTCAAGTTACAGCAGCGGCATGGTTATAACAGTGAGGAGTAGAGAGTGCTCATGCGTCACGTTTTGGCAGTACCGGGGTGCCGCAAACTCCTGACGGCCGTACATCGAAATGGTTCCACCTTTCACGTGGCATACACATTATCGACGTCAGTTCCAAATGTTACAGCAGCAGGAGATGAGAGCAGCCATGCAGTGGAATGTGTAAGAATGGCACACACATACATGTGAAAACGATTAAATTCTGTAGCAGCACATTCGTGAGGAGGGTATTTCATTTTCCAGCTAGGTTATGGCGATAACTACGAAGTTCACTCACTAGTTGGCACCACTACCGTAGAATTAGTTCCACGTAAGTGCTGCTCCATGATGTAACAAGGTAAGAATCATTCTGCCATCACTCTGTCTTCTTATCTAGGTTATGTGACGATCGACGTGCGCATGTGTTCCATTCCGATTCCATAGTTTCGTGGTTTCGTGCGACGGTTTGACAGGTCCAGACAGGTACAGACAGGTCGGTGACTGTGCGACGGTCGGTAGCAATTGGTTTTGGAGTGCACCTGTTTAACAAAATTTACAGGTTTATCCCAGAATCCAGAGTTAGATTATAGCAAATTCATTCGCCTGGGAGATGCTAGGTGCATTTCTCGTGCCACCGTCGTAAACGCCTTTTCCTACATTCCAGGTACTGGGCCAAACTTTTTACCTCCTTTATAGATTACTAGCGTTGCAACTCGCAGTATTTTTTGTACGCCAAGTATGGTTATGAATCATATTTTATTACCCCTTTTCTCCTTGGGCAGGCTGCATGTCCTTTTTCGAACTGTAGTTCACATTAGACATCTCAAAGTTCCGAGCATTTTCCGTAATTGTTAATAAGTGGGTCAATTTGTAACGCGAGTGGATATATTAATTTCCAAGCTTTCATTTCCGTATGCAGCCTTTCCTGGTTATGAGTTTTTGATTTGTTCATTTATATATTCTAACCTTACAACTCTGGTTATTATAATGAAGTAGACAATAACGTTTATAACATTCAAACCTCCTTGTTTTACGAATAATGCAAAAAGTTGAGATACAGTGCTTTTATAGGAATCGCACCAAAAACGTGCAGCATTGCAGAAAGAGAAAATCGCAGTATGGACTGTAGGTGATGAGCGTTATCGCCTGGCAACAGTCTGATTTCATGTATCTTTGTCCAACGTCTAGCCTTTAAAGCAGAGTGGATTCACTGTACGCCCGTGAATCCACTTTGAAGTTTTTTCAACTAAAGGAGATATTTACATTCAAAGAAATATCTACCGACGAACTGGCTCTATTAGCTAAGCTGGAAGAAGCCAATAGGTAAATGACGCGTTAACGATCTCTCTTATTGTCACTTAGTTTAATTAGCTTGACTTTATGCGAATGGTCGTTTCTATGATTCCATCTGGGTCGTAATTAACATCAAGTTTGTACTTTAGGCTTATCGAATCGGACGCAAAGTCATTAAATTCTTTGCAAAATAGTCGAAATAAGAAGGAAGGTGACACGTCGCAATTGTCGCTACCATCCTGTGGGGATGGAAGTGGTGGAGATGGTGGTAATGCGCAACGGTCGTCGACGGATGGGGAAGAAAATACGTGGACTGTGTGGGGCCACATTGTCGCCGACTGGGATAACTTTTGGAAAAAGAGGAAAGATTTTGTGAAAGAATTGGTGCGTCAAGGAATACCTCATCATTTCAGGTACATATGTATAAATTTCTATTACAATGAAAATAAAACGCCATTTCTGTAATATATCGGCAGTGTTGTGCCGTTCCGTAGCATCTCATTAATCTAACTCCATTTGGATTTCAGGGGCATAGTATGGCAACTGTTGTGCGGCGCACACGATTCCCCCGTTAAAAAACAATTTGCAGAATACATTAAAGCCACCTCAGCTTGCGAAAGAATCATCAGAAGGGATATAGCGAGAACATATCCGGAACATGACTTTTTCAAAGAAAAGGACGGTCTTGGTCAAGAGAGTTTATTTAATGTTATGAAAGCGTACAGTCTTCACGACCGAGAAGTTGGATACTGCCAAGGCTCGGGTTTCATCGTGGGACTTCTTCTTATGCAAGTATGTCCATAGGGTTGTCCGAGCGCAATCTGTTTTCGAATGAAATGGATTAAAAATGTATGTAAATTGTCTGACTTAAAATTTGCTTCCAGCAAATGCCAGAAGAAGAAGCCTTTGCAGTTTTGGTTGCTCTGATGCAAGAATATCGTTTACGGGATATGTTCAAACCGAGTATGGCCGAACTTGGAGTCTGCATGTATCAATTGGAGCACCTAGTCGCGGATACGCACCCCGAGTTACACGCTCATTTCACTGCTCAAAGTTTCCATACTTCTATGTACGCATCCTCGTGGTTTCTTACACTTTTTACTACAGCACTGAGCCTTCCGTTAGCTTGCCGGATTTTCGACGTGTTTTTGTCAGAAGGCATGGAGATCATATTCAAAGTTGCATTAGCGATGCTGCACCTAGGGAAAGAAGATTTACTCAGCCTGGACATGGAGGGCATGCTAAAGGTATAGTCGTACCAGTGCATTGATATTAATTGTCCCAATGTATGTAAATTATCGGGTCATGCCGGAATATCCTCTCGATTTACCGCTCGCAATCGGAGACCGGCTTTTAGTACCAGAGAGGAGCATCCTCTTTTATGCGCGATTCCTTGGTATCGAATAGAGAACAATACGTTCCGTCACGCGCTTGTCGTATTTAACGAGCGATTCGTCGCGTTTACAGTTTTTCCAGAAAGAGTTACCCGGTAGAGCCGAGGCGGAACCCGACAAGCTGATGAACCTCGCTTACAGTATGAAGATCAACTCGAAACGCATGAAGAGATTAGAAAAGGACTACACGGTCTTGAAGATGAAAGAGCAAGAGGAAATGGTGGAACTGCGTAGGCTCAGAGCCGAGAATAAGTTGCTTCGACAAAAGACGGAACTTTTGGAAGCCGAGTCGGCGGAACTGGCTGACAAATTGGTAAGGGGTCAGGTATCCCGAGCGGAGGAAGAAGAAACGACCTTTATCGTGCAAAGGGAGTTGGCTGCTTTACGGCACACGCATCTCGATACAAGCCACCAGCTTGAACAGGCTCACGAAGAACTGAGATCCCTGTCGATTCTGCTTCAAGAGAGTTTGATGTCGAAGCAGTCGTCTCTTGACGAGATCTCCATCAAGCAGGAAACGTTGACCCAAAAGGAAGAAATGATTCAGTGTCTGCAAGAAGAGTTGGTCAGGGTCAGGTTGCACGAAGCCGAAAACGATGCTACCATCCGAGACTTGAGGACCCGCGTTCAAGAACTGGAACAGGATAAAAAAACCTTACGAGAATCGACCCCGGATAACTCCGTGGCGCATCTACAAGAAGAACTTATAGCGGTTAAGCTTAGAGAAGCAGAGGCCAATTTGTCGTTGAAGGTAAATACTTTCGTAATACGTTGAGACGCGTTCCTTCGTCTTGAAAGATTTTTAAATTTAATTTAGTCGATAAAATTGTTAATCAATCCATGGCTGTTTGTAGGATCTGAGACAAAGAGTTATGGAGTTGAGTAGCGCGTGGCAACGACATCTGCAAGAGCATCGTTCCGCTCAACCACCTCCGGCATCGGATTCCACTCCAAAAAAATTACTCTTTTGGGAAAATAAAAGCAATGAAATTCAGAAGTTCGAGGAGGACCTTATGACAACCAGAATTCGTGAAATGGAGGCCGTCGCAGAAGTCAGAGAACTCCGACTCAAAGTAATGGAGCTTGAAACGCAAGTGCAGGTCGCTACGAATCAATTGCGACGGCAGGACGAAAACGAAAAGATCCTCCGAGAGGAGTTGGATGACGCTATCGCTAGGGAGAAGGAATTGGTCGCGAAATTTCGAGAACAGCAACACAAATACTTGGATTTAGAATCTAAAATGAAGGACGAGGCGATGATGACTAGAATAAAAGACGCGGAGCATGCTCAGCAAGTAGCCGAATTAACTCAGAAGATATCTCTTCTCGAATTAAAGGTGAGCGGAAAGGTCGGAGCTGATTAATATACCTAGACGTTGGGTAACGCTAACACGAGCACTGGAACTATTGCAAATGCCGAGTACATTACGGTAATTTCATTACAGAACGAAGAGATGTTTACCGAAGGTGAGCTGAAAAATAATCTGGACGACAACGAAAGAGTGAGGGAGTTGCAGGATAAAGTCGAAGAACTGAAAGCAGAGGTAAATTCGTTTCCCAGATAAGAGGTAGGCCCGTTTACGTGAAAACTGACAGGTATCGTTCGATTCAGGTGATGGGCTTAGAAAATTGGAATCACCGACCGGCTAACGCGGAAGTCCAGGGTACGCAGAACTGCAGCGCGGATGCCGAGAGCGACGTGGACGAGCGGGACCTTAAAATATGTTTTCAAGATCAGTTGAGTACGAGTACGCATATTGCACCGGAGTTATAACCTTTGTGTACATAGTGGGTGATCGGCCCAAGGAGTACTCGAAACATACCAACTTGTACCCGCGGCATATAGTTATGGTCTAAGAAGCGACAATGACGGAGGTCCTTAACTTAAAGGTAAACCTCTTTCCGTACAATTCCATGGTCCAAAGCTGAGATCCGAACGCGAAGTTTACGCATGTATCGCTAGAGGCTCCGATTCTCTTCTAACCTGCATAACATACACTCAACTGTCAGCGTTTGATCGCGCGTCATAGTTGTAGTCATTCTAGCGTGTAACTAAGGAAAATACTCGCTGTATTATCTTCCACGTTAATCGAGTTACCTGGAATTTCTTTGGCAATAATTCAAATTAACCACTCGTAGGCAATACTTTCGAGCGAGGTCCGAACGGTTTACATCGATTCGTACTTTTTAAATCGAAGCCTTGGTGCTCGCGTAAATTTTCAACATATCAGAATTATTCTTTACGGTAGCTAAATAATTTGGAAGTAAGAGCTCGGCGTCTTACGACCTAGATAGCAACGGTATATTTACAAATTTTGATCGCTATTCCGTCCTTATATATTATTTATTACGTTTTAATTTTTCGCATTTTTCTCGGTAAGGTTACATTCCTAAACGAACTGCCAGGACGGTAACGACTCGACACTGGTAAAAGCGTTACAGCTGCGATAGTTAATTTTATTTCAGAGTACGATTTAAGTTATCCTTCGAATAAAGGACGATTTTCGCTCGCGTTCCAAACGGAGCACTCGGGACTAACCGTTAAAAATTAGCAAGAATTAAGATGTCAGTCGTGCCGTATCGATACGTTCCAGTTTTAATTCGTCTTCTTAACGTCCGGCGCGTCGTTTTAACCGTTAGTACGGTTAAATCACGCATGTTCGTAACGCTTAAACGACCCTAACATACATTTCGACAGGATTGCCCGGAACGCTACCGCTTTCTCCGTATCGAGTTAATTCCACTTTTTATCGATCATCGTCTCCTTAGTATTTATTTAACGATCGACCACTAGACGGTGAAAATTGTCGCGGTAACTCCATTAAAATGGACGATAGGTAGGAATTTTAAACACCATGTAAAATCGTCGTTTCTTTTTATCGAAAGCGGTATTAAAAGTACTGTTGAAAAATACACTCGGAAAAGATCTTTAAGCCACGGAATGTTTACTCGCCCCGTCCGACGGAAACCGGAAGATCGGGTCGGGTCGGCTCGGGTCGGGAGGAAAAAGGGGGCTCGGTGGGATCTTCGGGATCGGTCGGATCCGAGTCGGATCCGAGTCGGAGGCACCGGCGGGCGCTTAAAGCGATCCCCGTCGAGCGATGACGGCTCTATCCCTCGGGACGGGCAGCGCGCGGTTACCGAGATCGGGCAGATAGTTGCGTCGACCGGCCCTAGGCCGTGTTAACAGCCGAAACTCATAAAGTCGTTTTACCGGGCCGAGAAAAACGGACGATAGATTCCGTAGCCGAGATAGGACGGTTTCTCAGTCAAGGTCGACGAGCGGGCCCGAGCCCTCCTCCGGATGGTCCAATAAATTTCTCGGCGACCCGTCTCGTTCGAATGAACTCGTCCTAAACGGGCCGCTCGGGCCGCTATCGAGGAATCTCCGGGAACGCCGCCGCCTCGAAGGAGCGCCCGGGAGCGCCCGGGAGCGCTCGGGAGCGCCCGGGAGTCCCGGGCGTCCTCGGGGACGTCGCCTCGGCCGGGTCGTTAGCCGCCTCGGCCCGGCAACGGGACTCGCGACGGTAGCCAAGTCCTCATTAGCGCATTCCGTCGCGACGCTCGCGCCTCAAAGCATCTTAAAAACAGCTGGGACGTAGCGAGCGTCGCGACGCGGAGCGGCATCCCGTCAAACGCGACCGCCCGCTCGGGGGCCGGAGGGAAGAGGGTCGCGGCCGCCGGCAGGAAGAGGGCGAGTTATAAGGAGTCTCTCGGAGGGAACCGACCGGCCCCGGGGTAGGAGCGGACCATTTATCAATGCGTTATACGCGCGGTGGCATATTTATAAACTCGATACTTACTAACTACGCTCTCGACCGACACCCTTTGCGTCCGCGCGCGACGCCCCGCCCCGCCCCGACCCGACCCGACGCGGATCGGACCGCTTCGTCCCGGCCTCGGCGGTGATTCTGGTTTCGTGCCCGAGTGCGAGGCTCGCGCCTTTTATCGGGAGGGCCCTCGAACCGTGACAAGGGCCGCCGGCTCGGCTCCCACGGCTCCTTTTTAATCGCGATCCGCCCCGCGCTCCCGATCGGCGGGAGCGCGCCGGGAAACGGCTTTCCCGCCTCCGGACTCGGCCGAGTTCCGGCCGGTAACCGAAGATGCCTCCCCGATACGGTCGGCCGGCCACCTGCCAAAGCCGATACATACGATTAATGGTAAACGTCCCGCGGGCACGCGATTCCTCTCCTCTCCTCTCCTCTCCGTTTCGGAGCCCGGACCGGACCGGACGGAAGGAACGGGAGGACGATTTCCTCGGCCGGGAGGAACCGCTGGAGGAACCGCCGGAGGGCGGCGGAGGGCGGCGGAGCGCGGCCGGGTGCGGCCGAGCGCGGGCCGCGTGGCAACGCGCGTGCGTGCCTCTCGGCAATTCACCGACACCCGGGAATCGCGATTCCCTGGAATTTCATACGGAGGGAAGCTGGCGCGGCCGTTCACCGTGGCCGCGCACCGGGAGGATACATAAAGGGGATACGGTTCGCCCCGCCGTCTAATTGGCGCGGACGCGGCGGATCGGGGACCTCGGCGACGGAGCCGAGACTCCGGGGGACTCCCAGGTGGTCCAGCCGTGCGAACTCGGGCGCCTCCCGCGTTTCCCACCAGCGGGCCTCCGCCGCGGCGACGAGGGACGCCGGAACCAGCGGGCCCGGCGCCCCGCGGGGCCGAAGGATATAATTACGGGCGACCGGGTCGCGCGAGCGCGACCGGGCGGTGGTGCTCGTAAATAACCGACGGGATACCGTCGACTCGGGTCGCGTCACTACCGACCGCTTGATAAAACCGATAAGGCTTATAAAGAATGCTTGTCTCCCGTGTTCTCGCCGTCTCGCTCTCGCGGCCGTCCTCGCCGGCGAGTGTCGGTATCTTAATGTCTCTCCGGCGCTATAAATTACGGGACACGGCTCATGCAGCTGCGACGCTTCGTCCCGCGGTCGCCGCCGCCGCCGCCGCCGCCGCCGCCGCCGCCGCCGCCGCCGCCGCCGCCGCTCCGCCGCCACCGCCGCCACCACCGCCGCCTCTCGGCGAGCGAATCCCCGCGGACAGGTGGACCCGGTCGAATCCCCATTGACGGGTCCCTTCCGCTCCTCCCCGCGGCTTCGGGCAAGGCCGGTAAATAATTTCGGGAAATAATTGCTACCGCCGGGTCGTCGACCTCGCGGCCGCGCCGCTATCGGCCCCGAAGATCAACATTCCGCGTCAAACGCGAGAGGTTTCCCCGAATCCCGGCCGAGATACGACAAGGCCGAACCCCGAGGAGTCCCTCGTCGGCCCTTGACTCCTGGCCTCGGCGAGGGCCCCCGAGGGAATCGCTCCTTCCTCGCGTGGGACGCCTCCGAGCGGGCACCGAGCGGGCACCGAGCGGGCACCGAGCGGACACCGAGCGGGAACCTTCGAATCGCCCGATTATTTATAGCCGAAAGTATTACGGATGGATATAAACGTCGGCAATGCAAACACTTAACAGTCCGTATATCAATCAGACGCCAGGTTGCGCTACGGCTGCTCCTCCGGGCCGCTATAGCTCTTCTAAGCTACGCTTCGCTATACTTGACCGTGCAACCGGCGCCCCGCTGCGCCCCGCTGCGCTCCCCTGCCCCCCCTCGGGCCCTCGAGCGACCGCAGCCCCGGCCTAACCCGACCTGTCCCAACCTATCCTACGACGCGCTCGCGCCCGCGCCCGCCTTTATGTAATTTCTCATGTAAATTGCACCTTCGGCCCCCTTGTAAATCACTCCTCGAGAATATCGCCAAAGAAAGCAGAAAAACTGCATTGGGCCCGGATTTAACCTTAACTGCCTAGGAGGGAAACGTTTTCTGCGAGTGCTACATCGTTGCGCGCCGGAGCCTCCTCCGCCCGCACCCCCCGCCGCCCACGCGAGGGCCGCGCGGATCGATCCTCGCCGATCGCCGGGAAGGCGGGATCGGGGCGACAGGTGACCGAGGCGGCTATACGAAGAGCGACCGGGGACGAAAATTGGGAGAAAATTGGGAGAAAATCGAGCGGGGGCGAGGCGGAAAGGAGTCGCATCGAATCCGTCCCCGGCGAGGCGTAAAGAGAAAAAAAAGGTCGGGCACTCCGCCGATGGAGCGTGGAAGTTTTCCCTTTGTGCGCGAGTTCAAAGAGTACGGTGCTTTGAGCCAACTCGAGCCCATTGTCGTAAAAGTTCGCAGCCGCTAAAAATCTGACGTGTTCCGAATCTGGCTTAATTAATAGCCTTATAGGGTCCATCCCACGAGGCAGGCCCTCCGTCTCCCGTTCCTCGATCCCCGGTGAAGAGGGCACGTGCGAGACACGTGTCCGTAAGAGGATATCCATTCGTCCCGCCCTGCCCCGCCGCCGACCCACGCTCGACCCCCCGACCCCCGNCGACCCCCGGAGCTCAGGTGCCTCTATTTTCTTACGCCGATGCGTAATCCTAATCCCGCGTCCACGCCCCGACTCGACTCGACTCGACCGAAAGTTCGCCTCCTCGGGGGAAAGGGAGTCGCGGGCTCGTTAAAGTCCCCTCGAGCGGGAGCGAGATTTTCTCTCCCTTTCCGCGAACCGCCGACTCGCGGCGGTTCGCGGCCCTTTGGCGCTCGCTCGATCGACTCCGTTTTCCCCCGCGACGACGCCGAAACGCGCGAATCTCGGATTCGACTTTGGCATCGGAGCGCTCGCGCTCCCGCGCGCGGATTCTCTCAGCCGCGACGCGTGTGAAAGTTCTCACCGAGCGGCGTATCGAGCTCCCGCTACTTCAAAGAGGGACCGAATGCCGAGGGAATTTCGCGTCTTCTGAAATAAACGCGCGTCGACTATCGGGGAATCTATCCTCCGGCGAGAGAAGCGGAGCGGGGCCGCCGTCGTCCCCCGAGACATCGGAAACCCCTCGGCCGGCCGGCCGTTCCGTTTCCTCCTCCGGGTCCGAAATACGCGGACGCGAGGACCACCGGGAAGGAAGGGGGTCCGGCGGAGGCGGAGCCGACGCCGGGCCGGGGCGGAGCCTTCTTCGGTGCCGGGCGCCGCCGCCAGAGCGCGCGGCCCGGGCGGCGGCTCGGGCCCGGCAGTCCCGGCGGTCCCGGCACTCCGCTCCGCGGATCCGACCGAAGCGCGTCGCTCGCCGGAGGAGATGGGATCGCCGAGGCCGGTGCGGGACGTAGAGTGCGTCGAGTGCGTCGAGTGCGTCGAGTGCGTCGAGTGCGTCGAGTGCGTCCAGTGCATCCAGTGCGTCGCCCCGGCCGAGGCGGGGCCCGCGACCGACCTCGGCCCGGGGGCCGTTCGACGAGTCCGACAGTGAGAGGAGCCAAGGAGCGACCGGACCCGGCGGCCGCCTCCCCCCTCCGGGCGTCGGTCCGGCGTCTCTCACCCTCGGCGGGAGCCACCCCGCGACCGCAGCCACCCTGATGGGAGTGTATGAGGAGCGCGCCCCTCCTCCCAGCAGCATGCACTGGGTGAGCGACGTCCCCTCGGCCGCCATCGCGGGTCTCGGACCTCCGGATTCTGCGCGGTGCCGCTCCGGGCCTAACTTTTTGCCCCCGACTCCGCGGAACTCGGATCGAGACCCGAGGGAAACGAGAGAGGAGAGCGGAGGACTCCTTCCGGGAGCGGGACGCGCGAGCTATAATTAACCCGCGTCGCGATCCTCGGGCGATCCTCGGGTGATCCTCGACCGATCGGGGAGGGGGGACCGGGTCGGCCGTAAATCTCGGACCGGGGCCAAAAAAGCTCCCCGCGTCGCGGTGGGAGCATGTGGTCGCGATAACCGAGACGTATGGCTGCAACGGGGGCCGACCTCTCGACGACGTCCGCGTCCGAGGTCTTCCGGGACGGGGGAGGGACGCGTCGAGAAAAGGTGTCGCGGGATCGGGGAAAATCGCGGGGCCGATAAAAAGGTTAGTACTCTCTCGGCGGCTGCACAGGGAAAGAAAAAGAAAGGATCCGAGTTGGGCAGCGATAAGGACGTATCGGCCGGGGGCCGAAAGGGTTATCACCGGGTACTCACTTTCTGCGGTCACCCACTCGATGCGCGTCCCGGCGGCCGAATCGACCGTTTCCGCGAATACTGGCGTTATTATTCCCTTCTTGCCGACGGACCTCTCTCGCCCCGATGGAGCGCGGCTCGCGGTGTTTTTTTCCGTCTTTCGTCTCGTCCCGGGTGCTCGATCACCTTCGCGATCGACCGTCCGGGACGCGACGTTACGCAACGGGCGGAGTCCTCCCGCGCGAATAAATTGACGAGAATTGAACGCGGATAAATCGTTGCCGAGGAGGGTCGCGACGGTCGGAGGCCCGGAGGACGACTCGTCGAGCGTCCGCCGGCCTCTCTCACGCTCCTCGGGGTTATCTCGTCTCGGGTCCGTCGCGACTCCGCTCGGTAACGCCGGTGCCGGGCCGGTGCCGGGCCGGTGCCGGCCCGGTGATCGATCGAGCGGTCGTTGCGGGAAAGCCCGAGTCCGTCGGAAGCGCGGCAGATACCGATACGAGCTTCGACTTTTATCGGCGAGTCCGGCCTCCGGCGCGTGGTCGGGCGCGTGGTCGGGCGTCGGAGGCCGGAAGAGGAAGCGCCTCTGACGCGTCCCCGTTGTTCCAGCAGCCGCCCAGCTCGCAGGAGCGCGGCAGCGGCCCCGGCCGGGCGGGCAGCCCGACCGAGTCGGGCCCGGCCGCCTCCGACCGGGTGCGCGACCCGAGCCCCTGCCTGCCGGCGTCGACGGGCGACGCCGCCCGCCCGGCCACCTCGCCCACCCTGCCGACCCGGAGCCACGGGCAGAGCCTGCGGGCCCGCTGCTCCAACCCCTACGACTCGCCGGAAGGTACGCCGCCCCTCCCCGCCGACCGACCGCGGGCTCTGACCGGCGACTCTGATCCGACCGCGTCCCCAGGTGGTGGCGGCCCCGTCGAGTACCGCGCGGAGGCGACCTACCCGCGACCCTACCGGCAGGCCCAGGCGCGCCGCTTCGGGGACGAGGAGGAGCTGTCGGGGCCCGAGGACCTGCACGCCGTCCACGCCGTCCACGCCGTCCACGCCGTCCACGCGGTCCACGCGGTCCACGCGGTGCACGCGGTGCACGCGGTGCACACGGTGCACGCCGTGCCGAAGCTGGAGCCTCCGCCGACGCCGCCCTCCTCGCGGGACGACGCCTGCCCGCCGGGCGTCTTCTGCGCCGGCTGCGGCCTCCGCATCTCCGACCGCTTCTACCTGCAGGCCGTCGACCGGCGGTGGCACGCCACGTGCCTGCAGTGCTCGCACTGCCGCCAGGGCCTCGACGGCGAGATCACCTGCTTCAGCCGGGACGGCAACATCTACTGCAAGCGGGACTACTACAGGTGGGTCGTCGCGACCCGCGGGGCTCGGACGGCGTACCGAGAATCGCGGCTCTCCGCCGGAGGTAAACGACCGAGTCGTGACCATTAGTCCGGCGGGGACCGGCCGAGTGTACGCGTATTAGCGGGCCGGAGCCAATAACGCGCCGTGTGGGGTCCGATCCGTCCGGGATCTTCCGAGGCCCTTCCGAGGCCCTTCCCCGGCCCTTCCCCGGCCCTTCCCCGGCCGCCGAGCCCATTTAACCCGACGACCCCGGGACGTTCGACGGGCCGATGGCCGATCCCGATACCGTTTCCGTGCCCCTCCGCCACTTTTCGGTCGCCCCGCGCTTTCCCGGTCGCCATTGTTCTCCCAGAGACGGCCCCGACTTTTACGCGATCGGAATCGCGCCGGCCCCCCTCGGAGGGGCGCGTCGCGGTTAATTCCGCCCGGAGCAGCCCGGAGGAGCCCGGACAGGAAACGGGCCACCTTAAATCAGCCGCGTCGCAAAGGAAACGCCGAGTGGTAATTGAGCCGTAACCCTCGGTCGGCGAACGCACAAATATTTCAGCGGCGGGAGCTCCCTCGTAAATTAGTCGTCATAATTAAGACGCGGCGCTGGGCGAGAGCGACCGAGGCCGCGCGGAAACTCGACACTTGGTGGGTGCTTTTTCGCTCCGGCGCCGAGGCCCGGGCTCGCCGACCGGAGGGTTTCTCGAAAATACGACGGCAGGCCCGTCCGGGAGTAACGCAATCCGGGTCGTGCGTCATCGAGGCTCGGGCTCGGGCTCGGGCTCGGACTCGGTCCGAGCGATCGGAATGCCGGCCAGGAGCCCCTCCGATCCGGATCGGCGTCCGGTAGCTCGGACCGCGTCGTCCGCGGGGCGGGACGCGTCCTCCCGAGCGCGCGGCTACTTTTTCCCATATTTTACGCGGCGAGGGTTCGGCCTCCCCGTAACCGGATACCTCGGCGGGAATGGTTTATGCGCCGACGCTCGCGCGACCGTCCGGCGCAACCGCCGACCCCCTGGGGCGCGGCCGCCGAATCCGCCGGCGCGAGGATCGTAAACCCGCGGGCCCGTCGCCCGTCGGCCGCGTATCGATCGGGCCCCGGAAAGGTGTTCGCTCGACAAAGGGAACGCGTGCCCGCGGCCCGTAAGACTCGGCGGGTCGCCGACGAAGGCGGGCCCCGCCATTGTGCGGCTTCCTCCCGAATCGCGCCCGAGCCCATTGTCCCCCGGAAGCCGCTACGGGAGTCCGCTCGGTTCCAGGATGTTCGGCGGCGCGAAGCGCTGCGCCCGCTGCCAGGCGGCCATCCTCGCCTCGGAGCTGGTGATGCGCGCCCGGGATCTGGTCTTCCACGTGCGCTGCTTCTCCTGCGCGGCCTGCGCCGTCCCGCTGACCAAGGGCGACCACTTCGGAATGCGCGACGGGACGGTGCTCTGTCGGCTGCACTACGAGCTCGGCGCCGAGCTGCACCCGACGCAGAGTCCGCCGCTGCCCGCCTTCCCGCCCGGGCCGCCCTACCTGGGCCAGCCCTTCCCGCCCGGCGAGTTCCTGCACCGGCACCTCCACCAGCACCTGCACCAGCACCTCCAGCAGGCGCGCGCCGGCCCCGCCGGCCCCGCCGGCCCCGCCGGCCCCGCGGCGCTCCCCGGCGCCCCCGGTGCCCCCGCCGGCCCCGAGGTCGGCTCGCCCCCCAAGGGGGGACCCTACTTCAACGGCGCGCCCGCCGCGCCGCCGCCGCCGCGGCAGAAGGGCCGGCCCCGGAAGCGGAAGCCCAAGGACCTGGAGGCCATGACGGCCAGCCTGGGTGAGTACGGCCGGGTTTATTCCAATTTGTCCCTCGCGGACGCCTGATTTACCGCGCGGCCCTCTCCGCTCCTCGAAATTTATTCCGGACTCCGGGAACGATGTCGCGATAATCGCCCCGGTCGTTAAGGCGACAATGGTAATGTATTTCGCCGCGACGCGAGTCTCGTCCCCTCCGGGCCGATAAGGAGCGCCGTCGGATCCGGACCGACTCCACCCGGATCGGCGGACCCGCGCGGGGGCGCGGCGTTTGCTCCCGAATTTCGATAAAATTTGCCCGGAAGGAGGCCGCGCTTCCTTCCGGGCGGGTGATTTTTCCTCTGGGGCCGCCGCCGGCCGGTGATCTCGTGGAATCCCGCTTAGCTTTCGAGGTGGACCTCGTAACCGGCGATCGGCCCGGGGCTGACCGGTTTGACTAGTCCATTGCGGGCCAAGCGCGACATTTTGCTGCACTATAAACACGCTAATCCGCAGCTGCGAATTCGGTCCCACGGCGCTCGGCGCCGCTCGGCGCCGCTCGGCGTCGCTCGGCGTCGCTCGGCGTCGATTAAGAATTCTCTCCGGCCCGGCCACGTAGAAACGCTCGTCCTTCCTCGATTTGCAGACTTAAACGCGGATTACATAGACCTGCCCTTCGGAAGAGGCGGCCCCGGAACCCCGGGCATGCCGGGATCCAACAGCCGGACAAAGCGGATGAGGACGAGTTTCAAGCACCACCAGTTGAGGACCATGAAGAGCTACTTCGCCGTCAATCACAATCCTGACGCTAAGGACCTCAAACAGCTTTCCCAAAAGACCGGCCTGCCCAAGAGGGTGCTGCAGGTGAGTCGGGTCCTCCCCCACCCGATGGCTTTGCCTCGGGGATACGTCGCTCGAAAGACCACGGAACAGGATCCTCGCTCGCGGTCACGATGCACGCGCGCTGCACACGCCTTTTATGCTCTGAATATTTCGTCCCGGTGAATATTTACGCGTTTTGCGCCGATTTTATCGCCACGGCGCCCGGGCCCTCGCCGAGCGAAACCGCGACGCTCGCGGCCGGGAGACGCCGGCCCGACGTCGCGCCGCTCGCTCGGGGTCGGGAACGAATCGCGACGCGTCGCGAAACCGATCGAGAGGTCGAGGTGTCGGAAGCGAGGATGCGCTTTTCGCGAATCGGATGCGCGTCGAGGCGAGCGCGTTACGCTCCGCTTCGTTGCCCCTTCGTACGTGCATCGCCTTCCATCCGGTGGGCTTACGACACTTCCAAGTTCGTCTACCTCCTATCGTCGACGCGCCTTCTCGGCGGATTTCCATCGAGATTCTCCGTTTCGCCTCGACGTTTCGATCGATCCCGCGCGGCCTCGGAGCTGCCCCCGTCCTCGTCGTTCGGAGTAACGAGACCGGCGCGGCCGTTAAGCGGGTCGTTTCCGACGGGGTGCGAGCAAAAAATTGCGACCGCCCCCGGGGGTGGAGCGGCCACGCGACCTCCGGATCGCGTTGGCTCCCAATTTGCGGGGGGGAATCGCCCCGGCGCGGTCGTCCCTGGGAAAGGAAATTCGGGATTCTCGACCGCTCGGATTTTAGAAAGCCCGAGGTGAACGCTTTATTAACGACCGAATATACGTGTCGTCCGTCGAGCGTAGACCGGCGTTAAAAAAAGTAGGTCGATGCGGCGACCGATAAGCGGCCGGAGGATCTCTCCTTCCTCGCCGTGGCTAACCCCGGCCCGTGGGGCTCAGGTCTGGTTCCAGAACGCCAGGGCGAAGTGGCGGCGCATGGTGCTGAAGCAGGAGGGCAAGGCGGACAAGTGCGGCGGCGGCGGCGGCGGCGGTGGCGGAAGCGGCGGCGGGATGGACGGCGGCTCCCTGGCCGAGCTGGAGCTCTACGGGACCAACTCCGGGGCCTCCGGCCCCCCGATGAGTCCTCCCTTCGGGCTGGCCGGCCCCCACAGCCCGGCCTCCCTCGGCTCCCTCGACTGCTCGTAATGTGCGCCGGGGCCGGACGCGACGGAGCCGGCGAGCCGGCTCCCAGGACTCTTCCCGGTCGGCCCCGACGCGCTCCCCGACGCGCTCCTCGGCGCGCTCCCCGGCGCGTTCCCCGGCGCGCTCCCCGAGGGGCCGGTCGACGAAAAGGACGCTCTTTGCATTTAATCGACGTCGCGGGTTGTAGGGATATACTGCGTTAGGACTGCATTAGTCAATAAAGGTAGTAACGATTATCGTCATTGTATCATTGTCGTCACCATTGTACACCGTGCCGGCGGGCAACCGTCAGACTTTGCAGGATAATTTTTTATGAAATATATTTTGACAATACATACCCCGCGTTTCATCGGATCCGTCCTCTTCCGTCCGACGGACGACCCGCGAGCGTCGCGGAGAAGACGCCCCCCGTATCGACGGCCTCGAGACTCGAGCGGGAACCGTTCGGATCGAAACCGCCCTGCCTCGAGGAAGGTAAGGCGCTTTCGCGTTCGAACAAACGAGAGGTAAGCGAGACAGTCCGAAACTCGCGTCCGCGGCGGACCTCGGCCGAAGGGAAGGACAGGATGGGTCCTTTCCTCGAACGTCGCGGGCCGAAGTCGCGCCAAACGGAGGCAAGAGGACGTGGGGGGGACCGGTCGAGCCGGGGGAAATAAGCCGCGACCGGGGCGCGTCGCGGCGAGGATACTCTTTGACTCCAATTTTCCGCTCGAGATCCTGTTTTGACGGGAAGCATGTCCGACGCGGGTTTACGGTGTCGCGTGTCGCGCGTCGCGCGTCGCGCGTCGGGGCTCGCGCTCTAAAATAGACCGACTTGATTCATGGCGCGGACCTGCCCTCCGTCCTCGACGCGGCCTCCGACGCGGCCTCCGACGCGACCGGAAGTCCGGATCGGGGATGCGTCCCGCGCGACGGACCCTTCCAGGAGGGGGCCGCGTCGTCGCCATCGATCATTTTCCTTATCGACGGCCGGGCCGCGTCGGGGAAGTATCTCCGGGTCCGGATCTCCGGCGGCCTTGCCTCTCTTCACGGCCGATCGGCTCCGAGAACGAGCGGTCGTCCCACGCGAACGGAACGCCAGCCATTATCCCCTTCGGGATCGCCGTCCACCGTTCGGCGGCCGACTTTCCGCGAATCGAGCCCGCGGGGCGGACTAATTGGCGAAAAGTCGTCGGGGGAGGGGAGGCCCGACCGCGGACCGTTTGAGCGCGCGACGCGGAGGACAGTGAGCGATGTCGCACCTGCCGTCGGGAGTCGCGCCGGGACACCCCGGGCCAAAAGCGGGCCAAAAGCGGGCGCGGCCGAGGGTGCGTCGACCGATTTGCCCGGCGATCTCCGGGGACGCCGGCAACGGAACCGAGTTCTTCTCGTGGAATCGCGTGTAGATCGTCTTGATAAATGCGCAAGGGTGCCCGCAAACCGTGCGTGTCTCCTCGGGGCTCCACCTCCCGAGTTTGTCCCTCGGGGGCCCGACGCGACTCCGAGTCGCTCCTTTCTCTCGCCTCTCTCCGGCCCGGGGCTCGGGGACGCCACCGACGGCGACCCGGGCAAAAGGAAGAGTTTTTATGGCCGGTCCTCGCGGAACGTCCTCCGTTTCCGTTAAATCATCGTTTTTACCGTTGCTCCGCGGCGTTACTCGCGAAACCGGTCCCGCGAGCTTTCTGCCGCTTTTTGCCGCTTTTCTCCAAATTTCGTCGTCCGGGCTTTCGGAAAACGCCGGTCGCGAAGGCGTTCGGGTACCGGTTTATCGGTTCGTCCTCGGGAGGGGGAAGGGAGGGACACCTGTCCGCCGCGCTCGTCACCCGGACCGGGCGCTATCGCGGCCGATCGCCGCCGATCGCCGCCGATCGCGGCCCCGGAGAGGTTAGGATCCGATAGCTCGGAACGGATTCCGGGGCGTTCCCCCCTCCCTCGTTAACCTAATCGGCCAGATAGGCGGGCACGGCCGCGGCCAGGAAGCCGGGGCAAACGCGTTAGGGCCAAGGGCTGGCAGTGAAAAATGAATCGCCGGCCAAGAAGAGTCACGTGCGGTCCACTCGGAGTCGGGCCCGAGACCGAAACCGAAACCGAGACCGCAAACGATCTTTTTTAAGCCACCACGTGTACGACGGACGGCCTCCACGTGACCCGGTCCCTTTTTCGCCTCTTTCTTCCCTCCGTCGACGCCGCCCACTCCGACTACCCGCGATCGCGGCTATCGCCGTCCGAATCGTAATCGTCCCGCCCGGCCCTCGAAGACCCGTTTCGACCGACCGGGGACGAATTCCTCGGCACCTCTCGGGACTACCCTGGGCCCGGCGGAGACCGTCCTCTCGGCGACGACCGGCGGAGACCGTCCACTCGCGCCTCCCGCGGGCGCGACGACCCGTCTCTCGTCCGCGAGCCGCTATCGGGAGGACGCATCTCGGATGGCGACTCGGACGGCGGATACTTTGCGCCTCGGATGCATTAATCATCTCCCCGTCGGGCGAGGGACTGGTACCTTCGACGCGGCCGCGAGGAGGACGGATAAGCCGAGCTCGGAGGGGCCCGGAGGGACCACACAGGCCCTCGCGCTAATGGACACCCCCGGGCGGGGGCGGCCGCGGGGGGCCTCGGGGGGGCCTCCAGGGCGACCGCGGAGGCGACGGCCGCCACGTGTCGCGGCCCCGACGACCATTGTCGGGATCACGCGCTGCGGCGTTCGCCCCGAATCGCGCGCGTATCGAGCGGAGGGCGGCCGAGTCGGAGGGCGGAAGGTCGGACCCGGAGGGCCATTGTGTTCCGTCGGCCCTTGAAGCTGCACGAGGTAGACGGGGCGAAAATGGCACAATAAACTCGTCGGCATTGTGCGCTCACGGCGCGCCTAGGTGGGCCACGGTTCGCGATACGCCGGCCCGATACCCTCGACGACGTACTCGACTACCTCGTCCGTGCGCGCGCTCGTATATAAATATACGCGCCTATATTCGGACGTATCGCGGGGCCAGAAGAGGCGAGGGTGGGACTCGACGGCGGGAGCCAGGGAACCGCGTTTCGCGTAACGAAGGTAATTTTATTCTTTGCCCGAGTGGAAAAGGAGGGCCGGGTCGTGGGAGCGAGGGACGCCCGGGGTGCCCGGGGTGCCCGGGGCGCCCGCGACGCCCGGGGAGGAGGAGACGACCGCCGGCCAGGTGGGCCCGTCGCGGTCGGCGAGCCCCTTAACCTTCGTGTTTATAAATAAACGTCACCCCGAATCGGACCGCGAGGGGCCAATTATCATCGCGCGAGGCGGCCCCGGATGGAGCCAAATACGCGGAAGGGCATTCGACTCGAGCGGGCCCCCTTCTAAACGGATCAGTTCCGCCCCTCGGCGGGCCTCCTCGGGGCCTGCCGGGACCTCCCGGGACCTCTCGGGACCTCCCGGGACCTCCCGGGGCCTCCGTCGGCAACGATTTCGTTTACCTCTGTGGCTAACGAGGCGCGACGCCTCCGCGTCCGGAAAGTCGCACGTGTTTCCGCGTCCGAGCAAACTCCACGGCAGCTGTCGGCGTTCTCACGTAATCGCGGGGCGAAGGGTGGCGACGCGCCTTCGGGGGAGCCGGACAGGTAAAACACCCTCGGATGGGAGCCTCGACGTGGAAATCGTTATCGGCTCCGGCGGAAGAGCCGCGCTCGCGGCCATAAATAATCGAAGCCCGAAACGCGTCCCTTCCCAATTAGCGGCGACTCGACGGGCTCGAGGATCTCGTCGCCGACTCCGATAACCGACCGCGGCCCCTGGAGGAGGCCGCCCTCTCTCCGACTCCGGAAGGGGTCCGAATCGGAGATCCAAACGTTACAATCAGCGAGCATTATGTCGGCGCCGTCGTAAAACTACCCGCCCCTAATTGCACCGGCGATAAATCATCGGCGCGTCTCTCAATCCGCGGCGTCTCCCGGGGGCCGGAGCCCGGAGCCCGAGGAGCGTCGCGTCGACCGATCGATGAAACGTAACCCTTATTTATCCGTAACACCCGGACCGCACGAAATCGCGAGGATTACACGGGGAGCATATGCCGGGGATCGAGAGGCCGCGCGCCCCGTGGGGAGGAGCCCCACGGGGGTCTGCGGGAAGAGTGACCCGACCCCCCAATTAGGGCGCCACTCGCGAGGCCCCCTTCGAGGCCCCCTTCGAGGTGCCCGCTCGAAGTCACCCCTCGGAAAAGTACTTCATTACGCGGACAGCCGTGTTGACTCGTATTGTGCGATCCTCCCGAGGGGCCCTCCAAATAATATCTGTGACGAATCGCCGGCGCGTCTCCCTCCCCGACCTGCCGGTCCCGCTCGATTCGAGATTCGAGATTCGAGATCCGAGATTCGGGATCGCCCCCGCCCTCGCGTCGCCCTCGCGTCGCCCTCGCGTCGCCCGGAGCCGGCCGACCGTGCGAAATTATCCGTCGACATTGTGCGGACACCTGCACAGGTACCGAGCACGATCCACCCGCGATTAGTGCACTCGCTCCGCCGCTCCCCTCGCTAAACTCGCATTTTCGGCCGGACGCCGCCTGCTCCCGGAGGAGCCGCGTCTCCGGTAATTCCGCCTAAGCGGATCCCGGAACCCTCCTTGCCGCGAGACGCCCGGGCTCGGACTAGGAGCGGAGAAATCGCCGCGGTCGCAGGTGCGCTCGGCCCGGTCGGGGGCGCGGGAGAGACGGACCGGAAAAAAGCAAACGGATAAACTTCGGGAGTCGTCCCCCGGGAGCGGGACCGCAAACATCGGCCTCCCGCCGGGGGCCGACGGGGCCGGCGAGGGCGCTCGGGTGTCACCGAGCAGCAAACCAGATGCACTTTAATCTGCCGCGTAAACAGGGGAGTCGGCGATGCTCGACGTCGCGCGTGCCCGCGCGGCCCGGCAAGCGGCAACCGGCCACCGGCCACCGGCCACCGGCAAACGGCAAACGACGACTCGACCGAGTCGGGAATGGGAGCGGAACAAAGCACAATGGTAGCAGCGTCTCGGCATTTATCGCTCGTCGACTCATCACCCGGACCGGGAGCGCGCTCGGAAACTCTCGCGAGACGTCCCGGAGCGAGCCGGCCCCTTTGAGGTCGGCTCGGGAGGAGACCGCTGTCCGATCGCGCCCAGCGGAATCCAAATTCGACCCTGGCCGACCTCCGGCGCCGGTCCCGCTGAACGGAAAAAGATGAGCCGGGGCCGGGGCCGGAGCCGGGGAGAGGGTGAAAGATATCGCGGTGTCACGAAGCTCGGGCGAGGAGAGGCGACGGCGACCGGTCGTCCTCCCTTGGAAGCGGTTTGGGGCATTCAGGCTCAATTTGACCGTCGTATTCTCCGTTCGTACCCCGGTGAAGTACCGTGAGTCATCACCTAATCGCGAATGGAATGCCCCTCCCGATATCTCGGCACCGGCCCGGCCAAAGTGACATCAAAGGAGACGAAGGCAACGAGCCCGGAGGAGGGGCTACCTGCTTAAACCTTAACCTCGGCCCGGCGGGGGCGGGACCGCGTCCGGAGGTAATGGCATTTAATTGCGGGCCTTCCGAACTATTACTCTGCAAATTCCCCTCGATTATTTCGGCCCCGGACGGTCTCCGAGCGCGAGGCCCGCGACTTTCCTCGGCGCGGACTCGGACGATGACTCGGCCGCCGCGCGATGGGAGCGGAACCCGTACTTACGACGCGCTACCTCTCGATCGCCGCCCAAAGTTGCGGGTCATTACGAAAAATCGTCCGCCGAGTCGAGACGAGGCGAGGCGAGTCCGGTCGAGCCCGGTCGAGCCCGGTCGAGCCCGGCCGAGCCGAGTCCGCGTCCGGGATAATGGAGCGCCGAGCGTAGGAGCGCGCGCCCGCCCGTTGCAGCGGACGTTAACTGGAACGCGGTGACGTATGGGCTTCGGTAAATAAACTATTAATATTATGGTAATGCCATGCATTCCTATCCATATTGGGTACTCGGCCGAGTCGGTGCGTCCTCCCGTCCCGAAGATTTACAGGCCGAAGAGCAAATACGTAAATTACGGTCCCGAACTAATGGATCGGCGTATTAACTCGTTGGTGCCCTTTAAACGTTCGCGAAAAGTCCGGAAAATCCGGGGAGGGCGAAAAGCTGGCCGTGATTTACCGCGGAGAGGGCCCGAGTAATTTAATATCGGGGAGATTTTTCCCCGGCGGCGCGGGCCTCGACTCCTCGGGGGTATTTCAGCCGGGCCTGGTAGCCGGGGCGTAGAAGTCGGAGCCTGATGAGATGCAAGGCAATCAATGCGCCATCGACTCGCCATCCGCTCGCCTCGATTTACGACCGCGTCGTCGCGAGGAGCGCCTATCGCCGGTCCGACCGGTCGACCGGCCGACCGGCCGACCGCTCGACCGCTCGGCCGCTCGGCCGGCCGACACCCTCGCAAACAATTATATCACTTTTCGCCGCCCCCTGCCAGCCCCTTTCGACTCGGGCCGATAACTCAAAGCTCTCGTTCGCTCGGCGCCTGCTTCCAAATCCATCGTCACTTCGGACGTCCCGTTGGCGAATCGGATCCTTCGTTAGCTCGGCCGCGCCGGATCGCGCCGGACCGTCGTAATTTATGCCCGCGGCCCCCGAGCGGACAAACGCCGGGAATCGGGAGGGACTCGTTAGCGGGCCCTTCCCTCCTCCTCCTCCGCTGGATCGTCGAGCCGATCGAGACCGGTGTATACGAAAATTCGACAAATTTTCCGCCCGTGTAGGAACACCGCGGATCCCGGCCGGTAGCCCCCACGGCCGTCCCTCCCGAGGAGTAATTTACGCGGCACTTATTCCGGGGCCACTTTGCGGAGGCGGCGCGTCGTCGGCGTCCCCGCAACAGCGTTGCGTTATAACGTCGTTAACGCGGGTTCTCGTCCGCCGTAACGAGGGGAGGCCGGCCGGTCCCGGCGAGAAAATACGCGGAGACGCGTGGCGGCCGTCGCCGTAGCCCGGGCCGTTACCCCGGCCGTTACCCGGGGCGGGGCCCTGGGTAAACACCGAGTCGCGGCCGACCCGACCCGGCGCTACCGAGCCGCGGGACCCGTGGGTGTCGAGGGCGACGAGAGTCGACGCGACCGGTTCGGCTTCCTTGGATCTTTCCACCCTCGGCTCGTATTTCACGCCTCGTGCCGGCTCCGGCTCCTTCCCTCCTCTGGCGCCGGGCGGCTCTCCGCTTCCGGTCCGCGTTTTCCGCCGGGAAAGCGATCCGGCGGCGCGCCCGTTATTTCCCCATTGACCCCGAGGAGAGGGCGGTCCCGAGGGGGCGCGAAACCGAGTTTCGATAACTAGTTCTGGCGGGAATCTCGGTGACGCGACACGCGACGCAGAAATAACGTCCCCCCGGTGGCACAAAGCAAGTGGCAGCGGGGGAAGATCGTTTCCGCGCTCGTGCACGCGCCGGTGCGCGGCCGCTCGACCGAGGAGCGTTTAGCACGTGACGCGAGCCCATTAGTCGCCCCAGGCCGGCGCGACGCGACGCGCCGCGACGCGCCGCGACGCGACGCGACTCGCCCGGTCCACGGAAGCGCCAATTAAATAACGCGCTCCCGGGTCGGCTCCGGAGCCGGGGTCGGGGCGACGCGTCCCGGCGCGCTTCGTCGGCCGCCCGCCAGATGACTCGCGCCGCCGACGCGGATGCTGGGAGGCCGGCTCCCCGGGGGACGCGGCCAATGGAGAGCGAGGCTCGCCCCTCCTCGAGGCGCGATTCGCCGACGGCGCCTATCGAGCGGCCGACGAGGGCCGCCCCGACGCGCGTCCGCCCGCCCGCCGACCGCCGCGCGCTTTCCGCGACCCGACCCCGGGGGCGACCGGTCGCGGCGGTCGTCGCGCCGGCGGGGGCGTAACGATCGGTGGGGCTCCCCCGGGCGGCGGAGGTGGGCTCGCGCGGTCGCCCCTCCTATCGCGGCGCGACGCGGCGCGGCGCGGCGCGGCGACGTCGTCCGCTCCTCCGCGGATGCTCCCAAAGTCCGCCGACCGCTCTCGCCGCGGACGCTTTCTCGGGAGCCGCGGAGAGGCCGCGTCGCGCGCTCGGTAGTGCCCGCTCGGCGGCGTCGGTCGCGGGGGCGAGCGAGGGCCCCGGGGCCCCGCCGGCGTCGGTATCGGGAGCCGATCGGCGGGGGGAGGGGAATTCCTCGGAAAGAATCCCGTGGAGCGTCGGCCGAAAGAACTAGTCGCGCTACCGTTCCTAGCCGGGGCCGCCCGAATTCAGGTAGGCAAGAAGAGGAAGGGCGGAATCGCGCGCGGCGAGGCGATCGTTAAAATTTTTCCGCCGTCCCTGGACCTCGGCCGCGTCCGCCGGCCCTCCGGCCCCTCCCCGCCCCGCGGACAGTCGTATCGACGCGACGTCCGCGGCCCGCTTTTTCTGCCTCGGCGCGATCCTCCCCCCGGGCCGGGGGAGGGGCGGACCGCGGGGCCCTCGGCCCCGGGATGAGGTCGGCCGGCCGCGATGAGGCCGCGCCATGCTGAAGGAGGTCGGCTGCGGAGCGGGCGCGTCGGGCGCGTCGGGCGCGGCGGGCGGGGGCCCGGCCGCGGAGGGGCCCGGCAGCGCCCTGGGCTGCGGGGGCTGCGGCCGCGAGATCTGCGAGCGGTGGTACCTGCGGGCGGCCGACCGCGCCTGGCACTGCGGCTGCCTGCGCTGCTGCCACTGCCGCCTGCCCCTGGCCGCCGAGCTGACTTGCTTCGCCCGGGACGGCAACATCTACTGCAAGGAGGACTACTACCGGTTAGTACGCGCGGCGGCTTCGCGCTTCCGTTTCCCCCGGGTCGCCGGGCCGCCGGGCCGCCGGGCCGCCGGGCCGCCGGGCCTCCGGCCGCCGGCCGCCGGCGGCTATTTATGAGGGTTCTCCGGGATTTGCATAGGAGCGTCACCTATGCTTCCGAGACCACACAAAATGTCCGCTAATGGGCATCGGGCGCGGATCCGCCGGAGATCTCTCGGATTCCGTTCGCGTCGGCTAACGCCCGCCATAAGTAACCGCGGTGATTTGTGGCGGGGCCGTTCCCGGGGGTCCCCGGACTCCGGGGGACTCCGTCTTGCCTCCTTGCAGGTTGTTCGCGGTGTCGCGGTGCGCGCGGTGCCGCGCCGGGATCTCCGCCTCGGAGCTCGTCATGAGGGCGAGGGACCTCGTCTACCACGTGGCCTGCTTCACGTGCGCCTCCTGCGGCACGCCCCTCAACAAGGGCGACCACTTTGGCCAGCGGGAGGGCCTCGTCTACTGCAGGTGAGCGCCCGGCGCCCCGGCGCCCCGAGGACGCGGACTCCCCCCCGCTCTCTGCCCGCAGGCCGCACTACGAGCTCGTCTGCTGCGCCGCCGACTACGGGAGCGCCTCCGGAAGCGCCGAGGACTCGCTCATCGGCTCGCCGGGGGTCTCGCCGGTGCCGGCCTACTACGGCGTCGCGGAGCAGAGCCCCCACGGCGGCCTGGGCGGCCTGGGCGCCCTGGGCGCCTTGGGCGTCCCGGGCGCCGCCGGGCCCGGCCAGGCGGCGCAGAAGGGGCGCCCTAGGAAGCGGAAGCTGTCCGAGGCGGCCGCGGGCTCCGACCTGCCCGTCACCATGCGGCTGGCGGCCGGCGCGCTCGGTGAGCCCTCCACCCCCCGCCCCCACTCGGCCCCGGGTCTCGCTCCGGGTCTCGCTCCTCGCGAGGGTGGGCGCCCGAAAGGACGACGGCGATCGCGAATCGAGGGGGAGGTCCGGTAATTGGCCCGAGGGCGAACAATGCCGTCGTCTCTCGGCCCACAATGCTTCTCGGGCAAGTACTCGCGGCGACACCTGCGAGGCGGCGTCGACTCGAGGGGTCGCGCGACGGAGCGGGAGCGGGAGCCGGACTCGGGGCCGGACGCGGCCCGGGTCCAAGCCCAGTCCGCCGGAAAACGAGACGCCTCGACTGTGCGCAGAGCTGCTCCACCCCAGCGAGCTGTCCTCGTCGATGGAGTCCCTGAGCGCCTACGAGGCGTCCTCCGTCGGCTCCCCGGGCTCGGTGCACCAGAGCCAGCGGACGAAGCGCATGCGGACCAGCTTCAAGCACCACCAGCTCCGGACGATGAAGAGCTACTTCGCCATCAACCAGAACCCCGACGCCAAGGACCTGAAGCAGCTGGCGCAAAAGACGGGGCTGTCGAAGCGCGTCCTCCAGGTAGGACCTCGCCGCGCGCCCCCTCTCGCCCCCTCGCGCCCCAAGACTGGAACCATGCCCCCGTTCTGATGCAGGTTTGGTTCCAAAACGCCCGGGCCAAGTGGCGGCGCAACATGCTGCGCCAGGAAGGCGGCGTCGGCAACTCGGGCAACGGCGCCGGGACGCCCGCCGCCTCGGGCGCCGACGGCTCGCCCCCGGTCGGGCCTGGCCCGGCTCACCTGGCCGACGGCAGCGGCCTGCCCCCGGCCTCCATCGAGGAGCTGCACGCCCTGCGACACCTGCACCCCGGCCGCGTGACTTTCTCCGGCCTCTACTGACGGCCGCCACCCTGGGCCGACGCGCGGAGCGAGGATAAACGGCCGTCCGGGCCGAGGGCAAGGGACTGCCGGACGCGCTCGTAGAATCCTCGTCGGCGCGCGCAAAACTACGCGATCCCTTTTCCTTTTCCCTTTATATATATATATTTATGTATATTTAACTATGCGCCCGCGCGATATTCCTCACTTCAATGTATATAAAAGCGTTTACGAGCCACCATCCCGGCGCGGTAGTACATACTTTTGCATCGACTTTTCTAAGCGACGATCGAATCGAGCGCCGCTCGACGAGCCGAACGACCTCGATTCGTCGATTGACGCAGATACCCGGACGTCTCCCGATTTCCGGCCGGGTTCCGTTTCGTCTGTACAGAGAGAACCGGGAGTCGACGCGCCGAGGCCGGACTCCGTTATCCCCTCGCATTTTGTACATTCTGCAGGCATCGGAAAATATACATAGGAGGAAGAGACGAGCGTCCATCGCGGATTCGACTCGGGGAGCGTTCCTACTTTGAGCGAATCGGGTGCCACCGGGCAGAGCATCGCGCGAGGCCCGAATCGCCTGGCTTTCGACCGTAGATTTAGCGAGTACTCGTTATCTAGACGTTGCGAGCGATCTCTCGCTCGACTTTACCGATTCGGTGTCTTTATAACTTCAAGTCATTAATATAGAATGCGGTGCAAAGAGTGTCCCCCTTCGAGACCTCCCTCTTCGAGAACGCGTCCCTCGGGGCGTCATCGGAGGTAAGGAAGCCGGAGTCGTCCCCGTCCGTTTCCTCTTTCCTCGGTTCCATTAATTTCGATTCGTATAGATTGCGCTCGTGTCGTCGCGTCGTTTTCGCGATATCGGCGCGCTTTAACGGCTAATTTGAATACGTGCGCTCAAGGGGGACGTCGGTCGTTATCGGGCGGGCGCGCGCGCTGCCGCGATAGTCCGATTCGCGGGCGGCTGGAGACGACGCGTTAAAACGGAACGGCCGATAAGACGACCGATCGGAGTCCCCGATTTTCGGGACTCGAGTCCCGGGTCCCGGGGGAGGGGGCCGTTATCGACGTCGGGAGGAACGAGATGGCGACGCTCGTGTCAACGAAGGCCTCGCGAGAGCGGTCGCGGCCCGATGCATCCTCGAGAGCACGTGAACTCGTGGGCATGTGCCATATATTTTGTCGGCGCTCATATAAGTTAATTTTCAATCTATATGCGGGTCCGAATACCGCGCGGTGACTCATCAGCAAAATGAAGAAATTGAGAATCTCGTTAACATTTAATGAACTCAAGCCACAATGGTTAGAGCTAGCGCCGGGGCCTAGCGCGGGCGGGCTTGCTCGCTCTCTCCTTCTCTCGGTACCGAGAAGGTACCTCTCGGCGCCTCTCGGCGCCTCTCGGAACCGTTCCCGGGCGCTCCGCGAACGGAAGGAAGCTTCGTTAGCGCGCCAAGCGAGAGGCGGAAAAACGCGCGCCTCGGCCGGGAACCGCGAGGCCGTCTATGCAAATCCGCGTAAATACCCGTTGGTTTTTGGCGGCGCGCCGGGAGGGCGAGCCGCCCGCAAAAAGCGGGACGACGACGGAGACGTTCGACTCGACCGGACCGCGTCCGGCGAAATCTAGGGGAGGATCGCCCCCGCTAGACTCGCCTAGATCCCGGCGAGTCTAGCGGGGGCTCGTTAGCTCGAAATCCGGTTTATTAAATATCCTCGCGGATCTGCGATGCCGAAGTCCCGTCCAACCGCGACTCGGCGTCGGTCCTCGAAGGAGCGCCTCGAGCCACCCTCTCTGGGACGGCGCGGCGTAGCGTCGGTCGATACGGCTCGGGTGGTCGCACGAGGACATACGCGGAGCGATAAGGATTTCTTAGGAGGGGACTCGTCTCCGTTCGGTCCCCGGTGGGCCGGCCGATGCATATGGAGTATAGAAAAAGAAGGAAAGATGGCCACTAGTCGTGGCATTGTCTACCGACCGATCCCCCGGGTAAATAATGTCCCTCCCGAGGGCAGAACCCGTCCCGCTCCAACGGACGTCGGGACGTCGCGACGTCCATTGGCCGCGACTCGATTTATTCCGCGGCCCCTCTCCGCGGGAAAGAAGCGGTACCGTTGGGGAATCGAGTGGCGTAGTTATCGGGAGCGGAAGACTCGGCCCGGGAGGAACGGGGAGGGGACCTGAGGGGACCTTCCATGCTTCCTTCCACCCTGTACAGGTGCTGGGCGGCGCGACCGGCCCTCCGTTTTCTCACTTTTTTTACGGATTATCCAACCGGCGCATCGCTTATTCGCGTATCGATTCTTTTTCCGTCCTTTAACCTTCTTCGGAGCGGAGCGAGATTCTTTGTCCGCGATGGTTCCTCCGGGAAGAATGTCGCGCGGAGGAGAACGAGAGAGGAGATAGCGGCCATTATACCAGGATCCGAACAAAGCTCGCCATGCCGAGGGAATTCGGGGGGTTCGCGAATGCCCGCCTACACGGATTTCGGTCCGAGACAATGGTCCGTCGGTTTTCTCCTACTTTTTGCCCGAGCGACCCGCCATGGAGAGGGTGTCGAAACCGTTAACTTTTAATGGCGAAACCGCGTCTACGCGACGGGACGGATTCGGGTACGCGAGAAATTTCATTGATAACCTTGCCGCGGTGCTCCGTGTCCTCGCTCGATCGATCCCGAAAGAAGTCGTCCGTTGAACGCGCGTTCTTCGTTTGCATCGGTTGCATCGGTTTACATCGGGTCGTTGAAAGGTGGCCTGAAATTAACGGCGTCGGGCACATTTCGAATACCACGGGTATCGGGAGGAATACGACGCGTCGGAATCGACTTACTTTTTTGCCACCCAGCGCCGCCGCGGAGATATCCTCCTTTTTTTCACTTTTCGTGTATCGATCGCGGAATTACTGCCTCGCGTTGACGATTGCACCCGCGGCGCAATTCCGCACCCTGAAAAATAATTGCTTTCGAGTTACTGCTTTCTTCCGAGCCTTTCCCCGTTGGTTTGTTTCTTGCATCGAAACGAATTCCATGTTAAAAAAATGACTCCCATTAATGAAAGAGTCGTGAGAATTAAGTTGCACGTCTCATCTTTGAGCTGGAATATACGCGAGATGATCGCGGAACGAACTTATTGGGAGGTTCTACCGACGAGACGCAACGAGGGAGGAGAGGGTAAGACGCCCGGGTTACTTTCGTGGTAAATCGATACCGACGCTGGAGGACGCAACGAAACGCACCCGCTTCTCGGAGGGTCCGCATAGTAGCGCCACTGATCTACGGTCGGGTAAATAGTTTCTCGAGCGATCTCTCGAATTTTTATTGAACCGGCGTCAAACGTTCTTGGATAGTTAGCAATAGTTCATATTCTGGTACTGGGCCTGCGGTAGTGGCCGAAATCCAAAAAGATACGATACAATATAATAGTTCGTATTGGTTCGTGTCAGTTTGTACCGTTGACGTTGGGTGAAAACTTGGTGATACCGTTTGACAATTCCCGTCATGTGAACCTAAATTATTTGCGGATATCTGTGAAAAAAATCGCCTACGTTTCCTGATATCTCTGTGGTAGGTTAAGTCACATCGGCCATAAAATACAACGAAATAACGGTCACCGTTTATTTTATTTTTCATATTCTCGTTTTATTGCAGACAAGCTTTATCGAGGATATGTAAAAATGTCACTTAGTCCCATTCCCGAGCAATTGGATCATTCTTGTCATTTTTGCAGTTTTAAATCAATTTATGGCAAGTATTTCATATTTGTATTCTTTCTCATTTTCTATGTATTTCCAGAAAATCTTAATAATTATAATATCGACAATGAATACTATTTGATTGATTATTAACAATTTGTTTCACCTTGCAGCATTTAAAATCTCTTAGTATCTCGATAATGAATTTCATTGAACACTTTTTTTTTCTTTAGAAAGGTATAAAGTATCGAGTTAATCATAGACAATATTTTTCCAGGGTTTTCGAAAAAGACATGAATATCTACAAAAATGTCAGAACATTGCTAACATGATGGAAAAGCGGAGGGTCTGCATTCCTAGGCTGCCTTCGTGTGTTCCGTTCGTCATAGTGGCGATTACGATTATAGGATGCTTATCCTTTTGGCTTTGCACGGTTCATTCCGAAATGTTTCTCTGGCCGACCTCAAATCCAGCTTACCTTCTAGTTTTACCTGAAAATATTTCTATGGTGCCACAACCCTATTCGATGAGCGAATTAGATCATAATGACAAAACCACTTTAGTTGACATAAAGAACTTTAAATTTACAATTAATCATGATCCATGTAATAATACTCAACCTCTTTTATTGATGATGATACATTCGGCACCAGCAAACTTTCCAAAGAGACTCGTCGTACGAGAAACGTGGGGTCATCGAACAAACTCTGTAGTTGTACTATTTCTAGTGGGATATTCAAACGATTATCAATTGAGATTGGAAGAGGAGAACAAGATCTACGGTGACCTAATACAAGGAAACTTTTTGGATGCCTATAGAAATATGACCTACAAGCATGTGATGGCATTAAAGTGGGCTGCATATCATTGTCCAAGTAAGAGAATTATTAAAAATATCGTATGTAGCCATTGGGTTTGTTAAAAGAATTTTATGAAAACTTTCTAATTTAAGTGATATCAATGTGCGCAGTTCTACACAAATACCTAAAGCAAGTCTGTACCTTATATTGGTAATATTTAAATAATATACAAAAATTAATTGTAGGATTTACATTATGGTTGTGCTGTGCCAGGTTGTGTAAAAATAATTGCCATGTAAAAGGATCACTAGAAGCAGTAGTCAATGTTCTGCTTTACTTGTAAATTGTTTTTCTTTTTTTTGCTTTTAAATTGTATCATGCTACATTATCTGAAGTCTATCAATTTCTTATAACAGGGTTTTTTTGAGATACTGCAGGGCACATTGTTGTAGTCCTACCCACTGTCGCTTAACCATTTTTCTCTTTTTTTTTCTTTAATATAATAGTAGTCTAAACCTTATGTGGTTGCTAAAATATCTCAACTGTAAATATTTAGCTTTGATTTTTATTTAACACAATCGTGAATTCCGCTTAATGCTACACGCCTTCAGAAGCTATTTCGCTGTTTTGTTCTGCGTAGGTGCCAAATATGTGTTAAAGCTAGATGACGATGTGTTCGTTCATGTTCCTGCCATGTTGGAGTTCCTGACACACAGTCTATCTCCCTTGGGCGCTAGGCGATTAATTCTGTGTGATCGCTTCCCCACAGCTGCGGTTAAACGATCATGGCGATCTAAGTGGAGAGTATCTCCACAAGAATATCCTGGGCGAAGTTACCCTTCTTATTGTTCCGGATATGCCATTCTTTATTCCCCGGATAGTGTATTCCTCCTGTATAGGGAAGCCCAACGACAGCCATATTTTTGGATCGACGATGTGCATGTCACTGGAATTCTTGCAAGGAGAGTGAATCTTACAAAAACATCTGCTTGCCCATTAGTTCTAACTGCTAAAGCTATGAAAAATTTTCTACAAAATCCAAAAAGTCACCGGGAGTTTATATTTGGACCTCCAGACTTAACAGAGAATACTATGCGAATACTGCACAATGTTGTTTCTTCTAATTTAACTTAATGCGAAATTCTAGGTCAAATCATTCGCTTGTGTTCATTTTCTGTCTGAAAGGCAACTGGACAGAACATTAACCAGCAATAATAATTCGAAAGTTTATTGCCAAGATGCATGTCGACATAGTAGGAAACATTTTGAAGTGGGGAGTTTAATGAGTGGCTAGGTGTATTTTCTTGACATTGATGTAAATAGTAATTAACCTATGCAGGAAGAAATTAGGAGACTGCACATGGAACCATTTGAGCTATACAAATAAATCTGTGTCCCTTGTAGATTTCTCAAATATCAGCAAAGGTTTGAAGAAAATATGTATATTTTGCTAGATAGGAAGCTAGATTGCATTTCTGAAATAATTTGTGAGCCAAAATGTTCGATGATTACTGTAAAAAGAACAAAGAAATATAATGATCGTAATCGTTACATTATGTCAAAGAATGCAGATTATCCATAGGAGTCCGAATCCTATGTTAGCAAATTGATTTCTCGAGCTAGTGGCTACAATTTTTTTTTAGAAATATCCGTTTCTAGGGGTTTTTGGCGTTTTCAGACGACTTTAAACGGTTTTTAAAACGTCCACTTTAAAAAGGTGAGGTTTCAGCACCGCCATCTTTATGGGGTAATTTGTTAGGTATTTTACTTGAATGTTACGTAAAATACTGAAGGAAAAAAAAAACATCAAATGACGCATCACTACCCAACCCCAGAGATGAGTTGGGAGATTGCTCACGGGCAGGGTCACGCGATCGCGGTCTGTGCTGTCCCCCGGTGGAGGATGCGGACGGCTAACGCACTTGCCTCCTGTTACCCATCTCTGGTACATACACTGGCTGTCATGAATGGCTTCCTCGTGTATATGGTGCAGCTTGGTGGTGATAACGAAACGTAACGTAAAAAACGAGCTCGAGAACATAAGTATGTACTTGCGGTACCTGATGTATAATAAACTAAAATAATTAATGTAATAAAGCAACTTATTGAACAATAACAATGAGTACGTTTAATTAGACGAGCATGTCTAGCAAACCCTCTAATCGCCTATTCCTGATCCGTGAAAATCACTCGTAGATTTAAGGCACGAAACTCGATGCCACCTCCTCGATTGTAACGGTTGTGATCCTGTTAGAAATCGGAAATTTCAACCCCTAAAATTTTTGCCCGTGCCACCTCCTCGGTTATCCTATGTTCCTGTTATGGAAATTTCAACCCCTAAAATTTTTGCCCGTGCCACCTCCTCGGTTATCCTATGTTCCTGTTACAAATCGCCAGAGATGGAATAGGATCATAGGACAATCGAGGAGGTGGCACGAAATTCTCCCGGGCAAACATTTTAGGGGTTGAAATTTCCGATTTCTAACAGGAACATAGGATAACCGAGGAGGTGGCATGGGCAAAAATTTTAGGGGTTGAAATTTCCGATTTCTAACAGGAACATAGGATAACCGAGGAGGTGGCACGGGCAAAAATTTTAGGGGTTGAAATTTCCGATTTCTAACAGGAACATAGGATAACCGAGGAGGTGGCACGGACAAAAATTTTAGGGGTTGAAATTTCCGATTTCTAACAGGAACATAGGATAACCGAGGAGGTGGCACGGACAAAAATTTTAGGGGTTGAAATTTCCGATTTCTAACAGAATCATAGGACAACCGAGGAGATGGCACCGAGTTTCGTGCCTTAGATCTACGAGTGATTTTCAAGGATCAAGAATAGGCGATTAGAGGGTTTGCTAGACATGCTCGTCTAATTAAACGTACTCATTTTGTTATTGTTGAATAAGTTGCTTTATTACATTAATTATTTTACAGTTTATTATACATCCAGTACCGCAAGTACATACTTATGTTCTCGAGCTCGTTTTTAACGTTACGTGTACTTTACCACCACCAGGCTGCACCATGTACACGAGGAAGCCATTCATGGCCGCCAGTGTACATACATCTGTACCATTCTGTACTGCATGCATGCAGGTGTGGTGAAAAGTAATTGCACGGATGCGGTTTAGAACAAATCTAAGTTATTGAAAAACCTCAGCAAGATGTTGTCACGTGTTTGCTTTCATTTATGCCATCAGGCAAAATCAAAAACGAGTAATTTCACCTATGTAAGTCTATCTATCTTATTACTTGTAAAGAAATAGGTTATGTTAATGTAGAGTACTGCCCGACATGCCAAAGGAAAATTTGTTTTATCTTTTCACCTTTCTTTATAAAAATGCTTCATTTTAATACCAACATATTTGTCTAAGTCGTATTAATTTTTGTAGGCTATTGCACAGCCAAAAATGATGCACACAATTTGTCATGGTCAGACGACAATTTTAAGGATGGTGGTCTCCAATAAATGTTTAAGATATACCAGAATCTCTGAAGCAGTGCTCGGTCGTTGTGCAAGTACTGATGTTACAAAGGACTCAGTAAATTTATTAGATCATATTCCAGGTAAGAACATGGAAAATGTATAATTGTACATTCTTTTCATTGGATCAAAATTATTCGCTGTTACAAGATTTCATGTTTGTATGAGCTTCGATTGGGGTTTTAATTATGTGTCCTTTATTAGACAAAGGTTATAGAATAACAGACTACATATTTACATATTAATTAAGTTCTTTTTCAGATATACCAACTCCTCCTGTTGATGTGACACAAGTATTAGACGTTATCGGTGCAACAGGAGAACCATCTTTGGCAAGCATTGGTCTTTGTAACTATACTCCACCGGGTCTGTTCCAGCGTTGCTTAGAATTATTACACGTTGGTTGCGATATACCTTGGTGGGGATGTATAGCCATAGGTAATTACAATTGAGAATACCCTAATTAGTCTGTTTAATCTTTACGAGATTTTGTTTTTTAAATTTAGGTACACTTTGCGTACGACTGATACTGTTCCCTGTGGTAATAATGTCACAGAAAAATGCAGCTAAATTGAACAACAATCTGCCACAAATGCAACATTTACAACAAAAAGTATCAGAGGCCAGAACCTCAGGAAATCAACTCGAAGGTGACCTAATTTTTTAAAGATAACCTTTAATGGTAGGACAAGTGAAATGGGATAATACCGAACAATAATACTTTGATTACAGTTTTAAGGTACTCACAGGAAATGTACGCCTTTATGAATGAAAAGAAAATTAATCCTGTGATGAACATGTTACCATCTATAGCTCAGGTATGGCCAATGAATCGTTCCATCCTTATTTTTAGTGATATCATTCTTTCTTATTAAGCAATCATTGGCTATACATAATTCTGAAGATTATACGATTTACCTCATGATCTAGATTCCTGTCTTTCTCTCAATATTTACGGCTTTACGAGGAATGCAAGAGGCTCCGGTTGAAAGTATGCGCCAAGGTGGTCTTTGGTGGTTTCCAGACTTAACGGTACCTGATCCATATTACATCTTGCCAGTAATTACAAGCGTTACTCTCTGGATCACCATTGAAGTTGGTGTAGATACCGCTAGACTCGAAACATTGGGCATGATAAAATATCTTCTGCGAGCTCTTCCTTTTATTGTCCTACCTTTCTCAGTTAATTTTTCTGGAGTGAGTATATCATTTATTTTAAATACTGGCTTTAAAAAATTGATGCATATTTCTTATTTAAATTACCTTTTTATCGTATCGATATCACCTACAGGCCATTCTTTGTTATTGGGTCTCATCAAACTTCATTTCCTTGGCACAAGTTGGCTTGTTACGAATACCAAAAGTTCGAAAGTATTTCAACATCGAACCATTGATGGCACTCAATAAAGACGATTTACCCATATCGAAAAAAAGCTTCAAAGAAGGATTTCGAGAGTGTAAGTGTATCTTTAGCATTCATTGAATCCCAGTTGTCTGAAGTTTTCCCCGGAAGTAACTTTTGCGAGCCTAAATAATTTAAGCAGCAGGGCGTAATAACAGAAAGTCCATAAAGTATAGTATTGATCGCGTGCGGTGTTCATTTCGCTTTGACGTTCCATGCAAAGAGGGCATTATAAAGTAATTCATGTGACTTCGCAACTCGCAGGTCCTTACTCAAATACATAGACTCCACAATGTTTATCGCATTGTCTCTAATATTTACAGCTATAGTCAACATGAAGATCGCAAGAGAACTCGCGGACAGAGAACGTCTAGATGAAATGCAGTTTCAGCGCGCAGGAAGAGGTCCCGTAGAAAAAACCTTCGCGTACAATCCAAAAAGTCAGCCACCATCTGCGAACAGCATTTTAGCCCGGAAAAGATAAAATCCGATTCTTCTAAGTCTACTTTAGTAATAAATCGATGTTGATTTAATATCGCCCCTATCTTGGCTCACGCACCGATCCAATTCTACCGAGAACCGTTCGTGGCTTCGAAAACAAATTGTATAGGAAGTATGTCCGCTAATGCGACCACTAACGGGTTAACTACTTAGAGGCGAGGTGGACGACGAATCCATTTCGTCGAGGGGCAACGGGCTAGGTCGAGGACAACTGTGGTGCGTACAATCGTTGCGTGGATACGGCGGCAGGCGACACGTCGGTTAAGCGAGCGCTTTCGCAATTCGTTTTTGTCTTCGCGACCCGAAGCATTTACAAGGGGCACGTCGGTCCACGAAGTCACTCTTCCGCGTGGTAATGTACTCATTAATCTTTCGCTTACTCGAGCAGAGGCGCGGATAACGATTAAGGATTTCCATCTCGGCTGGCAGAAAACGAAGGTGCTTCTTGGATTGGTTCTCCGCGTAATTTGTTAAACGTCAATGAAAACCCGCCGCGAAGCACCTAAAAATTTGATCCGTCTACAAAACAAAAGGAAACTCGAGGGGGTGTGATAAAAAAAAAGTTGAAAGGTCGCGCAGAGGGAGGACGACGTAACGCCCGGTATCGGTACATCGATTGGTATTCATCGGCTCGATACGCGCGCCGTCGTTTGGCGACATCGCATTCAAGGCGTACCCTTGGCCATTCTTAGCCCGCGAAAACGATGTATTATTTTCTAAACCCTCGGAAAAGACTAGGAAAATGACGGTTTATTTTTTCAACCGTCGTTCGTTCGATCGGTTGGTCGGCCGGGGGGGGCTCTTCGATCGGATCGATTTCGGTCTTAGAACTCAGGAATTGACAGTCGCGTTCGAAAGTTCCTCGTGATCGTATCGCTCGTTCGTTCGTTTAGCAGGGAGCAAAGTTAAGGATTCTCGCAGAGATTCCGGAAACATGTCCATTCCGATGATCAATGCTAACGGCAGAAGTCAGAACGCGATTCACGTCAACACTCGGCCTGATGATATTCGCAATCGCATTATCGGAGGTGAGTCGACTCGTCGCATTTCGCCGATTTCGGTTGCAACGAAGCACGCGCAATTGGCTGTTTCGGGAAACGGGCCACTCATTTGTTCCTTATCTTTAGCCAGCGACAGTAAAGGCGACTCGGCGACCTGTGGAAAAATTCTGATGGCCCTTTCGTGGATCTTAGTGATCTTGACCATGCCGTTCTCCCTCATCGTCTGCTTCAAGGTAATCCGTCTTCCTTCGCGGAGTCGCCCGTTAACCAGGCACGGATGCGTTTCCAGGTGGTTCAGGAGTACGAGCGAGCCGTGATCTTCCGCCTTGGTCGTCTTTTGTCAGGGGAAGCGAAAGGACCCGGTAAGAGAGGTTCCGTAAGCCCAACGCGGGAGGCAGCGGGAGGAAAGCGACGATGCTCGAGATGTTTCTTTCAGGTATCTTCTTCATTTTGCCGTGCATCGATTGCTACGCAAGAGTCGACCTCCGAACCCGCACGTATGACGTGCCACCGCAAGAGGTAAGGACTCGTGCGCGTTCGTACCCGAGGGGTGTAATCACGCGCGTCGTCCCATCTTTCGCTTAGGTATTAACCAAGGACAGCGTGACGGTCTCCGTCGACGCGGTGGTCTACTATCGCGTGAACAACGCGACGATTTCGATCGCCAACGTGGAGAACGCTCACCACAGTACGCGACTGCTGGCTCAAACGACCCTGAGGAATACCATGGGCACGAGGCCTCTCCACGAGATTCTGAGCGAGCGGGAAACCATCTCGGGCAATATGCAGGTAAGTCGGTCAGGAAGAGGGTCGAAAGACGCCGGAGCTCGTGCCCGCTTTCTTCGGCAGGTCTCGCTGGACGAAGCCACCGACACCTGGGGCATCAAGGTGGAGCGGGTGGAGATGTAAGTAAAAAACCGACCGCGACGACTCGCAGGACCAATCGAGTGGGGTTTTGCAGAAAAGACGTGCGTCTCCCTGTCCAGCTGCAGCGAGCAATGGCGGCCGAGGCCGAAGCCGCCCGGGAGGCCAGGGCAAAGGTACGCGTCGCTCGCTTTTCCTCGTTTCTTTCCGATTCGGGCCTGACGCATCTCGCGTCTTCCAGGTAATCGCGGCCGAGGGCGAGCAAAAGGCCAGCCGGGCTCTACGGGAAGCGTCGGAGGTTATCGGAGACTCTCCTGCTGCCCTGCAGCTCCGCTATTTACAGGCAAGCGAAATTCGAATTTTTTTCTCCGCCACCCGAGTCGCGCTACCGGAGGAGTTGTTACGAGTTTCCTTCGATTTTCTCTTTCAGACGTTGAACACTATTTCGGCCGAGAAGAACTCTACGATAGTGTTTCCCTTGCCGATCGACATGCTTACTTATTTTATAAAAGCGAAAGAGGCGACTAGTTCCTAGTCGCTCCTTCGCTTAAAAACTAGACTAGTTCCCGAAAAAAGTCCTCTCGCCGGAACCAATGGATGATTCGGGGATTTATTTTGTAATGTAAGCGGAACATGAATAACTTCCGAAATTCGAGGGACAGGAGGTGTACCGGTTGGTTAGCGTATTCGCAATTTCGAGTGTAAATATTTGTACTTTTCATTTTGACGCAACTTGTTAAATTATTGATACAACGTATGATGTGTGCGAGTGTACAATAAAGATATGTATATATATTCCCACCCGTGCGTTACGTGACCAATATGCCGGACATTGCTCGATGCCGCTTCAATGGCGATTCAGAGAGTGAAGATCTCAAAACAACGATTTACGGTCGAAAAAATGGACGGTTGAATTACGTGGGGAATATCGATATCGGTAGGTGTCCATTCGAGGAGTCATTCGCGAGCAACGATGACGAAGGGATCGGCGACGAAAGAGAACGGACAGCGAATGACAGCCGCAACGACGGATGCCTGGTGGCGCTCCCATGGGTTCGGCTGGATTCGGCAAAGTTCGGCGGCGCTCGTGAATCGTCGCGGCCACTGGGTGGGGGAGGGAACGGGAAGAGCCGAAATGGAGGAGAGCCAAAGATCGGAAAGCGTCGCCGTGGTACCGAACATGTCCGAACCCTTGGCGAACGAGACCGAGGAAGGCCGCGGTGTGAGCGGACTGGCGCCCGAGCACGAGGCCCATCCGGTCGCCGTGACGGCGAGCGTCTCGGCGGTGTCGGGCGTCGCGGGCGTCCAGGGCGTCCCGGTCCCGGTCTCCTTGCCCGTCGGCTCCATCATCGGCGTGGCCAACTCGACCAGCGGCACCACGTTCAACGTCATTACCTCGGACCAGCTCCAGGTAGCTTCCATCGTTGCGACCGGTCCAACCGGGTCTGGTAGGCGCTCCGCGACGCGGTTCCCACCTTCCTGGCTCCCGATTCCTGATTCCTGACGAAATCGAGTCGTGCCTTATCGATTTGTTGCCGCGACGGTCCAAGGTACGTGTCCAGGGATTTTGAAACGTTTCCTGCGGGTGTTTTTACCGAGTGGTCGTGCCAAAAAGGTGTTCGCGCCGAACGGCTTCTTTGACGCGTTAATGCTTTCTAACCTAATTCTCTCTCGAGCGCGTCAACGAAAATCTCACTTCCGAGTGCCGCGGTCGAATCGTGTTCGTTGTTATGAAACTAAAACACCTCATCTCGGTTTATTCGTTTACATGTTACAGTTACCCAGTTCCGGTCAGTTCAAACAGATGCTGTGCGTGGACAATGGATTCATCTGTGAACCTCGCCACGACAAGGACGCGGATCCCTTGAGGTGGAACGGGGAATTAAAAGCCACCCATATTGTGATACAGAATAGCACCGACGAACCCGAATCCGAACAGATCCATGTTTCCACGGGAAATTCGCAACCCGTATGCAGCTGGTCCGAGTCGGCCAGTATGGCCGTTCTACCGGTCAGATGCAAAAATACCAATGCCGAACTCCACAAGAGTCGGTTCGGTTCGGGTGGTCGTGGACGTTGTATCAAGCTCGGTCAAGATTGGTACACACCTAGCGAGTTCGAAGCACTTTGCGGCAGAGCATCGAGCAAAGATTGGAAAAGGAGCATTCGATTTGGCGGCCGAAGTCTCCAGACCCTTATAGATGAACAAATTTTGAAGCCACACGCTACTTCGTGCACTTGCGCAGCCTGCTGCGACGACGACAGCGCGGTAAGTGCTTTAGTCCTATATCTTACTTAGCGTACGCGTAAATTTAAGAATCGATCCGATCCATGCATCGATACGAAAGGCTGAAATTAACCACGCGACGACGTTTTAATCACAACAAATACAAACGCGCAGTTCTTATTTGAACAATCGGTTATCGTTTCAGACCGGACCGGTTCGGTTGTTCACTCCCTATAAACGTCGAAGGAGAGCCAGGGAAACGTCCGATGGAGAAACGCCCACGAGAAAGCACAAGAGCGATAACTCGAGGGACGGCAGCAACAACGACGACAGCGAGAACGAGGTAGTGGTTCCCGATAAGGAAGTCTGGCCAGAATTCGTCTCTGCTGATGGCTTAGTTGTGCAACAATCGCAGGAGCAAGACTCGGTCATTCCAAGCGTGCAGACAGAGAGTGGACAAAACGAAGAAATCTTCAAGAAGCTCGATGAAATGTCCAATAAGATGTTGAAGCTGGCCTACGAATTCAGGAGGACCCTGGAGGAGGCCAAAGAGTTGAGTAGGCAGCAGAGAAGGGAACAAGCTCTCGCCGCCCAGCTCGGCGCCAGGGGCGACGTCATCGAGACCGTGGGACTCCAGCCGTCTTCCGATACGCACAATAAAAAGGTGCGTATATTCATTTCGACCGAATGCGAGCTCGGCTCACAGAAACCGTGAGATAAATTTTAACTCGGGATAACGCGAACGCTGTTCCGACTATTAGAAATTATACCTTCGGGAAGGTCAGCCTGAGCTCGTATCACAAGCCAGGATGGCACTAACGATTTCATTATCCGTGTAGTGCGCCAATTGCAACCGAGAGGCGTTTGCGGAGTGCTCCCTTTGCAGGCGCACTCCTTACTGCTCCACCTTCTGCCAACGAAAGGACTGGGCTGGTCACCAGGTGGAGTGCGTTCGGGGTGCAGCGGAGACGGTTATGCTGATCGTTGAGAGCAGCAGCGGGGAGGCGAGTGCTCTGGCCACGGCACAGGCTGATCAGTAGCCGGAATAGCCGGTTCTCTTCGATCTAGCTGCAACGAGGGAGCCCGAGTTGGCCAGAAATTGCGACAGTCCGAACGACGTATCGTGTACATAGCTCTGTAAATATTTTCTACGAGAATCGAAGTTGTCGATCGGGGTGACGTTCCCCATCATGAAACGTTAAAGGTTGCAAGACAACTTGGTAAAGTGGGCTCGGTAATCGGCGTACGTTACGCGCGCGAGCTCTTGTAAATATTTATACGTACACCCCCTACGGTTCGGCTCTAATTTTTGCTGTCTCGTTGGTCGGGCGAATGCAGTGCGCTTTCGGTCGACGTTTTTAGATTTTTTTTTTTTAACGCGATGACTTATACCGAATGATTTTTAGATATGTTCAGAATCAAGTAATTCGCCGGAGAGACGTGGGTTTTCTACCGAAAGATTTTTCTTTAATCCGCAAGTAACCGTAAGTTCGAGTGACTACTTAAAGTCGGACTTTTAGGAGAAGTCACCGCTCGCGGTGGGTAAGGTTTGTGAAACGACCAAAGCAGTTCGTCCGGAGGAAAGTGTACCTACGATATCGCGTTAAGTATTCTAATTAATTCGTAACATTTCGGTGTTACCTTAATCCGGGAGATGCGTGGACCCGCGCTTTTAAGCATAAAGTGTCGCGGTATAAAAGTTTTTATACGGGGATGAGCAAACCCTATCTCACGTTCGACTGGTCGCGTTGGATATCTTCGGCATATAAACATACTAGAATAAATCGAGACACATTGCAAAACAGTATTTTATCAGAAAAACAGATGTTTGTAAAAGGACACATCGCATCTTTTTTATACCGTTTCGGTGTACTATTTTAGTAAGCACCCGAAAGCCCAATCGGTAACGCTTTCGCTCGTGCGAAAAAAAATTCCTCGCACTTTGAATAAAAGTGAATCGTGTACAGAGAACGTGAATCTTTTCTTTATACAACCGATATTAACATGTTTTTGATATTCGATAATCGAAACGTACTTTATTCGATATAAAAACTTATTTAAAAAATTGGGCTAAATTGTTTGGATGTTTACTAATAATTCTCATAATGTTTCAATCTATACAAGTAGGCGATGCCATTATTGTTTGCAATACTAAAGAAACCGCTGTTCGGAGAAAAATCCATCGCTGTGGTTTTGTGTAACTTTGTTTGAAAAGTTGGGAAGTTGGAAAAAACTGTGAAGGAAGGTAGGTGTACCAATCTGACAGCGTTGTCCTCGTCATCGGACGCCATAGCCAGGATCTCGGACGTGGAATTAAAGCGCAAACTGGTGATCGGTGTGACGAGATTCAGAATGACTTTTAGCGGGGTCGGTACCTGTTTTTGCGTTAAATCCTTGAGATCATAAAAATTAACGACTCCCTGCTTACTACCTGTCGCGACAATTTGTCCGCTAGGGGAAATCGCGATCGCGGAACCGCACAAACAACCCTCGTCGATCGCATGATTGATACATCTGCGACTCGTCATATCCCATGAGTAAATCACGCCGCCATCTAGAAAAACAAATCGTACGTTACGTTCACCGTGGGCGTGGTGATCCTAAGATCTAATCAAAATTCTTGTCTACAAAGGTTGGATAGGAAACTAACGAATAACGTTGCAACGTACCTCCGTGTGAGAATAACGTTCTACTGTCGGGACTGAATGCCACGGCATAACATTTTTTATTCATTTTTAATGTATCCACGAGTTCCTTAGTGTCACCTGTCAGTAAGTGAACTTCACCCATCCTTCCACAGACAGCTATTAATTTCCCATCTGGAGATACTTGGAATTTCTATGAAAATTATAGCACTATATTGATACATTGATATACATAAGCAAAATATTGCCAGTAAAGATATTTCACATTGGTATAAACCTTCATGTTGGTCATTGCATGTGGTAATGGAATTTTAAAGGTTTTCCCCGTAATTAAGTCATACGAATGGCAATAATTGCGCATCTTGGAGCCAACAATTATCTGTGTACCGTCTTTGAGAAAACGAGCCGTGTTAATTGGAAATCTCTCGTACCGCATGCTGTGTAATTTTTCATTTTCTTTTCCGTCGACCTGTAACCCAAAACATACACCATCGAGCAATCGGAGAAATAATTCTTTTATACTCTAATATAAGCTTACTTGGAAGATCGACAAAACTCCTGAATTTCCAGCTACTAAGGCAACGGTGGAGGTTGGGTGAAATTGTACATCGGATAAAAGGTATCCTTCATTTTGTGTTTGTTTATTTATTCGAGCCAGGGCCTTTATTTCCAGGGTAGTTTTTGGCAAAAAAACTTTTTTATTTGGCAATAAATGATTGCTGTGCTGCAATTTTGTATGTAATCTTTATGCATATTCTCTCTCTTATGTTAGAAAGAATGACATACTAAAAATCACTTTAGATTATGTAATTATTAATACCTTTAAAATTGAACTGTCCACATCATCTAGGTCAATCTCGTTATCTCTGTCAAGTTCGGCCCATTTCGGTGTACCAAAGACCTTGGTCATTTTGTTTTGCAATAATTCAGCATAGGATTTTTCTGGCCTTTGTCCTGGTAAAGTACGGCGCTGCAATGCCAATGCAGTGGATACTCTGTCAATAAGATTTTCTCAATATTTGCATCATCGTAGTACAGGTATTTAAAGTGACTAGTAAAATACACACACAAAAATTCTGTGAGTGCATTTTCCTTTATATGCTTACGAATACGATGCATCGTTGTCAACCCACGCCGCTTCTTTTTTTTTATTGAATTCAGCTTCGGTATTTTCAACATACACTTCAGTTTCAGAGGTATTATTTTCTGTACCAATATCTTGTCTTTTTTCATTTTTTTCATTCTGACATAAGTCTATGGAAAGTGTTGTCTGTTTAGTGTTTAACGAGGTATCGTCATCTGATAAATGGCATATAACATTGTTGGAAACTCCAAGTACTAGTTTTTCTAATCTATAAATGAAAATGTCATTACAGACTTAATATAGTAAATGATAAAAGTTATAAGAAATGAATAACTGTGATTATATGAATGAACATGCATGGGGTACACATGGGCGATTTCAAAGATGCAGCGATAAATCGTACCTGGCCTCTTCCTCGCGGTTGTACGCGCTTCTTTTTCTTTTCTTCAGCGATGCCATTGTTTTTTCGTTAAATCGTGTTTTCCTTTTAGTAAATTCCATTGTAGGCTGTACACGTTGTGGAGCATGTGACAAAGAATTCACAGGTTCTATAGAAGCCTAGAAATGGCTTGGGAAATTACGGAGCATGCATGGCGCCATCTTAAAAGCTTTCGTATTTCATTCGGGATCTGGGTGTAGAGTACACTGCTGAATTTACGAACGCTACGGAAAAGAATTCGTACCCGGATCGTTCGATGGAAACGCTTTTAATTTTCATGGAGATGGTTTGTGATAGGGCACTCCTCAGAGTTCACGTATGCATGCATTTGTAGGCAGATACGGTTTGGTGGTTAAAACCAGTCAAAATAAAGAAATTAACTGACAGCTAAAAGGTTATCGTTCAAGATTTGTATTTCGACTGGCGAATTTTCGAGGCCTCGTTTAGTATAAAGCTGACGAATTTTTTGCACATCGGCAGTGAGTATGACATTTGCAATTTGAAGATTGAGACTACATTTTTTAATTCGTCTAAAATAGTGTATAAGTTGTAACGATACACTATTTGTAATTAGGCCTCAGGTAATCTTGTTCTCGATGACAGGTCATTGAAACATTTCCGGAAGGAAAAATGTGGCAAGTACTTATTGATTTTATAATATTTTTTCAGGTGACGGTCAAGTTTATTCAGCATGGTCTGCGTTCCTTGCTTTGCGATTCCAATCATTCTTCTTTTATGGAGGTTTTTAATTCAACCATTGTTCGTAAAGTACTGGTCCGTTCGTGCAAAAGATAAAATCCCTGATGACAATGGACCTCCGCAACTCGTAAAAGAATGCAATAATGGAGTGTGTAAATTTTCTTGGAAAACTAACGACTCGAGGGAAAAGGCGGATTAATTCCTATATTATGGTCTCTCGTTATTAATTGATGTTAGATATTTAAGTTTTACCGGCTGGCCCTCTATCAAAGAAAGATTTCTGTCGTCATTACGATAGTATGGAATATTATGGAAAACAAATCATCAGCCGAATTCTGCCAAAATGACATCGATCTAAATGAGATTACATCCGAGATTTCTTCAACGTTTCGCGTAATGAAATTTTATTAGATACAATAGCTAATAGTTCTACATCCAAGATACTCATTATTTGAAATTGTCTAATCATGTAACTAATTTATTTGTTACTTTAAATAGAATATATTAAGTTATACGCGTGATATTCATTTCTAGCTACATTGTCCAGCTTTAAAATGTAGCAAAGTTGTTTATCGACATAGATTACTTAATTTTTGTCCGATGATAAATTAGTTATCCCGTTTCCTAAATGCTTAACTTACTACTTCACGAGATGGCGGTACTCTTCGAATTGAAATACGGTAGGCAAAGACGGGAGAGACATTTCCACCCTTGGTCGGTAATGGTCTTGCCGGGAAACATTTTTACCTACATTCGGTGCTTCTTCGTCGTGGTATCGTCACAAATGAAAAATGTTCCAATTCCGTCTACCGTTGACAATTTCTAATAAACGGCAAGATATACCGATCATCGGAGGCAATGTTTTTCATTACATTTTTATACGAGGAAAATCGATTCAATCAGTGCGTAAAATACAGCGAATAAAATTGTAAGGTAGGTCCGAAACAAGAGCCCCGATCCAGGCCACGATGATCCGGACCTGAGTTCGAAAGCTCGCAGGGGTGGTGGTCTGCGGGTGCTAGGGATGGTTGAATCAGCGCGGGGGTGTAGGGGAAATTAGTGGACGGCCTTAGCGGACGACGTGGGGATACTTTCTCATATCAAGTATGTCCGTTATCGTGGAACGATGGGCAAAACGATCGTAAGTCCTTTTTCACTCCATTTTTACTTATACTTTTATACGTTCCGTTTATTCCTCCCTCTGTGCGCTGGGTAATACGTCTCGCTGGCGACAATTTCACGAAATGAAAAAAACGTCATCTATTTCATATTTAAAACATTGCACGTGCACGAACATCGTTCAATTGAAATCGTGGCGAGCCCTCTTGCCGGTCGGCCCGAGCAAATAAATACCGGTGGAAACAGCCTTCCTTGGGTCGCGTCTCGTCGCCCGCTATTCATTCATCGAACCGATTAATGCGATCGTACGATCGTTCCTCGGATTTGGCAGAAATTATCGAACGAACTCGGTAAATATTCTCTTTTTCCTTTCTCCCGCTCGAGAGAGGAAACGCCGGGGACGTCGACGGGCTACTAAAGCAGGGGCGAGGAGCGGCCGGCACTTGGCCTGGTCCTTTGCATGTGACTGCAACACGTGGTACATCTGACGGTACGCGTTGCGCAGTTCCCACTTGGAGTACCCATCGCCTACCTACTCGCGACCCCTTCTCGCTCACCCTTTCGACTGCGGATTTCACCCCTCGCGCGAACCGGCACCTGTCCGCGCCGATTCGATTGCGTTTACCCGTCGGAATTATTTCTTCATGCGTATCCGCCGACTTCGCCCCGTAAAGATGAAAGCCACGGCAGGATCGATGCTCCTGGATTTCCGCTCTGGAAGGACATCGGTCAAAATCGACTGGGACGTCGGGAGGGATTTTGGGAAGGGAGCAATCGGGGATTTCGTGGAAAATCGAGGGACGAGTTATCACGGTTGGATTGTAATGACTGTCAAGAATGACCGTGGGTGCGCGTAGCAGGTGAGAAATAATTGGGCGTTTTTTCCCACGATCGCGCGACATTCAGGTATTATTTCGGGACGAGTCGTTAGTTATTTTTCAATGACGCTTCGGAAATATTTGATCGGGGCGGATTCGGAAGGAGGCTGCAGGCGGCGGAGGGCCCGGGATAAATTGCATTAGCGAGGAATGGAAACTCGATGGAAGAGGACGGAGATGGGTTTACAGGTCTGGCATGATGATATTTGTCTTGTTTACGGGAAGACTAATGCGCGTGTGCCGGGTATACTGGTGCGCGTCCGATCAATAGGCCTCTACTGAAATACCGCACGTAGGAGTGCACCACCACGCTCATGGTTTCCAATGGGAAAAACTTGCCCACGTCTCGCCCCAACTCGGAAATTCGAGAGACTTTATGAGAAACTCGCGCGGACGAGCCTCCGGATCTTTCGGTGGTTCCGCAGCTTTCTCGGTAACGCCAATTTCTGAAAAATCGTTAACGAGAGACATCTCCGATCGGCTGGTTTTTTCAATGGAAAGGAAAAGAAAATTAATTTGCCGCAACGTGAAAAGGGAAGGTCGAGGAAATAAACGCAATATCGGCGAGTTTCGAATTTGGGAGCGCAATTGATGATTCCCTTCATTTCTGCGCAGCACCGTCGGACTTAATGGCACGTATTCCCGAGTAATTTTCGAAATTCGGTTTATTCATCCTTTGGTCGAATTACCGAAAATTTCATGGGTATAATGTAGGACGAATTGCAAAATTAGAGCATCTAATCGCGTTCGGTATTGAATCGCCCTCGAACGTTTTAACCCAATTACAATTAGCAGCATTGGGTAACGACCGAATTTCTCCATCGGGAGACATAGAATATTTTTATTTTTCTCCGAAATTTTCGTCATTGCCGAGTGGACCGATTAAATAGAGGAAACATCTTTTTCGGATCTAATGGGCGCTCGACATTTTCCGAGATAGAATGAACCGATAACGTCGCGTTGATTAAAAACAAGCAAGAGTCATCGAGTTGGTAATTTCGCGTCCGTTTGTCTTCGTCCTCTGATGCCGGATTCGTATTTGACATCGAACCGGTGACCCGCTGGTAATGATTTCGTGAAACTTTATTCGGGACCAGAAGGAAAAAAAGAACGATTGACTTTAAAACGCCATCCCCCGAGGGTTCTTCCCCTAACTTTGATAACTATTTGACAGCGAGGGGAACGGCTTTCCAAACACGGCTCGACATGTCAGCGGACAACAAACGTTCTCCCAATTAAACCGGTCATGCGTGCAATTAGTTCTTTAAACAGCGCGGAAATAAAAGTAACGAATTAAAAACCACGCTCGGTACAAGGGAAATTCTCGAAAACCCGGGGATACGTTAAGCCGCCCACGGTGTTTTTCTTACGAGCTAACGTTTAGGGCGTTTCTTTTATTTCTTCGCAAAATTCATTTTCAACGCAACTCGCCGAATTTTGTCCCGACCGGCACTTTCGCTCGACGCGACTTAAATCCATATCCTTTGACGCATCCCGGGAAAAGGGGCAAAATGTTTTTCCAGTTCACCCTTCCTGGTCTCCACACCCCATTGCGTTACTCCCCCTTTGTATGTACGGCAAACGCACGTTTTCCAGAATTTTGAAAGAGTACGACAATACGGGCGTATTTACGGCCATTTCTCGAATAGCTGTCAAACCTTCCCCATGCGTACAGCTGTACCTTCATAGAGGAAACGGCGCTTTGCGTAATCCAATTTCTATTCGACTTTCCTCCGCTCAAAACGTTCGCTTCACGATTTTCATCCCATCCGCGAACGTCCAAACCATCCAAACGTCCGCACGAACGATTTCGATCATCGTCCAGGAAATTCGATCTCGATCTCAGCGCGAATTATTTCCCGTCGAAAAACGCGAGCGAATCGCGCTCCCGGTGGTAGGAAAAATTCCTCGAGGACTCGAAGCTTCGAAAAATGCTCTCAACTCTCGACAGATTTCAGGTGCTTCGAGGTCTGGAGAGATTTAAACGGATTAAATCGTCGGGCGTAAAGCGGGCTCGAGGCGGTCGCTTCTCGGGTCTTAACCCGTAGCTTCCGCGAGCTTCCGGGAAGCGGGGGGTACGATACAAAGGACCGGCAAATTGCCCCAAAGAAATTCCGCGGTCTCCGTCCAAGTCCCGGATGCGACGCGGGCTCGGCGGCGGGTCGACCGGCCCTGGAACGGCGACAAGTCGGGTAGATCCCTCGCATCGGGGCGGCGCGGGTCATCTAGATAATTCCGGGAGTATCTATCCGGAAAAGGCACGAAAAGCCCTAATCCTGCGGTGTCCCTAAGGGAGGGGTAGGCCGGCCGTAGGTGCCGCGATGACGGAAGGGAGGAGAGCCGGAGCCGAGGGCCAGAACCGCGCGAGACGGAACGCGGAGCGGGCCGCGTGTCTTCCGCGCGTCGCGCGCCGTCGTCCTCGTACCTGCCCTCGTACCTGCCCACGGCCACGTGTCCGATAACGCCCTTCCGCGGCGCGCCACTTCTTCGCCGCAGAGGACGCGTCGAAGATGTCCCGCGAGGCTCCGAGTACCCTGGACCGGCAGCCCCTTTGAGCCCCGCGAGGATCCATCCACGGGCGACATGGCGGATCGATCGAGAGGGTAACGTATCGTTTGATTATCGGCATCGTCGCGTTTAAAGGTCGTTGCCGTGTTCGTCGTCGCGGGTCCGGCCGGGTTATCGGACTTCGGCAATCCGTAGATCTCGTGGATCCTAGGTCGGATCGATGGCTCCGAGGTTCTGGGCGACGGAAGCTGGGTCGATTTTTTTTCGGAAAAGGAACTCGAGTGCGTTAAGAAATACCCCCGAATTCTAGATGGTTTTCCTCTCGAGAACCTCGTCGCAAATTTATTCGCTTTCGTATGGACGCTTATGGACGCGCAATTATTTCCCCGTTTGGCAGATGACTCGTGCGTCGACGGCGTGGGTCTCTCGTTATCGATCTGCAATAATTTTTCAGAATCGTCGCGCGAGACGAGTCACCGGTCTCGGAATCGAGCGCTCCTCGCTTCGTTCCTTTTTCCGAGAAATCCGACCGAGATTAATCGATAATGAGTAATTCTCCGCGGTTCATATTTGCGAAGCGCACATCCTTAATTCCAGAATTCGTCCCTAAAAGCGAGGGCGTATATCCCCGTGAGTCATGTGTCCCCTCGTCCGAGTTTCCCCCGTCGTCGAAGAATATCCCTCCGAGGTCCGTTCACCGACTCTCGTTTTCCTTCTCTCCCCAAGCCCGATTTGCTCGTTAGACGTATCCTAATTTCGGAGTTCGCTAATTAAAAGTACTCCGTCATAGAAAAGAAAAATAATCTACCGGTCGTTTCCCTCGCTTTTCGATGACATCGACCCTCGATCTCCGAAGGACGAGTGGAAACCGCGGCATAAAATTGAAAAAAAATCATATAAATGGCCCCGGGGAAGACGTCCGAGTTCCAAACAACCTGTTCCTTTAACGATACCCACGGATGACGGAATTTCTCGAAAGAGGGGGGATGGAGTCGTTTAGGTGCTAACGCTCGTTCCTTTTTACGTTCCGTCCAGATGTGATCGGAAGAAGAAGAGGGGCCAGGCGTAGGATCGAGAAATCGCGGAAGAGGCGGATCCAAGATGGCATCGACGGTCGCGCCAGAAGCGGCCGAGCCGGACAGCGACGCGTCCAGCACCGAGGAGCAGGAGGCGCGCAAGCGGCCGCGGGGAGACCCGGATTCGTCCAGCCCGAAGAAGCGCCGGAAGCAGACGACGCCGGTAAGGTTCCCCCTATCCCTGGCGGCGGAAGAGCACGCGGAGTCCGAGTCGGAGGCGGAGGCGGAGGCGGAGGAGCTGGACCGGGCGGGTAAGTCGGGGAGTCCGTCGCGACTGTCCTCGATGCCCGTCGTCGTCCATCGTCGGCCGAACGGCGAGGAGGTCGCGGGCGAGCACGAGGAGATCGAGCACGGCGACGAGGCGTCGAGCTCGCGCCAGCTGGGCGAGTCGCCGGACTCGCGGAACCGCGTCCGGCTCGCGGCGGACGTCTTCCAGCCGATGGACGCGTCGGGCAGTCCGATCGACCTCTCCGGGCTCGGCGCGAAGGGCTTCGGGCCGCCCTGGATGTCCGGACCCGTGCAATCGCAGATGCAGACGCAGACTCAGTTCCAAGGCGAGGAGTGGCAGTCCCAGAGCGTCGTCTCCTCGATGGCCTCCGTGGGCTCCCACCTCCAGGGACTCCCCTTTCCGAACGCCCTGGCCCAGTACCTGCCCTTTCCCGGATTTCCTCTGCCCGAGACCAATCCCGCGCATCGGGTTCCCCCCGTTGGCTCGACCCCGGTCAAGATATTCAACCCCGACGCGTACTGCGACCTCTGCAACAAGGAGTTCTGCAACAAGTACTTCCTGAAGACGCACAAGGCCAACAAGCACGGCATCTACGTGGACTCGCCGGTCCAGAGCGCGGAGGGCGGATCCGCCGTCTACTCCGGCGCGTTTCCCGGGGCCAACGTCAAGATGGAGGTCGCCGGGGGGTCCACCTCGACTTCCGGGGTTCCCTGCGAGGTCTGTCAGAAGCGATTCAAGAACGAGGACTCCCTGAGGAAGCACAGGCAGAAGATCCACGGGGACGGCGTGGAACTCTCGGATTCCCAGCTCGGGGGTCCGAGCTCGACGGCGACCGACGAGGACAGGGACGCGGCCAGGCGGAGCTTGACCCCCGGCACCGTGGCAGCTCTCTTCCGGCAGGAGTTCGCCGTCGAACAGGAGGAGACGACCTTCATGCCCACGCCCAGGAGACTGTCTCCGAGCTCCATGCAGCAGGCCAAGGACTCCGGCTTCAGCGCGGACCGACTGCACCGCCTGGGCGTCGTCAACCCGGAGGCCTTTTGCGAGCTCTGCTGCAAGGAGTACTGCAACAAGTACTTTCTGCGCACCCACAAGATGAAGAGGCACGGGATCTTTGTGCAAGAGACCTCGGAGAAGTCGCCGGGCAATCCGGGAGTCGCGGCTGACTGGCCCCAGGTGCAGACCAGCCCGCTAAACCTGATCGTGACGGAGAACGCGGGGACCGGCTCCGAGTCCGGAGACCGGCCCGGGGAGGACTGCGAGTGCAAGACCTGCGACCTGAGATTCCAGACGTTGGCGCTGTACCAGGCGCACCGGCGGAAGATGCACTCCGGCTACGAGCAGCGTTCTCCGAAGACCGAGGGAGACGCCGAGTCCTCCGATCAGCGCACCGACTCCATATCCGAGGACCTGCGGAAGCTGCAGACCATGATCCTTCAGCTGAACGGCCTGGAGTCCGTCAAGGGGACGTCCTGCGCCGAGGGCGGGAAGGAGTTCGACGCCGAGTCGTCCTTCCGGGCGCACGTGGCCGCGGAGGACCCGACCTCGCCCTCGAAGGAAGCGGAGAGCTCTCCGACGCCCCTGCCCAAGTCCTGCTGTGCCCTCTGCGAGAAGGAGTTCCCCGATTACGAGGCGCTCCGCGGACACATAACCGAGGAGCACCAGCCCGGAGCTCCGAGTTCCACGAGTCCGATGCATCCTCTGCCGGCGCCCGCGACGTCGGGGCCCTCGACGACGCCCGCTCTTCAGCCCGAGCGGAAGTTCCCCTCCTCCGTGACTCCTACCTCCAGCTATTGCGAGATCTGCAACAAGGAGCTCTGTAACAAGTACTTCATGAAGACGCACATGCAGCGGATGCACGGCATCGAGATCGAGAATGGCGCCCAGATAGGCGGAGTGATCTGCAACATCTGCAACAAGGAGCTGTGCAGCAAGTACTTCCTCCGGGTCCACAAGCACAACACCCACGGCATCGTCGAGGAGAGCCCGAGCGGCTCGACCAAGCAGGAGACCTACGACTCCTCGAGCACGGAGGATCCCGCCCTGAAGCCCGAACAGCTGAGCGACCTGAGCCACCGGTACTTTAACCACTTCACCGAGGTCTGTCCGGTCTGCAACCGGAGATTCCGGAGCCTGAAGTGGCTGAAGGCCCACCTCCTCGGGGAGCACGGCAAGGTCGGGATGGACAAGTGGCGAGAGATGGAGCAGCAGGGCCAGTCGGCTCCGAAGGCCGGCGGCAGGTCCTCGGGCCCGTCCAAGGTCTCCGGCATCCGGATACCCAACGGCTCCAACGGCTCGGAGCCGGCGCCGTCCCTCGACGCGGCCGGCTTCTCGGGCATGGGCAGCCACGTGCTGACCAGCCTCTTCGGCGCTTCCACGGAGGAGCAGCGGCGCAAGAGCTACCGCTGCTCCTACTGCGGCTTCGCGACCTCTGTCCTGCCGTACCTCTTCCTGCACGAGAAGTCGCACACCGGCTCCCAGGAGGCCGAGGCCGCCGAGGGCGACCGGGCCCTCCGGTGCCCCGTCTGCTCCCAGGGGTTCGCCCAGCCGGAGCTGCTCCACCACCACCTGCTGACCAGGCACCAGTTCCCCCTGCTGCTCTCCCACTTTCAGGCTCCGGCGCTCCAAGGCCCGGAGCTGCCGCCCCAGGAGCCGAAGGACGACCCGCCGCGCGGCTCCGCCGCCGACTCGCCCGGGACCGCCAGGAAACCGGACGACGCCGCGGTGCGGGTCACTCCCCAGGGCGCGTACAAGTGCGCCCAGTGCGGCTTCGCCACCGCCAACCTGAACAGAATCAAGAAGCACGTGAAGAAGGATCACCGGTCCATCGGGGATCCCTGCGAGAGCGTCATCGCCGAGCTGGGCAAGGCGCTGAAGGACGTCGCCAACAAGCACAAGGTGCCCGCGAGCTACGCCGTGCCCCAGGAAGCCGGCTCCCCGACCGAGCGGACCATCATGCAACCCTTCAAGATCGAGGAGTGCGACGCCGCCCCGGCGGGGGAGGAGGCCGGTCGCTTCGCGCCCGCCCTCGTCTACCTGCCGGTCAGGACCAGGGTCACCAACGTCCTCACCGCCTCCTTTACCCTCAGCCCGGCCTGAACGGTCCCGAGCCCCGTCCACCCGGAGTCTGTCCCGGCGCGATCGCGTCCGAGAGGCGAGCACGCGGTATCGGTTCCTAAAGAGAGCGCGAAGATATTTTTTTAACTCGCCGGAGTTTTTCCACCGCACCTGTGATTTCTCCGATCGCGACTCGCCGGAGTCGATTCGACCGCCGTAGATCGGGGTCGGGGAGTGGAGTACCCGTCGTGTTATATTTGTAGATATTCTAATCGTACGACCGACTAGCGTAAACGAGTGACGGACAAAGTTCCTATTTTGGATAGGGCGGAGCCCCCGGGATCGCTCCCTTGGCGGCCTTTTAGTTCCTCAACTTTTTGATAGATTTATACGAGTAGACGCCACGGGAATTACGCACGGGAGATCGCGGCGTGGCTTCCGATTTCCGACCTCGAGAACCGATTCTTCGCGTTCCGGCGCCGAAGTCACGGTTCGACTTGGCCGGGCAGAGACGCGCGGGATGACCGAGACGATTTTTATACGACCTTTTAGTCGGAACGGATGTAGAGCCTCCCTCTTCTCCCGCGGGAAGGGAAGATATATCGATAACGGTTCCTCCTCGATCCGACTCGAGTCGAGTTTTTCGTAATTCGCCGGGGTTGCAAATGCATCGTCTCGAGCGCTCTCTCTTCGCGGACCTCGATTCGTCCCTCGGTCACCCTGCGTCTCTGTGCGCTTCCTCCAGAGCCACTTTACGTTATTAAAGAGGGTACAAATAAGGATAAAAAAGAGAACACGATAATAATGGCAAGGCCTTCGCTATTGTTCCTATTCTTGTTGCGATGAGCACAGGTGGATATTTACAATTAGAGATCAATGAGCAAACAACCAACAATCTCAGGGTGCGCACAGGATGACCCGCAACCAAAGTACAATCGTATACACAGCCAACGCATTAAATAGAATTTAAACGTGTTAAATATGTAACGTGTAACGTCCCGTTCGATGGTAGCTGGATCAACGCCCGCGGTGCCCCGGACACGGGAAGGAAGGGCTACCGCGGGTAACTTCATTTTTTTCGCTTTCCGGATTCAAACGCGAAAAGGTCGAGAAGAGGACCGACCGGGTAAAACGTACCATTTTGAGTCTAGTCGAAGTCGCTTAATCTAGTCCGCGCGAGGTCCCGCGAAAGGAACCGTTCGTTCTCGTGACATCGGTAACCGAAATCTCGCGAGAAGGGCCGGAACGATTCGAGCGGCTTCTTTCGGGGACGAGGAACGGTGCAGATATATTCATTAACGCGGACGAGCGTCCGTCACGTAGTCATCGAATGGCCGAATTTTCACCCCCGATCGTAACCGTTTTCGAGCTCGATTTCCAGGATTTCCTTGCCTCTCGTTTGGCGAAAGAACCGAAGAAAGAGTCCCCTTTGCAGGCGAGCAGGCGGAGGCAATAATTTCGGAGGCCATGATAACCGCCTGTCCCGACAGGTGTTTATCATTATTTTTTGTTGCGGGGACGCGAGCGGTATTTTTCTCGTCGGGGAACGCTTTTGTGTGCATTGCTAAAGACTTTTATTAACGGGGCACGCACGCTCGATCGAAATATGCCGAAAGACAGCTGCCCTCGTGCTGACCACTTGGGAGTTGGGAGGGTAGCCACCCTAAACTCACTTTACTTCCCCAAAAACGTATCGCGCAGCCGTCGGACGGAGGGACCTTTCGATGGCCGAAACTCTCTCGACGGGCGAACAAACGCGACGGCGCGCCGAGTCTCCCGAAAATTCACCCGGGCTCGATTTCGAGAAACTCGAGCAATTTTTTTCGCCCCCCTCGTCGGCCGAGGGAGGGGACCTCCGGAAAAAATGACAGATTTCCCTTGACCGTTGGAGAATTTCATCCGATTGACCACGAGGAAAAAAAAGAGAGAGGCCCATTGTGCTTTCGCCGATTCATCGAATTTTCACGGAATTCGGAGTAAAAATGCCCAGGGATCGCGCGAACGTCCGCAAAACGCGGGCCAGTCCCTCGGTTAATTCCGGTGAAAAGGAGCACTCGCCCCCTGAGAGAATCGGGGGTCCCTCGCCGTCCCCCGCTCATATAAATATCCCCCACGAGCCGCGGTGAATCACTTGGCCGGCTCCCCAGTTTCCAAAAGTTGGAATGAATTAGTATGCACGCGGGCATTTGCCGCGAAACTCGGCCGAATTTTATGACGCGCGCGTCGGCATTAGCATATTTCCGGGGGTGAAAATTCGGCTATTAGGGGTCTTTTGAAAAAAAAAAAGAAAGAGGGAGGGAGAGAACGAGCCAGGAGGCAAGAGGGGAGCGGAAAATTTGGATAGGGAAAAGTGGTGATTTTTGAGCAGGGCGACCGATAGCCGATCGACGGGCCGCATCTGGCCCGGCGACTTTCAAGGGCGTCGCGTGGAGGTCACCTCTCGTGACCTTGGCGGTCCTTCGTCGGGGGCCTTTCGGGGAAAAATGGGGACCGAAAAGCGCCGCTCCTTTGTCCGGTCCGGTCGTTTCGGCACATTTTCTCCGTTGCGTCCCCCCGCGCGTGGACAATGACATGCAAAATGTGCGCCCGGATGCAAATGGCCACCTTTTTTAATTGTACCCACGGGATCGGAGATGCACGCGCATTGTGCACGTAATGGCCCGGAAGCGCGAGGCCCATTTATTCGGATTGTTCGACCCATTCGATATCGATGATAAACGGGCTTTGTTGGACCGTCGTCACCTTTTTTTTTTTAACGCGCGCTCGTACCGGGATGGTGGGAACAAATGTCTTTGGACAAACGAGGCGATTAGTGGAACTCGAATATCGAGTGTTCTCCGGGAAAGAGGCGAGTCGGCTCGGTTACCGTATTTTTATCTCGCTACCTTTAAATCGAAGTCGTCACGGTTTCGGTCATTGCGAAGACGCGTGCAGGAAAAAGGTGCGGCCGCGAACGAAAACTAGCTCCGGTATTGCCTTCGTTAAGTTAATTGAGCAGAAAATCAAACTAAATCGTGAATCAAAAGAGATGAAAAGGATTTATATATATACATATATGGGTACGGATATATATAGATAGATAGATAGATAGATAGATTTATATATTATAAAATATACGGTAGGTATAGCGTAGAGGAAGGATGACCCGTTTGCATGACGTGCGAAGTTTATAATCTACGTTAAATTAAGAGTATAGGTGAGCACACGAGACGCATGCGCGTTTTACGATAGGACATTCGATCGCTCGCCTCGACCGCGAGGCCGACGTTTCGGGTCTTAATTGACACCTAATTCTAGTCGTCTTGAACCAAATTATCCCTAATTATGCTAGTCCGAAGAGAGGAGGAAAACCTACCGAACGTTCGTTTCGAGTTTTCCAGTAGTCATATATTTTTATTTCCACGTCGAAGTACTTCCCTTCTACATCGAATTTATATTTTTATCGTAATTTTAAATCGCGTTATGATTTTCCATTTTTCGTACGCGTAGATTTGTGTTACTCGAAGATCCTTAATTTTAATTTGAGATCGCGTGGACGCGCGACGCACGACAATAAAATTAATTTCCTTGATTTTGGATTTGATTTCACGTTTATTTACACACCGTCTCCTTTTTTGTCGAGCCCCGATGCGTTATCTTTGCGTTACCGATATGTATCGAGTTACCCGGCCGGGGTACCGCGCTTTTGACTGCCGCTCGGAGGGACGCGACTTCCTTTCCTTTTTTAATCACCAGCAGTTGACAAATTGACCCGACGCGATTTCGAGTCGATGAATTTCGCGTCGATCCGTCTTCCATTCCGGATGAACGAATTCCGGGGGTAGTTTTTTTGGATCGAGTTCCTCTCGCGGAAGAGAACAACGAAAACTGCCCCGCGAACGTGACTCGCGATTTCTTTGCAGCTGCCCAATCGGGTAAAAAATCTTCAGAAAATGACGTTCCACCGTGATCACTCCGTACGCCGGGACCGAGTGGTCGTTATTAATTTTTGAAGCGCCGGGGACGATCTAACGATTAATCGACGGAGAGAAAATGCCCGGCGATCGAAAGCACGGCTCCCTCGAAAATGGCGGACGAATGCGTTCCGCATTCGTTCCCGTGTTCGCGATTGATGGGACTCTCCATTAATAACGAGGCAACCGAGGGAAGAATGGCCGGAACTCGATTCGAAAGACATCGAAGACGCGTCCTCCTCCGAGGCGTGCCTACCCTCGATCGTACTTTTCTCGCCGGTCATATTTTCGTCGTATAAAAGTTGAAGCGGGCGGAAGAGAATTCCCGTCCTTCCAGTGGAAACTCGTGAATGACATACCCGCCGGGGTGGCTTCGGAGAGCGGAAACATATACGCGCACAAACCCACGCACAAACGGCCCGCCCACGCCCCGGAGTACACGTATGAAAATCAATAATATCTTGCGGTTTCTAAGAGCGTGGAAAACGAACGAAGATAAAGACCGCGTTTCCCCCCAGCCTGTCGTCCCTTCCCCTCGACGTTGACGTCCGAAATTATTTTATAACGTTAAAGTACAAGACGAACGGCTTCGCGATGGGGAGGATCATCGAAAGTCGTCCGAGTTTACGGAATGTCGGGGGTCTTCCGGGAAATAAACTAGGGGAGAATAATTGAGAAGGGTAGAATTTCATTACGAGGTCCGCCATCTTGAATTTTCCTTCGGGACAATCGATACGATTTTCCGACGAGCCGAGTCGTCGAGCAGGGGGAAGGACGCGGGGACTCGTGTTTTTGGAAAAACCTAGACGGCGGGGATTTTGAAGCGAGCAAAGGGAAACGTGGCGACCCGGGAGTGCGGAGACGAGGTTAAGGGAAGAATCGAATCGGACGGCTCCCCCGCCTGGCCGGCTCGGTCGGGGTTCGGCCTCCGACCTTCTCGAGAGGGAGCGAGGCGGGCCGGGGGGAGCGAGCGAGACCGCGAGGACTGCTTATACCCCGATGAGGAAGTGGATTGCAATTATCAAAGCCTCCCTTCCCCTTTTCGCCCCTTTCCGCCCCTTTCCGCCCCTCCCTCCTCGAGCCTTCCCGGCGCCCTTCCAAGACTTACACCAACTTGGAAATTTCATCCTCTCGTAATAATTTTATCACGCCCCAAGACCCTCTCCTGACTTCGGCACCGCCGCCATTACGCTCGATCGTGCCGTTCCTAATATCGAGAAGACCCCCGTCATATTTTCGCCGCGATGCCGAGGATTCCACCGATCTCGTCCCTCGGACCCCCGCGGCCGGTGATCGCTTCTCCACCGAATCGTGAATCTTTCGAGTCCTGTCGATCGTTCGTCGCGTTGCCCAAGTTTGGCATTTTTTTTTCTAATATTTCGAAAGGGACGAATCTACCCCTTTGGTTCCTTTTGTGGCGCTTGGCGCACCTTTACCGACCCGCGACAATGGCGACACACGCGACTCGGACACAATGCGACGGATCTCTCGCATCCGAGCCGAGGGAATTCCCTAAATTCGGAAAGTCGAAAAAGGGGGAGGGAGGGTGAAATTTATTGCGGAGCGTGAAACAGGGACCCCATAAATAACGGAACGGCTTTAACCCTTCGCTTACCCCTTGAGGGGGCAATTGCCCGCGTCTAGGTAAAATTCGTTGCATCGTGCCCCGCTTGTTGCGGGGAGCGACAGAAATTTTTGGACAGGAGAAAAATAACGAACGGCCTCCACCCCTTTCGGTCTCGCGCGCGTTACGCGGTATTATGGGGCCCGGCCGTAACAATGGCGGCACGCGAGGTACAATGCGAGCGACCTCTCGGCCCCGGGATTCCGTAAATTCGGAATTTTCGCAAAGGGCTGCGATCGAATCGATCGCCCGACCCGTGGCGGGGGGAGGCGGATTTCACTGGTAATAACGAAAAGGCTCTAACCCTTTATTTATTTAAGCGGCAGCGCGGCCGGAGGGGCTGCCGCGCGCCGAGGGTCCGGTCTCGCCGTTTCCACGGATTTCACCCCAAATTTTCAGCTGTGCCATTCGGTATTCGGTTTAACCTCCTACCGGTACCCCCCGATTTACACAATATTTTGGAAATCTTTTATAAGACTGACCCTCCGCCATCGGCTTAGCGAACGGTTGCCCATTGTCCCGAAAACGGTCGGCGACAGATGCGAGCGCGGGTTCTGACGAGACGCGTGCCGGACGGGGCAAAAAGACAACACTTTTTAGAACCGTCGAAATTCCGAAATTAGGGTTAAAGTCGGGAATCCTAGGACGCAGCCGAACGGAAGGATTTTTTTTTACGCCGCGCCCCCTTTCGCAGTTTGCGGAACGTGCCACTTTTTCTACCCTTCCGGTAGGACCGAAGTCTTACCTCGGTGGAACAAATTCCTTTGAGATGTTTTCGCATTCGTTATATGTTTGTAGCGGGAGCGGCAGTCAATCCGTGTCATTTAATGGTCACATACATACTTTGTTTCGTTTCAACGTTTCCACGTGTTCGCGACGCGCTAATTTTATTCCCTCGGTGAGCGTGTGCTCTTCTTACGGAAATCTTGATGCCTACTTCCGGATCGATTCCTTTTATATTTTTCACGTAAATGTGAGTACTCGATACGAGTACAGGTACTGGACTGGACCAAACGTGTGCGACTCTCTTAAAAAGCATACTATATCTTTATAAAGTAAGCTACGATTAAGTATAGGGTAAGCTGATAACGTCAAAGAGAAGAAACGTGACAAAACTACCGATAAATCAATAACGACGTAACATGTAATGATACGTAGATATATTCTAAGATGAAAATCAAAATTAGATAAGTGAACGATAAACGTCGAGAAGCGGTAAGTTGAGAAAAGAACGGAGAAATATAAAGTCGTTATGTCGTATAATTAAGTCCCGGCTATGATGGCGAAGGTTGAAAAAATTAGGAAGAATATCTATTTATCCGGAAGCACCGTTGTACCGATTAATCCTTGTCGCGCGATTTTTCCTTCGAGTCGTCGTGTCTAGGTTTTAATTATAAAATATCTTGTAAGTTCCTGTCGGCAGAAGATTCAGGGTCTCCTAGTTTACTCTTGCGTAAAAAAAAAAAAAAATGAAAGAGACAGGAACGCGCAGTGAACAAGTACAACGTCTGGATAGTTAATTCATTGTCAGTGACGAATTAGTAAAGAAATATAAGTAAATTAAGGGATGTACATAACAAATGATGAGAAACGCAGCGACGGAGAAGGTAGTCGACGTGAAAGGAACGACCTTACCGTGACCGTGCCGTAAAAGCCGTAATTATGCCGGGCAAAAAATGCGAGGGTACACGTATCCAAAACTTACGGTAGCCTATCCGCTGGATCCGTTTTATTTTCTTAGGGGAAATGCGGTGTACATAAGTAAACGTTCTTTCGGAAGTACGTCAGTCGTTTGGACACATTTAGTGGGCGCGGAAGTGTACGAATCCGAGGTTACGATAATCTTACACGCGACGAGAAATACGTACAGGTACGTCTTTTGTGGACTTTTCATACGGTACTATTGTACTTGCTTCTTCTTTTAAACAAATTGCCAAAATGCTGTTCCTATACTAGTCCTCGAAACGTCTCTTCAAAGTGTTTTATAAAGCTTGTACAAGCGTTCGAGATAAGTCGTACTCGAGGTGACTACGATTGCAATGATTGTAATCGCAGAACGTTCAATACTCGAAGTAACCATGGTTCCTCTCATGATGCTTTCAATTAATTATATTTATACACGATAGGGTTTACGCTAATTGCCTATAGTTACGTGAATGTTTTGGAGGCGAATTTGAAATGGTAAATATATATATATGGTATAATCGGTAAAGAATTAAATGATATTGTAAGTAAGATACAGATATATTATTTACACTAATGGTATGCCTAAGAGCAGAAAATCAAAATGTATAGACATATGTGATTATTGGTGAACTATGTGAATTTAAGGCCGAATTAAGCAACTAGCGTGTACGCAGTTTTGCATCTAGTTTGTGCGAAGAAAATTTCAAAGTTTTTGTCCCGTGAAAAGGACATCAATATATTTGTCGGTATTTTATGTAAACTCGATTTTCGGTTTTGGCAGGATTTGATGTAAACGAGGGGGTTTCCCAAGGAACTACCCTAATGGATCACTTTGATTAAAATAACCATTTTACAGGCCAAATGTACTTACGGCGTATAACTAAAAGTATATAAAGGTACGTTCGAACGCGAAAGAAGTATTTTCGATTGCAGACTGTCAGCGTTCGAACGTGAATAAAGTATTTTCGATTACGAATTGTCAACCTCTACAAACTACCGATGATACACGACAAAGTTGATTATAGATTAATAAATCATGTCTTCTTTTATACGTGAATTAATACTTTCAGGACTTGTCGATATTTTTAACGATATGGAATAATAAATTGCACTTATAGGTTTTCGTGGCATTTCAGTAGTTTCGATATTTATCATAAATCAAACAAACAGAAATTGAAATTTCATGTTCCTAAAAATTACTATAAATAATTAATTTCCAAGTTTTTCTTTAATTACCGAAATCATTAGATGTTTGTTGCAAATTGTAATCATTGTCTCCGTTATAGTGTTTGAAACTTCATTAAATGAACTTAGATATAGCTCCTTTCATTGTTTTAAGAACTCATTTTTAAGCAATGTTTGTATGCTGAAACACGTGCATATATTGAATAAAATGGTAGTTGAACATTTTCAGAAGTCAATACGCGCAAAGTGCCTATTATATCTATTCAATGTTTTTCTTCTCTAGATATTTTTTTACTAACTTTTCCTTTCATGAAAAATTGTCCATGCTCAACAGTAAGTACCAATATATTCTTGTTATTTAAAGTTTGATAAATAAAAAATAACCGTTAATATGTTGGATAGATGTTTAATAGTTGCATGTAATTCAAACTGACAAATACATCGATCTCCATTTCCATTCAAGAATCAAATACAAAAATACACAAAGCTATTTTTACAGAAAATTAACAAATTCAATATTATGCAGTTGTCCATTTATCAGAAACAATATATATTCTAAGATTCATGATGGTAAACTTAAATGATAGCAATATACTTTTCATATATATGTTAAAAACTTTTGCCATTTCATGTTATAAAATTAATAAACATTTTTAAGTGTTACTTCAAACACAAGTGTGCTATTTGCTGGTATAAGAGGCAGTGATCCCTTCGCACCGTATCTGTAAGAAAGATATAAATCTGGATTAACTTTTACAAATTTAAATATTAATTATAACAATTCTGAAGAAATTTCGGTTAAGAAAAAAATAATTTTAAATTCCGACATATTGTACATACCCCATTGCAGGAGGAATCGTAATTTTCCTTTTGCCACCAACATTCATGCCTGTTATTCCAAGATCCATTCCTTTAATGACTTCACCCTTTCCAAGTCGGAATTTAAATCCATCCCCAGACGTTGTGGAATCAAACTTCTTTCCATTCGCCAGCCGACCAACATAATAAACGGAAACAAATTTGCCTCTTTGAGCAGGAACACCAGTACCTATTTTTAAGTCTTCCACGTGTATCCCACCTTTAATAGTTTTTTTCTTCGGTTCCTGCTTAGCATTTTGTTGATCATTTTTGTTCTTTTCTGATTTATCCTGTTCCTGTTTTACTCCCTTGCCATTAACCAGCTTTTGCTTTTCTGCTTTCTTAGTTTGCTGCTGTTGTTTCTTTGTAACTGGCACAGTTTTTTCTGATTCCTTCTTTTCTTCTTCGTCTTCATCGCTATCATTGTCCGATGATTCATCCTCTTCATCGCTATCATTATCTGCCATTTCGTTCTCATTTTCCTCATCTTCCACATCCTCCGAATCTTCACCATCTTTTGAGTCATCAAATACATCATCTTCGTCGTCATCATCGTTTGAGGATTCAGCCTCTGCCCGTAATTTATCTATCTTGGCTCGCTTAATTTTTGTATCCTTCTCAAGAACTTCCAAGGCCTTTCGCTTTGGATGTGTAGTTAACGATGGTACATCTTCATCCGTGTCTTCCTCTTCTTCTTCCAATTCATCCAAATCTAAATTATCGTCTTCAGGCATCAAATAACCAGTTAGATGAACATGACCCTGTCCATTAGTCATAAAAGCAATTTTTGTTCCCTCTTGAAAGTTTAGATCTAGAGGTACTTGCCAGATTAAACCCTTCTTTAAAGTACATAGAAGATAAGTCCGATTATCGTAATAAAGCATTACTTGTATAATCTCATTATCTGAAATTAAGATTCACGAGTTTAAAATAATTACCTGCAGGGGTACAATTTCAACAATATGCAAATGAATAATTTTAAATATTTAAGAACAACGCACAGTTTCACATGAAAATTAAATTTACTCTACAATTAGAAACATACCACCGGTCGATGCATCCAGACTTGCCATAGAGACATGAAACGACTTCTCAATCGTCTGCGTATACCGCTTATTTGGTTCCATAATTAGTCCTATCGGAAAATGAGAAATTCATTTTGAATAACATTTTAAAAGACCGTGCCGAAAATTGTTCTTGAGCTCATAGTAAATTCCTCGGAAACACGTGGCGATGCCCATCGCACGACAATGTCGGCATTTTTATAGCGGTATTGCATGAAGAATTTCAATATCAAGTACAATTCTACTTACCCCAAAACATCTTGAACCGATTTATTTATTGCTCCACCTAGTAAGAAAACAAAAGCCCAACAAAGGAAGAATGTTCGCTCTCGACAAACCAAGAAGCCCAACGAGAAAGACGCCTTCCGTGCCTCGAGTGCAAGCAAACGTAAGAGAGCTCCAACGTCCTCAACGAGATCGCGCCAATTCCTGCAGGGTAGCCAACTCTCCGTATATGATTATCCCCATGAGCTCCGCATAAAATACGTGACGAAATGAGTTGGGAACGTGGGAGAAGTTGTGAACAGTGTAAGACTTTTTTGGTTCTATCTGGTTTTAAGGACGCCAGAACACGCCAGAATTCCTGACCACTGCCTGCCAGGATTTTCTATCACGTGTACCAACGTGAGTACTCGGATTTGACTTATTTGAGAGTTTTCAATTTTAATGTATTTGACATCCCCGTTTATATTACGTCTAGTAATTTGCGATGTCGATAATGTTGTAGTGACAACTTGATCTCTACTTGCGAACTTGAAAACTTTTCTTTTCTATCAATAAAGAGGAAGGATTAATGAACAATGCCAAGGGAGGATTCGTCGCTGTGCACGTCGGTTTGTATGATTTTTATTCGAAGGTTAAATGTTGGGCTCTAACTTACAGTTTCAGTAAATAGAAACTGTGTTGCCTCAATCGAAGCCTCCACTTGTGAATGCATGGTTTTTCAAGTAACATTTAATTGGTAGACAACTTTTAGGTGCGGGTCAACACTCGGAGGCACTTAAAGATAAATACCAAAAGTTGTGCCGTGATGCCTGCAAAAAGGTGATTCTCAAAACAGTTCGCAATCATTTAGATTATAATATGTTGTATTACATTTTTAGGGAATTGATAGTTTACGATGTGGACACACCGCCTTGGATTCAGTCGTAGAAGCTACTATAGTATTAGAGAATTCTCCTTTGACAAATGCTGGCTATGGGTCAAACTTAACTCTGGATGGAAAAGTGGAATGCGATGCAAGTGTTATGGACGGTACTAATTTGCAATTTGGCGCAGTTGGTGCGGTGGGAGGAATAAAAAATCCTGTTGTACTTGCAAAGCGCTTATGTCAACAGCAGTCCGTCGAAACGACTCATGGAAGAATTCCACCAAGTTTTTTAGTAGGAGCGGGTGCACATGTATGGGCCAAGGAAATGGGAGTACAAACACTGCCACCTGATGATTTAATATCAAGTACAATTATTGAGAACTTATTTCCATTAGAATACTTTACAAATGCATTTATTAAATAACCTCGCAGATGTTAGAAGCTTTAAAAAATAATTATAATTTTATTTATAGTGAAGGCACGAAAAGTTTATAAACATTATAAGAGAAAAATAGAAGACCACAGTAACGAAGTGCATAAGGTAATTTATCATAGTTTTCATTTAACTGAATTATAATTTATTAATATGCAGTGGTGACAATATCGTTGTATATGTATAAATATTTCTATATTACAGCACATGAAGAAACGAATGGATACAGTAGGAGCAATAAGTGTCGACGATCTTGGAAATATTGCTGCTGCATGTTCCAGTGGTGGTATCATTCTGAAATATCCAGGAAGAGTAGGGCAGGTAGCTAACTTAAATTATATGTAATTTTAGGGTTGGTAATTTTCTACTTGTTCACATTCCAATGATCTCTGACGCTTAAATTATTTGGAGGTAGGCTGGGGTCTGGGGTTGTGGTTCCTGGGCATGTAGTTCGAAATCTTCAGTAGCTGCAAGTACTTCAGGATGCGGGGAACATCTTATTCGAACGACTCTAGCAAGGTCAATAGCAGAAGCGTTGTCAGATACAATATGTCCCACAACTTCTTTACACCATGCAATGAAAAAGCAGTTTCTTGGTAAGAATCCGTTCATATGTTTGTACTTCTAATTTGAACATTGTATGTCTGTATTTTTTTTATCGTCTGCATTTCCGCTAGATTCGAGATTCCTAGATGGTTTGGATCAGAAACTTGGAGGAGTTATAGCTTTGCGATACTCTGCACAAGATGCCCTTGGAGATCTACTCTGGAGTCATTCAACCAATTCCATGATCATTGGCTACATGAATTCAAGCGACAGATCACCCACGGTAATGTTACTTCACATGCCTGTAAATTAAATACCAATGCATTCGCGGGTAAATTTATCTAAAAAGTGCATCAATATTTTTTTTCTGTCCGTAGAGCCGAATGTCGGTCTTGGAACCTAAAGACGTCGGTAAGAAGGCAATAGTGGAGGGAATCTGTTTTACTCTTTCTAAGGACCCTTTGTACTGCAATTCGTGAAATCTAAGTTGCCGAGGCGACTGACTTACATGAGACTGTTAGATACACGTACATGTATACTATCACTTGAATTTCAAAGTTAGCAAATCGAGTGCACATTCAATCGCATTTCAAAACAAGTGCGAAGATCTATCTTTAATTTATTTCAGTTACATTCACCGTTTTATGATATCATTCATTCAGTTATTTGATTTAATGTTCAACTTACCTTTTCCTTATAATTTTATTTGGCTGAATGTTAAACTAGCCTATTGTTTTGTGTTCATAGGATTAGAATTATTTATTAGCTGCTATACTATTATTCCGGGAAACTAAAAGAAAGCTGAAGAATTTAAATGAAATCGATATAATTCAGCCATCGAAATAAACAGCCACATACGGGGTAGTAACTAAATGTATTATAATAATTGTTTGCATTCCAAATGAAGATATTCGTGTTAAGTAACATCCGTGCATTAATACCTTCTTAATAAATATGTGGATTTGAATGAACATGAATTGATCTCTGGCCTATAACTTACAAAAATGTATTACTTCTGATTTACTCGTTGGCTGTATTAATTGAAGCTGACAAATTTCTAAAACTCGGGAGTCGACTAGCTGATATTTCTGCCGACTCCATTATTAACCGAAGATTGACCTTCGGTGTCATAGGAATATAACTTTGAATGGTTAAGAAATTTCAAAAGCTCATATTACTTCGTGGTAAGACATTAATATTCAAGTAAATGAGACGTCAGGAAGATACGACGAATCATAGGTAAGTTCATAATGGAATCCCCTGGACCTATTGTTGACGTCAGAATCGATGATTTCCCGCGACGTGACTGGTTGCGATGCGAGTATCACTTAACATACTGTGCACGTAAAAATCCTCGCATTAAATATTTCTTTTACTTTCAAAGCTCTTTGCTGTGATTACGTATTGGAATATCATCTTGAACGCTTATCGTCACGTACGATGATAAATTTGTTTATTTATAAGATATTCTGGTGGAAACTTCAAGGGCATTAAGGGTCGAAAATTAGATTAAAAAGAAATTGATTTCTCATCGAGTCGATAAAATCCGATCTCTTCTTTTAAGAGATCGTTATATTTTTACTACAAAATTGCACCGGCCATACAGATCGATCGAATAAGGTGTCGAGTATTTGCGCGTCAACTTATTAAAACGCGATAAAGAGTTACTTCCCACTGTTCTTCTTTTCTTACGCTAATGAAAAAAAAATAAAAACGCATTCGCATATGATAAGCGGATACTTCTTCCGATACTCATTACTCCGATATCGATTTATCATCCACGCGAGGACTTCCACAAATAAATGGTTAACGTAATTTCATCGCACGCAGGTTGCGAATTCCTTGTACATCTTCCGAGAACCGAATGCGTAAATCGGCTCGTCTTTTCCTCAAAGACTAGGACACTCCCCAACAATGGACAGAAACTGAAGCCTCCTCGGTAAAACTTTCCTCTTAACAGCGGTGTACATACAAAGAAACGCTCCTTTTGCTCACACCTTCCGAGGGATTTTCACCGGACGCAATTACTTTTACGCCTTTCACCTAAAAGTAAAGGAACCGGATCGAAGCTAGAAAGAAATACCTCATGAATTACGTGAACGCAATAATTAAATCTTTAATCTTTGCGCCTCTCGGGATGCACGATCGATGGCGCGTCGCAGAAATTACTATCTAAATTCCCCAGATACGGTTACGTATCGACTATTCGAATCTTAACCGAAGTTATTTTCGAGAACGTAACCAATAAGAAAATTAAATATCTCTTTTTAACGGGTAGCGGCATCGACGCGTGATCGAACGAGCACGAAAGATCCGTATCTACCGTTCCAACGCGTGGAGAGGATCGGCTGATAAAAGAGTCGTAGTTGTAACGAGCCAGATACTACGATTTGATCGATTCCCTGACAACGTAGTCTAGCAATGAATTACCCCGACGATCATTCCCACGATCTCGTCATCTTTCTCTCGATCGGCGTCACATGTTTTTCAGGTCTTTGGAAACGTATCTTCGCTCCGCGGTACTCCAGCATTCTTGGCCGATAGAGAGATAGAGATCGATTAGCCGATGGAATTCGTGTGAAAGGAAGTAGGAACTTTGTCAAGGAAGCCCTTCGGCAACGATTGCTCATTACCCACCTCTATGGCTGGACGGTTCTATTCTTCGGCCTCGAGGTATGTACGTACATCGTCCCGCGAGCAATCGGTACGTTCTTGCGCTCGATCTCCGAACTCGACGTTTCTTCCTCGTATCGCATTTTACGGGACCTGTCCCAAGAAAAACGATCCGATTAACTTTGTCCCCGAACGTACAGATCGAGACTCTTGGGGTTTCGGGTCGAGACCGGTGAAAACCAAGAGGAACCACCCCTTCGATCCCGTTCCCTCGACGAGCCTCGAAATCGCTCGCTTTGGGACTCCTTTGTGTCCTCGACCGGGACGAATGGAACCATCGGGCACCCAGGGGGGAGTCCACCTGGGAAACCCCTCGGCGAAGGTGGCCCGATACCTGTGGTCGGCCCACGAGCCACGACTCGAGCCGATTGGCTCTCCGCCGAGGCGGCCGCGTATAAACGACTTCTCGACGACGACTTCGCGCGGGACGTTTTATCAGTTAAGTGCGCTCCCGAGGAGCCGCCAGTCCACTCGAGCGAGCGAAAACCTGCCGGTCGGTGTCATCGATGAGTACCCCAGCGACTCTTCGCTCGGACAAATTTTCCTGCCTTTCCCTCGAGGGTGGCCTCGGGTTCATGGGCGAGAACTCCTCTGCGGGCAGCTTCAATCTTGCCGCGACGACCCTCGTCGAATCCGCGCCTTTCCTCGGCATGTCCAGGGGGGAACGACTCTACGACGACCTGTGCCACCGTAAGTGAGACATGGTTTTGGCTTAAATCGGCGCGGAATCGATTGCCGTCGATCGCAAGGGTTGACTGGCTATACCGGATCATCCTGGACCCGATTGGACGATCGTGCCCGGTGGAATCGGGAACGCTTCGTCGCGTCTCGACCAAGACCTCGCTCTTGCATGGAATACCAAAATAAAATCGAGGTTACTCCGTTATCGGCGCGAGGTCGGTCGTAAGACACAATTTCACCCTTTGGAATGGTTGCCGGAATCCTTCGATCTACGTCCGGGTCTTTATCGGTGATCACGTTTTCGCAACTAATTTTGCACTTTGGTGCACGTTTGGAGCGACTGGCTCGGAAGAGACTTAAACGAATGCTCCGGAAATGATAGAAGCTTGCACCTGCCAAGTTTATACAATTATTGCAATTATGGTGAATTCGTATTTATATTCGGGGTAGGCCACTCGTGTTGTAATCGGGATACCATAATTAAGAAAGGACGAGATACTTAACGGAGAGCCCACGTTACTTCACGGTTTAACGTTTCCGTGTTGCATATATCTATTCGTTTGTTAGGCAAATTCCGTTAATGTGGAAACTAATAATGAAAAGACGAATGGCGTTCCCGCGTGTTCCCATTTTCATAAATCACCAAGCAGGCATGCTAAATTACAAGAACAACGATCACGTAACGATATGCATTTTCTATGCATGTAATAAATTATCCCGTAATGGCAGAATTAAATATATTAGTCGTCGAAAATGTTTACGTGCGCGGAATATCTATAGAAAAATGTCGAAGTGACGGTCGGTCTAAGAACGTGCGGAAAGATGAAATAAATCGTCGCATTTTTCTCAAAGTTGGTCGACAATTAAACCTCTATTGTCCCGCTTGAATGTCATCATTGCACGCGGATCTCAACCTTGGCGGTATTAATTGCGAAGAAACACGATCTTAATGCTCGCTAATTCTGAAACCCGGGGTGACGCAAAAACTCGAGTAAAGACATTTATTTCAGAAAATTTCTTCCGAGTTCTTTAGATTTTTCCTCAAGTCCGAGTTACATATTAGTACCTGGTCGGTGAATCACCGCTTCGATTGAGCGGTTTTAATTTGAAGACGCGCTTTTAATTTTTTTGACGATACATCTCGAGCCGAAAAACTCAGCTCGGATATAAAACGTCGAATTTTTGACATATTTATTCAAGGATTTCCCTTACCTTGTAAAAAACGTTATCGACGAAACGTAGTACTGCAATATGGCGATATGATAGCGTAATAATCGTTATGAACTCTGTAAACTCATTTTTTTTATTGCACTTAATTGAGTCATATCTTATCCTTTTTTACGCGAATCCTCCTGGATTTAATACATCTTGTCTAAATTCGCGCTCGGAGGGAATTAATTTTTTGTCCCACGAATGATTAGAAATTCGTATCGGAAGGAATCGAATCCCTTGAACGATAATCGAAACGCCGGGCACACGTGTCTAGGAAATGATTTCTCATCTATCGCGACTAGCTGTCGGTCTCCGCGTTATCGCGCGTCGGTGTAACCGTTTTCGCGTAATTTAATACTTACTGCAGAGTAAGGAAAATCTAGGTGGAACGTGTAGAGAGTTATCAAGAAGTGAGATATAATCCTTTGTCTTTGGCTCTTTCAGCTGATTTCGCGGCTAGAAGTGCGCGATACCGACCACTTAGCCATTGACTGCTGATCACCCGTGATAATAAACTTGTCTCGAATGTCTGATACTTGCAAATATCAAAACCTTAGAGCAAAAGTCGCGCATACGATAAAGGAGGTAGTCTCGAGGACGTACCGCGTCTCGGTGCCGAAGCGAAATCCCAGGAACCTTTTTGCGTAATTTAATGCTTACTGCGGACCTAGGAATATCCACGCTAAACATTTTCAAGGACTTATTAATAAATGAAAAATGATCCGCGTTCTATTAAAGGCGTGTCATTGCCTTGGCATTGAATCTTTAGCCGATGTACCGCCCGTCGTAAACGACGATAACTTCCATCTGGTAACCGATCGGGGATGCGATCCAGATATCGCGAGTCGGATCGATGCACGTAATCGCTTGCGGGACCATCCCGGGGGACTCGATAATCGCTAATTGCCCTTGATCTCCGAATCGCGTAACGCGCGATTAAGAACGCGGGAAACCGAAGATTTCCACTGGAGGGATATTTCTCGGCAGGGTGATTAAAAAAGGAACGGTATCGCGAGCTCGAAGATAATGGACAACGGGCCCGTCCTCTGTGTGCATCTTGTCGATAAAATCCGGGAATTAACATTCGCCCGGCTGTGTTAACAAGAAGATTGCCCGCTCGTCCGTATCGCCGGCGATACATCCGCGAATATATCGGGAAACGACGGATGCTCCCGGAAACCGATGGATTCATTTTTAATGGCATTAATCCAGGCTCGAGTCCAATTAAGGACGTTTAAATCTCCTCCAGTCCATCGGGTCATCGACTGGCTCGATAAGGCCCGATAAACCGCGGCAGGATTGGCGTACGTCGACCTGGATGTTTTATCTGGGTCTTAATTCGAGTACCTTTATTATTTTATTAACCTTAGCGACGCGGCCCGTAAATCACGCTCGATTATCGGTTAAAATCCGCTGGAGCGACGCGTTATCGCCTCCGAGTTATAAGATGTTACGTTCCCTCTTTACCACTTCCAGATAGCAAATACTGGAATTCGAGTCGTTTCGCCGAGTGGGCGCTCCGCCACCTTTGTTCGCTTTTCTTCCGAATTCACTGAATATTTTTCTCAAAGCTCCGTTTCGACTGGCAAGAAATCTCGACGATCGCTACGTGAATCCTTTCCACCTTGATTCGGATTAGGCAATCCGGGGTTACTTTTGCAGCGATGCATTAAATCGTCCACGCTTTCCTTTATGACAAAACCAGCCACTTTCGACGTTTCTCCATCGCCTGCTTGCGGGCCCGACTCTTCGAGTTCACTTTGAATGATTTCACAGAAAATTCGCTTTGATATAACGTCCACGCTCTCTTGCTGCTCGGACAATGCTCGGAGCGATTGAAACCGCGTTTTTAACCTCATTGAATCGGAATTATTAATAATTGGCATATCGCAGAAACTGTCGGTGGAAGGTTTCGAAGCAAGTCGGAGCAACGAATCTATCGGCAGAAACGAGCGCGCGTGTGCATATCTATTTATCGTGTAACATACGAAAGACATGCGTCAAAGACTTGACCGTTCTGGAAATAAAGTTATCAATCGTATCCGCGGGTTCAATGCATTCCATGGCGAATCTCATTAATCGCAGGCTCTCTTGTCAGCGACTCACGACGTATCCGAAAAAAATTGTGGTAATGGCTCTGAAATCTTTTTTGCCCTTAATTTTAATCTTAGACCTGACAGGAACTACTCGAGGTTGAGCTAGACGCAAAAAGAATAAAATCGGGGTTTTTTAATCGACCTCTTAGAAACTTCCTTGAAAATGCTAGAATGTCCGTATGTCGGCATTGTCGGATTTTCCTGCTTCAACGATGCATAATGCAACGCGAATTTCTACGTTATCGTTGTCAGATGAAAATCGAACGATCCTACGCAATTCTTTTCCGCTTTAATAGTTTTCCTGGTTTTAAACCACAAGAATTTCGCTTCTACCATGGTCGGGCGTTAACTCGTTGCGATGCAACGTCGTTTATAAAGAAGTTTCATTTTTTAGTCGATCCTTGAAGCGGACGCCATCGACAAGAGCTACCACGGTGCATCCTGAATGCAATTTACGGTGGCTCTGCAATTGTGCACATTACCTCGGCAGCATTGAGCTCAGGGTACGTACGTAATTTCAAATTATTTTTATTTACTCGGAGTATTCCGAAATAGATGCCATCAATTTATTTCATCGCTTCGTCTTATCTCTAATTCAATGCAATATTCCCCGATTACTTGTTCGAGTAATATTTTTCATAAAGAGACGTTATCGCGATTCTCCTCAGAAATTCCGCGCTTTATCAAATAAACAAGAGCATGATAAAACAAACGTGCAATCACGGAAGGGGCTTCGAAATTTCTCATGAAAATCAAAATTCCCTGAAATGTAATAATAACCTTCGAATTTGTTTGTTTAGAGAATATCGTACAATCGTTTTGCGTCACTGATCGCAATTAACGGGACTTTGCACAAGGAGAGATTCCAATCTTGAGCAACGATGCCGTCCGACGAAAAGAGTGGTATTATCGGCAAAACGGATAAGAACACGGAAGACAACAAACTAGACATAATGGTTGACCACCTTGGTGCGGAAAATGGCATTGTCAAGAAGGTAGCAGGTAATACAATAGACAATTGTATCGCATTATTCGAAGAGTAGGTAACGCTAAACCAGACGCCACTCCGTTCCACGTTAATTATTGTCTTCTAGTTCCTCTCGGTCCCGCGTAAGGGGAAATGAAATAACCGTGTCAAACCGTTCTCCGTACCGTAAAAACCCAGAAATGACATAATTACCGAATGGGGACGATCTAGTTTAAGAATCTGCAAATGAGGTATTCAGCTAATGGTAGTAACCGGTATGTACGTACCGGTATGTGCGAGCATTATTCACATGCAGTGCACGTCTAGCAGTAAATATCCTATATCGCGATACTTAAGGAAAAAAATACTATTCCGCGGATACGGTGTTTACGAAGGTCGAATGATTATTATCACTTTCTGGCGATACTCCACGAAGAATTACAATTTTTATCGAGGTACTCAAAAGCATTTGCGACAGAGATAATTAGAACACCGTTGGCCATCTATGCACTCTCCGGGAGCTTATCTTTGTTATTTTTTAAACCGTTCAGATATAGGAAAAATTGGAAGCAGTTCATAGGATGCGGTTCAGAAAATCCCGATGAACATTTATGTTAAAAACGGTGTCCTTAGCTGGCTTGAAAGTCCCCCCTGGATTGGGATCCAAGAAGGATGCCGCGGGAGGTGACAATGGAGGATCGCTGTCAAGTGGCAGCTCGATAGTGACGATTTCCTCGGTTGCCAATTCCGACCCGGATCCACATTTTTCACACCATAATCATGGTCCCGAGGGAAGAAACATCGCCGACGAGAAGTGGTACCAAACCCTGATTCAAGTAGCCGTGCCGTTTTTCATTGCTGGAATCGGTACCATAGGAGCCGGCCTCGTCTTGGCACAAGTCCAGGCAAGTAACGCAACGAAAATAATTTTAACGCGAAAAAAAAGTCATTTACGAAACAACGTTAATTTTTACTTTACGATCGATGGGGCGAGGGGTAAGAATCGTTTCTTCGGGATGTAAGTCCGGCGAGCTCGATTGACGAAAAATAGTCGGAATGCCGGAAGCGAACAGGGCATCGAACTAATTTAATTTGCGTCATTTGGAGAAAATCCCACGATAAAGTGTCACGGTTAGATATGAAAGTGTAATATATCGCGAGTCGCACCGACAATGAGGTTGTATAATTGAAACGATGTGGGGCAAGAAAATAAGGGAAATCCCTCCGTTACAGATACCGTGACATGTCCTCGATACAAACGTAACCAATCGAGAACCGATAATATCGGTATCGGCAAGAACGTGTATCGATTTGGTCGCGATATCTCTCGGTAGAAATTTTTATCTGTCTCCGCTTTTCTATTGAGGCTCCGATCAAGGGAGCTTCCAAAGAAAAAATATACTCGACATTCTGCTGGATCTAATTCCCTCGATAAATCATACTCTTCGCGATAAAATCTGAAAGGAACTCGGCGACGGAAATTGAAGTCGAACTTTTAACGTTTGCAGAGCTGGCCAGTTTTTGTCACCGTTTCCCAGATTTTCATTCTGGTACCGTCTCTTCTGGGCCTGAAGGGCAACCTGGACATGTGCCTCGCGTCGAGACTCTGCACTCAGGCAAATCTGGGAAACATGAGCGGCTGTCGCGAGATCGTCAAGATGATCATAGGGAACGTGGCACTCGTTCAAGTACAGGCGATCGTTGCCGCCATCATCGTGTCGCTTTTTGCAATGTCCGTTGGAGCAATCATGAACGGTGTCTTCGTGTGGGAGCACGCCGTCCTCTTGATGACATCCAGCGTGTGCACTGCAACCAGTTCGTGCTTTGTCCTAGGTAAAGTTACCATTTCGTTCACGATGACGATCGTCGCTACAGGAATCGTTGACGGTGTATAGCGTTTCATCTCCGGAAAAGGACACCATAGCCATGAGGTTTGCGTAACGTCGATCGACCTTTTTCCTTGGTGCGACGAGCGGAGGCGAATCGGTGCAAGAAACTCGAGTGGATTATTCCTTTAACGCATAGTTTTTCTCCTTTCCCGTAGATTTCGTAATGATCGCAGTGATCATGATAGCGTATCGATGCAACATGAATCCGGATAACCTGGCCACGCCACTCGCAGCCTCCGTGGGCGACGTGGTGTCCATCAGCGTCTTGTCGACCGTAGCCTCGGCTCTCTTCCAAAGGTTGGAATCTCAAATCTGGATTCTATACGTCATCCTCGGATGCTACTTTGTCCTCCTCCCGATATGGATTTACGTGGTATCGAAGAACAAGTACACGAGAAACGTCTTGACGTCTGGATGGACTCCGGTATTGTCGGCGCTCTTCATAAGCGGGTAAGGTTGGCTCTGGTCATCGTTTTCCCTTTTCTTTTTTTTTTTATTTCAACCGTATCATTTTTTCCCGACCTCGAAATGACGAGGTTTCAGGTACTCAGGTACGAAAGCTGAGAAAATTGTCATTTGATATTTCGCGTAATAGGATACTTTTGTAATTGCGCTTTGTCTTTCGTTTCAGACTCGGCGGCTTAATCCTAGACCAAGCCGTAAACGTGTACGATGGATTCGTAATATTCCAGCCCATTATCAACGGCATTGGGGGGAATCTGGTATCCGTCCAGGCATCGAGAATCTCTACAATGTTACATCAAACATCCCTCATGGGTATCCTGCCTCCGTATACGAAGATTTGGGTCTCACCCTGGAAAGCTCTTTTCAAAGGAGGTAACTCATTCGTTTCTTTCTTTTTCTTTCGTAAATGAGGAATATTTCGACTAACAATGAGTCCTGACTTGGCTGTGCATATTTCAGTACCATACGCAAAAACTGCCAGACTGCTCATTGGTATGGCCATTCCCGGCCACCTGGCCTTCGTGTTTGCCGCGGATTACATAAAATGGAATTACTCCACGTTACACGTGTATTTTGTCGCGTCTTACATCTTGGTAGCAGTTTTACAGGTAATACTTCAACTATTGCACGAATCGATGAATCGGAAACGAGCAATTGTCTCGATTTAATTTTATAGAATACTTTAATTGAACGGTGTTTAAAATGTATTATTAATTTCAGGTCATGCTGCTGCTGTATGTCGCCCATATCATAATTCACGCGATGTGGCGGTTCAAAATAGATCCGGACAATTCTGCAATTCCATATTTGACAGCGTTGGGCGATCTCAGCGGTTCTCTGTTCCTAGCCGGAGCATTTTGGTTCCTTTATACTATAAAACAACCGTACGGTGATTATTGAATGCGAGTCACGAGCATTGAAACGGCTTGTGATTGCTCAAGTTGAATAGAAATGTAGATGATTTTTATTTATTAATCATCGACCACCTTCGACGTTCCAGTGGACGCTCGGAGATAGAAAAAATCATTCGAGTCGCGGGCCCGTGTTTTCTTCGCGTTTTTAAACCGTCTTCATCCGATGGTGAAAAACGTGAAAGAAAAATTCGGATAAAGAGATTTTAAGAATACTTTGAAAGTACGGGCGAAGGGGAGGATTGAAGTGAAACGTCAAAAGATCGACTTTTACAGTCGCTAGCAAATAGTCTTGGCTAGGAATAAGTCAATTATTAACTCGGATAAGAGTTTCTCATCGAGCTGAGCGCAGACGCGTTTCTTTTCTTTTTTTTTTAAGATTACTGTAAAGTAAAGTAGATACGTAATCTGCAGATTTTACAAAACAGAATCATACTTGTAGCGATATTCAATTTACACTTTTTATAAGTTGTAGCGAAGCAAAATATCAAGATCATTTGTTGGTACGATGCACAGTATTATATAAACACTAAGTTTTTTTTACCTCAGAGCTTTTAGCATCCCTGTACATAACTCAAGTTCCAAATTTTGAAAACCGGCGGGCAACTAGTAATAGACTAAGTAAAACATGAAACTATACTTTTAATTAGATGTACTGCTTGGTACCAAACATATGTATTTTTATGGCGCATTTTATTAGTTTGACTACGCTGCTTGTAATGGATTTCTAAATTTTCCGCGTTTAAGAAAATTTATATTACACATGATAGCATTATGGCAGGAACATGCCCCACCCCGGATGCCACTTTCTAGTCACAGAAAATCAATCCTGCGTGCGCATCAAATACCGGTACTAGAGAAAAAATGCCCCAAGGCAGCTCGCAACATATACAATTATATCAATCGGATTTTCTAAGTTTCGGAAGTTAGTAGGAACAATAGATTTATACAAAACGTGTCCTCTTTGACTATAAAACATACGTGATATGCGTTCCCATCGTATAACGTAGCAACTACCGAACATCTGTCCAATGTCGAAAGGTAGCAATAAAGTACATGCAGATGTATTACTTCATAATTCTTCTGTGCCTTACTTAAAAAATTCAAACGCATACAAATGTTTACATAAAACACGAAAACGAGAAGGAACTTCAATTTTTAAATCTCGTTCCGTAAATTAACAAACGAACGACGGAGGATGCGAGAAGCGTATGACGCTCAATAAAAAGGGCTTAATTTTAAGATGCACTTTTATTTGCTCTCACAAAGCTTTTGCGTAATTCATATTGATCATGAGCGAAGCTTGCGTGATCGATTTTACGCGTAGTTTACTTGACGTGGCAATTCGATCGTAATTGTGTCATGCAGGTCGAATAATTGGCTATCATACAACAATACTGATGATAAACGTCCGTAACTTTCGCTTTTGTTTAATATATTACATCGTAATGTACATGCGCTGTGTCCAAGAGTTTTATTACATTGTCCCGCGTATATCGCCGTTATCGGTATAAAGTACTCGTACGAGTACACAATTCTACTATACATTGCGCGCCCTCAAATCAATCTACGTGCGATGAACGAACTCCCTGGAGCTATTTATACAGTAAACGATCGACATATCGTCACAACGAATAGATCATTATTTACACACTCCACAAAACTCGAATCGACAAAAATGTGCACTAAATGACGAGGTACTTTAAGGTTGTACGTGAATCTGGGGAAATCGCGATGAAACGGTTGGACAAAGTTTGCGACATCGTAAGGTATTTTTTTAGTTTTCCTTTTTTATACATATTTATTTTATATTAACGCGTAACGTACGGCAAAAGGGTTCGACTAAGAAGTTCCTGTATTGCCTGAGAACAGTAGGAGAGTGCGAGAACGCTGTCTCTACTTCTTACTTTTACTTTCTTAATGACTTCATTATTTAACTAATGTAATTAATGGAACTATTTAAACGTACGACTCTGCTTAAAGGTATCGCACTCTGGGAATAAATGCGCGATTAGAAAACTAGCCAGTCGATATAAAACAAATGCACGTACGCAATGAATCGGAGGAACCTCGGTTATTTTCTCGACAAAAAAGGTATGATTTGTCGTTGAGTCTTATTGTATTTGTTAATTAGATATTCCAGACCACTCTGTCGACTTGTAAGCGCAACTTTGGCAGAACATCCTCCTATAATACGTACTTGTGAATGTTACGATCGAGTTATCAAGCTGAATATCCTCAAGGATTATCAAGTTACAGGAGAACGCGTGGAATTCAGATTTCATGGAAGATCACAATGTCGAGATGGAGAACTAGCGTGACAAACGCGTAAGTTGATTAGAATAAGAATACTCGAACCGAAGCACATAAATATACTCGAAGAGTTTTCACGATGAACGAAAGAAAAACGAGCATCGTGGGTCAGTGGCGGAGGTGGAGTAAAAATTAAACGAATTACAAATAAATATAAAAAATATATTTAAATTAAATGCCACAAACGATTTCTTAACGTTAGTAAGATTTCGCTTCAGCCTCCCGCACCGTCGGGGAAACTGTCGCCAAAGATTTCTGGCAACCGAAGCGACATCGAACTCAAAGCGAGATCGTAAAAACGTCCTCGATTTTAGACTGTATAATAATCTGAGGTATAGAAGGGTGATATATATGTAGAAATAATAGCCTAATCTCACGCAAGTCGTTATAAATTTTCACTCCTACGTGCAGTGGGCGTCATTAGGTATTAGCCCATGAGGATTGCAAACCCTAAGAGATTTCGGAGCAGCCAGAGGACGTACAAAAATTTGGCCACCGGTAATAATCCAAATTTCCCGTTTTTTCTCATTCTAACATTTTCCACAATTGCAACCCCCCGTTAATCTTTCGACGGACTTCACGCCGCCGTAAACGGAACCGAAATCGTTGAATGTACAAAAAAAAATACAATTCAGACATTAATCGGCACGTGCACAACGTACAAGGTACTTCGTAATACGTCAGCAGCTGCATGCATTTCTATTTACATAATACGCTATCGTACGACTCGATTAATCCATTGCTCCCTAAGCCAATATCGGTTTCGCGATTTGTATATATTTCGAGTCATACGTAATTCATTTCTGTCCCTAGCAATGACGATCGACGAAACCCTCTCAGGCCCGGTCAATGACGTCGGTGAGGTATAATTACTTCCTTAATATTCATAAGCTGGGGGTATCGATAATCGCGTTAAATAAACTGGGCTTCATTTTATTACTCTAGCATTGATCATACTCTCAAGAGAGACCTTTCGACCCTTTGGCCTGAAAGGGTTAAGCCGTACATGATCCGTAGCTACAATTTTTCTTTGAGTTTACTGGAGACTTTTAAGTAGAACAAGCCGCGTGAGGGATGCATCCTGAAACTTGCCGGCGCTTGAAAATTTGTAATGAGAGTTTCTCTAGCTAAACGGTCTATTTATTACTTCGACCTCGCCAGATACCACGTCCAATCAAATACTCACATCGGATAAACGGTCCCACTTTCATCGAAAATCATTTCCTCAAAACCAAAGGAACATTTCGATCCAGAGAAATAAAAGAAAATATTTCTTATCGGCGTGACGGAAGAATACCGTTCGCGCCACGAAAGAGCTACAGGGCTTTCGCGAATTTAATTCAGAATGTCAAAAAAGATAATTTATTTATCGGATGTAAGTAGTTGATTATCCTCGGTATATCGAGACGGTACCCCCGCCGAGTCGGTACAATCGTTTCCTCGGCCCCCTTGATTTTTTCCATTGCCTAGAATTCCCTAGAATTCAAGGACTCTCTCAAATCCGGCCGCTGCGTCGAGATCCTAAACTCGCGACGTGGAAAGAATATCACGCGACGCGCGGTCGATGAGTCGATTTCTATCCACGCGGAATCGATCGTTCGATCTCTTAACGAGATCGTATTTACAGTTAGGTCCTCGCCGGAAGGACGTTGAAGCGTTTCTTGAACGGAACTCGAGGATTCCGTAATATACCGTGACGGTACGTCACGATCCGTCATTTAAGAGGAACCTACGTACGCCTGTCCTCGTGTCGGACATACAATGTACAATTACCTAAATTATTACAGGCTAAATATCACAATCTAGAATAAGAAGTTAATCGCGCAGCCCTCGGCGCGATGCCGATTACATCCATGGAATATCGTTTATGTATATTTATATATGTACACGCAACCGCGAAGTGGACACAACGAAGGTGTTCGAAACGCTCCCTGTTTTGCATACAAGATACATACAAATTACATATATATTCGCGTACAATCGACACTTGCGTCTAGCCGCGCGTTGACTCGCATACGCGATCGCACGAGAAGCGATTCGACGTTTCCAGTGGCACGACCGAAGTCGTTCGTCCTCTTTTCGGTAGCGCTAGTTTATATCATTTACACGTACGTGTGTTAGCGCGCGTCCATAGCAGTCTTGGATAGAATTTGATTAACGCGGTATATTAAAATACCCGAAGCGAGAGCTTACGTTTTACGGTAAATGTAAGTCGTTCGGCGTAATAATCTAGAGGCTTCCGTTGGACTTGACTCGGCATTTTGGCATTTCCCCGGGCGAGCTCCCGAAATCGAGAGATCTCCGAACCGATGCAAAATGTAAAGGGAAACGCAACAAGGATCGCCGAATAGTCGGGACGAGAGTCGATTATTAAATTGCTACGCGGTGATCCGCTTAACGTCGTTTCTAACTTTAAAGTTCTCCTAGGAAGTTTCATCGATCACCGTGTAGCAACATCCAAATAGTTTGCCAACACCGAGGACAGATAGTTTCTCGACGTTCGTCGTATTCGTTAACGTTTCTTAGAGGGCGACACGTCGTTTGGCACGCAAATTAAGTGATCGCGAATCTTTTCACAATTCACGGCCTACGTCGGCAAACACGGTGGCGCGTTGCCAGTCGCGGAAATGGTACGGACGAACGTTAGAAAAAAAAGAAAAAAAAATCTATCATCTCGTCCCGTCTCAGCGTTTCCGCAAACTGTCTATATATTAAACCCGTACTCGTTCGCAGCTTCGACGAGTGAAGAGCCTTCGGAAGTTTCTCAATTAAATAACAATAATTTATGCTAGATTCACCCACCGCCTCCGCGCACGGTCCGAGGAAACTAAGAGATCGTCAACGATAAAAAAGAAAAATATACGCGCTCCTAACGAATCGAGGAAAGACTAAGAAGAAGAGGGAGCAGAAAAGACACGATTATCGGCGGCACGATCAGCCCCTACGATACAAAATACTATTTACAAGGAGCCGGTGCTTTTTTCGTTCCTCGAGGAAACGACCCCAGCCGACAACGAGGTTATTAAGAATTAACATTCTCACGACAGACGTCCCATCGGAACGATCCTTCGACCAAACGCGATCGAGGGTTCTCGCAAGGAGACATCGCGTCAATCGGGTCAGGGATTTTCTTTGTCTGGTTTACCCAAGAGGAGTATTCGATACGTTTAGATACCTAAAAAATTGTTAATGTCAACTCGGAAAACAAAATCCACCCGAACGAATGCTCGGGTACGCGTCTGCTAGTTTCGTCTCTAGGTCAACCTGCCAAAGCTCGTCAAAATCTCCAACCCGATTGACGCGACCTCTCCTTGCCAGGTGTAAGGAGAAGTGCGCGATTAACGGCAAGCGACTCGGCTGAGTTTCACGCCGAATGCATAATTCACGAACGCATTCACGGATCGGAGCGTTCGAGGATGATCTCTGATCTCGCTGGTTCGTCGATCCCTCGGTTTGCGAGTAAACCAACCGCGACGCAAACTCAGGTGGTAATAAAAGATCACCCTCGGCCCTCTTCTAAGCTCAGCATGGTAAGCGTGAAAGCTCCCGAGGGTATTTTTACGCGAAACCTCGGTCACATATGCCGGGTCGTCTAAATTCATACGCATAATTGGGTCCGGGCTAGCCAGAACGTTATCACGCGGACAGACGCCAGGTTTGCTCGTTCGGGAACGAGCGCGAACCTTTTTCCTCTTTTTCTTCTTTCCCGGAAAACTTATTATAATCTGTTCCGCTGAACAGGTATGATCGCGATATTGCTTTTCGCAAGTATTTCGCACTTCCGTTTTGCCGTAGCCGAGTTTTCCTAACCAACGGGCAACGCGAATGTAAAGACGCCTTCGCATCAGCAACCGCGACGCGGTCTCGACGGTGCAGCGGGGAGTGGCGGAATGTAATATTTTTTCTTCGTAAATTTTCCTAGTTTACCGTGAGTAAAGGGTCGCCGTTTAAAAAAAAACAAAGTTCGGATCGTTCGTGCAAAATATTCCGCGGCTTGGGAACGCGACTCGAGCCAATTGATCCGAATATTAAAATTCTTCGCCTACGTACGCGCGTAGGATATAAAATGTCGCAAGAATGCCTAGGAACGGTTTAATCGCAATCCTTTGTCGCATGCTCTAACTTAACGTATGGATGCTGGCCATTGTGAAAATATAAAAACAAAAAAGTTCGGGCGGAAATGGAGCATAAATCCACGAGCCGAGTCGGATAAAAGTTAAAAGATTTAAAAAAAAAGACAAATAACGATAAATACGTAAGTGACCTCTGTGAGGGTCTCGTGTAAGTAATTTCGCGGAAAGGTGAGGCATTTTCATCTCGGCCGATATTCCGTGGTACCTTGCAACGGAGAATAAAATTTTCCAATTATAGTATTCGATAAACGTTTTTCTAATCGTCTTGTAGTTTTTTTTAATTTTGTCCTTTTAACGGAAAAATTCGGACACGGCTCCCCTGGAAATTCTCAGGGAACTCGGAATCGTGCCACGCTGCAGGGGGTACCACAGAGCCATCCGTTTTGGAAAATACCTCCGCCAAGATGCGCGAGCTTGCCGACTCCCCAGTTCCTGATGCGAAGAGCACACAGCCAACCGGCGGGCAGAAGAGCTTCGCGATGGCGCGGGCAGAGGTCGCGCGAAACCGACATAAATCCCTTCTCGACGGGCTTAAGACGCGGCGGGCGGAAAACGTAAAAGAGAGTCGGATGACGAACGCTCGTTTTGCGCAGCCTTTAGCCCGGAGTGGGAGGGATCTTATGTCAGTGAATATTAAAGTTGTACTGCTTACGGCTAGAGGTGATGCGCAGCCACCGGCTGACGGCGAGCGGCTCGGGGTGGCAGTTGGACCAGGAGATGTCGCCGAAGTGCGAATAGGGCGTGGAGGTGGTGGTGGCCTCGACCTGGATTGCCGTGGGGAACTCCTGCTGGAACTCGTGCTTGCTTCGCTTCGGCCGACCCACGGGGCTGGCGTGGCCGATGTGACTGTTGTTGATGCGTTTACCGTTGGCCAGCTGGCTGTTCGCGTGGTCCAGCTGGTCGACCGGGTCGAACATGCCGAGGCTCGGCATGGACGCCTGCGCCTGGTAGGTACGCGCGGTCGGCGACTGGGCCACGTGGTTCGCTCTCGGTATCTGCGCGACCACCTGGGACTTGTTCTCCTTGTAGAGCGACGCCGGCGAGTAGAGCGCGATCGGTTCGGCCTCCACGTCGGCGGGCGTCTCTCCCTCGAGCGCCGTCGCAACGGGCTGGCTAGCCGGCACCGGCGTCGGGACGACCGGCACCCCCGGCGAGGCGGCGGCAGGTATCAGGGTGGCCACCTGCGCCTCCTCGCTGTTCGTCGGGATCGGCGACAGGGACGGCAGGACCACCGAGATCGGGGCCATAAGGGAACTCGACGCGCTCGCCGAGTTCGCTAACGATGACTCCAGACTCAGCTCTTCGTTCGCGAAGTCCTCCTCCAGTTTGGTCTAAAATGCAAAGTGGATTTTCGGCCCTTGTTGAGACGGAACGTTTGCCGGGATAAGCGTAAGAACGCAAAGTAAACCATGCCTTACAGGTTTAGTGGAGCCATGCGGGGCCAGATACCGATAAAGCAAATCAACAGCCTGTAATAACAAAAACAAAAACAAGTATCAACCGACACCCTTTTGCTTTACGGAGTATCCTCGATGGAGTGGTCTCTCGGAAATGAACCGGTACCCGAGACTCACTCCTTTAAGGGTACACAAAAACGGAATATTCTACATTTTTAAAAGATTTCTTCTTCCCTTCCCGTTCGAGAGATTTTCTACTCGAGAATATCAATATCAGACGCTGTCGGCGTTTTTGGGCGACGCAAACAGGATCAGGGGCTAAATGTTTAACCATGTCTGCGCCATTTGAGTGTCTCCTCTATTTCGATTAGACTCGTAACTGACGTTAGCTAAATATTCCTGACCAATGTTGTAATCGAATGTACTTGGCAGGCTCTCGTCTGCAGCCCCAAGAAATTAACGACCCACCTCCTTAACTTGACATTAGTGCGGCACGGGAACCACCGGGAACGATAACGCGATAACTTTTGAAGAGAGCAATTGGACGATCGAGCGTTTACTGTACCCATCGACCGCGGTAATGCAAGGTTAACAAAGGTGGACTAGAAACGAACGAGAAAATATTAAAGTGACGGTAACGACCGTCGAAAAATAAAGGAGGCGTTACCTTTGGCAGTGGGTAGGTGTCCGGCAGCGAGAGTACGGGCGGCGAGCTCGGCACTTCGGCCTCACTGTTCGAGACGGGAGTGTTGGGGGCGATTAGGTTCAGGTTGGAGGATACGGTGACCGTGCCGGTTACGGTAACCTTCGTCGGACGGTTTGGGAGCTCCTTGGCAGCCCGGTGTTCCGCGAGGAGCTTGTCGAAGCTTTTGCTTCTACCCGAGACGGTCCGACGCAGGGAAACCGTGTGAGCCTTGCACGTGAGGGAGCGCGTGCAAGGCTTCCCGGTTTCTTCGTTCCAGACTCCGCAATGACGATCCGGGTCGTATTCCCGATCCTTCAGGAGCGAGCGATCGGTTTTGAGCCTCTTTCGCCGAGGTTGGCCGCTCGATCCTGGACTTTTTACCGGACTCGAGGAAACGACCGTTGTACTGTTCGTGGATTGCACCGGGATCGGTTCCAAGGGCGAATGTGGCGAGGATAAGGACAGTATCGGCTGCAAGTTCGCCTGGTCGGTTGTTCTTTTGATGGCTGTGTTGTTGACCTTGCTGGTCGAAGGAAGGATCGGCATCGACGTCGTCTTTTTCAGCTTGGAGACCTTGCAGTATGGCGTTTTTACGGGTGGTTTAACTACGGGATTCTGCGGTGGTGGGAGATTCACCGTTCCAGAGGGATGTCGACTTTCTGTAGAGAGAACCAATTTTCATCGTTAATCAATTCTGACATGTTACAAAATACTTTCATATTTTAAATCTAAAAATATTTAAAAACTTACCCATATGCTGAATTAGGGCTTGCGGTTTGACTATGAAATTACATATTTCGCAGACAACTCCATAAAACATATCTCGTTCGGGACAAAATCCATAAAGGTCAATATCTGAAAATTAATGGTATGGCATCTTTCACAAACGTTAATATGAACTATTGGAATAAAGGTTTTAGTCGTTTTATAATAAGATCGATTTGACACAAATTTATTTTTAATTCATTCTTTTCCTCGATGTTCTCATAAAAAAAATCGAATCAATGTATTTTTATATCGTATAATGATTAAATAATTTTACCATCAGCCGACAATCTTGTAACCGAGCTCGATGGTTCCGCTTCCGTTTCTTCATCGCCTGTAAAATAAAACGATAAGACAATTTATTAGTTTGACTTCACAAATTAAAAGGAATAACATAGAATGCACGGCTAAAGAGTTTTTAAAATAAATTTTATTGAAACAAGGACGACACCTCGTGCTTAGTTCCTCCTGTTACCGGATCCCAAGCCGATATTACTATATCGTCATAATTTCAATAACGGTAACGTCGTACTTAATATAAACAATTTAAAAATTCCTTGAGCGATTTACTATTTTTTCTAACATCTCTTGTATTCAAGATCGACGGAATGAAAATTTTGCCAATATAAATTTCGATTAAAAATAATATGCGAAATATTGGTTACAGGATAGCTCGATACAACGAAATTTGTATCATCTATGAGTCTTTGAAGTTATTTCTCCTTTCTTTGTTACCAAAATATCGACAATCTACAAAATAAATCTCAATGCATCTTTGTGATTTCTCCTCGATCGCCTCCAAGTTTTTCTTTCTAAAATACATAAAATACGCGAGATAACAACATTCGCCGATCCTTGGGATCGAGAACGTCACGCAGTCTGGGAGCCTGTGAGAGGAGACAAAGAAGTCAGTTTGCAGGTTAGGTCGATTCGGGACGCCTAGGTCGACGCGTGCGGATTGCGAGCGACACGTGACCCGGGGCCGAGTGACTTAGAGAGGTAGCGGACTTACTGAGAGGTTTGTCACGGCCAATCCTTTCGATCCAGCTCGACCACGGCTGGCCGTGAAAAAATGTTGGGCTGTCACTTCCCGACATCGCCAGGCGCTCGGAGTGGGCCTCGTGTGAATCGGTGTGAATGAATGGCGTGTAGCAGGCGCTCGCGCGCCACAACGACGCGTGTGTCGCGTCCGTGTTCGCTCCGCGCTCGTGCTCCACCGGGTCGCTGCGAGGGGCGCGGGGCGGGGCGAGTCCGGACCACGAGGAGTTCACTCCGGCCTCTGGCGTCCTCCTCCGATCAGGAGGGTCTCTTTTCACTCCATCATTTGCTCGCCGCTGGACGGGTCTTGCGGAGACCGGTGGACGGAGAAGCGTTCTCCGTTTCCTCAGCTCGAGTCGCGGGCCAACACGCTCGCTTCGGAATAAGGTCGGGCGTCGCGACGCATCTCTGACCAACCCTTGGGCGAACCGAAGCCAAGCCAGACACGGTCGGACCTCCTCTTCCCTGGCCGAGGCTGCGCGAGAGTGTGAGTGAACGCGCAGCCACGCGCGTCCTTGCCGAGTTCGCGTCGAGCGAAGGGAGGACTCGCGCGCTCGAGGACGATTACCCCCGATCGGCGCGCCGCCTGGCGGCCCGTCGGCGAAAATCATCCACGATGTCCCGACTAGTTACTTCGATTGATTTCTCTCCTCTTTAGAACTTTTCGGATATTCTTTTCAACTCTGTGACGATTTATTTGGATATACTGTATTATGATTAATTATTGTTTCAGGGAACTCGCGCGAGGGTTCACTGTCTTTGCGACCTGATTGGTAGTTACGCTTTTCGCCCCGGCCAATTACGATTTCTCCCGGTTTCTACCAATCAAAGTTATCGCTATTGTTGGATGGGTGCTGAACATACTACACCTATTAAAAGACGCCTTGTGCTCATCTTTCGGATTTCCAGTTGAATTTAAAATCCAGGTAGGCAGCAGAATATTATATTAGAGTTTTAATGTTCACCCGGAACGTTAAATTCACCCCTTTGTCGATAAATAATACATGTATAAATATTCACAATAAGTAAAAACGGACATTAAGTACGCAATCATCGTAAAACTATACCCTGCGTAGTGTTTCGTCCACTTTGAGTATTATTATGAACAGGCGAGACGCAAACTTTAGCGTGTATCCGATTTTCCATTTAAAAATTAGAATTAAAATTCAATCGCTTATCACGTTATATCCTTTCGAATAGAGGACCTCGGATTTAATAATAGATCGGTGTTCCACGAGGTCTATATAAAAAATATCTTCTGTCCAAATTGTCTCCGTTATCAAAACGTGAGTTTGTTTTAGATTTTTCCACTTCGCTGGGAACCTGATATGTAGGCTGTAACTCAGGATTCCTCTTGTCGGTATCTATTTCGTTAAAACGATTTCTGGACAAATCCTGAAAGTTTAAAACACGTATTACATAATAGTATTAGACAAATTACGAAGCATTTGACTGTCACGTCTTTTGTATTTAATATTATAAAATTTTTCTAAAAATCGAATACATGGTTGCAGAATTTACTGGTAAGTATATTCTGCCACTAAGAGTATTGAATTTCTTATAGTTATTTGCTACGTACATTTATTGGCGACGCTGTTGTAGTTGTAAATCTAGGATGAACACCGGGATATCTTCCAATTCCTGCATAAAATGGTCGCTGGGACTCTCCGAGAACGAAGAGCATGGATATAAGAACGATATACTTCATCTGAAAAAAAAGGACTTAATCCTTTCTTTTCCACTTTCCATTGTCTTTAATACGTTTCCGTTTCACTAATATTCTTTCGAATTTTAGAAAATATGTAACTATAAGCTTGGTAAACTCACCATGATGTTCTGTAGACGATTAGTTGTATATTTTTTCCGTAGCAGGTATTATACTTCGAAAAAGTGCCTGGCTGAAAATTGTTCACGAATGCCCATTCCCAAATGCGATTGCCTATATAGTCCCGTTTTGCTTTCTTCCCCCACCAAAATGTTTAATATTCTAACAATAGTGGGAAGTACACACAGCGAGTTTACGCAAATAATGAATGTGGTTTCATAGATTGCCACCGAAATCAATTGATAAGAGAGAATAATACTCCGTGGAAGGTACATTTTGGGGATGTGGAGGAATGCCTTAAATCAACTCGGAGAATAAATAAAGCGGTTAATAAATGTTTTCGCATATTCATTTTACGAATAATTACGCATGTAAATAATGCAGGGCATGTGCACTGGGTACAACGCACGAGTGTGCTTAAATTGAGATGATACGATTCTTTGTTCTGTTAGATGAATCCTTTTTTTAATCTTTTTCTGTATTTAAATCAATACAGCAGGAATGTTTTTTCTATGCAATAATACACATGACTTGATACAACGTTTGACGCAATAATTGTGGAAATTATGGCTCGCGATAAGAAGTTTATAGGACGCTGATGTCACCACGTGTTTTTAACATATCTTGCAAATATTGATATGTGTATATATATAATGTGCACACGTGGATCTTAGTCATGATGAATAGATCACTTAGTAAAAACATGATTTGTCGTGATCCCGCGGTGTGTTAAATTTTAACTTTGTTATCATAAAAGACCATTATGGTTAGTTACGAAGTTGATTATTACCACTTTGTACGACGTAGTATTTCGCCACAACATTGAGCCAAGCAACTCACCCTAAGTTTTCTCAAGTGTTTCCATTCAACTCCACCGAATCAATAAGATAAGTCGGTATTAATTGTGATCTCTGTCCGGAAATTTATCGACAAGTAGATCCCAATGACTCCGCGCAATGATCACGAAATTGTATTTTTATTTGCACATAAGGAGTTTAAAGATCAGGCAAGATATACTTGAGGTTTTCACGTGGCGCTGAATTTCCCATTATATGAATTTCCACGCGAATTTTCCGCAGATCATGTTACGTAGCAAGCTCACGTCATCTCATTTATGACTTCAAACGAGTTCATTGAAGGAATCATTACTCTGATAGTAAAATTACGCTGTCGCTCAACTGGATAAACGTTACCTCTAGGTCATCCCTTGCAATGTCCGTGAATTTTCCCCAGAATATATATTTTTCGAATTTATTAACCATATCGTTCGATCGACAGCGTTTCCAAAAATTTCTAATTACAATTTATAAATCTACGATTATAGAGATTCAACATCCATACACGTTACTTTGAGGAAAATGTTAAAACAAAGGTAACACATGTTCTTTGCTAGAATGGTTATAAAAAATGAAAAAAAAAAGTGAAACGTATCGCAGACTTAAACAAATTAAACCTGAGATCGATGATCAATTATGCAATTGAATGGAATAGGATCAGGATCAAGGTTCGTACCCTATAACTCGTATAAAAGGAGCCCCAAGTGCAGAATTGAACATTACACTGTTCGAACTACGTGCAGCGAGATGTACTCCATTGTGTTGCCATTATTTCTCGGTTGGTAGACATTTTGTACGTTATAAATAATTACAATCTTCGAATCAAAAATCTGTGCACCCTGGTAATAAATAAATTAGTACGCGATATTTTCTTTCAGTTGGACGCATGCTAACGAATCAGAACGTTTTAAAATATGGTCCGGAGTACACGTATCAAGTGGACATCGGCATGGTCGCGGAAATGATACGAGGAGACACCCCGGAATACTTTGGCTCGAATTTGATCGCCAAATTAAAGTGCCGACCGAAAGGATCGGACTCTTTGAGTTGCCACACGCAGGACTCGAAAATGGCGGAAGTGAGCCCACGTGCTTTTGACATCTCCGAGACGTCGCGCACGTTGGGTGCTTCTTATTACAATTATCACATGAGTCACGAGCCATTCGAGGTCAAGTTCGACAATGCCGGGATCGAGAGCATCGTCGTGCAGAAGTCCATTTCGGCGTGGGACTTGGACATAATAAGACTGATAATCAATCAGTTGAATTTCGGTACGGATTTAAAGGGCAGGCCAAACGGGACCTTCTCCGCCATCGAGAACTTTACGATCGGCGAATGCGCCGTGGCTTTCAAAGTTGACCATCAGCGACTCAGTGCGCAAGATTTGCAAAAAGGCGCCAGCTTCGAGCTGGCAGTCCTGCCAAATTTTGACAAGTCGACCGGCACGTCTATCCAGCTGAAAAAATTCCGAGATTTGAGTAAATGCTTTCAACACGCCGAGTACCTCTTTGGGTTCTCTTCGACTTACGGGATCGTTCCCCACAGCGTTATCCACGAAATCGTAAGTGCACGAGGGAATTATTAAAACGACCCGCGATCGTAGGAATCCGATCGAACCCGATTTTTCATTCCAGACGTCTTCGGTGAGTAACGTCTTCGTCTCCAACCGAAGTTTTACTTCCGAGACCGTCAACGAGTTCGACGTCTTTGACGTGGTCCACAAGGAGAGAGGAAGACTTACGGATCGAGTGCGCCTTACGCTTCTGACCATGGAACCTGCAAAAGGGTCAACTCCGAGAATATTTGAACCCGTTCACGTGGGAGTGATCATGAACAGGCCCGTCAATTCTTCCGATTGCTGAGTTCGACGTCTTCACCGAGCGCAATGTCCTTCGATCGCTCGGCAATGTACGACTTTATAATATACGAATTTATTACCGTTATACTCGACCGACCGACTAGAAACGAAAAAGCAACGGGGTAATCGTTATCTATCCCGTTAGCAAAAACGTATGCTCACGGTACACCCACGAAAGTTTCTTTAAATAATTCCTTCGGGTTCGAGCACCGACCCGAGGACCGAGGCTCTCCTCCTCGTTTACAACGAATCGAGTCTCTCTCGATTCTTCCATCCATTTCTTAACTTACGAAGACGCTCAAGGCGTTCGCAGGAGATTTTGATTAAATTACGGGACCGTGACGCAAAGTTGGCCTCGTTGACCGATGTTGACGATATAAAAGGAGCGCAAGAGCGTAAAGAACGTTGTAAGTGGCGAACAACCGGCGGTACCGTCATGCAGTACCTTCTGGTGCCGTTCATTCTAGGTCAGTAGAGCACAAATCCAAACCATTATCTCATCCGTGCCATTGCCACGAGATCAATGTGCACTATTATCCCAAAATATATTTTTATCCCCGCTCATTTCCCTGAAATGTACCTCCCATCGCGGGGTCCCTTTTTTATGAATTACAAAATCGGGTCCCCATTATTCGAATTAGTTAAAGATGTAAGAAAAAGTGGGATGTCTGTTTTTAGCGAGTTCCATCAACGTGGACGAGAATCCTTGGAAGCATGGGCCAGAGTACACCTATGGGGTGCAGTTGAACATGGTGACGGGAATGAACGAGGGCCATCACGAGTACCTGGGCACGAGGCTGATAACGAAAATGAAATGCCGACCTAAGGAGCCCGATTCCCTCAGCTGTCGCTACCTGGACGCGAAATTTACGAGGCTGCTCCCGAAGGACTTTGACGTTCTCGGGGCCGAACCCGCTAAAAACGCGACCTACGTGCCATTTGGGATAGGTCCGGAACGGTTCGAGGTCAAGTTCAACGAACGCGGGATCGAGAGCTTCCTCGTGCCTCGGTCCATCGCTCCCTGGTCCGTTGACATGTTTAAATTGATAGCCAGCCAGCTGAGCGTCGGTACCAACCTCGGACGGAAGGAGGAGACCTTCCAGATCATGGAGAACTTTACGATGGGCCAGTGCGAGACCAGATTCAAAGTCATCCGCCGGGACGACGAGGACCAAAATGGCCTCCGCAAGGCGAGGTTCAAGCTGCAATTCCTCCCCGAGCTGGGCGTGCCCTCGGGTCAGATTCTGGAAGTAGAGAAGAAGCGGAATCTGAGGAATTGCAGTCCCAGGGCCAAATACTTCTTCGGCACCAGGTTCACCTATGGACTCGTGCCGTATACTGCCATTGATCACTTGGTGAGGAGAGTGGATCATTTTTCGGGGGGTTCGAGCGGGATTACCGTCATTTCGGTTTAGCGAGGGACCAAGGTTCGTCCGTTGTTTCAGACATCCTCGTTTAGCCGAATCACCCTCTCGGAATCCGAGTTCACGTCCGAGACCGTCAATCGCTGCGACATCCACGACGAGGAAGATCGCGAAAAAATAGGAGAGGTTCTCGATCACATCAAGATCTTTCTGGAATCGATCGAGCCCGCGAAGGAGGAGTTGAAAGAGGTTCCTTCCCCGGTGACCGTCGGTTTAATCGTCAAAGGACCGATCAAGGAACTTGAACATTACGAACCACCGCCGACGAGTAAAACCCTTGGTAAACCAGCTACGTGAGGTCGCGGCCCGATCTTTCTGCAAACTATTTTAAGTGCACCGTCGTTCTCCTTATAGGCTAATTATTGGTGTAATTAAAGAAGTAGAATTCAGAAACGACAGCTAGATATGGAATTAGAACGTCGAGGTATGAATAATCTACGAATAATATGCGTTTAAATATATCGCGATTATGTTTCAACGATGTATTACGAACCGACCTGATGTATAATAAACTGTAAAATAATTAATGTAATAAAGCAACTTATTGAACAATGACAATGAGTACATTTAATTAGACGAATATGTCTAGCAAACCCTCTAATCGCTTATTCCTGATCCTTGAAAATCACTCGTAGATCTAAGGCACGAAACTCGGTGCCACCTCCTCGGTTGTCCTATGATGCTGATAGAAATCGGAAATTTCAGCCCCTAAAATTTTTGCCCGTGCCACCTCCTCGGTTATCCTATGTTCCTGTTACAAATCGGAAATTTCAACCCCTAAAATGTTTGCCCGGGAGAAGTCCGTGCCACCTCCTCGGTTATCCTATGTTCCTGTTACAAATCGCTAGCGATGTAATAGGAACATAGGATAACCGAGGAGGTGGCACGGAATTCTCCCGGGCAAACATTTTAGGGGTTGAAATTTCCGATTTGTAACAGGAACATAGGATAACCGAGGAGGTGGCACGGGCAAAAATTTTAGGGGCTGAAATTTCCGATTTCTATCAGCATCATAGGACAACCGAGGAGGTGGCACCGAGTTTCGTGCCTTAGATCTACGAGTGATTTTCAAGGATCAGGAATAAGCGATTAGAGGGTTTGCTAGACATATTCGTCTAATTAAATGTACTCGTTGTCATTGTTCAATAAGTTGCTTTATTACATTAATTATTTTACAGTTTATTATACATCAGGTCGGTTCGTAATACATCGTATCGGTTTTGTTAGCGGAAGCAAAACTGAACCTCGCCGTTGACTCGAACGCCTTCGTCTCGTCAGCCATCCAAGAATTCATCATCTAGCCGATGACTTCCGTCACTTGACATTGCCGAATGTTAAAACCTTGTTAGACGAGCGAAATTATCCCTCGCGATGCGATTGGCTCGCAGGAGAGATTAAATTTACAAGGCTGCGCGTCCAGAGCGGAAGTAGTTTAAGGCGGTTCGTGCCAGGCTGGAGAGCAAAATTTGATTAAGGAATTTTAGAGACGTTATCGCGATACGCAATTTGACCAATTTCCAGGAGTATGCAGGGACACGTTCCTCTTTCGGGGACGCCCGTCGAGAGACAAACCCTTGAGGATTGTGCAGCCTACCGGAAACTCGACGAATTCGGTTCCGACGTGGGTTCGTAAATAAAGCTCCTCCTGCGTAATTGCTAATCGCGGCCTTGCCCAATGACACATTAATTGCGCGATACGTTAAAGGAGGGTCAGGGAAATTACGGCGTAATCGGAGTTAAGCGGCACGTATTGGGGACCTTATAAAGTGGCGGTAAGATCAGGAAGACGGTCAAATCCGCGAGACCGTGCGCGCATCACCATGATCGCCATTTTGATACCGTTCCTCCTGGGTCGGTGAGAATTTCGAGATCGTCGCTCGACGTTTCCCCCGAGATATTAAAAATTGCTCTTCGAAATTTCAGTGACCCGCTTGAGCGTGGACGAGAACACCTGGAAGAACGGACCGGAGTACACGTTCCAGGTGTCGGTCAACTCGACCGCGAAGATCAGACGTCACGAGGGGCTCTACACGGGCTCGAGGATGAAGTCCAACCTGAAGTGCCAGCCGAAGGGGACCTCGACCCTAAGCTGTCACCTGGAGGGTCCCGAGATGACGAATCTCGAGTCCTACATAAGCGAGGGCACGAGAGTCGTCACCTACGAGAGCTCGGAGACCCTGGACATCGGCGAGGAGGCTTTCGAGATGAACTTCGATAGGAACGGGGTAGAGAGTCTGCTGGTCGACAAGTCCGTGTCCCCGTGGACCTTGGGGATAATCAGGCTGATCGCCGGCCAGCTCCACGTGGGCGCCGACCTGGCCAACAGGCCCGACGGGGTCTTCGAGGACCGGGAGGTCGGATACGCCGGCGACTGCGCCACCACCTTCGACATCACCCGCTACGCGTGCGACAGGGTGGGCTCCTCGGAGAGCTGGGAAAAGCCCGACTTCGTTCTCGTCCTTCCCGACGTCGTCGTGCCCGAGGGGAACGTCCTCGAGATCGAGAAGACCCGACACATGGACCGGTGCCGGTACCGCTCCGACTACGTCTTCGGAAGCGACAGGGACTTCGAGGCCGATCCCGACAAGGTCAACGTGAACGTGGTAAGAGGAGAATTTGCGCGAATCTTGCGGTACGACGAAAAAGCGAGGGGCCCTTACGTGCCCTGAAGATAAATCACGGGGCACTTAACGAATCGCGTGATTTCAATTCCTTCCAGAATTACTCCGAGAGTCGGATCAGCATAAGCGACGATACCTTCGTCTCCACTTCGACGACCGAAGCCGTAATGAAGGGGATGAAACGCAACAAGAAGTACATGATTACCGACGAGATAATGGTCACCTTGATCGGCGTCGAAGCTGCCGCGGACGCGCCGCCGACGATCTCCGATCCCACCGTCGTTCCCGTCGTCCCCGTCGTCCTGCTCGACAGTCTGTAAATCGAAACGATTTCTGTGAAAAGTACAAACGTTACGTTTAACGAGGCGAGGCGTACAAAGGACTCGCGGATCCATCGGTCGGAATAAAAATCCGTCAATTGGAATTACGCTACGCTTTGCGTAACTTTATTCGGGTTGACGCTGCATATACTGGGTGCATCCTTTAGTAATTGTTACAGAGTCCTACATGTCAAGTAATTCGCGTGATTCGCTGATTAAGTGATTATCGCCCCGCGACGTTACGCTACCGAGGACCGCTTTTTACTCCTCCGCGACTTAGGCTAGCGATTTACAGTTGCCGAATAGCTCTACGTCCGGTATACGTGTATCGCGGAATTAACGGCAGTCTTCAACGTCTTATTTTTTAAACTCTCCATAAACGCGTCACGCGCCGTTATCGTAATCCCACCAAGTTACGTGTGCGATGCAGTCCCTGACGCGACGTCTACTCCCGTGGTCGCTGCGCTCTCGGTTTCTCTCCTTATCGTTAATTCGCTGCGCGTTTCCGCGTACGGAAAATCGTAGAAGTCTTAAAAATTGATTGCGTCAACGTTGCCACGATGGAACTTATACATTTTCTTAGGAGTAGGAAAAATTGCAAGTGGCCCACGCTCCGATGGGAAAGTAAGTTCCCACCTTGACCTGTGTCACCATCGACACTCTTTCACATTTTTATACTTAGATACTATAACGATATTAACGGCAGTGTGATGGATCTTGGATACGTAAGACGTGGTTTAGGCGAAAATCATATTTTTGGAATGGATAAACTTAATAACTTTCCCGGAAACAGCGAGAATCAAAAGATTTTCGAGTCTGCATCTCGGTTGTATTGACCGCACTATTTCTTCGAGTCAGCCACAAGGCACGATCGATGATATACTCGTAATCGTATCACGTCATTTTTCGGAATCAACTTCAACGCGGGGTTTCTCCGAGAACCTGCGTGAAAAAGCATCCAGCACACTGTACTCCCTGCTTTTGTCTATTGTCTTAACGAGTAGGTACGTCAAAATCGCTACATCGAGTAATCTCTGAACAACGTAAAAAAACGCCCGCACGAAACGTCGCGTTCTCGGTGTATGTGGAAACTTCGGATTCGCTCGTAAAAAAGATTAAAAAAATCTGAGAAAGTAGGAAAATCTATTTCCTCCTTTCTACACCATCTCGGTTATTTGAGAACGTAGAAAATCCATGCGTCCACCTCTACCCGTGATTTGTGCCGTGCAAAAGCAAAAGGACCGCAACTGCGTCTCTACCGACACTAATGGTTTATTTTCAAATTAATGGCATAAAATATTGAAAAATATCCGATATAAACGTTACCTGGGATTGCATTCGGGATAATTATTATCTCAAGTATTTTTTTATTCGACGCAGCGTCTCAACGAAACATAACATTTATCTCGAAAAGTAGAAGATACAGTTACGGTTGTTCGCTTAACAGCGCGGACGACCTAGACCGAAAATCGACGTTTCCGTAGAATTCATGACGCGGGCTCGGTCATAGACTTTACCCAAGAACTTACACGTACACTGTACGCGTTTTATACAGTGTGTATATATTCTACGTATATTATGTATAGTTACTTATACACGACATATGATATAAAATGTGAGAAAAGTCTGATCGACGATGTGATTTTCCGGTCAAAGAAATCGCCCGTTTCGTGGAACTTTTAAGCAGGCGGCAAAAGCCGATTACAATTTATCGTTTAAATCGACGTTAAGCTCTTATCGAAATATATATATTTTCTATAAATATATGTATGCATCATATGCGTACTAAGGGCCTACGGAAGAAGAATTTGCAAAGAAACTCGTCGCGCAGTCAATCAACTCGGGACGTTCTCTGACCGTAACCTACGCGATTCGCTTCGATCGCGCGTATGCGTAAAATAACTACATACACTTACGACGCTCACCAAGGAAACTAACAATATCACGAGACTCGACGGTGTAAAGATTCGTCCTTATTTCCCGTGATCGGAAAAAACCGTGGAAAGCGGTTCGATTAAACCGCCGAGAGATCCAGCCGAGAAAAGCGGCTCTCGATGATCTCGCAAGTCGCGACAAAAATTCCTACGGTGAAAAAATTAATACTAATCCTATCCGCGGGTAAAATGGAAAAGTTGAAGCCACAATGATCCAAGAGAAAATTCTCATCTAATTACTTTTCGATCCGTCGTAGAAAGTCGACGGTTTGCAAGAAAAACGCATCATTGTTAGCAAAATTCCTCGCGACCCAGTCAACGCGCAATGGCCACGCAGCGAATTTGCAGGGATACCGTCAATTTTCACAGCTAAAACGGCACGCAATCGTCGAACTTTCAGGCCGTGATCGATCATTTTCGAAGTCGACGACATTCCTGGAAATTCGTCACGCTACGTATATTCGGATATAATCAGGAGGGATACTCGTAAGACACTGTCCCTGCTCCTCTTGATCCCCTTCCACGTACTTCGAGATAAGCTAACTTAATCTAAATATGTACAATTACGAATGTAAGCGACAGGTAGTCCGACACGGTTAGACGGCAAAAACGTACGAGCGGTCACGTCACGAGCTCTCGCGTACAGGGAAGATCCCGCCCCGGAAAGTTGGCGTGGCATTATTGACTATTGTTGACGTTGTTCTGCTTAACGGAATCCATGTTGGGCACATAGTCCATCGCCATTAAACAGGCAAACACCGTCATCACCATTTTCGGCTTGACCTCGGTTATATCCTCCGGAAGCGCGTAGACCCGCGCTCCGCACTTTCGGGCCAGGGATATCGCGTATTTCGCGTTATCCAAATTTTCCTGCGAACACATATCGAAATTAAATCAAACACCTCCGATAGAACGAGCCAGCTGAAATTAAGAGAAACAATCGAAAGTCGCACCTCCTCGGTTCCCCCTTCCTTGACGAGGTCGTAGTTGACGGACCCCGGCTTGATGGCATCGATAAGGTCGATAACGACCTTCCCGTCCGAGATGGAGTAATCTTGGAAGCCCTTGATGCCGCTACTCTTCCCGGCGCCCTGCAACTTCGTGTTGACCCACTGGACGATCTCCCTTTCGACGAAGGTGCTCCCCTGGGTCCCGGCCAGAGAGGTCAGAATCGAGAGGGTGTACGACCTCATCAGCTGCCAGATCAAGGCCAGGGTTAAAGTGTTGTTGCCATCGTTCAAGTCCTGCCCCGCGATCCCGACCAAGGAGAAGTTCATCTGCTTCCCCAGCTCCACGGCGTAGTTGCAGTTCTCGAGCTTTTCCATGAACTTCCTCAGCTTGGTGAACTTCTTGTGAACCTTGTTCCAGTTAACGGTCCCGGGCTTGATGATATCGTAGAGCTGGAAGATGACCAGCCCATCCGCCAGATCGCTGTACAGCCAATTCACATGGGGAGCCACCCCCATGGAGTTCATCCAATTTCTGTAGGTCTTCTCCTCCCTGGTTTCCTCGAGGGACTCCAGGCCCTCGATGGTGTTCTGCGGATTGTCCAGGCCCGGATAATTGTTGAACATGTTCGCGACGAACGCCAGATTCAGCTTGTAGATCCCGTTGACGACGTCGCTGGGCGTGACGAAACTGCGGCAGCCGAGTTTCGCGGCCTGCTGGAGCATGATTTCCGCCCTGGTCGTGTGATTCGGTTCCATCAGCGCCTCGAGGGTGACCCCGGCCGTGTGCGGGGCGATCTGCTTGATCAGATACGTATAGATCTCCGAATCCGTGATGTCGGACTGGAAATTGTTGCACCTCCTGGCGATTCCGGCCCTCTCGAGGTGGTGGTTCACCCATCTCAGGAGGATCGACTCCGGGGACAGCTTGAGGAGATTCTCGATGCGTTCGCCGTCCTGCAGGAGAGTCGCCAGGCCCGGGCAGTTCTCCAGCGTGATCTGGTTGAAGAGACCGATCCTGATGATCTGCCAGAGAAGACCGAGGACCAAGTGCGGGGAGCCCTTCGTCAGGTCGTGGGCGTCGATGTTGACGATGTTGCAGCCGATGGACTGGGCGGAGGACAAGGCCAGGGTCAGGTTCTCGTGCTTCTTGTACAGCGTCAGATTCTTCTTGTTGATCGTTCTCTCGTCGATGGTGTCCGGGCACGAGTGGTTGATGATTTTGCTGGAAAAGTATCGAAGTTGGTCAAAGAGTCCAAGAAATTTCGCAAACACGGATAAAGATAGAATCGAAAGATAGAGCCGCGCGAATCGATACGTCGATAGGGCGTTGCGGGATTGTCGGATATCGTTATCCGACATCGACGCGTTTCGCGAAAAAGCAAAGAGAAGAGAAAACGACCGATATCTCGGTAACCGGTTGGCGCGATTCTCATACCAGAGCAATATTCCATCCTTGACTTTGTCGTAGAGAGTTTTGCCTTCCGGGTCAATGGGCAGGAGGTGGTCGAGGTCGGGGTCGTGGCCCAGGTTCGTGTTTATCCAGTCGCTGAAGGCGAGCTGCTCCTCCAATCGGACCGAATGAGTGGTCCCCTCGCTGGAGGCCTCGGATATCCCTCCGAGGGTTTCCAGATTCTCCTTCTTCGAGACGACCTGCTTGAACGTCGAGCCCAGCTCGTTGGCCTTGAGCTCCTTGCAGAGCTTCTCGAACTCGTCGAAGGAGAGTCGACCCTTGTGCTCGGAGCGCTGCTTGTCGTCATATTCCTCGATCATCTGGCGCACCTTGTACCCCGGCATCTTGAAACCGCAGACGTCCAAGGCGTTCCGCAGCTCGGTCAGGTCGATGAAGCCATCTCCGTTCTGGTCGATCTGCGGAAACGAGAGAAAGGGTATCAACCGAGAGAACACTCGAAAGCGCGCCCGAGTCGCCGACCCGCCGAGTCGCTCGTTGGGCGAGCATCGATCCCTCGATGCGGCAAATTAAATTCGAAACGTCCCACGACCCGAAGGGGAACGCGATATCGGACCAGTGGATGCCTCCGCCGAAGTCGCAGCTGGGTCACCGATTAATCGCTTCCATCCCGGAATGAATCGTGCACCTGGGCGCCATCGTCCACGCCCTGGTCCGAAGGACTCCGCGCCTCGCCGACTACTCACTAATCCGAAGAGGTAGGAGAAGTCCTTCGAGTACTCCTTGACGACGTCCCACCTCTCGATGTCCTGGATCTCCATAGGGACCCGTTAAACCGTCAAATTCTCCAAAGACCGTCGAGCGATACGACCGACACTCGCGACTCTCGCCGGGAACTCGGGCGCACTCGAGGCCCAAGGTCTCGAGGCTTATCAGCCTTATCGGGTCCGCAGATACTCGATAATAGCGAAACGGCCGTGCACGTCCCGGGACCCGACGACGTCCTCCTGGGGAACTCCCCTCGGAGATGGCAAAGATCACCCTCCAGGACCGCGACTCTCGCTCGACCGGTCGCGACTGAGAGAGAGAAAGAGAGGGTTCGAGATCTCGCACTCGTTCGCTAAACGATTCCAACCTGGGTCGATAATAACTCTTTGGCTTCGATGACGCTCATTGGAAATGACTGGCTCGTCGATTGTCATCCGGAGAGACGCGAGAAGCCATCGTTACAAGGGTGAGTCCTAAATTAATTTTAAGGAAAAATCCCGTCGAGGCTTAAAAAAAAATCGGCGCTACCGAATATCTCCGGAGTAGACAAGGATGTCGGGTCTCGATTTAATTTCACCGGTGATCGACGAGGTACGAATTTTTTGTATTCATTAAGCGTATACATCGTTGCGTCCTCGCGTTCGATGGCATACATCGGCCAACGTAAGCACGATATCCTCTTTCGTCGTGAGCCACGCTTTCGTTTAATAGTTCAGGAACGAGTGATAGCAACCTTCGAGTCAACGGAGATAACGAATAGTCGCGGCAATTGTTTGCAAACTACCGCGAGGTGCGTTTTGAGGCACGTGACACCTTGTAAAATTATCCTCACCGTGTTTGGATAATACGGCCGGCCCGGTATCGCGCTTGGGATGCGATCGGCCTCGAGTTCCTCTCGTTCCTTTTGGATCTACGACGTCGAAACGAGAGATAAGAAGTTAAAGGGACAATTAATGACGACAGAGAAAGAGGAAGTAGCGGTCGCGACTCGTCGAGGGGGTAATTCTTCTACCGTGACGTTCGACGTCGCTTCGGCGTACCGCGTTATGACATGCGTCAAAAATCCCGAAGAATGCATCGAATTACGAACGTTGCGCGATCGGTCGATCGCATCGGAGAGGGGCCGCATAGAAGCGCATCTCCTTGAAAGTGGGCACGACGTTACGAAACTGCGTGCTCGATAACGTAATTATGCAGTCCGCGTAGCGCGCGAGGACGATCGCTCTCTCTTAATTGCACCGAGGGGGACGGTTCGCGTATCAAGGGGGTATGTACGTCGTTTAACCGAAGTCGTCGAGCTCCGAGATCATGGAACAACGAGTCCGTCTCTTGTTCCGGACGAACTCCCCGTTACCGCTTAATGGCCGTTCGCGACGCGGCAGGTTCTTCCCGTGAAAATAATGTAAACGGTCGCCAGGGGTATTATTATAAAACGTTACAGTCATCCCCGGAGCAATTCGATGACTTCTTGCGATCTACGTTTCCCGCCACGTGAGCGCGATGGAGAGAAACGACTTCGACTTGTCCGGAGTGCCGCGAGGCGAGGCAGGGAAATTTTTCTGCATAATTTTATCGACACCTCGATACCCAGGAGGATATTTTTTTTCTTAGAAAATTCTATCCAGCTTTCCTCCGTATATAAAATAATCGTCGATATTTCCGGAGAAACCGCGAGTGTCGGTCTACCGAGTGACCGACAAGAACCGGATCGGCAAATCCGGGCCACTTGATCTTCTCCTCCTGCACTCTGGGAAGGCAACGAACCCTCCGCGTAATATACGACTTCCTTTATCCACAACGTCGTTTCCTCTCGCCTCGTAAACATACGTGTCGAGGTCGTAAACTGCATCGGATTTTAACTCGACGCCGGATTACGGTCATCGGCTCGTCAAGGACGCGAAATTCGGTGCTTCCGACCGGGAGACGTTTCCTTTACCCTCTACGGGCAGTGATATTATAAGGGAAGGAAAAGGAAAATTAAATAAAAACACCACGCACGTCAAACGTCGAGACCGATCGTTCTCTCGGTTTATCCGGCGATTCCGGGTGTCGCGAATTCCCGCCTCGTCCGTTCCAGCGAGTCGAATTTCGCGAGGCGTGCGATTACTTTTCGAGGCGTCGATTACGGAGCGTCGGAGGAAGAGGCGCGTCCTTGGATACGCACTTTGGAATCCGGAAAGCGAGAATCCGAGACCCTGGACAGCCGAGTTGAAAATTACGTCGGAGAGAAAAAGACGTTGGCGCAAAGTGCCGCCATCAATGGCGGAATTATGGCAAATGGATTTTTCACGGCGTCTCCGTAACGACCTACATCCACAGGGCCGTTCTCGGTCTATCCGTCTTTACGGGCGCGCAATGACTCATCTCGCTATAAAAATGTATCTCGACTGCCGATAGGATCTTCACCGAGAGCAAGGATACGTAGGCCAGTCGTTGAGCGCCAAACACTTCGGATATTTAATCCTGGAAAATTTAGCGCGTACTCGCGCCGTTTTCACATTTCGTCCATTAAAGTGATTCATTTCCAAGGCGCGGAATGAATCGCCTCGCGTGACACACGCGTCCCACATTCAGCTTTTCATTTCCCGAGAATCGACGCGGTCATTGAAAATTCCGTCATTACCGCGACGAGTCATAGTCGGGAGAATCGACGCGTCGCGACCTTCGCGAGACCGGACGTTCCTCGGCGGACAGGTGTACCTGAAAAACTGGCCGTTTAATCAAGGAACATTGGACGGGAAAGAGGTAGAAAAACTCGCGTCGGAAAAAGGGAAAAACTCGCGAGCCTCGTTCCGAGTTTAAGGGTCGCCGCGCCGGCGCGGGGGTAAAAAAGGACCTCGCGCCATGACCCGGGGCAACGGATTCGCGTCCTCCTTTCTTCCCCCTTCTTTTCGACCACTTTTCTCCCGGACGACCGAGGATAACGCGCTTTCGGAGAACTCCCCTCCAGGAGTCGCGACGACGAGCCGCCGCGAATGGAAAACCGAGGCGATTCGAGACCTCGAGCGAGAACCGCCAAACCTTTGGCGCTCCTTTCGTCGCGGCGATTAGCCGATCTAAAAACCACCTTGGAAAGTATATCTACGCCGCGGCAAATCTACCGGCGTATGGCGCAACGCAACCGCATTACCCCGGCGTGAATCGTCCCGAGCCCCTCGTTGCCCGCGTAATGCAGCTGCAACTGGTTTTGCGGTAAGGCGGCTCGACTGCGGTATCAATGTCGGCGCATGCATCGCGCACCTGATCCCGCACTCCGAGGATCGCGCGCTACCCGTTCCCCGTAACAGGAAGAAAAAAGTCAAAAAGGCCTAACCTACCGTAACCCAACGTAACCTACCCCCTCCGCGGCGTCGAGAAAAATCGTCCCCTCCGACGCCTCGGCGCCGAGAAAAAGCGTCACCCGGGACGATGCCATCTCCAACGAGGCTGAGGTCGGCGATGATAAATCAATTAATCGACGAAACCGATACGCCTCCGCCTTATCGCGGGCCTAGATAGACGGGGGCGATCCGAAGATCGTATGCAAACGGCGAGGACGATTTCGTTGCGCAATCGGCGACCGATTCCGTCGTTGTCGCTTTCGTTCCCCACCGAGCGAGACGAGTTGCCGATCCTCGGCACGCTCGGAGTCGCAACTTTCGACCGCGCGTTTTCGATTCGTTCGGCTGGATCGACGACGAACAGCGAGCGCGCGTCTACGCGGGGCAGCGTAAGAGAACGTAAGGTACTTTCGTCGCCGACAATGCCCGGTCTGTGTCTTGGAACAAGCGAGGCGCAACTCCGGCGCTAACTCGGCCAGGATCGGGCAGAAGTAGTTGGGCTCGCGAGAGGAATAACGACGGCTTTCAAACCCGGGCTTTAACCCACGACGATCGATCCCACCGAAAAATCGAATAATCCTTTGAATTAGCCAAATATTTCATTTTTTCGATGAAATCTTTTCCTCGGGGTAGGAGCGCTTGCGCCACTCCGAAATATTTCACGGAGGAATATATGAAGAAAATTTCTGGATTCCGCGTTTTAATTCATTGATTCGCGAAGGGTTGCAATCTCGGGATCTCCTCCCGGGCCCCGCAAAGTGCGCGCCCCCTCGAGGGCTGATTCACCGGCCGCAATCGCGGAAAGCGGAGACGCGTTACGCTCGACTGTCTCTGCCGATTCGGATAATCAACGTCGCGCCCCTTGACTCGAGATTGCTCTATTTTTGTCGCGCAATCGGGTCCCGACGTCCGCCCGAAACGGCGTCGAGAGAGTCTTCCTTTCCCGTTTCCGCGGCGACCCGGCAAATCGAGAGGATTCTCGAGATTCTCCCCGACTCCGGGAATCTCGGAGTCGGCGCATAAATTACGGCCGCCTCGAAAGAAAAAAAAAAAAAGGAAAAGTACCGAGACAAGTTCGTTGGAGCGAGTCCGAGGAGCGTTCCTTCCCGAAGGCGCTTAACGGTATAACGTCCTGGCCGAGCGGCCCGAATGCGAGTTCCTCGTTGCTCCTCTTAGAAAAAAAGGACTCCTCGAAGGAAGAAAACCGCGGAACCGAGGAGGCCGAGGTCGCGATTCGACTCGTCGGATTAAAGCATTTCTTTGAGAGCGCAATTTCGACCCCTCCTGAAATTCGACTCCCCGGAGGCGCGGGGCTTCCCGGTCGAGTCGATATTTCGGAAAGGTCCGGTCGACGTCCGCCCTGACTCATC